GAAGGAGTGTGAACTGCTGAGGAAGAGGTGGAGTCGTGCTTGTCTGTGCTGGAAACGGGGGCCGACGAAGAGTGGGCAACCGAAGACGAGACAGAAGAACTTACAGAGCCGCAGTTACCCGCAAGCGGGTTGCATCCGGTTCCACAGTGGTCAGTGGAGGCACCGCAGTATCCATACTGAGAGCAGCACTCGGACTTAGCACCGTCGTGGACGAAGCCAACGCAGGTGAAGCCAGAGTTACCGCCGCAAGTACCGTCAATAGAGGTCTCTAAGGCACCAGTGGGCTGAGGAGCGGAGGACGATGTGGCGGACGAGGGAACGGAGCTGGGGTTAGCGTTGGTGCCGCAGTTACCGAAGAGGGTGTCGCAGCCAGTTCCGCAGTGGTCAGTCTGCATATTGTCAGTAAGAGAGGTGTCTTGCAATCGAACATTAACTATCACTCACCGAAGTTCCGCAGTAGCCGTACTGGGAGCAGCAGTTACCAAAGGTTGAGCCAATGCAGATCTGGTTATTGCCTTGGGTACCGCAAGTTCCATCAGTGGAGACGGCGCCAGTGGGGGTGGAAGTGGGACCAGTGGACGAGACGAGAGTGGATGAGGGAGTAGGAGTACCGGGAGTGGAATCACGGTACCAGTTAGCCTCAGGCTCGTTCATGCACTCACCCATGGTGACACCCTTGAAGCCACGTGCCTGGAGGGTCTCGATCATGGTGATGGTCAAGTTGAGAGCGGTGAGCTCGTGGATGTCGTGAGCAATGGCAAGCTTGCTCTCGCTGGCGGGCTGGGCGGCGTTCACGGCATTGCGGAAGTTGTCCTTAGCGACCTCGATCTTCTCGGGGGTGAGCTGGTTGTAGTCATCGGTATCCAAGTCGAAGTAAGAGACGACGTAACCGAGCTCCTGTAGAACGTTCTGGCAGACAGTGTTGCAAGACGAGTAAGGAGGGCGCATGTAGGTGGGGTATTTGCCGATGATGTTGCGGATAGCCATCTCGTTCTTGACCATCTGGTCGTAGACCTGAGCCTCAGTGATATCGGAAAGATCCTGGTGAGACCAAGTGTGGGAAGCGACCTGGTGGCCCTCGGCGACCATACGGTTGATGACACCGCTCCAATTCTCATCAATAGCACCCTTGCCGATGTTGATACCGGTGACGAAGAATGTGGCCTTGAATCCGGCAGCAGCGAACTTGTCCAGAACCTCGTCAGTGTAGATGTATGGGCCGTCATCGAAGGTAATGGCAACGGTTCCTGCCTTGCGGCAGGCGTAGATACCTTCACCACCGTACTCGACACTGCCCTTCTGAGGACGAGCATCGTTGCGGGTGCTGGCTCCAGCAGGGGTCTTGTTAGCATCACAACCAGGACCGTAGTTGAAAAGGCAGTCAGGAGCGTTGCAGTGGCTGGGAGTGGTTCCACAGTACCCCTGTTATTCAGTAAACATATATCCAAAATGAGAGACTCGCAATTGACATACAGCACCAGAGCAGCAGTAGCCTGCTGCGCAGACAGCGTTGCCGAAACTAGGTCCGCAGCGGTTGTTGGCATCACCGCCCTGACGTGCGAGCAGGTGGTGAGGGCCTTGAGCAGCGGCGACAGCGCGAGCAGCACGAGGAGAAGGGGTCCTGATCTTGACGTCGCTGGGCAGACCAAAGAGCTTAGGGGCCCCCTGGATACCACCGTGGGCGGCAACGAGGGAGGCCACCGTAGAGGCGGCGAACACCTCAGAGAAACGCATTATGTCGTTGTAGAAAGTATGATATAACTCTTATCTCCCTAAGAAAACTGGTCGGTTCGAGTAGCGAGTGGGATTGTCAACTTCAATTAAGGATTAAACACAATATGATAAACGAATGACTGTCGATTTCGACGAGCAACTGACGCGTAGAACGGGTGAGGATAGAGAGAACAGGCAGTCGCTTATACTTATACCGATGAAACGATATCAGGAGCGACAAGGCAAGGCGTGGCGCACCTGGTTCAAGCCGTGGCCGTCCGCTAATTGACTGTAATCAGCGCACCATATCAGCAGCCAAGATTGCCCGCTTGGAGAAAGTTCGTAGAATACGAGCAGTTATAGCGGGGCTTCCATCTGCTTATTGTCTCCGGTGAATGCATTGTTACTTCGGGTTGTCTTGACTTCAAGGGGTTTCCCTCTGCGTCTTTGACCCTGATAGTGACCCTGCGTCCTAGTCATGATGCTTTGAGCATGTTACATCATCTGTAGGGCCAAATGGAGAATAACAGCGGAGAATATTTGGGGAGTACAAACCAAAAGGGCGAGAAACCCCCAGCCCGCCTTACGAGGGCCAAGACGTTAAGGCATGGCGGACTAAAAATATGAACCGGCGTCGCCCACACTTCCGCGTCGCGCAAGAGCCGAAGAAGAAAGACCGCCGCGCCTGCCAAGAGCAAATCAAGGCGTCTTGTCAGCCATCGCGTTCGTGTATTCCGTGCGATGGCTGAACATGGCGGAAAGCCGATGCACCTGTTTGGTAAGAGGCGACGCTTAAGAGCTGTTATTTGCGAATGACAATATAATTCGACTCTCAATCCGCGCGGGAATGCACGCTGGTCCTGCAGACCCCTGACGTTTAGCTATCGATATGGAACTGGGCTTGGCCGGCGTGAAGGTAACATCACAACGCGCCTGTTGATTACCCCAGGCGCAAAGGATGCGTAGGAGCCACGAGTGACAGTTCACATGATCTGCAAGCCTTGGCTGTACGAGTCGACAATGACATCTGCCTGCGTTAGCGATCTCACACAAGTTGAATCCCCCTGCATCGTATTTTGAGAGGGCATTTGAGGGAGCGAGAATCGAAGATACCGGCGTTACGGGCGGAACGGGCAAGTTCACGCTCTTGGCAGACCAAGGCCAAGCTAACCCATGTGGAGATGAAGGTCAATAGGGGGTTGTTAGGGCAAGATCGCTTTGAAAATCTGGCGACCCCGTTACCGAGAAGCCGACGTTTGAGCATTCGCTTAGCAGCGAATGATGTTTGTCCTGAGGTGGAAGTGCTGCTGCATTCAATAAATTGTCATCAGCAAAAGGATCGATGCCTGTAAGACAAGTTCGTGTTGAAAGCGCGCGCGACGTGGCTCCACTGTGACACTGTGGGCACGCAACTACCGTGCAAGAGGCAATGTCCAAGACCTCAAAGTAGCAAGTGCGAAAACGACGTCAACGCGCGTATTGTTGAGCACACAAGAGCCGCCGCATTGATGTTCTCGAAATAAGCTTGCATGTAGTGCAACGCTCGCGGAAGGCCGAAATTAGCAACGCGAGTGACGCATCGCAAGGCTCTTGCTTGAACCGTGCTGTAAGTTCACTTCAATCATGTTGGCCCCAAAACGATTCGCGGGGAATAAGTAAGTGTCTGGCCCTTCTGCCAACTTCTGCGGCCTGGCCGAGATCGCAGAAAAGATACAACTGCTCGTATAGAAGTGCATACTCCGGCCGTTCACCTCGTATAATTAGTTGTTAGGATCAGGCGCACCACACTCAAAGACGCCTCTCCTTATGGAGAAAGACTCTGCATAATTGATTTGATTGAAGAGTGGGTATTGTCGAGTAAAACATAAGATCAGGCTTTGCTGGGACATGCGCCAGCAGACGGATTCGGAACAGGGACACTGAAATCATTTCTTCATCGTTCGTAGTAATGGGGCAATTCTTGCCCGCTTACTCAGCCCTACCCGATAGGGTACTTTGCCCTTGTTGTTCGGGGGCTGCTCTGGAGGAGCGGGCTTCTTGACGCGCTCTGGAGTGATGGGCTCTATCTCAGGGCGATCAGGGAGCTCTGGAGGCTCAGACATAGACCTTGTAGTGGCGACAGTCGTTGCGCCTCCAGGCTGGGGACTCTTCGAACTCTGGCCTGACTTTGTAGAGATTGAAGTTGCCGTATCTTCGACAACTTGCTGCTGCACCGAAGGGGGCTGCGCGTTTCCGTCGATAGAGAGAAGCGGAGAACCGCGCGCTTGCTCTTTTGAGCCCTCGTCTTCGTCATCTTGTAAGATTTCCATGGATGCAGAGGCTTTAGCTGCCTTTTTGGGACGACCTCGACCTCGCTTCTTCTCGACCTTTGCTCCCTTCACAGTAGTATCCGCCGCTGTTGGCTCAGGTTGATCCAATGTCGTTTTTCTGCGTTTGGCTTTCTTATGAGACGTCGCAGGCGCGATAGACGTCTTGACAGTATTCATGGGCGACTTCGCGGGTATGAGTACCTGAACCTTTGCCGGGCTCCTAAGTTCGACCATGAGGGCAACGATGTCTGTTTCTGCAGAGGCCGTATTGTGATTCATGGCATCTGACGTGCCACCGATGTTTGTGGCCACTGTCTGCCTAGCACCGATATGGTGCCCTTGGAGTTCGCCATTATGCTCGTGGATGTCGATATTTGCCGTTAGTTGGTCGTTGCCAGTTTTCGACATTTGTGAAGCGTGAGAGAGTTCATCATCAGCGACCCTGTTGGTGATCAGCCAATCAACGGTTTGTGTGACGTCACCGTTATTTTGTTTCAATGCTCTTGCACTCGTAGACGGCGTGAAACCCATCTCACAGATTTGCTGAATTCTATCAGGCGTGCTCAGTGGTTTCGCAAGGCTTGTAGTCGCAGGAGTTGATTTCCTTCGTCTGCTTGCCTTCGTCGCTTTCTCATGTTTGACTGAGTAGTCAATAGACTCTTGCCTACCAGCTTTCAGTGATCTTGAACGACCTGGACGCGGCTTGTACCTGCAAGTCATGTGTTACAAAGACGTATGAGTGGATATGTGTCAAGCTCACTGTTCCTTGGGTAGACCTAAATCCGCTAGATCATCATCTGAAGTCGGACCGGGACTTGGGCTTGGTCTCTTTTTGTGCGATTGTCGAGATGAGCTTGGAGCCTTCCCCGGCGCAGAACCATTTACAGTCGAAGACGAAGTGGCATGCGGTTGCCTAGCCTCCGATTGGGCTTCGTCGCTCAGAAACACGATAATGTCTTGGGCATCGAGCATATCCAGAGACATATTTTGCGTTGAGGGGCTGCCCACCAGCATCAAGGACTCTTGTTGACTTCGTTGCGACCCTGAAGGTGCAGGGTACTCATTTGGCGATGGGTCTGATATTGCGGCTGACACGTTCTGTAAAGCATGAGGTTCTTGGGCGGACGACCTTGGTTGCTCTCCGCTATTCGTGGGCGACTTCAAATACTCCGACCAAGGTATCGAAGCATCCGGTTGAATCGGAGTTCTATCATTATCGACGTCAGATCCTAGAAGAGCTGGCGCGAGTACCCCCTCCATCACGCGCTGTTGCGTCAGAGTTGCATTTGGGACTGTACTCGAGGGCTCCGGGAACATTGCGTTTGGATTGTGTTGAGCATATGCTCCACGCATTGTACCTTCCAGCATCCAATCCGTTCCGTTCGTGGCCCCGGCAACTGAATTAACTTGACCCAATAAGCTCTGGTTGTGCTGCTGGTCAGCAGGTGAGCTGCAGAAGATACCATTCGAGTTCCTGCCATAGGTAACAGGGGTCTTCTTTGGTGCGAAGTTCTCATTAAAAATGCCATTCGAGCCCCTCTTCTGGTGGTTGACTTCGAGAGTATCCGGCGTTTGGTCATCGTTCATAGAAAACAGGGATTGCAGATGCGCCCGATGGGCTGCTTCTATCTGTCTTTGCAGAGCTTCTGCTCAAATCTGGTGAGCGAACTGCAATCAATGTTGTTTTCGCACTTACCTGTAGAGGAAGCATCGCTGTTGGACTGTTTGGGCGACGCGTCTTTCTTTTCCGGTTGATGGACGTCTACTTCGAGATCGTCGTCCAACTCGTCATCCGAGTCCTGAATCACCCGCGCCATTGTGCTTCATGCCTTGGAATGACCCTTCATGTGCATTGATGTTGTTGTAGTGAGGTGTGAGAGTGATGATTGATTCACCACCTCGACGCGCTGTCACATGGCAGGCGTAACTTGATCTTCCCCCTTTCGGCCTAGCGCGCCGGCCGCAAAGAAGGCGCATCCATCTTTCCAAAGTTCTCTAATACATTGCACAAAACAGCCGATATGGACAAATTTGGACCATCTGGCGACAGCTCGCGCAGTGGAACTCCAGGTAATGGGCGCTTCGCCTCCCAGGCAGCTACCGCTGAGGATCTGCTCAAGGCGCAAACTGTTGGTCTTGTGAACCTCAATGACTACCGCAAGAGACGCGCAGAGGCCATAGAGCTCAAGGAGCGAGGGAGTCCTTCCGTCAGCTCTGGCACTGACACACCAGGAGAAGGGTATAGTTCCTCACGTCAACATGTCATAATGCCCATGCTAATTTGCCAAGTACAGAGCATCGACATCAAAGCCGGTATTCAAGAAGAAGCGCAAGATAGTTGCCAAGGGCAAGTTGTCATTTGGAGTAGACGAATATGAAGAGACCGACTCAGCCGTGTCGAAAGCGCCCACACTACGCGAGAACACACCCGCCGATATGTCCGCCGTAAGCTCTGAGGCAGAAGGCAAGACTGTCAAGAAGAAGAAGAAGCTGGGTGCGAATACAAGCGTTGGCATGAAGCCGCGAGTCATGACGAAACCTGCTCTGCAGCGTGAAGCACAGCAGGCAGATCTTGCGCGACATGACTTCTTGAGAATGCGAGAAGGCGTGAAAGCCACGGAAGTCGCAATCCCGTTTGTATTCTATGACGGTACAAATGTCCTGGGAGGACTGTGTAGAGTGAAGAAGGGTGACCATATATGGCTGTTTCTTGACAAAGCTAGGAAAGTGGGTGCTGAGTTGGGGGTGGGTGGCGACAACAGTCGAAGGAATTGGGCCAGAGTCAGTGTAGACGACCTGATGCTTGTGAGAGGAGAGGTTATCGTCCCCCATGTAAGGCAATCCTACGATCATGCGTGTCGACACAACTAATGTGATTGCAGCACTACGAGTTTTATCACTTCCTGTTCAACAATGTCACAGGATTCAACGGCCCCATCTTCGATTGGTCTGCACAACCGACAAAGGCTACGCCGGTTATCAAGCCTGATGAGGAAGAAGCCAACATGGACGGATATGATCCGCTGAACCCAAAGAAGAACAAGGACAAGGAATCAAGCTTTCCAGACGAGGAGCTCGAGGGCTACTATGACGATCCAGCAGTGACAAAGGTTGTGGACCGACGATGGTACGAGAAGAACAAGCACATTTTCCCCGCGAGTGTGTGGGAGGAATATAGCTCTGATAAGACTTTCACAAAGGCTGAGCGCAAGGATGCCAAGGGCAATAGATTTTTCTTCTCTTGAAGGCGAGATCCCTCTTGAGACGCCAACGGATTCGATAGGGGTTGACTGCATCATGTACACCTGCAAGATGTAGTACCTTGAAAAGCGTGCTTGATGAACCATGCGCACTCATTGGCAAGCGAACGTTCAGCCAGAACGTGGGAACGGTTATTAGATTGCCCCGCATTGCAGCATGCATAACATTCTGCATCAGACGATAGAGTGGGAAGTTAGATAGCATCTTGCATACCGAGATCGACCTCCTAGCCAATGTCAAGCCCAAGCCACCATCCACGCTAGAATGTCTGCGTGATATTCAGGGTCTGAAGCGGTGTGACCCATCCCAGAACAAGTTTTGGCAGTCATGAACGAGATCCGCCATCGTTTCGCGGTCTAGAGAGGCTGAAAGGGTCGCGTGAGCATTTCCCTCTACTGGACCTTCCGACTGACGTGCAGCCAGCATAGCAAATTCGTGCTGGTACCTCCGCGGCTACTTTGTGCAACGAGTACGTCTCGACAATCTCGTGCGCATGATCGTCCTTGCATCCATCTTCACGCCCAGGTTCTGCATGAGCTTGCAGCTATCACCCTGCACAATATCGAAAGCGGACAGGACGGATAAAATTGTCGACCACAACATGGTTTTCGCCGCAACCAACCGCGGCTATCGTAACGCAAATCGTGGATCGGCTTGTCATGGCGACAGGCCTGCCGACGCGGTCTGAAAGAGTCTGCAAGCTTCTGAAGCTTTGACATGCTGAGCGGTGAATTGCAAGGATAGATATATAACGAGAGTGGTCCTGCTTGGCTTTCACAAAACAAAAAACATCTGTCGTCATCGGCGCCCGGACTTTGCGACTTTGTGCAGCTATCAACATCAACCCCATCCTTATCAGAAGCCGCAGATCTCAAGCACCACCACCACCACACTTCTTAGCGACTGACCACGCTCCCGTGTGCTTCCCCTTGCTTTAAGCTGCTACTGCTTTCACATTAGACAGTCCGTTTGACCATGTTGCAGGAACGGTCTGCACGAGCACTGTCTCATCCAATGAGATTGAGCAATTCGTGCACACCCTAAATTACCAGCATTCAACGCGTCAACTGCCTGGGCTTGGATAGTTCGCGCGACTTCACCGATCGTTGTTCAATCGCCTATTTCTTGCGACTCGTCTGCGCGCAAACGACACCGCTAAAGCCGTTGGGCTTTGCTCAAGTGCTCATTATCTTGATTTTGTGGCGACCAACAGCGATCAACCAACATGAAGTTTGGGCACGATTTACCGCGTAACCAAGTCCCAGAGTGGGCATCGTCTTACATCAACTACAAGGGCTTGAAGAAGCTCATTAAAACTGCTGCTGAGGCTTCAAAACATGGCTCAGATCCGGATCTTGCTGGTAGGTTGCAGTCACTACACGAGCATTTGAGTCTACAGCTAGACATACGTTGGTTAAGCGAAGTGACCCCTCGGTCATGCTGTTTAGCTGAGCAGTCTGGACTAGACATTGGGTAGGCAGGACTGGGCCTTACTAACATTGCTTTTTAGAGTTCTTCTTCTCGCTCGATCGTAACCTCGAAGACGTGGACACCTTCTACAACCGCAAGTACGCAGAGTATGCTCGTCGACTGAGGCTCCTGCAAAGTCGTTATGGACGAGTGGCACAAATGCCAGATGGCATCGATAAGGATGAGGCGCAGGACCTCATGGATGCACTCTTAGAGTTGCGCAGCCAACTGCGCAAGCTCCAGTGGTATGGTGAAGTCAATCGCAAAGGCTTCGTCAAGATCACGAAGAAGCTGGACAAGAAGATACCAACTGTGTGCACACAGGAGAGGTACTTGGTCTCACGAGTCAACCCAAAGCCGTTCACGCGCAACTTCTCGTTGAACCAGGACATGAAGACCGTCAATGAGTGGCTGTCTGGCTTGGGCGACATAAAGACCTTTGATGATAGCGGCTCCACATATTCTGCAGCATCTCTGGGACGGGTCCCTGGTCGCTCGCTGAACCTTCCTTCAGCCCTACTAGACGCTATGGAGGACGCGATTCGCAGCGATCGAGCCGAGGACGCTAGCCGTCTGCTCTCCGAGGCAGCCGTCAGCAACGAACCGACAAGTCCAGCTTTCCAGCAGGTTCTTCTTAATTTCCTGCAGCGCGCAATTTCACATCGAGCCAAGACGTGCATCTCAAGGCTTCTGCAAGACATTGCAACTCTGGATGAAGAGGACGATATTAACAAGCGCAATGTTATACATCGTCTTGTCATCAGCATCGGTCGCTCTAAGACCGGCGAGACACTTGACGGTGAGGCTCGTCTCCCACAGAGCTTGCTGGACGCGCGGAATTTTATAGTACCAGCCACGGCTCCAAACAGACAACCCCGTCCATGCACGACTACAGAAGAGGAGTCTACGATGCTTCTGAGCAAAAACGACGAATCTGTCCGACTACTTATCTACGTACTTGATCAGTTGCAGCCCCATCAACGTATAGCGCTACAGTCGCGCGATGCTTTTGGACGTCTGCCACTCCATTATGCTGCTGGTTACGGCTTCGTTGTGATCTGCCAAGTTGTCATCAAGCACATGCAGGACTGGGGTCAATTCAATGTCAGTCAAGGTATCGACGCGCAATACTGGCAAGACGATGAGGGCGACGCACCGCTTCATCTTAGCGTGAAAGAAGGCCATCCGCTAACCACCAAGGCACTACTTGAGGCTGAGAACTGGCGTGGGTCGAGCAAGGAGAAATTCACGTCAAGAAAGACCGTCTCGCAGTCAGGAGAAGCGCTGGCTCTGGCAACCAAGTCGAACTTCGTGACTATTGTCAAACTACTGGTGGACGCTGGAGTGGACGTCAACTATCAGAACAAGCAAGGAGAGACTGCCTTGCACATTGCCGCACAATATGGCTATGTTAAGTGTACCAAGGCCTTGCTGGAGGGCTCCAGCGTCAACAAGATTGACGTAAATATTTCTGAAAACACATTCGCATGGACTCCTTTGTTCAATGCTTGTGTTGACAACCACCTTCCAATTGTTGAGCTTCTGGCTGCTGCTGGAGCAGATCTGCAGCGATACGATAACTCTGGATGGACCGCCAAGGAACAAGCTGCACTTCGAGGCCATATGAAGATTGCGCACTACCTTGCAGAGCTCTGTCCTGCAATGGACTCACCACCACAAGCAACAGCAGACAATAGGATCGCTCAAGCTGGATCACCTCCTCAATCTTCTCTTGATGAAAAGACGTCCAAGAACATGGCGCGCGAAGGTGGTCAAGTATTGCAGAAGGTGCCGGAGCCTGTCAAGAGTTTTGGGCATCGATATCTATCAAATGAGACCATGATTTTGGTCAGCCTGGGCTCGATGGATATGCGGAAGAACGTACCAGCTGTTGCGCTTGATGACATTCCCATGGCTGATGCACACACCACCCAGCTCGATACCGCCCTGTCAGTTTTTGTCTCTGCTTCGGGCGCTACAGGCGAGACCTATCCAATCGACTTGCCAGTCCATGACATCGCCACAGAACCGATTACCTTCATGACTAAGGATGTCAGCAAGGTGCAGCTACTGTTCGACATCTGTCCGACTTATGCAGGGTCGAAAGACAGCATCGTTGGACGAGGCGTTGCCCTTCTTTCTACCATCAAGACCCACATCGGCTCGAAGCGTATTCCTTTACAAGGTGACGTGAAGGTTCCAGTTGTGGCAGCATCAACTTTACAGGTCATTGGCACCGTGAACTTCAACTTCCTGATCATCACGCCCTTCCAACATCCAAATATGTCCATCACAGAAGAACACACGTACTGGAAGAAGATGGCGTCGACTATGGTCATCGGTCATCGCGGTCTCGGAAAGAACACTGACAAGCAAAGGACATTGCAACTGGGTGAGAACACAATCCAATCCTTCATCTCTGCTGCGAACTTGGGAGCAGAGTACGTCGAGTTCGATGTGCAACTGACCAAGGATCTTGTACCCGTTATCTATCACGACTTCTTGGTCAGCGAGACGGGCATCGATGCTCCTGTACACACACTCACTTTGGACCAATTCCTTCATATTGGTGAAGGTCAGAAGCCACGATCATCACGCTCTGGCTCTCCTGGAAACGTCACTCCTGTCAACGGTGCTCTTGGTGGAGAGGAGCCACGTCCGAACCCCAAGAGGTTACGCTCTTACTCTGTGGATAATTCAACACAGCGCAACATTCACACCGAACGTCAAGACGAGCTTAAGGAACGTATGAAGTACACCCGCGATTACATAAAGAAAGGTTACAAGGGCAACAGTCGAGCGATCTCTATTGGATCTGACTTCACTACGCTTGAGCGGATGTTCAAGAGTAAGGACATCCCGGCATCTACTGGCTTCAACATTGAGATGAAGTACCCCATGCTTCACGAGTCTGAGGAGGAAGAGATGGACCAGTACGCAGTCGAGCTGAACTCCTTTGTCGACACGGTTCTGCAGGTCGTGTACGACCACTCAAACAAGCGTAGGATTGTGTTCTCTTCTTTCAACCCAGACATATGCCTCATGCTGTCTTTCAAGCAGCCGTCGATTCCAGTCCTGTTCCTCACCGATGCAGGCACATCGGACGTTGGAGACAAGCGAGCCGCTAGCTTACAGGAAGCGATTCGGTTCGCCAGTCGATGGAATCTGTTTGGTATCGTGAGCGCGGCGGACCCTCTCGTTATGTGCCCAAGGTTCATTAGGATGGTGAAGGAGAACGGACTGGTGTGCATGACTTACGGTGTGCTTAACAACGACCCGAAGAATGTCCGAGTAAGTACCACGATGTCGTTCCTGTCAAGCACACTTACTGACCATGACGCAGTTGCAAGAGAAGGAGGGCATCGATGCTGTCATCGTTGATAGCGTGCTTAGCATTCGACAAGGTCTCCAGGCGCCCGATGAGGCGAATGTCAATGGAACGAACGGTACAACGCTTCCGATCCATCCTCCACCTATTCCTGTCATCCAGGAAGGCAATGAAGGTGTACCGGCAGTCCAGCTCAGCGGGCAACCGCAGGTAGTATAGCCACGGAACTATCATTTGTTTGGGATAAGGGATTGGTCTCGATATTTTGCATCGCAGCGGCGTTCGCGAAGTCCTTCAACGGACTGTGGGCATTTGAAGGTATTTCTACTTAGGCTACGTCGCCCATGAAGCGGCTGTGTTCATCGCAATACAAGCCAATGCTCTCCATCTACTCACATTATGCCATCCACACAAAAGTGAGTCAAAACGTTGATAAGCTACATTCTACATGTTGCGTCCACTCTTGTACCGTTGAACTCTGCATTGTATAGAACCTCCCATTGAAAGATCTTATTAGAGTTAATCAGACGCGTTCAGCCATCATCTTCCGAATGACTGCAGCACCGCTCTCCTTCCATCCGTGCTTCTCCACAGTACTCCCGATCAACTCCCCATGCGCCTCGCTTCTAGGCAACAGTCTGACCTCGAAAGGCGTGGGTCTACCAATAACGCCGTGCTGGAACCCATGCGTAAGCTTGACCTCCTTCCCCTCATCATCAACACCAGGCTTGATGTCAAACACAGCAAGTGCCTGTGCCATAATGAGGTACAAGCTCGCATCAGCGAACAGATGTCCCGGACACCTCCTCCTCCCGAACCCGAACGTCACGTTCGTCGCATACGGCTCGTTATAAGGCTCCTCGAACCTCTCCGGCTTGAATGTCTCTGGGTCATGGTAAAAGGCTTCGTCGCGCGTGTACCACCATATTGTCGGCATTAGAACTGCATCCTTGGGAATGCGGTATCCGGCGATAGTGTCCTCTTTGTCAGTGCGGTGCGGTAGGCCCATGGGCGCTACTGGGTGCCAGCGTTGTGCTTCTTCGACGATAAGAGAGATGTAAGGGAGTTGGTCGCGGTCGGTGAATGTTGGCAGACGGGTTGGATTGGGCCCGAGGAGAGCGTCAAGCTCGGCATGGGCTTTGGCTTGGACGGTGGGGTGCATAGCCATGGCGAGGAAGAAGGATTGCATCGTGCTCACAGTGGTGTCGGCACCTGTTCTTCAAGTCAGCACCTGGATCGGTCACAAGAACATAGATCTCGTCTACCCCCAGTGTAAAGTGAGACTGCCGCCAATTTGACCGTAGAGATATCTGCTGGGCTCGGGCCACCTTTCACTTCGTCGTGCTGGGCGAGCGCTTTGGAGACGAAAGAGGGCTCATCGTTATTGTCTTGTGGAAGTTTGGCGTATTCGAAGGGGATGTTGATCACATCGATCATGGTCTGCTTCCATAGCTTTGCGGTCTGCTTCCAACCTGTACCCGGAAACCACTCTGGTAGGTACTGCAAGGCTGGTATAAGGTCCACTGCCCACTTGCCTGGAACAAATGCTTGGGAGAATTGTTCCATAACTTCATCGACCAGATCGACGAGAGGGTCGGCGCTATGAGGCTCGGTAGTGTATCCATACGTCGCTTTCAAGATTAACTCGGCTGCTTCTCTAATGGGTGTCAGCAAGCTCTGGGCACAATTCCTGAAGAAAGCTGTTACTCGCGTTTGCAAATTTTGAAGCAGGTTCCGACCATTGTCTTCGTTCGCTCGCCACAGAAATCGTCCGACGACACCTTCTTGAAGTGACCAGTACTTTGACACCAAGTTCTTCGTTCCAACCTGTTGAAAGACGTGCTTCCGCTGCCCTCTAAATGAAGCGTTATTTTGCTGAGCCCCCATGACGCCCTCCCAACCGCACGAGTTCCCGAAAGGCATGACTGGCCTTCCAGAGTGAATCGATGCTCGTTTGTCCATAAGTTCAGAAGCTATGTTTCTGTCGTGGATGATGACTATAGTCTGCCCGAGGACTGTGAGCGAGGTGATCGGACCGTACGCATCTTTGAACTTGAGCCAGTGGAGATACTCCTTTTCGCCGGATGGTGGTAAGTCTTTGACATTGCCAACCAGAGGTAAGCCCTTGGGGCCTGGAGGCAGGGGTAGTCTTTTTGTCCTGCGTTTCAAAACCAGCTCGTTGAGAACATACAGAGCAACCACAATTAACGACCATGAGACCAGAAGCGTGAAAGACATGTTGAGAGTGGAGGCAATAAGGGCTTGTGGTGAACCTTGTAATAATCTCACACTCATAGTTCAGGTTGAAGTGGGGTACTTATTTGTGATACTCACTGCCCCTGGTCGTCAGCATGTCCAGATGAGGCAGCCAGGACGGCCGGCAAGGGTGTACGAAGCTCGCAATATCACTCCGCAGCCATAGAGATGCTGCAGATTTGCCATCGTTAGCCAACTTTCCGTGTTGTCAGCGTGGCTAAATATGCAAGAAGTTCCGCCTTCTGTGCTGACGACTCAAGACTTATGTGAGACTACGACTCTCATCGGTTTGTCGAAGGACGTCATGCATCGATGCAGTGGCCTTTGGCTGTCTGATGGAGTTATCCCTCAGGTGTCCAAGTGTTGTTGTCAAGATCAATGGTGGCGGAAGGAAAGGCAAGGTTAGCGCCTTCTTTGTGCTGGATTTGGGGGGGGTGGAACCGCGCCTATGTGGGGAGCTCTCCTTCGACCTCACCTCACAGTTGTTTTCAACCTACGGACTCAGCTATGAATTTGTAACCTTGGCATTGATCTCGGTTCTTATCTCTTATTCGTCATGAGTTTGTACACGGAAGACCTGCTGACCGAGCTCAAGCAGTAAGGCCCTCAACCAATGCGGGGTAAATGCTTACACTGATACAACCAATAGGGCTCGAGATGCCACAACCAAAGCCAGAGAGGCGACCAAGAATGCCAAAAGAACTGGTGTAGAGCTAGAGGCAAAGTAGCTCGGTCTCAAAAACGATTCGTAGCATTTGCTGACAGTCAAAGGCTTCAAAGACTAAAGCAAGAGCACGATGACTGCAAGACTGCATTAAGAGCCACTCGAGCGTGCGTATATGTCCGACCTTAAGTGTGACTTTGCTGACTGGAAGAATCACAGAGAAAGACGCATACACGAACTATGCATAGATTATCTCAAGAAACTTCACGACGACATCCCTGTCTGCTTTACCGAGGGAACTTCGCGACCATGTGTACTCCTACCTATGGGATGATGAAGACATTGTACGTCAAACGAAGCGTTCTATCCGGGAGTGTGCCTGGAATTACAGGATGCCTGAGTTTTGCGCTCCACCGTACGTTCATCCGGGTCACGTAGGCCTGATCGTCGCGGAAGAGCTTGCCTTGAGCGTTTACAGGAAAGCTTTCGGCACAAAGCTTCTTGTCACTGTCAGCGCTGGATACATCCAGAATTTTCTGGCTGCGAACCCGTTGATAATTAATCTCAAACCTGCGGATTGCATCAGAAGCCTTAACATCGAGTAGTACCCGAATGAGTACTCCGACAAGGATGTTGCGCAGTCTTACCAGGACCTGTCGAACTACGAGTTCCCAGATCTTATCCCGGTTAAACTGATACTCAGCAAATTTTTGGGAGGCATTGAGGGCAGTTCAGAGACCACGTCAGTGCTGGCTGACCCACTAGGTGTCTTCAAGCTTGCATACGACGCGTTGATGAGAAGGCATTGCCCAGCACAATCGAACCGCTTTCCGGAAATGATGCCGAAGTGGATTTCTTCGCAAAGCCATCAACGGCGCAAGAGTGTCATATCAAGGTTCTACAGATGATGACCTAGCAGTTTTCAATCAGGCAGCCCTCAAGATGAGACTCAATCTATCCCTTCGATGCATTCTCAAGCACCTGAAGCAGTTATACATCAGCTCCCGTACTTTCTCAATTTCCACTGGTCACAAGGCGACGAACGAAACCTGCAATTCGTCTCGGAGCACAGTCCGGCCAGTTCTTGCGTAGCTACACACTTGCGACAGCAGATCTGCTTTTGCAAGCGGCAGATTGTATGAGCACCAAGGCACACTCAAGGCATCCCCATGCCGACGGCGATTTTTGTTGAAGCCGAAAACTGCATTTTGGCACCTTACGCTGGGGTGCAGCCCTATCCGCACGATGAGGACCGTTACACATTTTCATGTACGGCCTCATTCAGGCTAGTGTTGTGGATTTCTTCGCATGGTCCTCCGATATGGTAGGTATTCCTTGTCGCTACTCACGTCGTATCTTCACGACGAGCTCTGAACATCAAGTTGAGGAACATTGTCTAGTAAGGAGTCGTAAATGAACGCAACATGTGTCTATATAAACATCCTCGACTTGATAATGGTTCTCTCCAACCGCCCACACTCCCATCCTATACCTCCACAACATCCACTGACAACCTCCAGTTGAAGTAATAGGCTACGGAGGCCGCATCGGCGCAAACAAAGCAACCGACTCCCTTGAACCTTACATCATCCAATCCGTCTTCCTTCTCGTCCCGCCCTCGCTTTTCGCTGCATCCATCTACATGACACCCAGCCGCGTGATGCGCGGTCTCGGACCCGCTGCCGAACAATTTTCCATCATCCGCATCGATTGGCTCACCAAGACCTTCGTTATCGGCGACGTGTTCGCATTCCTCGTCCATTCCACCAGCGCAGGATACATGGCCGCGGGCACATCCCCGAAAACAGGCGAGATCATCGTCATCTTCGGCCTCATGGTCCAAATTACTTCCTTCGAACTCTTCGTTATGAGCGCGGTGCTGTTCCATAAGCGGTACAATGCTAGATTTGGTGCGAGGGGCAGCTTCTACTGGGAGAAGATCATGCTGATGTTGTATGTCACTTCGGCGTTGATCCTTGTTCGCTCCATCTTTCGTATCATTGAGTATGGGGCTGGCTCGGGTAGGTATCTGCTGAGAAATGAGTGGCCGTTGTACATCTTCGATGCGGTGCTTATGGTGGCTGTTACATTCGGGTGCCAAAAGTCTGTTCGCGACGGCTTTACCAACAGCCTCTGCTTATTTAAATAATATAGGATAAAGAAGTATAGAAGTGAATATTTCTTTCTAACTCTCTCTTAAATTTTAGCAATTAATCTTAAGTTTGTATAGAATTAGAGAAAGGGTAAAGAGAAACTAGTAATAAACCCCGCTTAATCTTCCTTTTTTCTTAGAGGATCTATCTTTGCTATCTTCTCTACTCTCTCTCTAGTCTTAGAAATAAGATAAAGGCCTTAGACCTCTAGTATATATTCTTCTACTAACTTTTTTCAACAAGTATAACTTTATAGCTCTGTGTTATTTAGAAAGATAGATATCTTAAAGTGAAAGAGGTGACTTTTGGTAAGGAAGTCCGCTAAGCGAACAAACTTTTGGCCTAGTACTGTATGATGGTGTTTTACGTTTGTTACCCGAATGATTTGCAGGCAAAGAGCGCATATACACCGGGTGCAATCAATATGAGCGCATGAGTTGAATGGGGGGGGGGGTTATTGTATCTTCCGATAGCAAGAGAAAGTAGAAAGTGTAATGATTCTGAGGCGGCGTTTTGGGTTAGATAGCAATTGTGCACCTTGTGAATCTGCACCGTCAGTAGCAAGGAATTCTATCGAAAAGCATTGATAGGACAAGATTGGGAGCTTGAGACGTCTCCGTATCGGTTCTGTTGTGATCTATTTTCTAGACATGTTCGCATTCAAAGTATCCGTGATCTACAAATGTGGAGGCACAAAAGGTCATGATTTCGCCGCCTTATTAGATAGACATCCCACTGATGATTCGCGCAAGCAACCTCGAACACAACGATTACTCAATTATGATTTTCTCCTTTGTTCGTTAGCCACTGTCAATATCGTCTATTATCTCTCCTGCCATTATGTCCTGAACATAGCAGTCCCCGACGAGCTCGTACCTTCTTTCGCTCGATGGTGTAAAAACCAACGGCGTCGTGACCCTCGATATGATACAGCAGACATCTCCAGCCCGAGTGACAGGGCCCGGTATAAGCCCCAGTCGGCCACGATCTGTAACGGCTAGACGCCGATCGCGGTTAGATACAAGTCCATGTTGCCAGGACTGCGCTTCTTCGCTTAGCTATGCAGTTCCTTCCACGCTGCATACGGTGAGAGGCGCTGCCAGAATCTATGCTTCAGAATCCGTTCCCTCGGCAGCCATGTCGATGGCGTGCCGATATATGGACCCGGTGTGCGTCAGAAACCCTGTAGTCAGGGTTATGAGGAAATCATCTCTTGGGGCAGTCGAAACGCTTGAAACACTTTCCCATAGACTGTCAGTGAACGGGCGTGCATTCGCGAGTATGTTCTTGTTGCGCAGTTGTGAGTGTATGTTGACTGCCTCCGCTTCGATCTCATCGGACATGCAAACAATTCTTTTCGAAAACAGATCCCGTAGTCTCGAGCAGTCTGTTTTTGTGATATCTTTACCGTGAAACTTTCTTTGCTTCCTCCTGCACTGTACCAATAATCTGAGTCCCCTATGACATTCATGGAGCGCTTGATGTCCCAACGTGGAATCCACGTGGGCGCCGTAGAATCCAAGAGGCTCGAAACAGACAGGTGTTTCACTCGAGCAAGCATGCACAGTCGCTCGTGACTGTGCCGTAGCAATGCGATTGTGACGTCAAGGAAACCTCGTCTTTTGAGTTCTCATAGCTTGGGCTAATCATTGCCTGGCCGTCATTACCCCTGGCGAGAGGACTTCCTAGGAATGCGAAGATGTGATCCTGAGGATCGGTGGTGGCCAGACGTGCGCCTATTGTAATGATATTGGTGAACGTGGAGTGCAACCACCTCTGCCCAGTCCGTTGCAAAGGTGGCAGTGAATCCCGTCATGACACTGGCGTTGCATATTTTGAGTAGATGTTGGTGAACAAGTCATTCAAGACTTGCATTTGTACAGTGTAGTTGGCTTTTGTGCCGAGGTGGTGCAGGTCGTCTCTCCAGCAGAGCCATATAGCGAACTCGAATATTTGTGCCGCATCAATTGTGTGATTACCCCACCAAACCTCACAGGATCTTGCGAGAGAGACCTCCTGAACAATCCAAACCCGACGGAACCAGCTCATCTCAAGAACCGCCCAGTTTGGACTCAGTGTTCAGGTCTGCAATGCTTTGGAAGAACCCTGTGCTCAGTTGCACATTACCAGGGTTCTCAATCCCGTCCAGTTAAGAGAACAGAGAATCAAGATATCTGTTGACTTCAACTATGAGCTGAAAGCAATGCTCGGCAGTGCTGTCAAGATCACGTTCAATCCATGCGAGAACTCGCTTTGCGTTTTCAAAGATCAGAGCCATCTGCCGTATCTGGGATCCTCGCTCTTTCAAATCAGTCTGATTGATGCAAATAGCGTCTGCCCAAAGCAGACCCTCTTGACTAGCATGCTGGAACGTCTGAAGCCCATCCGCAAGACAGAATGTAACAGTCACGTGGCTACCATTGCACCAAAGTCCGCTCCTGGTGCTTGGGTCACCCAAACATACAATACCACTTCGTAAGTGTCGATAGCCTCGTCGATTGCAGTGACTTCTAAATCACATACAATCCCAGCCTCGTGGGAGCCTGGGTATAGCTTGAGCAGCCGGGAATAGCCATTTGATGGAAGTGGTGTATATATTGTGGGTGAGGGTGGAGAGGGGGATGGAGCGTCAGTCAGTTATTGTGTTTGTACAAGGCGGTAAGGGTACTTGACAACGATAGGCTGAGCCTGACAAGGCTGAAGCTACTGAAGCTTTGCCTAGCCTCTTCGAGCATATGACGATTTAGTGCAGAAAAAGTAAGCATGAACCTGATAATGCTGATCTGTTTGGCTTTGTTTGTTTTCTCCTGCACAGGTGCATTAAGCATCGGTAACACCGTGGACGTTTGCAAAATGATGTGGATTGCATATTGAACAACATGTTCTAATCCGAGGCTTCCCGTTCGGTCAGCCTACTTAGGCGACGTATTGACAGATCATTACTTACTCACGAGTACGTAGGTAATCACTAGCAAACACCCGCTATCGTATGTCTCTGCCTTCCCCTTTCATCGCTTGAAGTTCAAGGCCCGGCGACCTCGACCTCGCTCAGAGTCCAAGTACGTGTTGTGTATACTATGACAGAGCGACAAATGGCACCACAGCGTAGTCTTGCATGAAATGTAGCACATTGCAGGACAATGATTCTTTTCTTCCCGCCCTTAGGCATCTCAAGTACTTATACCGTTTTGACGTATGTAGACCGGCGTGTCGACCTCAGAAGCAGGTGTAGAAGGTTCAGTCGTCGGTGTCGAGCTCCCCGAAGCTATACTCGAACCCGTAGTTGTCCAGCGTGCAAGGGATCCCGAGGTAGAAGACGTGCGGGAAAGAGCGTAAATGGACTCGTAATCCGGCGCAAACTCCCTCGAGGGCTGCCTCGGTGTGTATATTGGGAGTGGTTCTGCCTCCTCACCTTCCTCGAAAGACGGAGGTAACGACGATCGAGGAGCACGAGGAAGAATCTCAAGCGGAGTGCTGTGGCGCACCGTGAAATGCTGGCCCTCGAACTTGATGCCGACTGTGACACCCATCATGTACCGCCTTGTAATGGTGTACGTTTTGAAGGTGGGTACGCATTCGGCGTCGTTGACGAGGCTGAAGTTGGTGGTCAAACGAGCTGTTTTGTTGAATGGGAGGACTTTATTCATGTTGGTCTTTGCGATGCAGTTGACGTGTTTTGAGACAATGTCTTCCGGTTGTGTGAGGGTGTGGCCACACATTGTTGTCGAGTATGTTGAGATTGTGACGGATAGTGAGTCGATGATGCATTCTACCTGTGCCTCGTTCATACGATCCCGACTGTTCAACAGGGAGATCGAGAGTGGGATGTGTTGTCCGGGTGCGATCTTCTCTGGGTAGAAAATCGTAGGTAGAATGCTTGGCGGCTTATTTGATGACCGTCGTAAGACCTTATCGACCGTCGACCGAGTTTCACTTCTCCTAGAGGGTTTCCATATCTGGCCGTAGAGGACGCCGGTGGTCAGATTTGGCTCCCGAGGTAGGTTCTCGCGCGAGGTGGGCCGGTACGATAGCATTTGCTTCACCTTCCGTACGCCTTTCGATCCACCTAGTACTAGCCGTGCTTGAACGAAGTAGCATATTTGGGCTGCGCCTCCTGGCACACTGGTCTTGAGTTGGAAGGAAGGTGGCAGTGGATGTGGTTCTCGGAGGTAATGGGCACCGCGTGTGAGCCGCTTGTAGGATTGCATGGTGGCTTCCGGGAACGTAAACTCGAATGCCCATGAATACTTGTTTGGACTGAGAGTGGAGCGCGGTACAACCTCCCGCTCGTAGTTGAAGAAGCGTATCCGCTCCTCGAAATCCTTTCTCGCATGTGAATCGTTTGAAGGTCGTGTCGTTTTCGTAACGCAGCTGCCGGCGAAGACGAGCTTGAATGACTCGATGTGCTCCTGCTCTTCGGCTATGAATGCGACCCTGCCAGTGACCTTGTCACCTCGACGATACACTTTGTCGCTATCCCCATCGATCAGAATGCGAAGTGTCGGTACGGCCATGTTGGATGTTTGCTAGGCTGGAGATCAGCAGCGCAGGGACCGGTCTAAGATATAAAGATCCTAAGGTACGCCAGTGATTCGCCCAACGGTCAGGCACGCGGTATTCGGTCCTGTCCGGGCTGGGAGAACGTTTGCCGGGGTGGTAGGCAGCGCCAAGTAATGTGGGATTACTAGGCATGCAGTGAGAGAAGAGATACAGAAAGGTCAAAGAACACTAGATCCTGGAAAGAGGCTGAGCAGATAAGTAGTTGCTTATAACATTACCTCTGATTGCTTTTGGTTTAATCATCTTAACGATCTCCTGAGAACATAGTGAAGCCAGGGAACTGTCTAGGAGCAGGACTTGCAAACATGCATTACCCGGTACTGCTTAAGCTGCGTTGTACAAGTCATCGCGGCAGCTGTGCACGACCATGTTGTCGGTCCACTGCTGGCTCACACTCACAACGACGGGTTGGCGCTCCGCTCTAAATCCCTCTTACTAGCTGAGACGAGTCAATAGTCCGGACTGTGTCTTCGAGTTGGTGTTCTCCCGCCAAAGACGTGCTTTCTGGGGCAGCGGCCAAGGAAACGAGGTGGCCTTGGCCAAAGGTCTGGAGCAAGCCACCCTAGCACCCCAGGTTCACCCCGCGATGTGTGACAAGGCTGGTATCGACCGTTGCGGTGGGATTGCAAGTACCCATTCGTACCCACAAGTAATCCATGATCTTATTTCCCCATGTTTCATTGCTTCAAGAGCTGGTAAAAGTATTGACGTTGTAGCAACTGCTCTTGACCACCAGCTGAGCCCTGCCCTTTGTTGTTGGAGGGGTAACAAGCGGCGTTGAATGAGCCGCCTGCCATAACGGTGCCCAGGGCTACGGCTCGCTTCTAGAGAGGGACTGCATTGATGCATTTTCCAGTACCGCCTTGGCTGGCGCCCAAGATGTCCGCGCGGACCGACTCGCCAGAGAACAAACCGGTGGATGCGGAGGTCCACCGCGTATATCAGCTTGGCAGCCACTCCGCCATGAAGCTCGCGTCGAGCGCCATAGGGGGAAACAACAATGGGATGCCCACGCAAGAGCCGGTTGATGTTGGAGGTCAAGTCGGCCGTGGAGTGTGGAGAAACTGCGATCCACTCCGGAAGATCGTGAAGAGTGGGTCGAGCTTGGAGCACGTGGCTAGATATCGATTGCCGGTACATTGATAATGCATCCCACAAGCTGGAGCACAAAAGTCAAAGATTAGGTTCAAGTGTAGCTTGTTCTACTATCTATCATGGCAATGTTAAACCTCTCATAGATTTGACCTTCATGGTATAGACAACAGTAGGCCAATGCGACAGCTGCAAACCCCAAAGATATAATGCAATTTTCAACTTGCAAACAATACTTTCTCAGCAATCTGAGCATCTCTGTTTGAATTTCAAAGATGTCTAGAAGGTATGCAAATGTACGTTAATTACAGCCTGCACACGACTTCGCGACATGGAAGATCGCCAAGTGCCCGCGGCGCGACTTTCACGCGTCAGGGTCTAGCAATTGTCGGTGCACCGACACCATCACCAACACCTTCACATATGACCCCTCCCATAATTCTCTACCACCGGTGACGCGCCCACAACCCTCCACACATTCACAATGCCGCCCCGTAGAAGCAACCTACCCACAGTACCGGTCGAGGAGACAGAACCAGCAGCTACAGCAGCTCCAGTAACTGCATCACCCGTCGATGAGCCTACCGAAGCATCACCACCTTCACCGTTACCACAAAAAGTCTACAAAGAACCCAAGCCACCTAAGCCCCGAGAAGACGATACCTTGAGCGTCGAAGACCTCAATCTTCCCAAATCTATAGTCCAACGCCTCGCAAAAGGCGTACTACCACCCAACACCCAAATCCAGAAAGATGCACTCCTCGCCATGTCGAAAGGCGCAACAGTATTCGTCAACTACCTCACATCTGCGTACGTCATTTTCACTCCACACTCCAATCTCACAGAGACGCAATGCTAACGACGTTTATACAGCGCCGCAGAAGAAGCCCTCCGCAGCGGGCGCAAATCCGTAATGCCCTCAGACGTCTTCGCTGCGATGCGCGAACTAGAATTCGAATTCATGCTGCCGCGCCTCGAAGCCGAAGTGAACAAATTTACAAGCATACAAGCCGACAAGCGCAACACTTACCGCAAGAAGATCCGCGAGGAGAAGAGGGCGAAGAATGACCCGGACGGTGTCTCGGAGATCACAAATGGAGGGACAAGCTTCATGAGTGCCGGGCCTGCGGGGCTTGAGGACGAGGAGCCCAGGGCGAAGAAGGCGAGGTTGGATGGGGAGGTGGGCGAGGGGAGTGATGAGGAGGGTGTGGATGAGACGCAGGATGTTGAGGATGAGGAGGTGGAGGATGATGAGATTGTTGAGGATGAGGCGCCGGAGGAGGGTTTGACTGAGGATCCGCTTGAGGAGCGAGAGGAGAAGGAGGAAGAAGATGAGGTGGCAGATGGAGATGAGAGTGATTAGGTTTACCGACAGATAATTGGTGCGCTGTGAGCATGCATATACCGGCGTTTTTGGCTGAAGAGCTATGGAACAGTTTGAATCAGATGAAGCACCTCGAGGGCGCTTTGCACAAACTCAAGGGATCACAATGCGTGGAGATACAAGTCATTTCTCATCTTCATTTGTGCTCATAAAGCCGTGTATGCCTCTGCGTTTCGTTGCAGCGTATCTTCGAGGTCGTTGCACGAGCCCTCCTTCAAATCCTTGCGCATGAGGCCCAACCATCCTTAGATCGCGACTCTGCCTGTAGTGTTGCGGACGTTGTCGTAAGGATGCTTTGGCTGTGCTGGCAGTATCGCCGATCGTCGTTCAGTGGCTATTCTAGATGGTGGCGTGGCATCCTTCAGCGCTTGAACTTGGCTGGCACGCTCTCGTCCAGAGGGTCGCCGTAGCGAGCTGCGTCTGTCAGCAAATTCTCACGAAATCCAGTTCAAGGCTCACCCCTGATCTGCGACCCCTTGTCAATGATCTGATCCAGCGCCCTCATCTCGTCTTCCCTCGCCCTCTGGTTCTTCCACTCAAACCCTGGCTGATCCTCCGCCTTCGACCACTGATATCCAGTCTCAGGATCTGTGTGTGTCACCCCTGTATCGTTCGGGGTAGAAGCTGGGTTCAACGACAGAGGCCGCTTGCCGTTCTCGTTCACGTTGGAGGCGATTGTTGCTGTGAAGCTGTCGCCGCGGGGTAGGTTGACGGGGCCTTGCGAGTTGGGTGGTGAGAGCTCAGAGCCCGCGTTCAGGGCGTGTGAAGCTGCGTTGCGCGGCGTAGAGGGAAGTCCCTCGTCAGGGAACATCTCATCGTCGTCTGCGGCCATGTCTGGGGAGGAGTGCATGGTCGAGTCTTGGTCTGGATCTGGGGTTAGCAGGCGCACTCGTTTGGACATACTGGGCAGTGATGAGTTGAGAGAATAACGCGACTCTTACCAGACATATTGAAGGCTCTTGTGTGTTTGTGTGTATTCCTGATTGAGCGGCGGTGAAGGTGCGGTTATGTTTGTTCGCAGGAGGCAGCAAGTGTATGTCATAGCTCCAGTTGTAAGGGAAGCCGCGGCTCACTAGCCTTCCCGTGCTAAGCGGCAGTAGCGTCCGCTCGAATGCTCGATGTTCCATGCATGTGTGGCTCCGCATTTCTTCACACCCCTCCTTGTACAGAGGAAATCCTATGATCCAAGACGCTATATTCTTTCCAAGCGCTACCGAAAATAGCTTGCACGTCCCATAGTCTACTACAATGTCTGCAAAGAAGAGCGCACTTGCTGATGCATGGGACGACGACTGGGAATCACTTGCGGATGTACAGTTTCTCTACCTGCATACAATGACATATGCTCACATTTGGCAGAAAGAAGAAGCAAAGCCAGAAGGCACAAAGCCTGTCAAACTCTCCAAAGCCGAGCGAAGAGCACGACATGCTCAATTCAATCGCGAAATATGGGAGTCTGCGTTCGTCTACCCCACTCACCATTTTCCTTGAACATGGACAAAATTAACTGTGGTCGCAACAGCGAGAATCCAGAACCGATTTTCCTCCAAACGCACAACCCACCCGTGCAACCTTCCTTCAAGCCTGCCGTCACCGTCCTTGCGCGCAAACCTACACCCCAGGTGCTCTCTCGAAATGGTGGTATGGCTGGGCTGAGCCTCGAAGACGATGATGACAGTGAAGAGGAGCGACAGAAGAAGGCGGCAGCAGACTTTGAAGAGAGGAAGATTCGAGCAGCGAAAGAGCGCGCAGAGAAGGAGCGCAAGTACGCTGAAGCACGAGAACGCATATTTGGCTCACCAGCAGCCTCAGAAGAGTCGCGCAGCAACTCGCCGAGTAAGTCCACGCGTGGGAAGGGACGAGGACGAGGCGGAAGAGACAGCCAGCCTAGGTCGAGCAACGAGCAGTCACCTGCACGAGCGAGAGCGCCGAGTGGACGCCAACTGTTCGAACCGTCATATGCGCCCAAGCCCGGGTCGGTCTACATACAAAGGAAAGAAGATGGCGGCAGTCGCCCAGGTAGTCGTCCAGGCACACCAAGCCTGCAAGAGAAGCCTATCCGCGAACCCCGTGGGCCTGCAAGAGGTGGAGGTCGGGGCTTTGCAAGCAGAGGGAACCATGGCACCTTGTCTGGTCCATCATGAGACTGTCCAGGGCCACGCTAGAAGTTACGCCTGCAGTCGTATTGCTGTGAATGCATCTTATAGCCCACGGTCATAACTGCACTACGACCTGGTTGCATACTGGAGACTAGAGCTGCAGGGAGCAATCTCCAACTGGACAGGCGGCGAGCCAAATTCAGTGTCGAGTGATCAGCAGCAAAAGGGATGTGACATCGTCATAGTGTTGCGGCTAAACCGAAGATGTCAGGCAGGACACCTGCTTGCAACGCCAATCTCGACCATCGCGCAGATATGCGCGGGCATGCGTGTGTCAAGGAAAGGAAAAGGCGAGCAGGAGCCCAGACTTGAGGCCGAGGCATCATCTTGCAGTAGAGGAAGCACACCGGTTTGAGGAGACAGTAGTGGCCAGACGACAGAGCACGCTAGGAAAGATGACCCTGGTGTTGGGCTTGGGGCTGGCGACGACAGGAGTATCATTCTAAATCTGTGCAACATGCTACTCCTGTCGAAGAGATGTGTAGGTCAGAAGGCAAAGCTGGAGCTGAGGGAGACCTCGATACGGTGTTCGATATGATGACAGATGACTTAGATCATATACCATCAAGTGTTTCAACGGTCATAGTATCTTGGTCCCACAATCTCCACAATAGGCGTGTCCACAGCGAATGTAGGCTGATTTCACACGTTGTCGGTCTATCACCACATGAGGACTGCTCACGTCAGTGGTCTTCGGCCAGAGCGTCATAAATGTCGTTCTTGACTCGGAATATTGGTTACCCTATCTAGTATCATCGTTTAGGTCATTTTCATTCTCGTACAATCCTTCGTCCTCGGAGCCTTCGCCTTCATCAGAAGTTTCTTCGTTATTTGTCGTTCGGTCATCATCATCTTAATCATCCTCAAACTCAATTATTCCTGCGACCCAATCCGCTTCAGATTCTTCACTTTCATCAGACACCTGAGAGCTAGCAACCCTTATTGACGACTTTCGTCGTCAGCCAACGCGTCTTCTGGTATGAAGTCTTTAAAGCCGGTCCAGAGATCTTGGTACCTTTGGAACATGATATGAACACCATCGAGTAGTTGTTGCATCGGAAGTTCCTTTAGCCGATATGCCTGCAGCAACTCCAACCATTCTCTAGATTTCTCGTGACCGCATGTGGCTTTGACACGATTTACGTAGCTGACTGCATCGTTGAGCCCCATGGAATCTCTTGCTTGAGGGACGGCGACGGGATCTTCTAGAACTCTCGAAAGCGTGTTTGAAGCAGTAGTGGGCTGTACTACTAGATCAGCAGAAGCGGTGTCGTCCATGGACCATTTGACATTTCTAAACGACTTATATCCATGCGTGTCGTCCTCGCTTGACCTCCTCTTCTTCTTCCGTTCGTTATAAGTCTGGGTTGTATGGCTCGCATCATCGAATGTGCCCAGACATTCTGTTGCCTCAGCGAGCCTGTCGAGGGTGTCACATTGCTTCTTTGTCTGGTCGAACCAGACATTGCATCTAGAGCTGGGAAGGCTTCGGCAGAGGGCTTCGAACGCGTGAATTGCTTTGGAGATAGCCATACCATACATATCCGCCGCCCGGAAAGCACGACGCTTCTACAGACCCGCAGTGTGGCATGGGACATCTTCTATTTTTCAACTCTGGGGCAAGTACTACTATCGCCATAATTATCGAGGTACCAGGGGTTAATCGGGATGCTGCAGAGATCGTACGGGATCTGTCGTTCGTGTGACACAGTTCGTAGTTCCAGCAATGATGTCTTTCGATGCAATGCCCGATCTAAAGCGCTGACGAATGATCGTATCCAGCAAGTCGAAATCGTACTCGGACGGAACCGGAAACTTGTAGCCTAAAACATCTTCAACCACAAGAGGCGCTTGAAAATGTGTCCAGCGTGTATCAACTACTGTTAATAGGTCACGAATTTCGAGCACGACCCTGTAGATCTGTTGCGTGGAAACACTGGAGCATACCGTCAAAAAAGTATGACCGAAAGATGAAGCGTACGTACCAAACATTGGTGATCATCGGTCCAAAATGCTCCCACGACGTCTTTAGTTCCCCTACAACGAGACGGTGCAGATCACCAAGCATGGATTGTACGTTGCACAACGCTCGAGCTTGCGAAGACGCACTCTGCTTCATGTCCACAAGGATACCCTGCGTCGCAAAGAGTTGGTCACGGGCTTGTGAGCTGTGTGCGTCGGACGTCTTTTCGGCGATGTGCATAGGTTCGAGGCCATGCTCAGCGAGTAGTATGTTGACCGTCCCAGTGTGCACACTCAGATAAGTCTGAAGCCCTTTAACATCGTCCTTCTGTCCAAATGACCATTTGAGCTTGCTGGTGGTGGTCCTGGTAGTTCGAACGCGCGCCACCTACGGATTGCAGGCTGTTGATGATGTCGCCAACAAGCTTGCCGACTGCGATAAGATCGCCAACTGCGATCCCGAAGGACATGATAGAGGGTGCATGTTAGAGTGGAGACGAGGGACGAGGACTGCAGAGGCGCGAAGGGAAGAAGGCGTGTCATCCTGATGAAGTGGGCAAACGGAGAGCTGCAGAACACTGTTACCCGGCTCAGCCTTGCACCATAGCTTGAGGGGTGGTGTGCGGTCGAACACTGGACGCAGGAGCAGACCTGGAGCGCGGAAAGAGTGCCTGCATTATGCAACGAGGATCTGTTGCGTCAGTACTCCATGCTTATTTGCCTCACCCACCTCCAGAGCGCAACGCGGCACTGGTCTCGGATTCGGACATGGGCCTAATTCTTGATAGTAGAGGAGCAAATGTTTCCGAACATTTCCCTTCCAACCCTTGGAAACATGACATGGCTCGGTGGTCAGGTTGCTTTGTGAATCTTAGTGGAAGCTCAAGCAGGCATTATGCGAAGTATGCAAACGAAGATGCGCTCCAATTCCATGCAATATGATACAGCCAAATATACACAGCTCTTTCTGTCTTGCTCATGCCTTGATCGTGTAACGACTGGAGTCATCGGCCTGCACCACTTTCCCTGTCCTCTTCTGCTCCCAGAACTTCAATGCGGACATCCTCTCATTTTCTGCCTGCTTTTGCAATGCGACCTCCTCCTTCTGCAGCTCCTCCGGTGTAAGCTCTCTGCCTTCTCGCTTCTTCCGTACAAGGCTCTTCTCGATCAAAGGCTCCCTCTTCATCAGCAGCGCCTTGACCTGCTCTCGCAACGACTTGGCCTTCTGCCTCTTCTGCTCCATGGTCACGATTCCGTTGGCTTCGGCGGCTTGATCAATCTCTGACTTCTGTTGTCCTATACCCCACGCCTTTATGTCCTCTGGCAGCGCAGGCCATACGAAGGGCTGTTCCATCTCGACTGTCATGTATTTCTTCGAGTCGGGGCGGAACCAGTGGCGCGGCTGTTGTGTCGTGTCGCGAATAGGCATCTGCTTGACGTAGGATCGAATGTTGAAGCATTTGACGTTGTAGGCGTGGTAGAGGTAGTCGCGGAGATCATACTTGGAGAAGTCGAGCGGAACGAGGAAGCGCGCGTGGTATGGTGAGAGGCCGGGTGTGCGCACCATTGCGACTGTGAATTTGGGCCTGAGACCTAAAGTCAACACCGCTTTACGTATTGTACGAAGAGATGTGCGCGACATACAGGTAGATCTTTTTGCTGCCGAAAGCGATCAGCTTCTTCGAGATCGGTATCGCGTCCATGATGGGCTGTGTGGGTTGTGCGAGGATTCAGTAGCGGGAATCGGCTGCGTGACAGGGTTCGAGGCGAGAATTCAGGCGGCGAGTTGGCTGACAGCACCTGCACGGCGATGTGGAGCGTGATGGTTGATGTCCAGAAAATCGCGGAGGTGCGCAGAACTCCGCGTCTTGGCAGTTGAGGAACCTCGAGGTTCATCATAGACGTGCTCACACTTCACCCATCAACTCAGATTCGAAGACAATGCGCTTCCAAATGGCACAACAACTGCCAGACTCTGCAATGGCTGCAAGCTGATAACATAGGAGGTTACTTTGGCAGCCAATCTCCTTGTGATGCAACTATGGAAAGAAGCACGGTCGACGCGCGCCGTTTAGATCTATAAGGTACATTACACAATAGGAGATCAAGCTGTGGAGCTTTGAGTCGATACCTTCAAGTGCTTGTTTGGTCTGTCATGGATATTGGCTCCTGCTCTTCAATACACAGCTTTCCAAAGTAAGAAGTGCTTAGGCCATGTATGCAGCTTGCCCTGACGCAGTTTGCCTATCACTTGTCTCTCATTCTGCCACATCTCGTTGTGCGCGTACTGCTCTGCACTCCCTTGGATAACGCTAGACTTCCCTGTGTGTCAGCGATGTCTTTTCCTGCTGCCATCTCGGGTTGCGTTGTCACATACGACCTCTTATAAGCCTGAAATCGCGACCTCAAGCTCGACTGGAGCTCCTGGAAGCGAAAGCGGACATTGTCCCTGTCGCTCTACGAGGTACTGCTGCCGGCGCTCTTGCCAAACTCACGTTCACCTCGACTTCACCACAGCTTCTTCTTCTTCCTGATCGCCTCTCACCCCAACGAAACCCAAACACCTCTTCAGAACTACACGACCAGCAACTACCACCCGAAAGCATACCGCTGGATAGAGCGCATCGCCAGCCATGGACCGGTTCCGTTCGTTCACTTGGCCAGACGGCATCGCGGAGTCCGACCTCAAGCAGAAGAAGGTCAGCCAAATAATTCCCGTCCATGCAGAGTATCGACGCACAACGCACAGGAGAGAGGGCGCTACACTCATCAACAGCGTCTACAAGGATACAGGCTGCATTGTAGTGGCACACTGGGATCAGTCCACAATCAAGCGCTTTGATGTGTTTGTAGGTGCAGGGTCGAAGAGCGCTACGGCTGCTATCAACAAGTGGATTGCTCGAGGTGATGAAAAGAGCACGGATGCGGCAGCGTGGGCGAAAACGCCTGCCTTCAATCACGCGCAGTGGTATCAAGAAGAACTCGAGCGACAAGAAGAAGAGAGGATGGAATACTTCCTGGGTCCGGAACCGGAATCGCAGGAGGGTGAGCCTGTACGGGTGAAGGTAGGCAGTTACTGAGCTGACTCGAACATTCGCAGCTGACAAGCATCTGCAGATAACCATGAGCTGGCCCGAAGATCTGTTCAGCCATGAGGTCACGCCCCGAGTTGCGTTTGGCAACGAGCTGCAAGCTCTAAACGACATCAAGAAGCGGGATGGGGTTTGGATGACACTCCTACCGGACCACAGTGTACAGATCTCCGGTTTTGACATCATCAACGTCGAAGCGGCCGAGGGTCATTACAAAACTATGGTTGAGAGGATACGGACTGAAAAATGTAGTCTCCAACAAGCGACGAACATGGTCCTTGACGAGCGAGAAGGCATTGACGTCGTACTTCTTCGAGCCGAGAGTTGGTGGCCGAACCGCTTCGACACAGTAATCCCACGCCTGTTACCTTCTCCCATAATGGACCAGCCTGGGAGCTTTCAAGAAGACGGCCTGCACGACACTCAGCTGGTAGAGATCCGGGACCCTATCAAGCGTGCGCTCGAAGCAGTGAGCTACGAGAGGGGCTCCTATGACTTCGTCGTACGTCTCGGTTGTATCGCTCTCGACTCGAAGAAGATAGGAGAGGATCAGGTTGGTAAGAAACATGGCAAGGAGAAGTTTATCAAGTCAATCAACGGCAAGGTTGACCTTGCATGCAAGAAATGGTTCGTAAGCCGCCCCTCAGCCCAACCTTTGGCTAACATCACAGGCTTCTCGATAACGTGCTTGGAACGCAACTGTATCACCGTCTCGTCAAATCAAACGACTTTCTCGAGCCTATCAAATCTGCTGGCTATTGGGGTACCATACCAGGTAGCTTGGAGAAGACTCGTCCGACTTTGCGTGGAACCTGGATCTTTCGTGATCCCAACAATGCCCAGAAGCAAGCCCTACCGCCCACTCGTAACGTTGGCAGACCAGCACCCATGCAGCAGACGCCGTCCCCAGCTGCAATCAGCACTCCGAGCACCCTAATCGTAGTTCAGATTGATTGGACAGACGATGGTGAAGGCTCGTACGACAAGACCGCCACAAAGTACTACAGACTTGAGCCAGGCAAATGCGGTGCGAAGGTGAACATGGATGTCAACTTGTTGGAGTTGGGAGAGTAGGTCCTCCATGGTATTGTTGACTATTGAAACCAACTAATGATGACTAGGTCAAGGGCATGGTCTTTTGCCTTAGAGTCAATGACTCCGATATCGCGGTCAACTGTGCCTCCTGTACTCACAGGCTTCGCGCACCGAACAGTCATGACACCAGGCTATGATGTGGCTTCAACCCAGAGCTTCGCCCGGTGGGACCAAAGCCCTAGTGTCAAGGCTTTGATGCTGCATGGGTGTTTGGATAAGGTTTACTCGTTTGGTGTCCAAAAAACATGTTACAAGGTCGAGCTCACGGCAATGTGGTACCCTGGACAGTCTTTGCCATGCTGGGGACTCGCCGTACGTCATACCGAATGGGCCACCCATCTCGCTGAGCTCGAGCGACTGCAGACTGGCCATCAAGCTAACTGGAGCGATACTATTGCAACCTTCCTACCGGATGATGGAGGCTCCTCAATCAGGCTGGAAGATGACGATTTCGGTGCCGGTAATTTGGACCTCGACGGTGATGCAGAGAGATTGCCACGAGTTCCATCTCACGAAGGCATCCGCACCTTGACTAACATACTGCTGCGTCTTTCCGAGCTCGTCAGCTCGGTGACGCTGCGTCAAGGAGGCATTCCAATCTGATCTTGATCCTGATCCTCGACGGCTCCACCGCAAGGCTTCAGCAAGGAACGACTGAAGGATGAAGGTACCATCTAATAGTCTGCAAAGCGTTGAGTCCCTGCCGGGTACGATGAGTTGGGCCAAAAGCTAAGGAGTGAATCGATACCGAGCGAAGATTATCAATGGCGCATTCGCTCGTACTCTCTAAGAAGTTCACCGTCTCAATCACACCCCCAGGGCAAGCTACAAGGTGCCAATGGTGAAACTCTGGAAAGATGATCCCTCTCTCATTGACAAAGAACTATCTTCGTCTGCCTTCGATGCCGCGGTGTTCGACCTGGCGGCTGATGTGCGACATGTCTTGACTTTACGCAGGCTGCACAGCCCTCATGATCTTGCTCTTTTGCTTTCCCTCGATGCCTTATCCACTCTTGCCCTTGCTCTCCTGTTCCTGCGCATTCATGACCTTCAATCTTATGACCTCCTCAACCACCCTGACATTTTGCGCCTTCGAGTTAACGACACCCTCCAGATCCTTCAAGCTGTCCTGAAGATCCTTGACCTTCCTCTCATAGAAGTCTTTAGCGCCAGGAATGTCCTTCTCTACGAAAAAGCCGGTGCCCACATCGACCAGGACATGCTCGTGATCCGTCAACTTTCCAGGCACGTAAAGTGAGCTCGTGAGCGGGACGAGAAGCGTCTTTTCGGCAGTGGAAGAAGACAGGCCGGTCGCAATAGATGCCAGGCAGTCGCGGAACTTTGCTTGTGCGGTACGCAGCGATTGGAAGGAGGTGGTCAGGTGCTCGAGTTCGCGGTCGAGTTGGGTTTTCAATTCTTGGAGTTGCGGGACGGGGAGCTGTGTCACATCGACTGCGGTATGTTAGAGCCACCTTCACAGACAGCGTGCTAGACATACTCTGGCCAGAGCCTGGCTGTCCCTGTTTTGAGGCCATCTTGTATTGCGTAGAGCCCTCGGTGCTGCCAATTGACGTGGTGTTTGGTATGGCAGCTTTTGGCGGGGCTGCCCTGCAATGTGGGGAACGCCTACACGTGCTCACGCGCTTCCATCGAGCTTCTCGAATTGAGCATCGTCATACCTAACAGCACTGTCTCATGTCGAGATTTTGTCGCATACTGCTCAGAGTACCGTATGTACGCTGCTACTCAACGCATGCGCGCTTCGTCCAAGCACAATGCCGCGAACTCACCGTCAACAATGACATCAAGGGCTTCGATGTGAACGAGCCCGCGGTGTTTAGAAACAACTTTAGTAGCCTGCCTGCCATATCGAAATGGTTCATACCTTCCACAACTGATGGAGCCTCATACGAGCTCAGTGCCTCTTACCTAGAGCAACATGGCGCCTCCACCGTTCCCCTTGAGCTCACGCGCTCCGCTCCAAATGAACCGTCAACGTTCGAACGCTTCGAAACTCCCCTTTCGCTCCTTCTTGCACACATGACCGGCCCTCCTACACCAGATCTCCGTATATACCTTGCGCAGCACTCCCTCGCCGACCTACCGGCCCCTCTGCAGGCCGACCTACCCACGCCTACACTCCTGACCAAGCTCGGTCGCGGCGACATCTACGCCTCAAGCCTGTGGATGGGAAGACCGCCGACGCGTACACCACTACATCGCGATCCCAATCCCAATCTGTTCGTACAACTGGCCGGGCAGAAGGTCGTTAGGCTGATGAGGCCGAAGATTGGACGTGGAGTGTACGAGAGGGCACGGCTGAGGGCTGGTGGAGGTGGTAGGGCAAACATGAGGGGCGAGGAGATGATGGTTGGAGACGAGATGAAGGCTCTTGAGGAGGCTGTATGGGATGGCCAAGATGAAGCTATAGAAGGTGTCGAGGCTCAGTTGTCAGCTGGAGATGGACTCTACATTCCACTTGGCTGGTGGCATGCTGTGCGAGGGATTGGATCGGGTGCGAATGCTTCAGTAAGTGAAGATATATGCATCGGCAGAGCTGAGCTAACATGATGTAGGTCAATTGGTGGTTTCGATGATGCACTTTACATCATTAGACCAATCTTTAATCCTTCTCTTCACGTTCTTAGCAGCGTCGATACACCCTACTAGCAAGGCAGCATGAGCTATTAGAGCTGAAGGAAGTCACGTCGCACCGCTTCTGCAAGACGGGTCGAGCCAACGAAACTGGAGGCAGCCACGTACCACTGCCACTTCCAACGAGTGCTTACACAGCAAATGCAGAACAGCCACCTGCGTGCTGTCACTGCGCAACGGGGATTCGCGACTCAATATCGACACACGTTGCCTCATTCGATCGAATTCAAGCGCAACAAAGCAGGGCACCGACTACTTCCCACTCGTGTGACCGTCATGCCCCAAACTTGATACTGCCGAGCCCTAGTACCAACAAGCAAGTACGTTGTAAGTGATAGGCCCAGAAGGCACCTGCACTTCGTCGCAGATTCAACACCAGATCTTACTGCTCGCTCCGGCTTCCTTATCCGTCAATCATGGAAACAAGCACGAGGACAAGAATCATCCGATGCGAACTCCACGTGGAGCGAAGCAGGCTTGCCCTAGGCCTAAGGTTATCAGCAGCAACAACCTTTGCAGGGATAAGGATAGGGCACGAAAAACTCAACACGGCACGCGCACTCACGCCCTCACGTGCCAGCAATTGACACGTCACGATGAGAAAGTTTCTGCCCCCGGGGATCTTTCCCGCCAAATCATAATCTTTTTGAAAGGAGATTATCAATGTCTCAACAGGGCGCAAGTCACTGTCTCCATCGAGTATGGTGTTGTCGCATGTATCTTTACCTTCACTGCTGGTATCTTGGTACGGGACGCGGTACGGCACGGCTGCCTTCACCTACGTTTCTGCGTGCTCCTGCATCCAGACCCTCTCCCCACCAGCCCGAAACCAAGTGTTGAACACTGTAATTACCATATCCTCGATACATGTACAAGCCCACATAATCTCCAAGCGAACATACGAGGCTGACGCTAGCATGCGCTCAAGCTGTTGTTGGCCGGTATTCGACTTCGAAAAACGAAGAATCATTGGCTCCACGCTACAGATATATTTGCAATTTCCATCATCTTGATTCGTGAACAAGTCTAGGATTGCCTCCTCGAAGCAATGCCCTGCGGTTATCATATCTCTTGACATCCGGACAAAATGCAACGGGAAGTGGGTGTCTGAGCCGTTTTGCATTGCAACACGAGCGGGATTGCCATTTCAATGGTTGGGGGACGAGCAGTTGTCTGATTGGCCCGGAAGCAGCCGAGCGCATCCAACCCCTCACTGAATCTCCAAACTCTGATCGACATGCGAGATCTGAGCTACCGGACCTGCCGATTCGAGGTCGCATCGATATCCTTGCCTGCTCCTCTCCATAAGCGCAGTGGCGGCCCCCTCAGTGACACTTCATGATCAGCTTGAAAGATGCCGCAGTCTGGCATTGGCTCATCCTCCTTCTCCCCTCTTATTCACAGACTTGATCGTGGCGCAAGTCTCCACCCATCCATGATTCCGCTCATTTCAGCACCGTGGCTAAGTTCAACTAGTTTCGTGACTAAACCCAGTGCCACGATGATGATGTAAGAGCCACGTTTGGGTTTTGGGGAAGAAGCACAAGGTTTGAGCACTCTGCGCTGAGTTGTGCGCACCGTGCCCTGCAATAAGACTGTCCCCGGGGACCGCAGAGCCGGGTTGAACTGAAGGCCTACTTGAGGCCGAGGTTGAGACCTTGTGATGACGCGCAGGACAAGACTGTGAGATCGGTCGCATGTCGATGGTGAACCTCAGATAGGCCGTGCAAAGATATGGCTGTGAAAGCGAAACGATTGGTATTAATATTACGGGAAAGGCCAGGAAACCCTCCTATGCTCTCCCAAGACTCTACTTCACCATTCCATGCATCATCATCCACAATCCATCAACATCTCTCATCTCCATGACTCGTATTTCCTCTATGTGCCCTACCAACTGCCCACCTACATGCAAACAAACACGAACGCCACTGCATGAACCATACGAGATAATTGGAAATGGGGAATCTTGTGCAAAACCGGGTATTCCAACTGTACCGCCAATGAAACGGATGGGGGCTAACTATGTATTGAAACGACAAAATCAATCTGTAGTTGAAGAAGAAAAATGGGGGTGAATAAAGCGCCGACGATGCAGAAACCCCAGGCCTATCGATATACCCCGCAATTCCATGCAATGTAAACATGCACTGGGACACCGAAAAATGGTTCGCGCATGGCGAGGAGAGAGATCAGACGAGAACCCATCGCAATGTGTCATGCCATGTTGATCATGCTGCAAATGATATCCATTACGGCATTGTGGTCGTACTTCGTCCAGGAACGGAGTAATTGTTCGTTACCGAAAGCGTGCGATGCGTATGATATGGAGTGGAGTGTTCTAATACTGGCTAGAAATGCTGATAATGATGATCTGAAGGCAGGTGGCACCACGCTCGGCGGATCTATTCAAGCCAGGATGAGCTTGAAAATGGAGAGGAGCTTCGAGGCCTGTCGCGGTTTAACAGTCGTGGCTTGGTCGATCCGTGTACATGTGTGGTCCGTGTCGCCTATTTGGCATTCTTCGGTGATCGCACCCAGTGCTCTGCATCTGCGTGATGGCCTTGAGACCTGAAGCTGCTCTCTTGGGGTGGCTGCAGTCCATGTTCTCTGCACAGCAGACAACTGCTGCTGGGTTATTGTTCGGTTTGGCGAACCCCCTAGTATGATGGCCATCCTTGTTGCGACTGCGGTTGGCTCATACCGTACATGCTGGGCTGCTGGCCAGCACCACTCTGATGTTGCATGAACTGATGAGGGCTAGGGCTAGGCTGGTAAGGGTTCTGATCCATGCTAGGAAATCCGGTACCTCCCATAGCGTTCATCGTCTGGTATTGCTGGATTGGAGTACCGTGCATCGACCCGCTGCTTTGCGCGTGATGCATCTGCGGCGAAGCGTGCATGGGAGACTGCTGCGGGTGCGGCGACTGCTGTGGCGGCCTTTGAGCGTACTGCTGCATGTTGTGCTGCTGAGACAATGGCGACGGCTGAGGTGGGCCACCTTGCCACATGTGGGAAGGAGCGTAACCCTGACCTGGATTCTGAACGCCAGGAAGCATACCACTTGGGCCCATCCCTGGTGACATACCCTGTGGAAGACCTAGGCTTGGTGGACGACGGTGCATCTGGTTTGGCAGAGGGGTGTGCTGCTGCGCCATGGGTGCGGGGACCATGTTGTTCTGTGGCATAGATTGCGGACGGTAAGACTGCACACCCATGCCTTGGCTTGGTCTTTGTGGCGTCTGAGCTGTCATGCCATACTGGTTGCCAGGTATGCTAACGCTGGTAGAGGGCATGCGTGGTGACTGCATGGCTTGCGAGACTTGCGGCACCTGTCCACCATCTGCAGTTGTCGGACGCTCTGACTGCGCGGGTGGCTCGTGTGGTCGGTTCCATAGGTCGTCCAGGTACTGCTTGCGGTTCTTACGCGATACCTCGAACTGCTTGTTAATCTCAGCTGTCTGCGCAGCTTGGTTCAGAATCTCGCCTGAAGGAGACGGCCTTGTAACGTCCACGTACGGCGCACCGGCAAGTTCGTGACGTGGTCGTTGCACGCTGCTGTAGTCTCGGGGCTGTAAATCAGTCGTGGTTCGCTGGTTGTATGGCTCCAAGCCGCCGGTGGGCATGCTCCCTGGTGCTGGCGTCAGGCCACCAAAGGGCTGCAGAGGGTTCGATGCAGCACCAAGATAGTCGGCGTTCGCACCTGGGAAAGCTCCTGGGTGGGCGAAGGCCATGGCGTTGGCATGGTTGGCTTCAGCGGCCGCTGCTTCTCTCGCCTTTGCTGCCCCTGGCCGCTTCTCTCCTGCCGCGTCCTCTTCCGTGAAACCCTGCTTACGGGCCTTACTTTCCCAGTAGTCGTCTCGTACTCTTCTTCCGTTCACAATCAGCCTACTTCCAAACTGCCTGAACATGGATCTCGCCGTCACTATGGCGATCTGTCGAGAGCGGTACGAGTAGGGCAGGATCTCCTGGTGAATCAGATCGTCCTTTTCTGCTTGAGTGGCGATGATCTTGTATAAGGACCTGTTCTTGTTGAAAAGCAGGTACGAGTCGCGATAGCCGAGAACACGCGCGCACTCGGTCGCCAGCATAAACAGCTTGTCGCCACGATTAGGGACGAAGAAGGTGCGGCAGCGGTACTCGCGGTTCTCGAGGGGATGGCCAGTCTGCGTGACTTTTCGTTCTCCAGCTTCATCAATTTCGCGCGGTATATATTCGTCGCCCTCGGGATTCAGCTGGTCCGTGGTGTGATCGCGCACGGTCGGCAGCGCTTTGATGACCGCAGGCTTGGTGGGTGTTGATTTGGCGGAGGGCGATGCCTGCGTTGGTGAGGTCTGGGGCAGCGGCGACGTCTGCAGCTGCGGTGTCTGCACTGGCGGGGCTATGCCGACGTGCGTGGGCGTGGGTGGAGGCAGCGATCCACGGGTCGGACTACCAGCAAACGCGGCCTTTGCTGACTTCGGTGGGCGACCGCGCTTTCGTGGTTTCTCGCTCTCGTCTGCATCAGCCGGGTCGCCATGCTGCGCGTCGCCGTAGCTATTCTCTGGCGAGCGGCTGCGCTTCAGGCCTCGCGATTGTTGCTGTGCGACACCCTGCGGGTCAGCGAGGACTCCTAGAGGTCGTGTTAGCGACTGCATCGATGGCTATACAAGAGGGCGCGGCGGATGTAACGCGCGCCGGTGACAGTGACAACAGTCGCGTCGTCGTACCTGCAGAGTTGAGGGCAGACGGGTCAATGGTCCCCTGGAGGTCCATGATGCCGTTCCCAATGCTACCATTTGACATGGTATGGGCGGGATGCACTGAGTACATTCCAAGGCGGCGCAAGAGCAACCGAGCGCGCGGGCGGTGCGGAAGGAGCTCTCAGGACGAAGCCCTTAATTGGCGCACTCTGGGGCGCGTGCTGGGGCGCGCAAGGCTGGCGCAGTGACGGCTCGCGACAGGCGGGTGCTGCGGGACGATGGGCATAGGTGGGTGGTCGTGGTGTTTAGGTTGGTGTCGTGGTGGATGCGCCTGCACGTTCCCGAGGAAAGAGCGAGCAGCCAAGACAGAAGGAACCACAGAGCACGGGCAGGATCAGCTAGCAGAGACACCTCGAACCGCAGTTCGTGCGCGCAGGCCAGGCGTGCTGGGAAGGAACAGCGGCGGCAGCCAGTCGGTGGAGGGCAGGCAGTCCACACAGCAGGCGTGTCAGTGCAAGAAGGCTGCGAATGCAAGGTGCTGGGTGTGTGCGGCGGCAGCTAGGCAGGTAAAGGCAGACCTCTGGGCGGGTACGACGATTGATATGACGAATCGCGGGTGGATCGCCGCCAGTACGCGAGGCAGGTCTTGTCCGCAGAAGGCACGGGAGCCAGCAGGCAAGCGAGTGGACGAGTAATGCGCAGAGATGGTAAGACGAATAGAGTGCCCGAGCCCTCTTGACACTATAAAGCACCTGGCGATGCTGCCGTTCGGTGCGCCGATTCATGCAGCCACGTGAGCGCAGGCAATGCACGACGGGCGCCCAGGATGGGTATGCTGCTTGCCGCTGTAAGGGTTTGGACTGGGTTGCGGTCCTCGACTGGGATGGCAGGCTTTGGCAGCGCGCGCAGTGAACGTCCCAGCAAGGTGATAACTTGCCTAATCCACGACTACAGCACCCACCAAGAACAGGCAAGCAGCCCCAGTGCGGCCCGGCCTGGTGTGGACGCAGCTGTTCACTCCGGAGAAGCTGGAGAAGCGCTTGGAGGTTTGCAATCGGGCGCTTTTAGAGCAGTCAGTGTGAGCTGTTAAGTTAGCCGGCCGACGTGCATTCATTCATTGACTCGAGATCAAGCATCACCGCGCTGGGGGCGCTGCGGCGTGATGATACTGAGCGCTGCCCCGCGGCGGGAGCGAGCAGGCTTGAGGCAGCGGCTTGAGCGCGTCGCCGTGAAAAAGCCACAATCTCCACTTCTCCCTCGAACCCTCTTCCATGTTCTTACATGTCTAATGTCTCTCGTGGGCGGATCACTTGGAGCGCCTGCAGCATCGATATCAACACTAAGAACCGTCCGCAATTGCAACCGCTAACTTGGATCTGATATTTGGTCCACTCTGCCAAGGAAGGCGTGGGCCGGCATGAACCAAACACCCCCTCTTCGACAATCCTCCTCACCTTCCTAGCCACCTTGCCCGTCTGAGCTGCCTATCGCGGATGTCAACACGGAAAGGGCGACGAGGTGCAGCCTTCACGAGCAGTTTCGCCCGTCCTCCACCAGTCACAAGCACCATAGCTGCTGATTGAGCAAGGCGGTCATGTCAGCAGGCTGCCTATCGAATCATTGATTATTAGCTTCCAAGCCCTGCAGCTGCCCAAGACAGACAGAATTGGGTCGTGCATAAGCGGCCGTCGTCATGCATTCACGAATTCCAATTCTATCAATCCGTCCCGTATCGTCTGATGACTCCTACCGCGCCCGCAACAGAAGAGCTGCCCGCTTATGCTTGCCGCAGCAGCCGGAAGAGGCAGTATCGGTTATTACATGTGGCCCTGATAGAACGCCCTAGGCTCGACTGGATAGTGCATAGCGCAAGACTGTTTCTTACTCGTATCGACCGCGGTCCGTCTTGGGAGCTGCGCTAATCGGCGAGCACACAATTCACTTCTCACTAGGACGTCTGCTAGGCGTCTCGAAACCCGTCGCAGCGCTCAAGTTCAGCCGGTTACCGATCCTCTGTCAGCTTGTGGCAGATGCAGTTCCGTCGCTCCGGAGTCGTGTCCCTACTGTCTGGCTAGGGTAACCAGTGAAGACGCCGGTTCGCAATGCTGTCGAGTGATGGAATCCGTGTGGACAGAAGGTTTGGTCAGAGTTGACGATCCGTTCCACAAGTACGCCCCGCTCTCCGTCGACAAGGGCGGACATCGATACCCTTGACTTGCCCGTGCTGCCATCGATCTCCCCGTCATACCTTGCCTGTGGCTCGCATCCCTTCCGTAGCTCGCGCCACTGTACCCCTAGCGGCCTTTGAAACGCCATGGCCCGTCTGTCGCTTTTTGACGTTTGTCTGTGCGTCTATGGACGACATGACTTTCAGAAAAAGCAAAGAATCAGTTTCTCCGTGCCCGTTGTTGAGATGTGGAGAAATATGTTCCTTTTGTTCGAACGAGTTCGCATGGTTGCGCTTACCGGAGATCGTAGTCTATTGCCATGGATGACATCAAGTACGAAGCTTCGCCATCTCTCAGGCACTTATGGCGCGTCTTTTCCTTTTGACGCGTCCGCCCAAGGCTGTGTAACCGTGTTTGAACATGTCTCAGGGTCAAGACCTGTCAGATGCCTCTTCGGTGCGTTCGGTAACCGTTTAGAACCAACCGAAAATAAACGATTCACGTTTGACTTTGTGTCTACGAGACATGATCAAAAGAAATATATCGGCCCCACTGTTTACAAACGATCAAGTGTTCTGAGCATCGGAAATACTCCTCTGCGAAGAAAGATGATGGACCATTGTCCCAAGCTCCTTCATGCGAAGTCAAACCACTGATCTTTGCCTGTGCTTGGTGAACGCATCTGAGAAGTTGGAGTCGATCTCTTTCAGGATGTCGTTGACGAGCACCCTGATACTCCAACACGAGATAGCATGAGACAGCGGGGAAGTCGTGTCCGTTTCCAAGAGCGTTTCCAGAAGAACCTAGAACGATAATGCGTTTGTTTATTTGCGCCATTTTTCTTGCTCTCGCCTTCGTTGGGTGCGAGGACGACGCGTCAGTGATGCAGAAGAAGCAGACCGTTAAGAGTGTTGTTAGTTAGTTGAGAAGCCGGATTCTCGTCCACCTCTTGGCGCGACGCTATGGGCCAGCCGGGATGCGTGCTTGATCATATGATTCTGCTCCACTTTACCCTTGAGCCTGCAACTCAAGAAGGGTTAGAGATGCAAACTACCCCACTTCAACTCCTCGGGGAGAGATCATGGCGAGAAGCGAAGTTTGTGTGGGGACCAGACTTTACGATGATTTGATCAGTGCCTCGTTTCAAGATCCCGAGAGAGAGGTTCAATGCCAGACGTCTTACTTCACAAGAGGATCATCCGTAGGCAGTGTTATTGCTCGTTTTCGGGACGTGGTCGAAGTCCGTTTGGCCGCACGAGCTCAGTGGCGACGGCCTTGGGTTGTACGACTTTAGCGGTGAAGTGCTCTGCATAGTCGCTTATCTCCACTAAGTACTCATGGCGCAGAAGTCGACTGCAATGCCGCGCAATGACACTCTACTGCACGGAAATGAACAGGCTTATGCTTGTAGTTGTTTCAGCGGACCATAAACAATGTGAGGGTCACGCCATCTGGGCGCTGAAATGAGTTGAAGACCAGTGTGAGGCGATGGCGAATTTATGGATACCTCGATACGGTGTGCGGAGATGTCAAAAAGTACACCGAGAACGACTCTTTGACAGGGACCATACTGCAAAGGCTGGCGGCCTACGAGCTGTAGTGCTCATGGATGATGCTGCCTCGTCAACCGTCAGCTTGGAACTGTACTACTCGGTTGAGACCGGTCATGCTGGGCTTGAGTATAACCATGAGAGGGTGTGTTAAGTTGAGCTGATTTGAAGCATAGTTGCAAGGCTTTTGCAAGGCTATCGCGCGACGCAATTGACGGTAGCGAATCAGCAGTCGAAGCTCAACTCTGACCAGTCATCGCGCAGTCATGTGGGACAAAATGGAGTGCAATAGGTTCTGTCCAGGCTTGAGGCGGAGTATGACACTATGCAGTGGCGCCAGATGACCACGGCCGGTTCAGGCGGTCTGTGAACGGACAGAAGAGCAGATTCTGGGTACTTGGAGGTTCCCAGGTTGGGTTTGCTGGTCAAGTTCCCACACTCGCGGATAACAACAAACCAGTCGTGGTTAGCGCGAGTTCAGGAGTCCTGCTCGCAAGGTTAGCTCACAAGGATCGAAGGCTCAGCTGGACACAAACAAGGCAACCAGTCCATACACCTCGCTGCCTCCGTGCCAGGCTCTGAGCTTTATGCGTCTCCAATTTTTGCCTGCAAGTCGGAGAGAGTGTGTGACGTGGATCTGTCATGTCAGATCACATTGTTGTGTGGTACATTGAAAGCTGGGACTACCTACAGTCCAAAATATCCCAATGATCTCCAGAATTCTTTTCGGCCATGAACTCCAATTAAACGCCATACTGCCCTCTTAGGGGAAATGCAAAAGGTTTCGTAAAAGCTGGAGATGCGACTCAGGGCCGGGACGCTTTCCATACAGTGAATGTAAGAAGGCCGGTAATTCAGGCTTCATGCCATACCCGATGCTTACTTGCGGCCAGGTGCCAGGCCGGGAACAGCGCTGAATCGCTCGTCACGCTCAGTCTTGAAGAGCAGTTGGCACCAGAACTCCTTGTTATCGTCATCGAACCAAGTCCAGAACTTGCCCTCCCGTCTGTCCACCTCGCGTGCCTGCAGCTTGACCGCAACCGTCTCATAAGGCTCTCCAGCAACAATGAAGTACTGGTAGTTTGGGTCAGGCTCTTCGATCTTCTGTTCGTATGCACTCATGAACCGAACGCGCGGGATAGTGCCTGATGTGATATCTGGAAACTGGAACTGAAACAGAAGACCGTTCTGGCGAGTGATAGGGTCGCGAACTTTCGTTATCCGGTAACCAGGTCTGCCAATCTTGATCACGTTCTTCTTCAATTGCACACCAGCAAGTAGACCCTGCTGTCCTGCATCGTCCTTCCTTCCTTCTCGCTGTTCTTTCGCGGCACGTCGCGCCAAGTTCGTCTGATGCTTCCTTCCTTGTGTATGAGCTAGGTATGAGCCATCGTTCTGGTGGACTGTAAGACATAGACGGCATTCGAAGCTTCCGACGTGGTTCTTGAAGAAGTATGGGTCCTTGTCGAGGTCGATAGTCTCGAGCGCAAGTTTTCGAAGACGCTCTCGTCGGTCGGCATTGGTCGCTGAGCTCGAGGCGACACCACCGCCACCAAATTTGGAACCTGCACGGTTCTGTTAATGTTAGCAGCTGCCTTCCAGTCTCATCCACTGCCAGAACGTACCTGGTAATCCATGATTATGAGTAATCGAGCGATTACGGTCTATATATTGAGTGGAGAGGTGAATTGAGAGTCCTGATAGAGAATCCTGAAGCTGTATATGGCTGTGGTGGGGTCTGCGTCGTTGCGCGTTGAGGTCGAGGTGATAGCCCACAAATTGTGGAAGTAGCAATCAGGAACCGCGCTAGCGTCGTTACGTAAGCTATGATATGAAGGCAGGCACCACTCCTGTCCTTGTTCAATCACATGCACGAAATACAGCCAGAAGTTGTAGACTGTTCTTAAAGCAGAGAAACCCCTTGAATTGCAGTCGAGAGACTTGTGTCGATGTTTGAAGACTGTAGTGAGCCACAACCGACAATCAGTTCAGAAGCCTTCTCTCGGCGATCTCATGGCGACAGACATTTACATTGGCAAGAGACTCTCCTTCGATGGCCAACTCTGCACTGTTCGATTCCGTGGCGCAGTTGAAGGCACAAAAGGGGAGTGGTTGGGCGTGGAGTGGGACAATCCAACCCGCGGAAAGCACTCTGGTGAACACCAAGGTCACAGATACTTCGAATGTAACGATCATCAACATAAAAACAAAGCAGATCAACAGCTGATCTGTGGTCAGGCCTCAGTACGCATGCAACAGCAGGATCTTTCATCAGACCAACTCGTAAGCCGGATGCACCACGCTCGTTCGTAGAGGCATTGAAGGCAAAGTACGCAGATGATGATTTTGAAGACCCCAGCGTACAAGTGGTGTTTGTCACGAAAGAAAGTGACAATGCAAAGGCAAAAAAAGACCCGGCGGCAAGACTGAATCAGCCTATACGCTTCAACGGCAAAATTGCAGAAGAGGTGGGATTCGACAAGATCAGGAAACAGCTCGCTCAAATAGAAGAGCTCAGATTCGTCATTCTGGACGGCTTGCGAATGTGGAGGCCCGAGGTCAGGCAGGGCGCGCGAACTGATGATGAGCTAGAGTGGCCTCAGAACGCGACAGACATCAAAGATGCGTGCCCCAAGACCTACGAGCTGGATCTTAGTCGCAACTTGTTCGAGGAGTGGAGGGAGATTGCTGCCATCTGCGAACAACTGGATCGGCTAAAAATTCTTCGAGTTGACGGAACACGGTTCACAGACACATCACTGACAGAAGCTGAGCTACAGCGTTGCCGCCAAATATTCGCTAATATTACAACACTGAAGTTGGAAGACGACTTATTACCATGGGAAGACCTGGTCAACATCACGCACCAGTTCTCCGCCCTTACCACCTGTTCAGCTTCCAGCAACTTCTACTCAAGCCTGACACCGCACATCCTGAACCCATCGATCACCGACTTAACGCTGGAAGAGAACCTCTTTCCCTCCCTATCCGCCCTCGAACCACTCACCAAGATGCCAAACCTACAACGCCTCATCCTCAAGTCTAACAAGATCTCCGAGGTCGGCACACCGCAACCCATCTTTCCTACAGCCCTCAGGGAAGTCGATCTCTCGTTCAACGAAATAACAACATGGTCTTTCATCGAGCAGCTCGAACACGTCTTCCCCGGGCTCACCAGTCTCCGCGTATCCCACAACCCGCTCTACGAAGCCCTCCAGGCGCCCGACGGCCGTCCTCTCACCGCAGACGATGGCTACATGCTTACGCTCGCACGACTGGGGAATCTCAAGACATTGAACCATAGTCCCATCAGCGGCAAGGAGCGTCTGAACGCTGAGTCCTATTACCTGTCACTCATTGTCAAGGAAGTGCAGTTCGCGCCCGAGAATCTACGGGAGCAGATTCTGGGCAATCATCCGAGGTACAAATGGCTGTGTGAAGAATATGGAGAGCCGGATATCAAGCGGAGTAAGAACGCGGTGAATCCGAATTCGCTTGCTGCGCGGTTGTTAAGGATCAAGTTCTACCTTACGAGTGACAAGACGAAGGCGCATGAGGTCGAGATACCGATGAGCTGCACAGTGTACACGGTGCTTGGTGTTGTGGGCAAGCAATTCGGTGTCATGCCCATGGACTGCAGACTCATCTGGGAGACGGGCGATTGGATGCCGGCGAGGAGGTCGATGGCTGATGTTGAAGATGAGGACTGGGACTCTGAGGATAGCGAGGATGAGGCGGCTACGAGTAAAGTGATGCGAGAGGTTGAGATCACACCCGGGACACGGTCGATAGGAACTTGGATCGATGGCATGGAGGCTACTGTGAGGGTTGAGTTGAAGTCTCAGTAGGGAAGGACTATGCTTCGGATATGCTTAGTCTGACGCCTGAACAGTAGCTGTCAGTGCAGATATTTGCCAAAGCATCAAGAATCAGGAAGCTGGCATCGATCGTCAGTGTGTGTATATTGTGATGCAAGACGGTCTATAAGGCTAAGAGCGCAACTTAGCCTTGCAAATGTATACTGACAGAAAAACACTACATCGCTACAAATGGGCCAAAAGCGATAGAAGAGATGATCTTATCTCACAGCCAGCTCGCTCTTGGACTCGAAGCTGTACCTGAGCCACTCTCCAACAGCCCTCAAGCTTTCCCACCTTACGCTCTCGTCTGCCTCTTGCATAAGCTCCATGACCCTGCCCTTCAAGCCCAGCTTCTCCAGTTGTTGCCTCTTTTCCGGCACCTCCTTGACCAAGCATGCAACATCGTTACATCCAATGGCCAGCACCTGCTTGTCATTCTCCCAGCTCTTGGATAGGATCTCAGCCAGCTTCCTCGGCAGCTCCCCCTTGCTCTCATCCAGGATGCGGCGTGCATTATCGCGCCAGAAGGTAGGGTTGCGGTGAGGTGGAGACCAGCGGAGATGACCGGATTGTAGCTCTGCAGCGTACTCGTCGAACGTTGTTTGTGTCTTGGTGTACTCTTCGAGAAGCTCTGTAAGAGTCTTGAGATCCTCAAGGGCATCCTCATCAGTCAAGTGGCGCGACTTCAGGCTGTTAAGCAAGGCTGGCAAACGAGCCAGGGTGGCGGTAGGCAACAGTGTTTGACGGTTGGTGGTGAGGAGGTTGACGAGGGTCGAGAGAAGGAGGCGGGTGGTCTTCTCCTTGGGCGAAATACGCAACAGGCCGGTATACAGAAGGACAATATCGTGTTCACTGAAAAATGTTAGCAAAGCCAGGACGGAAGTCTGCAATGAACATACTCTTGGAGGCCATCGCCGACAAGCTCACCCTCAAAGCTGAGCTGCCAGATAACAAGTAGAACGTGATAGAGAAGCTGCAGTCCTACACCACCAGACAGGCCACTGTCCCCAGCGCTACGGATGCTACCACCGCTGTACAAGGTCGAATCGCGATCGTTGCTCGACCCTGCTGCTGAGCGCAAGATGTCGAACAATGGATCGAGAGTCTCCTTTCTTTGCTTCCAGAATAAATGCCTTGCCTTTGAGCTGCGAAGAACTGCAGAAAACTCTCGTACAGCAATATCCTGGAGCCCAGCATCTGATGCCTTCGCCAGTGTTGAGAGGTAGGTGTATAGCTGTGGGAGAGCTTGGTCAAGCTGTGTGGTGTCCTTCGATGGTGTTACAACGGCGTGTGAGATGAGACCAGAAAGGACCGAGGATGTAAGCAAGGGGACGGGATCTTCGTTGTTTGATGAAGCCTTCAATAGCGGCAAGAAGGGCTTGTACGGCGCTGGGTGCTGGATGAGAGCTGAGGTGAGGGCAGGGATGTCTGAACAGATATCAGCTCTTCGTAAGAGATTGTTTGACTGCACGGGGCTTCATACCATCAATAATATCTCCCAACAGCACCAGCATGTAGTGGATGATGTCCTGGCGTTTCGCTGCGGCCTCGAAGATGCTCTGCGACCCATCTCCACCCAGAAGTAGCGTGACGAAGCTGTTGACATCGGACTCAATTGTCTGCTTGCGCTGCTCCTTGCGCACTTTGTCAATTGACTTGATCTTCTTAAGGTCCTCGTCTGTGATCGTCTTGGCCCGCACTGCGCCTTCCCATGATATTGGCCGCGCACGGATGTTGTTTTGGATCGAGGTGAGATACGTCGGTGGGTCTAGCGACGACATTGTGGAGGTCTGCTTCGAGCGAGCAGCAAATGTTGCGGTCAAGAGGCTGCGGAGGAGCGTCGAAGATGGGATGTTGTGCCTGGTCTATCGCGCACCCACCAAGCTGTTGCAACTCCGTCATCTGCTGGAGAGCTCCGCCGCTAACGCAAAGGGGATTAGTGGGTTTGGCACTTTTTCGAACAAGCTACCTGTCGGCGACGGTAATACCGCGTTCTCGGCGCCATCACATTCGAAACCATGGAGTACTTCAGTTTGAAGAGATCGACCGTTGCCGACCGCGGCCAGGCCAACCTGTCAAGCAAGGTCTATGTGCGGTCAACGAAGAGTGGCAAGGTCCAAAAGATTGTGAGGGAACTGTACCTGCGACAAGACATCCCATGTTCGTCAAATCTTTGCAGAGAATGCCTGGAGATTGCGCCGACAGATTACTCGAAGAAAGGTGGGTTTGTAGATTTCAAGTGCAAGCGCATAACTAATCTCAGATAGTTGCACCGTTCGTACTTTCAGATACACCAGCAGGGTCCAAGAACTTCCCTAACGGACGGTATCTCGTTCCGGACACTAATGCTTTTCTGACCGGAATGGACTTATTTGAGGTCGAGACAGCTTTCCATGATGTCATAGTACTGCAGACTGTGCTTGAGGAGGTTAAGAACCGATCATTGCCACTCTATCATCGTCTGATTGCATTGACGAAGAATGAGGGGAAACGCTTCTACGTCTTCTTCAACGAATTTCGTCAAGAGACACACATCCCCCGTGACCAGGGAGAAACCATCAACGACCGCAATGATCGAGCTGTCAGAAGAGCTGTACAGTGGTACAACCAGCACATCACCGAAGCAGTAGCTGCGCGAAGCAAGAAACAGAAGCGCATACCTACTGTGGTCATGATCAGCGATGACAGAGACAACCTGCGTAAGGCCAAGGCAGAGAGTGTACCTGGTATTACGCTATCTGACTTCGTGTCTGGTCTCGAGAACGCAGATGAGCTATTGGACATGATCAGTGCCGCACAGGAGCAAAGAGAGGTCCGCTCGAAGAAGCCTGAAGTGTTCTATCCGGATCACCTCTCGGTATCTAAGATGATGACTGGCGTTAAAGCTGGCACCATGCACCAAGGCATATTCAATGTTTCGCAGTACAATTACCTAGAAGCCTCGGTGAAGGTCCCCGCATTTGATAAATCTCTCATCATCTTGGGACGAGAAAACAGCAATCGAGCAGTTTCCGGCGACGTCGTAGTTGTTGAAGTACTACCTCAGGATCAGTGGAAGGCGCCATCGACAAAAATCGTGGAGGAAGACACTGTGGCCAAAAACGACAACGCCGAACAAGAGGAGGGCGAGAACGTCGTGACCGAGAGGGAGAAGCGAGCACTGCAAGAGGAGGTCAAGCGCGCGCACGGGCGAAGCACAGAAGGCAAGGCGCAGCCAACGGCTCGCGTCGTGGGTATAATTAAGCGCAACTGGAGGCAATACGTGGGGCACATCGATCGCGATTCCGTACGTTCAACAGCGAAGACAAGCAGGCAGCAACAGACAGTCTTCCTTGTACCTATGGACAAGACCGTACCTAAGATCAGGATACGGACTCGTCAAGCCGGAGAGCTTCTCGGGCAGCGTGTTCTAGCGACTATCGACTCATGGGAAAAGGACTCAAGATACCCTGTTGGCCACTTTGTGCGCTCGTTAGGAGAGCTGGAGTCCAAAGGTGCCGAGACGGAAGCTCTTCTGTTGGAATGGGACGTACAGTACAAGCCCTTCCCCAAGACGGTACTGGATTGCCTACCTGCTGAAGGACACGACTGGAAGGTGCCCGTGAGCACAGATGATCCAGGCTGGAAGGGGCGAAGAGATCTGCGTGATCTCATTGTCTGTAGTATTGACCCTCCTGGTTGCGTTGATATCGACGATGCACTACACGCAAGGAAGCTGCCAAACGGCAACTACGAGGTCGGTGTGCACATCGCTGATGTATCACACTTTGTGAAGCCAAACAACGCTATGGACAAGGAAGCTAGTCAACGTGGTACAACGGTGTACCTTGTTGATAAGCGCATCGACATGTTGCCGATGCTTCTCGGAACAGATCTCTGCTCACTGAAGCCGTATGTTGAGCGATATGCTTTCTCTGTCATCTGGGAGGTCAACGAGAATGCCGATATCATCAACTCACAGTTCACAAAGTCGGTTATCCGTTCAAGAGAAGCCTTCAGCTACGAACAAGCACAACTACGCATCGATGATGCATCACAGCAGGACGAGCTGACAACCGGCATGCGTACATTGCTGATGCTATCTCAAAAGCTGAAACAAAAGCGAATGGACGCAGGAGCACTGAACCTTGCATCGCCCGAAGTCAAGGTCCGATCAGAGTCTGAGACTTCAGACCCGGTTGACGTCCACGTCAAGAAGTCATTGGCCACGAATTCCCTTGTCGAAGAGTTCATGTTACTCGCCAACATCAGTGTCGCGGCAAGGAACTACGAAGCCTTCCCCCAGACCGCTTTGCTACGTCGCCACGCTGCGCCACCCAAGTCCAACTTCGAGGAGCTCGCAAACCAGCTGAAGGTTAAGAAAGGTCTGGAACTTCGGAGTGACAGCTCTGGTGCAGTAGCAGACTCACTCGACAAGTGCGTGGATCCGAACAACCCATTCTTCAACACCCTCGTCAGAATCATGGCCACACGGTGCATGATGTCTGCAGAGTACTTCTGCGCTGGTACACAAGCGTACCCTGAGTTCAGGCATTATGGTCTTGCGAGTGAGATCTACACACATTTCACATCACCCATCCGTCGTTATGCCGATCTCGAAGCCCATCGACAGCTTGCCGCCGCGATCGAGTACGAACAGCTCGATGCCAGCCTGCATTCGAAGGCTAAGCTCGAGGCTGTCTGCAAGAACATCAACGTCCGTCATCGTAACGCACAGATGGCTGGACGTGCTTCGATTGAGTACTATGTCGGCCAAGCGCTGAAGGGTAAGGACATTACGGAGGAGGGGTTCATTATGAAGATCTTCTCAAATGGCTTCGTTGTCTTCGTGCCACGCTTTGGTATTGAGAGCTTGATTCGTCTGAGAGACCTGGCTACACCTGAGCCGGACGCTGAGTTCGATGCTGACAACTACCAATTGAACATCAAGGGCGACTTGAACAGGAGCGTTGAGCTGTTTGAGAGGGTCATGGTCAGGATTACGGATGAGGTGGAGGAGAGCACTGGAAAGAGGAAGGTCAAGCTGACTCTGGTGTAAATCCTTAGCACAGAAGAGTAAGGGCGTTGATGCGCGTCCCAATAATACAATATCTAGATCTCCGTTCCCAAGTGCTTATGCTGCGGTCGTTCGGCCTCATGTGAATTGCGTTATCCCCTCATGTCGTCGAGGGTAATGTACAGGCTTTGGACGTCCTCGCGCAAAGCCCCTGGTGAGGTATAGTTGAGGAGACACATGAACGTACGCCCCGCAAAGCCACAATTACGCACTTCTATACTGTTCACAGCCTCATAGGGTAGATCGTCAGAGCCGAGACTGAGAGGGTGCCAGTTGAGTGCATGTTCGGTCGAGTCTGCCGAACTTAGAGGGTGCGGAGTCGCCGAAGCGAAGCGAGAGTGAATGTCTCGACCAGCGGCCGAATGCAAGTGGGGCATCGCGAGCGGGAATTGCGCTCGATCTCTGAGATCTGAATTCTGGCGTAAGTTTGCTTGTTTGCGGTGATGATCTCTCTGCAAAGGTGATGTGTGTGGCTTTGTATACAAAGTATGATTATGAAGATCGTCAACATGTCTATCTTTGATTCTCGGGGGTAATCTCTGCCATCACGGTGGACTGCAAGATCATGCACATCATAGGAGCGATCCCTCCGAGCTTTCTTGAGCCAGATGATGGTAGCATGTGCTGCGTCCTGTACCTGCATGAACCGCAACCACCAGGAATATTGTCAAACGACTCAGGGTCAAGCCGAGTGCCATCCACATGTTCGTAGGAGATGAGTCGCGGCGCAAGACCGGCATGAAGAACTAGAAAATCAATATTGCATCGGCGACAATAAAGAGCGGTGAAGTACGTACTTCAGGATAGAAAGATCAGTCCATCGACCGTTCCTGAAGCTAGTTTGCTAGCCTCATAGCCAGCAACACTTGCGATTCATATCCCCTCCAAGCCTCAAGTCGAACACAACATCTCTGCATTACGAGCCGCATCGTCATCTGCAACGCCGTTAATTGTCATGATATGACTTGGTATAGATATTGAGAGCGGCACGTAGTAGTGCAAGTTGTGCATTTCACTGAATATTGAGATTGTCAGTTTCATTTCGGGCACGTCTGATGAGACCAATTGCGAGACCAATCGAAATTCTTGCAATTGCACGAACCGTCTAGTGGCGCTTTGGCCGATGCGATGCCGATTCTACAATGCCATGCGGGACGATCAGCTGGCGGAAGAAGTTCTGGATGTTGTCAGGGTCTTCACACTTGCATCCAGTCTTGACGTCGGCGAAAAATGGAGAACACTGGCGTGGAGTGCAAGTGCAATGCTATAGCGGAGCTTGCCAACGGTCTGCGGCAGTATGGCACATCGTGAATCTGATTGGTTTCACTGAGATGTAGCTTGTTTGCTGGATCTCTTGACACCTTCTCTATTGGTATGGGCAGCGGTTCGCAGAGTTGGAGGACTGGTTCTCTCGAGATAAGAGCAGGACACCCTCCCTTTCTCGACGTATGATATGCAAGGTCACAATACGAGAGATGCGAGAGGTCATCTTTCCTTCCCGCGCCACCAAAATGACGACCCTCCGCTAAGTGGGCCATCTCGCTTGATAGAGTTGACGATCAGGTCCACGTGCAGGTGCGCACTTTAGCCGGTGAGCATCCCTGCACATCCAGGAACAAACTCTACGAAACTCTACCGATCTAACGGCAGAGGCAGTCCTTGGCCCATGGAGATCGTGATGAATTCTATCGTCGACGGCTGCTCGTTTTATGGTGGCAAACCTCTGTGTTGTGGTGTTGAAGTCTGTATCGGCGTAGCGATCAGAATCGCGCTCAGCGCTGAAGTGAGCTTGTTGCCGATTAGACATCTCATTTTGTTGAATCACGAGTTGTTTGGTGCATCATCTCGTCTGACAGAGCGTTCGTGAGGATCATGATTCCGAGACAGAATTCAAGGATTTGAAATTGCGCGGCTCGTGCCAGAAGAGACATCAATTTTGGTTCCAGCAACATATTGGTTACTCTTTTGAGCGTGAAGCGCTTCGGCTAATTCTCGATACGTGACTGGCTGTATAGACTGGCCGCATTGACAGAGAGTCAGACCAAGGACCAACAACTCTTTGACTAGCCGAATCGTGGTAGGCAGAGACGAGACGCATCCATGTCACCGTCGTGGTGGTATCGATAGTGGGCCGCTGTACGGAAGTCGTCATCAAGCTGAAATTCAGGTCCATACAGATGTGTTTCAGCTGAGCCTCCTGTCATCTGCAGAATAGAGATATAGAATTGCCATTGGTCGTATAGGAAATGGCCTCCAAGTGAAGCACCAAATGATGTAAGCATAGAATGACCTGGCAAAATGCCGACCAAACAACAGCTTAAGAGTGAGAACTCGTCAGTGCGTCCTGCAACTATCTTTTCAGTTTCCTGCAGGAGGAAGCCGTTGGAACCAGGGTTTAATGCATGCGTTATCAGCGCGCTTTATCGTCGGCTCACATCACGGTAACAACGTCCAGGGGTCGTCATCATAGAATGCAGACTCTGAAGTTGCTGCGTTCTCGATCTTGTTGTTCGCTCATCCAGAACGCACACCACCCAGGATGCGTGGCCTTGCTGTCCGAAGCTAAGAGAGCAGGTTTCGCGACGGCACGCACCTAGAGCCCGCTTGCGAACGGGATTGGATCCAGCTGCCCATGTCATGTAGTTGACGCCATGCTCAAAGGGTGATGGTGGTGTTTCGCAGATCGACGTGGTACCAGTGCACCCCACCGAAGCAAGCAAGCGGCCGGCGCCCTCGAGTCTGAGCTTCTGCTTGTCTTGTTTAGACCACTCCTCCGAACAGGCAAGGAGATTCTCGAAAGGAACTGCGGGATGGCGCAAACATGTGCGCTGTCGTCGAAGCAGGTCAGCCTCCGTCTTGCAGAGCTGGGCTGCGCAGTGGCTCCGGATTGGAGCGCCGGTCATCAGCAGAATCTCGGAGTGAACAACACATTCACGCTGGCTGCTCAACAGCGCCACGTTTCTCTTAGGCACTGGGAAGGAGCAACTACCTATCGCGGACTGTGCACCATCTCAACGGCGGGGTGAATTCAAGGCGGGCCAAATTAGCTTGCTCGTCTATCACCCAGGGTCATGCTCACCGATATTTCAGAGCCTTTGCCCTACTAACAGACTTTGCAGCCCACCATCAGGTAGTTGCGCTTTGTACCTGCATATCGCCCCCAAGCCAAGGCCCACCGTCTCTACAAGCCGCAAGACTCCCCTCGCTCGGTGCGCGTTCGCTGCTTCTTGCCGAACGACTACTCTTTGTTCTTTCTCGTTTCGCTCCGCTAGTCACATACCATAACTGTCTGCCCGGGATCTTGTGGAGCGAGCCACACACGCATGACCAGGTCTCCGCCTTCTGAGCCCCTCCGCCTGTCCCGCAGTAATACTATATCCGTATTTGCCCTCCCAGGTTCATATCCGCAGTCACGTCGGACGATTGTTTCCTCGTTCCAAATCTATCGATTGCACCTGAGATCCACCATGGTCGAGGTCGACTGACCGCTCTGTCACTCCTTCCATTCTTATTCGGATCGACTTCCTGACCACCGGCACTTGCCTCTGTCGATCTACTTGGTCAACCTCGCCGCCTGTCATTCAACTTTGTTCTGACCTTGCTGTCGTAACTCTACGTCAGTGCCTAATATCAACCGACCTTATCACTATCCACGAAGGATCAGTCCCACATTCACATCAGCACCATGGACGAGACAAAGCTTTACATCATCCTCGGTGCCGTCTTGGGCACTCTAGTCCTCGCAGGAGTTTCAGTTGCAGTACTCTTTTGCTGGAAGCGTAATAAGAGAAGGGTGCGAGGCTTCTCCCTCCGTGCTGTTACACCGTTGGACGACTCCGTCTTCGAGTCATGGCGGCGGCCCAGTGAACATGCACAACGAAATGAGAAGTACGGCATCCGGCCAATGCACTCAGCAGTCATACGCCATGAGACGTCGCCTACCATGTTCGAGAAAGAACTGGATCTGTATGATCACCCTCGATCACCGTCACCAGATGACATTTCACCTCCTCTTCAATCACCAAGAGACTCGATACGCAAGCCAGAGCGAGCACGGAGAAAGTCAAGCGTTGCTTCCACTATCGCCGACCGACCACCAACACCCTACTCGCCCACTTCTACCAACAGCGACTTCCTTGTTGGTTCATATGGCTCTCGCAAATCGCAGCCATTGATTCGTCACCAACCTTCGATGTCAGAAGCATCGGCTTTCAGGTTCGAATTCGAATCAAATCACGAGGCCCACCAGAAGAGACCCGAACACTGGGTTTGAATAATTGCCCCATTCTTGAGGGCTACCATGTGGAACCCTTAGCACGAGCAACTATCGGAAGAAGCACCAATATGAACTGGACGGTCGTTCCCTGCAAGACAACTTGACACTTCGAAGTCGCACAAAGACTGTCAGCCCTCTATCATCGATCACGTCGGTCCCTGCTGTACAACCGTATAACCTACCACCAGCCAGCGTGCCCTCCTGTCATCACTTGACAGATCAGCCTTCCACTTTTACACTTTCACGATAGCATATGATTTTATCCGGCGTTTGGGCATCTTTTGCATCTGTGATACCAGACATTTGTCACCTACACAGGCTTCGGCCTCTTTTTCTTTACATTCCGCCATGATGCGATGCAGATTATTAGAGGTTGACTAGAGGTCACACCGCGGGATGGAAATGTTGCAACGCAACAAGCAAGGGATTCATATATCTAGGTAGCAGATACACTGCGAGCAGATGCTCACGAGCAGTCGAACAGAATGAACACAACTCTGTACCATCACCAACACCGTTGCACTTCTCATAGCCAACCCTGTGATATCGTAACATCGCAACTGCTCATCGTTTTCGACACATCTCGTACCATCCCGGTAATCCTCGTCCTCCTCGGTGCCTTCGGTTGCCGGCAACAAGACTTCTAGAAACTCCGTCCGAAGGAATCCTTTCACCGCCAGTTCACCAATACCCTTAGGTCTCGAACCTAATTGCCAAACAACGATGATCCCGCCATGCGTGCTGACCCACATCGCTCCCATCAAAAGCAAAGGGGAAGCCGCGAGCTAAGCGCACGAAGCGGAGCAAGTCCTCCGGAGTCAGTCACCGCATATGCTCGCTCGAGGAACCAGGAACACCCCACGATGTCGTGCAGTTGTGATACACATGGCTTAGGACTTTGTGGGGGTGCGCAGCGTGACGGCCAAGCGAGAGAAAGCATGGAAGGGCCAGCCACATGCTAGCGCCATCGATGGAGTGAAGTTGAACCACGACAAAGACACAAGGACCCTGGACAGCTGTCACCGCCCGCACAGACGTACAGCAAACCACACCGACTGAAGAGCACGTCTCAATTCTCGCCCAGCGCGCAACCATCGCATTGGCTCTCCACATCCCCTTGACCGGTTCACCGCTTCGCACCGCTCCACGCGCAAACCGCCGTCGCAACATTTCTCCACCCCACGCAAACGCGTCTTCGCGTCCCGTATACGGCCTCATCCATCACCACGCCCACGCCTCACCATGGAGTTCGTTCAAGGTGCGTAGTCCAAACACTCACCGGCCTTCCGGAAGCCCATGACTAACATACCATAGACTACGTTACATTTCTGCCGCGGCTGCTCCCGCCATCCATCGCGTCGCCGCTTCTCACATTCGTCACAACCGCATTCGGCATCTTCCGCACGCTGCAAACACATCTCACTCCCCTCTTTACGCGGCTTGTTACTCAGCCTGATGCCGCATCTATCCTCGTCGTGGTTGCCGCGCTGTTCATCAGCTTCAAGATCCTCGACATGATGTATCGCGCGGTGCTGTTCTGGGTCAATCTGGTGTTCAGGTTGGTGCTGTGGGGTGGCATAGGGTTGATTGGGTTATGGATATACAATAGGGGCGTTGATGGATTTATTCAGGATGTGCAAGATTTGGCGCAGACGTGGGCGGGTGAATATGAGAAGTACAGTGGAGAGGTCAAGAGGTTCCAGCAAGATCAGGAAGCACAGATCAGGCTGCAGGCGAAGCAGCAGGGCGGGCGCAGGGGATGGCGATAGGCATCGCTAGGAGGGAAACGACATGCTGGAAGAGTGTTCGAAAATGCTATATTGGGAAAGATAGGATATTTGATGAAGACGACGAATCACGGCTTACGATTGTACATTCTGGACAGGCGTTGGTATACGGCATTTGCCATGGAGCATAGGTATCTTTAAAAGTTGGAGTTGTATATTACGGCAAGAGTAGAATGAAGACCGTTAGTTCAAGGCCGCCGTGCACCGTTCGACTGTTACCTACGATCATCTGTTGAACGTCCGAACGAACGCCTGAACAGCACGTGTGGCCCAAACGACAAAGTCTGCACCGCAGGCAGGCTCACGTCCACGAACATACATAAAGACAGCAGTACTCACCACTCGACCCCCGCAACGTTCTACGAAGTGACTTTTCCGGAAATACCGTTTCTGCCTGGTGAGTTACTCCAGAAGATATTTGGATTACTCCAAATGCCGGAGAGTTTGCAAGATCTGGTATAAACATCTTCCTGGCAACGAATTCCACTTGCGCGAAGAACTATTCCTGAGATCACGAATGACACGATCGGATGGCCCGGCTCTGCTGCTCCACGTCGTAATTCAAGACGGTTTGAGAAGCTTCTACGTCGTTCCGCCGTGTACGGAATCCGCACTACATATAAACAACATCGCCTATTCGACTTCAGAGGAGTGGCACTTTACAGTCGCAAAGGTAGATCAGCACCTAGACATCATAAATCGGCATCAAGCGACAGCTAGGCGTGCCAGGTGGATCGATGCCGTTCAGCGTTCCCCTCCCTGGGGAGATTCTGCAACAGATCTTTCGATATCTTACGTTCTTCGACCTTTTGCGTTGCAGATACGTCTGCACTACGTGGTATACCTACATCCCTGGCAGTGATTCCAGCTCGAAGGAGGCATTATTTCTGAAAAGGAAGTCGCCGGCGGAAAACGACACCTGCCTCCACAACGACCCTATGGCCAGGAGGCCTCTCGGTGTTCGCCGCAACAATCCTCTGCCATTTTTGCTCTTCGAGTTCCGTCTCGACGACACGTTCGCAACGCAGAACTACTAGAGTGAGGTTTCGTTGGACCAAGAACAAAAGGAGCGAACACATCGTTATTCACAGCGAAGATGTGCGACTTCGTGATCTCGTGGATACATTGCGAGCGGAACTGATCGATGCTGAGAAGTATGTATGGTACATGCCGCGCACGTCACAGGGCAATGCGATATCTTGAGGATGCACAAGATGAAAGTATGGATGAGGGTCTACGCGTCACACCATATGCACCCTGCAGCAAATAAATGACGTCTTTGAGTCACACCGTTCCTCTAATCTACAAGTCGGTGTTCTTTCACTTGACCAAGCGTTTGCTCAATTCACCCCAGCACCTCAACGAAAAACGTTCCCTGGGGCCAGAATCGCAGAGCCATCTGAGAGTATGCATATGGAGGTCTTCATCACTCGCCCCTGGTATCTTGGATCCTCGGACACTTTCAAGTTCACCATCATCCTCTGGTATCCTGCACCCAGCATGAGTCTGTACCTGATAACCGAGAAGCTGTTCGGCTTTGAACGCGTGATTCATCCATACTTCAATTTCTCAGGGACGTCATATGCGCCCAATCAGGAGTCATTATCGTTCGTATGGCAAGGCTGCCGCTATATGAAGGACGACTCGGTAACATCGGATGTGCGCCCTTCCTGGGAACATATGCTTGTCTGTTGTCCAGCAGTTCAAGAGCTAAAGGTCATAACCAGGCGTCCGTCGAACAAGGGATATCACAACCCAGAACGTACATTGAGCGCTGAGGAAGGCACTGCTGGAGTCACTCTAGGTCAAGTTATGCAAGTGGTGGGGGAGGAGCTGGTCATGGCACAGGACGCAATGGGAATTCGAGCGTAGGAAGAACAGAAGTGGAACACCGACAAGGAGATATTGTTAGAGCGATGTGGTTATACTATACCCATAAACTTTTCCGTGTTGTGCGATTCGTAACTTCACCTCACCTTCACTTATGTGACCAAATTCGCGCTAGCGCAGGTACCCTCACACTTCCCCACACTCCAGCTTGCATTCTGCGCACCTCCTCGCACAGCCTCATCAAGATGCCGGACGATCCTCAAATTTCTGCTCTGCCCTCTAGAGATCCTACGGACTGTCTTCCGCAACCTGTTGTTATTCGATCTCCTCAGATGTTAACAAGTCTGTAAGCTGTGGTGCGCCTACCTTCATGGCGACGATATTGGCCTTCACCAAGCCATATTCTCTCAAGCAAAGGTCGCGGATACCTCTCACTCTGTCAGCATTTACGTATGCATAGGGCTCCACCGAGATACTCCAGAAGGAAGATTCTACCTTTCCATCATGGTGATTCACCCAGACGAGAAGAACAGCAAGACATCACTACTACACCCCGTCATCAAGAACTTGCACGGCTTCGAACGTGCTATCCACACCAACTCCAGCTTTGAACAGATGCCTGCTGAAGGGTGGGAACGCATATCTTGGCGTCTGACACACTGCTGGAGGAATTGCAAGTATTTGGAGCAGCCAGCGCGGAAACGGAAATCCTGAGAGTATACGCTTGTGAGCATTCTAGCCGTTGCTCTCATCTATGCATTTCCTCTTCGCAGACCTTGAGAGAATTAGTCGAGCAGGCACAAGAGGCATGGAGGATTGGGAAATTTGATTGAGAAGGAGGTCCAGGACCCGGATACAATTGAAGCAGAAAGATGTTCACGACTGGTGGTAGGAACATGGATACCGCTTGAAAGTCGTAGAGACAGCAGGCACCAGTGCTCCGCTTGAATAGATACAACAACCATGAGAAACCAATTTTGTCTGTACCCATCCGCGTGACCCCAGCTTCTTCACTAAGCCTTTAGTCCGTACTTTTGGCTTCTCTCTCCTCGCCGCAACATGTTCCTCATTGCCCACCGCGCCCTTTCTTCGAAAACCTGAACAGCACAGACTGTGATGGTTCGCCGTGACCAACTTCGACTTTCATAATGCCATCCTTTGCTACGGCTCTCTTACTAGTTCCCTAAATTCCTCTTCGCACAGCGATTGATGTTCTGGCCAAATTGTAAAGGGTCCTGGCTTCCCTTCGACGCGCAGTCCATTTGTCGATGTCGATAATCTCGTACTCAAGAATGTCAAGATTCCATCCGTTCTTGCTGAAGGAGTCGACAGGACCCAGCCAAACGGCCCAATCGCGCGGCTGTGTGTCTTCAATGATATAAGCGCGACCGAGGTGAAAGACCTTGTACCTCATGCGTAAAGCTCGTACATGCTTTGCGATTGGAAATTCTCCGTAGTATACCACAGGAATCATTTCAAGGGGCTTTGTGTTGGTGAGCTGGCTCAGGGCCGTTTCGGAACGATAAAGTCCTAGGACCCAGAGGGCATGAAGGTGCAGTAATTCAAGAGCTTCAGTCAGGATGCTCTTGCTGATGCGCAGCTAGATTGGTAGGCCCGAGGTTCGATTGTCCTTTCCAGGCTCAGCTCGTCGGTATCGAATTTCCGTAGGCAAGCTGTGGACTAACGCATCGATAACAGCGGATATCTGCCAAAGCTCGTCGTATACCATGTTTCGGGTTTCTGGCGGCAACGACATGAATGAAAGGCCGAGGTGTGCGTGAGCGGAGCTGGCGAGAATGAAGTGTCTGTAGTCAGAATGGTATTCTTGCTCTCAGAGGAAAAAGGCGCGTGTTGTGAAGCATCCTTGGCCGCAATACTGGGCTCCATGTTGAGCATGGAGCTGCTCTGGGCGAACTGGAGTGTGAGGAAGGAATGGACAGGTTAGAGGAGCAGGAGCGGTCAAGAGTACAGCAGCCACGAGTGCGCAACTAGTGTCTATGCGCAAACAGGAGAGGAAGTAACGATTCTTTCAGTTACGATGCTGTCCCGCGGGTGAAGATCATATCGGCTGATGCTCCAAATTAAGGTACTCACTCATCATCTGTTCTCTTCATCTTCTTTGCATCCCTCTCCTTCACCACCTCATTCTCAAATTGCAGCCCCGCTCTCTCTCTTATGACCCCAAAGACACTGCTGCTATCCAACGCCCTCCCCTTCTCCGCACTCCACGCCTTCGCCTTCTTCGCTGCATTTACATAGCTTTCCGCAACCTCCAGCTTCATTCCCGTGCTCTTGGCCAGATTGACACCGTGCTGCACGTCCTTGATCCCTAGTACCAAACTACTCTGCGGCGCCTGCCCATCAGCCGGCAGATACGCGCCAGAGGTGAGACGTTTCGACACACCATGCGCATAAGTGCCCAGATTCTGTTCAATAAGCGATTCAAGAACGGAAGAGGGCAGTCCAGACTTCTCGGCAAGGGTGTGCGCTTCGGAGATGAGGTACATCATACCCGCTGTTAGCATGTTACTCGTTGTTTTCAGCAGCAATGCTTGCGCTGGATCTTCGCCGACGCGGATGACTCCACGCGCTATGACGCCCTTCAGAAGCGGTTCAACAGCAGCAACAGCACCTTCATGGCCGGCGACAGCGACAAGAAGCTGACTTGCTTGTGCGACGGGAGTGGAACCGAAAACAGGAGCAGCAACGTAGTAGGCGCCCAATTGTTCGAGCTGGTTGGCTACAGCTGTTGTGGTAGATGGGTGAACAGTGGTAGTGTCTACAAAGATTTTACCATTCAGAGAGGTGCCGAGGGTTACTACCTCGTCGACAACATATTCCAACGTCTGATCATCGCTGACCTAGTGATGTGTTAGTGCACGTATCGGTCTAGTAGAGGCATGACTGACAGATATGAATGTCACACCGCAGTTCCAGGGTACCTCGGTAATGCGCTCGCATGGCCAACCACCAATCCCTTTCAGGCTATCTCCTTTTGATATTGTGCGATTCCAGTAGTGCAAGTTTGGCAAGCCTGTAGCTTTCAGATGCTTCTGAACGTTCATAGCCATAGCAAGTCCCATAGAGCCTAAACCGATCCATCCTATTGGAAGGGTTGTCTTGATGGTTAATTGATCCGTTGGTGTGGCGCTCATGATAGTGTTGGTATCTGAGACTGAGATTTCAGTCTGCCGATGGGCGTATGGTACTGCGAGATGTAAGTCGTGGATATTGATGGCATGTGGTCAGCGGTGACTCATTACTATTGGACGCCGTATCGCGCTAGAGGGAACAGGGCAGGTACGTGTGGTTTACCTTGCTGACTGATATGTAGAAGCCGAGGTGCGAGATGTGCAACGTCAGAACGAACAGACGAGCTGATATGGATATGCCTCTCGGCGTATACAAGGACAGTGACAGAACACGCTACTCGTGTAAATTCAATGGAACGCCTCCCAATGCTCATCTCTCCATCATGCACTAAGATGTCGTGATATGCAACGCTAATAAGCAAAACACAAACCATAGAACCTAACACCACTCCACTGTAGGGTATCTCAACACCATCACCTCATTGCAATCTCACAACTCCATGACTTCCTCTTGCACCTTCTCCACTGCTGGTGCTGCTTGCCCAAACACCTCCTTGATTTCATGGGAATCCATAGTGCCGACAAACGCGCGCTTCACGAACGTAAACCACTCCTTCGACGCCTTGCGATGCTTCTTCCCCTTCTTGTGTTTCTTGTGCTTCTTGCCCTCTGCTTCGAGCTCATCTTCGTCTATCTCCTCTACATCAACCTTGAACTCGTCGACGTCCTCTTCTTCGTAGTCAGCGACGTCCGCAGCCTTCGCGCCGCTGCCTCCAATTTTCCTTGCATACTCAACCCACCTTCTCACGGTGAGGTCAGGGAACTTCTTGTCCTTTGTATCATACTCGACTTCGTACACGAACTCTTTCGGATGCGGCTCAGGTCGTGGATGTTTTCCATTGTGCTTTCCGTGCTTGCCCTCTTTCCAGCCCTTGCCTTCGATTTCGCCGTTTTCGCTGACTTGAAGACCAAAGATTGTACGAGGAGCTAGATCGTTCTTGGAGGTAGGTTCACCATCGACGTCGAATTGGTGGCGTTGGGGATCGAAAAAGTCATTGTTGATGCGCGTCAAGTTGGCGAAGTACTGAGTGTAGCGAGTCCAGGTGAAGACCTGAGGGGAGTACGCAGGACCAGGTGGGGCAGATTTGGAGGGTCCTTCCGGAATCTTGAAGCGGAACTTCTTCGAGTGCTTAGAAATTCTTTCCTGGTTCTTCTGCTTCTCTTTCCTCCTGACCAGGGCACCAATTTCCCTTTTGTACCCATCATCATCTGAAAAGTCGTGCTTGAAAAAGGGTTGCTGATCGCCCGGAAACTCAGCAGGAGTCTTACCAGGAGTGCCGTGAACGTGGAGGTGCTCAAGACCGGTGATGTTGTACTCGATGATGCGGAGGGTGGGGTAGTAGTTCGGGACTACGCTTGGCGAGACGAGCGATGCGCTGTAGCGTTGTGCGTACTTTCCCCCGATCTTCTCGAGGTACTTCTTCTTCGCGCTCTTTCCAACGTTCTTGTGTTCTCTTGAGCTAGAGATTTTGGACATCAGCCACTCCCAGACAGAGCTGTCGTCTTCTTCCTCTTCGTCCCAAATACCCGACTTTGTTCGCGACTTGCAATTCGAATCCGTGAGAGGCGATGGGAGTCGTGCCCAGAAGTCCCGGAGGCTAAGCAGATAGTCAGAAGCTGATGCCACCGTGACTTCGCCATCTTCAAGCAGCCTAATCTCGCTATCGACGCCCTTAGCCCGAATCTGAGCAGCCATGTCGCCCTTCTTTGTTTGGTCGTCGATTTGCGCGAAATCCTGAAGCATGAAGTGATCGATGTTCATGTGTCCGTAAAGAGACCCTACAATCACGTCTCGGTACTGCTGCACCCAGAGGGCGTACTTCTGCCAGCACGTCTCGTCCCAGCTCTCCTTGCCGTCGACTCGCGCAGGTGGGACGTGACCCATGAGGATGGCTTTTACGCCGCGTTCGCGCATGATCTTAAGCTGAATGCGCAGCCATTCCATGTGTTCGTAGCCCGGTTCGTGCTTGTTCGCGCAGCCGTCGACGCCGGGGTTGGAGGTGAAGAAGTAGCTGTGGTTGTGTTAGCAACTCTCCTCTCCATCTGCCTCGATTGTCCTTACATCGTGTTCAAGCTTATTACAGCCAGCTTCTCTGGAATGACCTCGACCGAGAACCAGCCTCCCTGCTGAAACTGATGCCTTTGCGCTTCTGGGATGAAGCTGCGCCAGATGTCCAGGTACTTCATTGTCCACTTGTTTGGTCCCTGGAGGAAGATATTGTGCGGCATGATGTCGTTGTTGCCAAATGTTGGCACGATGGGGATCACATAGTCGTTGACTCCTCTGCGGTCCTTATCAGACACGCCAAATACCTCTCTGAACTTTTCAACCAGGAACTCATTCTGCCTGATGATCTGCTTCTGCGTACGCGCATGATTCTCATCATTGTCGTGTCGCGCCGAGTCGCCCGTCCAGATTACAAAGTCGATATCGTCCTTGACATTGTCCTTAATCCAACTAAACGTCTCATTGACTAGCGAAAACGGTGAATCGCATCCTGACGTCTCTGCGCCGTAGATGCCTGCCGGTCCTTGATGTCGGTGACATGCTGCCTCAGCTGTGGTGCTCGAATACGTCTTGTAAAACGGGTCAGGGTGGAAGTCTGCAACATGTCGTCAGCCGCCAGTCTTCACTGCGCGCCCCAATAAAATCCCACAAACCCACCTGTGATGTGCAAAAACCGGCCTGTGAGCTTTCGCCCGCTCTGCGCTGCCCTGGCGTCACTCGACCCAGTCTCGCCCAGCGCGACTGCAGTTGCAGCGCTAGGGGCGGCCATGGAGGCACCTCCCCAAACGAGCAGGCCGCATACAAGCGCGTCGCGAGGCCGTATCATCTTGATATCGATCTGTTAGGGATGTGGACACACGAGCATCTGGGAAGCGGAAGATTGTATATTGACTTGGAACCACGTCTAGCACCCTGATGGTTCGAAAGCACGGCGCATCAGAGCTCGTGGCCCCCGAATCATTTGAGGCTCGTGCCGCGGTCTATCTCTGCTATTGGACGTCATTTTCGCAGCGTCTTTTTGCACTAAGCGCGCCTGACCGCTACCACAGCTCAACGTGCTTCCCCCGCGTAAGGCCGACTGCATATTGGACTCGTGTGACTTCTGCCTGGATGTGTATTGACGATGGAAAGTAAGACTTGGCGTATCAATGATCACCAAGCAGATCATATGGAAGAGTAAGATATTGTGTGTGACTCTGAATTGTCTCTAGGCAGCTATGCCACCACTGGGTTGTAAATGCACAATCTCGCGAAGAATATCGGCGCTATTGACAGTCGTGCCCCTGCCATGAAGCGATAGGACGATGCACGTGTCCATGCCAAATATCGTAAATGCTCATGCAACACCCCACCATGTTTTGTTCCTTGTGATGCGCCTTCTTCAGAACCTATGTAAAACACCATATCGAGCACGCTCGTAGCGGCTCATGCAATAAAAACAAAGTCAGACGCTGCTCGAGAAAAATGCCTCGAGTAGTCCAACAACCGAACACCTACGCTATGCCCAAGAATCAAGATTGTTTGCCGCCATACAATCGAAAACGCCGTACAAATAGTCTTCATGCTGAACGCCGAAGCGTGCCATCTCTCCAAATATGTTACGATTCTGTCTTCTGTCCGTTGCTCTGCTGCGGGGTTGCAGACTGCTTGCCGTTCATTTCGGAGCTGCGCATCTTACTGTACATCCCCTTGACCTGTGGGACGGTAACGCCAGTCCGTGGCCAATGGTTGTTAACCGTGTAGTTCCTGCAAAATAATGTCAATGACTGGACCAACTGTACGTGGTTACTGTTCAACTTACCACAAGCGCTCTTCGAGCTCGGCGTTGTCACGGGTCTCTGCACGGATGAAGTTGCCGATGGCAATCAACTCAGTCTTGAGGACCTTGATCATGATCTCCTTCTGTGGGTAATTCTTCGCTGTTGCCTTCTTGAGACGGTTGAGATTGTCGCGCACCGGTCTCATCTTACGCTCCACGAAATCTTCCGGACTCTTCTCCTTGCTCGTCTTAGGAGTCAAGTCGACGCTGCGGTTATGATTCTGGCTCTGGCTAGGCGCACGAGGTCGCTCCTCCGACGGACGGGGCCGGTCATCTCTAGATCGCTGTCGTTCCAGGTCGCCACTGATCTTTCGTCTAAACTCCGGTGTATCAGTGCGTTCAGGGTGTTCTGAGCGTCTGTCAACACTACCCCGGTCATCGCGGTTGCGATGTGCATCTGATGGTCGGTACTGGTCACTATGCCTAGGCTTATCGTGCTGTCGGTGATCAGTACGACCCTCTGGGCGTCGACTCTCGCTGTTGCTATGTGTGCGCTGAATCGGGCGACTGATATCACGCGACACAACTTTTCTGCCATGACCGGGAGGTGCTGGACTAGCAGAAACGCTCGATGCCTTGTCGGTTCTGCGGGCAGCGTTCAGGTGATGCTTCTTGTTGTTGCGGTGATGGTTCTCCATCAGACGCTTTGCGTTAGGGTCAGCACCAGTCTTGTCCTTGAGGACGGTAAGAAGATAGTTGGCCCGGCGGACCAAGTGCACCGCACCAGGAGACTTTGCATTTTTCTCCTCACCCTTGGTGCGTTCTTCCTTCTTGTCGACGCGGTGTTCCTCCAGGAAGAACTTGTCAGTCAGTCCGAGTTCCGGATCGTCGCGGATTTGCACCCAGGCACCGTAACCATGGCGGGAAATTCCCACGCTGAGCATGCCGTCCTCTCGCGCGCCCCAAGGACAAGAGTAGCTCGCAGGCTTGATAGCGTCTGCAATGCGGAAGTTGTGCCAATCTTGCACAGCCTCGACTGCCTCTTTGAGGATGCGCATTTCGACGGGCCGATCGATGATAGTCTCAGCGTTCAGCTTCTTTACGCCATTGAAGTCGAAGAGTACAGCCTTCTTGTCCTTTTTGGTAATGGCGCGATTCTCGTCAACCTCCAGTTTCTTGAGCCTTGCTTGTTCCTGTTTGACAAGATCTTGGCTGGTAGTGATGACGGTGTTGAGCGTGCTGCTGACAACGTTCATGTCCCGGCCGATCAGCTTCGCAGCCTTGAGCATCTCATCGGCACGCTCCTCCAATGAACCGTATCGTTCGTAGGCACGGATCAAGTTTCGTGTTTCTTTGGTGTTGAGCGGACGCTTCGGATCACGCTTAACGTTGTCGTCTTCTGACGGTTCATCATCGTCGACGTCGACATCCCGGGAGGCCTCCATAGCGCGCTTCTTTGCGGCCCGTTGCTCCCGTGCACTCGCCGCAGCCGCCTTACGTTTGCGAGGAGCACTTTCATCGAGGAGCTTCTGGGTCTGCTCGTCATCTTTCCGCTGCTGTATCTCAGCCTTAACAACCTCGAGCTCTTCTTTGGGAATGATGTCGTCCCACTCCAGGTCGATCTTGACGTCAGTGTACTCGAAGTTCTTAAGGAACTCTGCACCACCATCAGAGGTTAGACCTGCGGCTTGCTCGGTCTTATGCTCTTCGGCGTTCTCCAGAACAGAGTCGATATCGAGCTCTTCAAGCTTCTTCTGGTTGCCTGACTGTTCAAACATCTTCTGACCACGACGTTTCAAAATGTTGTTGATGTCGTCGGCAGAGTTTGGTTCGGCGACAACGCGACTCATCTTGTCGTTGAGCTCCTTCTGCTGGCGATCTGTGACACCACGTTGAATGGTGATGAACTCCAGCATACGCTTGTTGCGAGCTCGCTCCAGAATCTCCTCCTCGATGGTGTCCTTCGAGACGAGACGGTAGACACTGACGGGCTTCTGCTGACCAATACGATGAGCTCGAGCCATGGCCTGCAAATCGGCCTGAGGATTCCAGTCCGAGTCAAAGAGAACGACTGTGTCAGCAGTCATCAAGTTGATACCCAAGCCACCAGCACGAGTCGACAAAAGGAAGCAGTAATCATCACTGCCAGGAGCGTTAAAGTGATCGATGGCAATCTTCCTCTCGCTTGCCGGAACAGTACCATCCAGACGCTGGTATGTGTAGTTGCGAAGTTTGAGGTAATCTGTTAGGATGTCCAGCATATGAACCATCTGACTGAAGATTAGGACACGGTGACCATCTCTCTTGAGCTTGGTCAACAGTTGATCAAGCAACATCATCTTTCCGCTGGTGGTGATGAGTGCCTTCAAAGTCTCGTCCTTAGTGGCATCGCCCTTTATGAACTTAGCCTCGGCGTTGGGGAAGAGCAATGCATGGTTGCTGGCTTTCTTCAACTCCATGACGATGTTCAGTAAAGACTGCTTCTGACCGGAACCGCCTTCGTTGAGAGCCTCGTAGTTACGAGTGAGGATGTTCTTGTAGTACTCAAGCTGGATGTCGGACAACTCAACGCGAAGAATCTTCTCCGACTTTGGTGGCAGATCGTTTTCGACCTTCTCTTTTGTGCGGCGGATCATGTACGGTTGGATCGCCTCGCTGAGCTCGGCAAGCTTGTGGCTGGCATCTTCAGACGCAAGATCGACCTCCTCATCAACAGTGATCTTGCCTGGCATGAGGAAGTCCATCAGCGCAGACAGTTCTCCTAACGTGTTCTGAATAGGAGTGCCAGTGATGAGTAGTCGACTTGGTGCGCTGAAGCCTCGAAGCTTTTCATACAGCTGAGACTCGCGGTTCTTCAACCGATGCGCTTCGTCAACAGCAAGGAACTGCCACTTGATGCTTGACAGAAACTGCCAGTCAGCAAGGACGTATTCGTATGTTGTCAACAACACGTTGAACTTGATCTTCCTAGGATTGCCATCAACGAGAAGTTCCTTGTCTCGGATGATGCTTCGAGCGTCTTCCCTGCCAGTGTAGATGACATAGTTGATGTCAGGTGTCCAGTTGTTGAAGGTGTCCGCCCAGGCCGGCATGGTTGAGAGAGGCACAACGCAGATGAAAGGTCCATCCTGGCCACGATCGTGTCGCAGCCAGTTCATGAACGAGACAGTCTGCACAGTTTTGCCAAGACCCATCTCATCAGCCAAGATGACATTGGTCCCTCTACACCAGTTGTGCGCAAGGAAGTTCACGCCTTGCAGCTGGAAAGGTCTCAGTCGGCCAAACTTTATGTAGTCCGGCTGCTCGTCGAGCTTCACGAACTTCCGCCGTGTCTTCATGTTCGACTCGCTCAAGTCTGAGGATGGACGATTCGAAGAGCGATCGAGAAAACGGTCGATCTCGGTCTGTGAGAGGCGACTGACAAGAGAAGCAGGCTCCCATGTGCAGAATTCGTAAGTCAAACCCTTCCCTAGCACAACGTTAGATCTGCTTGAGCCATGGCAGCAAGTATGGGAGACTTACATTTGACGTAGTACTCTGTCTCGCCTTCGCCGTCTTGTGAGTCGATGACACGCTCGACAACTTGGAAGTCAAGCTGGCTTTGACGTTCAGTCTCACGGGCGACCATGTGTTGCTCGTACTCCTCGGGCTCTTGCTTTCTCTTGTAGGTAGCGTACATGTCGGCCATGACGGGACCTTTGAAGTAGTTGTCCAGCTTTCGAAAGCCTTTATATGAAGCTGCTGTTCGGTAGTCTTCCCACGTGGAGTGGTAGTGTGCCTTGTCTTGCCATTTGATCAAGTACTCGAAGTCCTTCTTCTGGGCATATGAAGGGTCAACTTCTGTGCCCTCTAGTGGCCGGTGGTCGAGCACCTTGTCGATGATGGGACCGGTCTCTTCAGGCACGTTGGCCCAGTAGGCGGGTGTAGTCTCATCTTCAGACTCTAAGAAGGAATCTTCGTCCTCTTCTTCATTGTAGTTGGTAGCTTGTGCGGTGCGCCGTGAAGAGAAGCGGACCTCCGCTTGTGATGGGGGCAGCGATCCTTGGGCCACAAGCAGTTGCCGTTGGCGGTCCTTCTTGCTGGGCATGCTGCGACGAGGGCCAACGTAGCCATCAGAGTCAGAGTCAGAGTCGGCTGACCGGAAGACTGGTGTAGCTTGCTTTGACGCTATGACGATGGATCAGTACGACTCGAGGTGAAAACTGATGGAGTAACACACCTTTGCGCGAGGCTGTGCGCTGTCGTTTACGAGGCACGTCAGAGCCAGAATCATCATCCTCATCGCTGCTATCGACCTAGAACTGGTGAGCATCATCTCCTGTGGCCCTCTTGGGGTAGCTTACCACTCGACGGTGAGGCCTGGCGCGACCCTGGGTTACAGTTAGCTCATGATCACAGAGGTGGGTGATGCCACGTACGCTGCGACGCAGGCCATAAAGCTCGGGGTTCTGTGTGATGTAGTCGTCCCCTTCTGGGCTGGCCTTCCGTTTCGACGGTCTACTGGACTCTTGGGACACTGAGCTGCGGGCATCATCACTCTCTGCCTGCTCCGGCGGCGGTGATTCAGAATCATAATCGCCGTCCGCCTCGCCCTCAGCATCCACATCATCAGAAGATTCCGAGTCCTGGGCCATCTCTACGTCTTCGTCATCGTCTTCGCCTGGTGCGTCGGCGTCAGAGGCTGGCTCTGCTACGACGTCCTCGTTGGTGTTGGACATATCGCTGTCACTGTGGGATGCCAGACCGTTCGTCGCCGTTGTGTCAGCCGCGTACGGTGAGCCGTGGCCGTTCGTGAGTGGGAGGGAGACTACATGGCCCTGCGAAGTGGGCATCATGATGGACGTAGCTGTGAGAGATGGTCAGCGTAACATCTCGAGATGCGCATAGGTCCAGCGGGCGAGAGCGGGTGCGTTGGATAGGGCGGAACTACGCGACTCAAACGGACCAGAAAGCAGCCAGGGACCGAGGGAAGGACTTCTTCAATGGAGGTCTGATGGAATGGGTCGATAGTCGATGGACGAGTGATGGAGGACAGGCAGCTGAGCGGTGTAGCTCTATTGGTGGGCGGAGAGTGTAGAATGGGCGATAGAGGACGCGCTGAAGCGATCGAAGCGTTGTACTCGTCTGTACTAGGTGTCTTGGGCGTGTTGCTAGATGCACCGACATGGATTCGTGATGGATTGATGGACTTGAGCGAGGCCGGCGACGCGCGAAAAAAGGGCGCGTCCAGGAGTGCGGGACTGGCAGACAAAAAAAACCAAAGGGACGGGTACTCACAGTCCATAACGAAGCTGCCCTCAGGCTGGGTGGCCGGGGTGGGCACTTGGTGTGAGTGAGGTATGGGGTAGTGTGCGAGGAATCGGGATGTTCAAGTTCGGCCTTCAGGGCTTGGGGGACGAACTGCAGGCGCGGCCCACCGCCAGACCCGCGGCCACCAATCAGCGTCGACCAGAGTCGCTGACAACAGCCTCGTCGATTGTTCGTCGCGCAACGTCACAGGAAGAAAGCCCTGCGAATCTCTCTCTACGGTTCCTCTTGCGCCTCCACCACTCTTGCACCTGTTGCAGCGTCGTTGTCTGCACTTAGCCCCTGGCGTTTGTTTGGCGTGCAGCGCGTACCCGGTCCTCTGCTCGATACCTCGTCTCTCGCTGGCACACTCGAAGGCCAAAATTCACCCCGCCACCACCGCTTTTCGACATTCTTTGAAGCCGCGTCCAGACGCCGTCAACCACCACCACCATGTCGGACAAGCTCACCCGGTATGTTGAACCGCTCAGTACGAGTACGCGTATTTTGATTGACATATGACAGTATCGCCATTATCAACTCGGACAAGGTACCCCGCGCTGTCCCCCCCCTCCACACACAAATTTTTTGGCAGGGCTAACGTGAGGATGTTCGTGATGACAGTGCAAGCCGAAGGTGAGTGCGAGAAACGCCCCACTTCTAGTCCGTGCACTAACAAGTAGCAGAAATGCAGGCAAGAATGCAAGAAGTCGTGTCCCGTAGTCCGCACGGGCAAGCTGTGCATCGAAGTCACCCCCGAGTCCAAGATCGCCTTCATCTCTGAGCGCCTATGCATTGGTTGCGGTATCTGCCCGAAGAAATGCCCCTTCGACGCCATCAACATCATCAACTTGCCCACCAACCTCGAGACCCAGGTCACCCACCGATACTCGGCGAACAGCTTCAAGCTGCACAGGCTGCCTATGCCCCGTCCTGGACAGGTGCTGGGTCTCGTTGGAACAAACGGTATTGGCAAGAGTACTGCCCTCAAGATTCTCAGTGGCAAGCTCAAGCCCAACTTGGGACGCTACGACAACCCACCTGACTGGGAGGAAATCCTCAAATACTTCCGTGGATCTGAGCTGCAGAGTAAGCACACTGAGGCGTTGTGCTGAGTCTGTTGTACTAACAGCCTGCAGACTACTTTACCAAGATCCTCGAAGATAATCTCAAGGCCGTCGTCAAGCCCCAGTATGTCGACCAGATCCCCAAGGCCATCAAGGGCCCCGAGAGGGCTGTTGGAAAGCTCATTGGCGCACGCGCACAGATGGATAACCTTGACGACATGATCGACGAGCTCGAGCTCAGGCACATCTTTGACCGTGAGGTCAACCTGCTCTCTGGTGGAGAACTTCAGCGTTTCGCCATTGCCCTTGTCTGCGTGCAGAAGGCCGACGTTTACATGTTCGACGAGCCTTCCTCTTTCTTGGATGTCAAGCAACGTCTTGCCGCCGCCCGCAAGATCCGGAGCTTGCTCCGCCCTGACGACTACGTTATCTGTGTCGAGCACGATTTGTCCGTTCTCGACTACCTTTCCGACTTCATTTGCGTTCTTTACGGAAAGCCCGCCGTTTACGGTGTTGTCACACTCCCAGCATCCGTCCGTGAAGGCATCAACATCTTCCTGGACGGTAACATCCCGACTGAGAACCTGCGTTTCCGTGAGGAGTCGCTGCAATTCCGCATTGGCGAGGCTAGTGACGAGTTCATGGTCGACCACGCCCACGACTACAGCTACCCGAAGATGTCCAGGACACAGGGTAACTTCAAGCTGGACATCGAGACTGGACAGTTCAACGACTCCGAGATCATCGTCATGATGGGTGAGAACGGTACTGGAAAGACTACCTTCTGTAAGATGCTTGCTGGTGCCCTGCAGCCAGACGGCACAACCAAGGTCCCCAAGATGAGCATCTCCATGAAGCCTCAGACCATCACACCCAAGTTCCAGGGCACCGTCCGCCAGTTGTTCTTCAAGAAGATCAAGGCTGCTTTCCTGAGCCCTCAGTTCCAGACTGATGTCTACAAGCCGCTGAAGATGGACGACTTCATTGACCAGGAAGTCCAGAACCTGTCTGGTGGTGAATTGCAGCGTGTCGCTATTGTCCTTGCTCTGGGTCTTCCCGCCGATATCTACCTGATTGACGAGCCCAGTGCTTACCTCGACTCCGAGCAGCGTATCATCGCTGCTCGTGTCATCAAGCGATTCATCATGCACGCCAAGAAGACCGCTTTCGTTGTCGAGCACGATTTCGTCATGGCCACCTACCTTGCCGATCGTGTTATTGTCTTCGACGGTCAGCCTGCCGTTCACGCCCGCGCTCGCGCACCTGAGTCTCTCCTCTCTGGTTGCAACTCTTTCTTGAAGAACCTGGACGTCACTTTCCGTCGTGACCCCAACTCTTACCGCCCGCGTATCAACAAGTACAACTCTCAGCTCGACCAGGAGCAGAAGTTGAGTGGAAACTACTTCTTCTTGGAAGATGATGCTTGAAGTTGTTCATGACCAAAAGTACGATGCCCCTCCCCAGCGCCGCCCTAACGGGCATGCAGCGCTCGGAGGCACCAAAAGGGGAAACAAAAAGCGAGGTCTGAGGGCGCACTCAAGCTCCCTGGATGAGGACATTGAGTGTGATGAGGACGATGCAGAGGATGAAAGATCGTGATGGCGGTCGACCTCCTGCGCTGTTTGATCCAATCAAGTCAAGCAAACACAGTCAGACAGCCCGGGTCAAGCTAGGTGACCGCCATCGACCCTAGACAGACACGAAGATACATGTGAGAGAGAAGGCCGTTCACGAGCCTGGTGGATGTAGATAGTAACCATACCCTGAGAAATGATTCAAATGCCCCACACATGTCTGTTCTTATCACAAAAGTGAACACCAATCAACTGTTCAGCCACTTCAGAACCAAGCCCAACTCCTCCTTCATACTCTCCTCCACCTTCCCCGGTCCCATAACCTCTCCAACCCTGAACTCCACCCTCCCCCTCAACTCTTCCAACGGACTCAACAACGCCTCCATCTCCTCCCTCACACTCCATTCATGGTTCCAGCTGACTCTCCGTATCGATACGATCACCGTCTTTAGCTCTTTCGCCTCATCTCTCAGCAGCTTAATCTGGTCGTCCAACCAGTGCGCAGACATTTGCTTGATCGTAATCGAACCCACAGCCGGGGAGGTGCCGCTAGCTCTCATCGTCCCCGGCAGGAGCAAGAGCTCAACTTTCTTTATCTTTCGGACTATATGTAGGGAGCTTTCGGAGATTTTGTTGCTCCGGTTGTTGAAGCTTTGCGCTACGAAGCGGAATGTGCAACGACTGAAGTAGTATGTTGATAGTTCTTGGAGAATTTTGCGGTTCGCCAGGATGAGGCTTAACGGTGGTCCGGTTAGGTCTATTGCTGCGATGGGTGATAGACTTTTGTAAGGGTAGCTACGCGGTTCAGGAAGGCAGAGGTGGTCGTATATTGCGTAACGGAGTTCAATCGGTAGGCGGAAGAAGGGTGAGGTTGTAGCCATTTTGGTTGAAGTCATTGGACTCGGTTGTGATACTGAACAATGATGTATGCTGAAGCAAGTGATTTCTTCGCTGTTGGGATGGTCGCAGTCAACCACAGACAGCTTTGCACGCTGATTTAGGCCGGCGATGGATTCGGAAGCTCTTGATATATGTTTGATTGTTTTGTGATGTTCTATCGACCTGTCTGCACAGAGCGTGGTGTTGCAGTTGGACCCGAGGACTCCGAGTGGGGCAACGGCATGACGTGCATGAACCAGCCAGTCGGTGTCCCAGCCTCAAGGATGCAGCAGATCCAAATGATCATTGATCTCCGTATCCGCAACTCCTATGGTACAGATTGGGCACTCAACGAGCGTCTTCTTCTCAACAAGTAATTGGCCATCGTCCGTGTCGGCTCGCGGCCGTTTTTGGCCTGCGCTGGAGCTCACTATAGCGTCCTTGATTATCGCACTCCGCGAGGTTTCATCCTCTTCGTCCAGCGCAATGGGCTTATCAGAGGTTTTACCCTCAGTATTACTGTCCTTTCTCTTTGATGTTGTGATCCACTTGTCGAGCTTGTTCTTCTGGCGTCCTGCTCTCTCCTTACTGCTCATATTCTGGAGCTGCTTCTTGGTAAGCTCAGGCTCACTAATCTTTGCGTACGTCCCTCCACATTCAGCTTCGTGTCTCGCCCACCAAGTGTCACCTTTGCCAGGTGCTCGGTTCATGCTACGCTTCACCTGGCCAAAGAACGGTGGCTGGGTCTTGCATCGGCCGTGGCACTGCCAGACATGGGTTCGATAGCTGTCTACCTCGTCGTGGAACGTGTGGTAGATGGTAACCTCGTAGTTGCCGTGGTTATTGATAGCGTCAGCCAGCAATTGAAACCCTACACCATGACCTGTGCCATCGTCACCCCTCGAATGTTTCCACGACGTCGTGATAAAGAAGTAGGCGTGTATAGCCTCGTGCAGTAGCGTGTTGATCGTGTCAGAACGTGGACGGTACTGCAACAAAGGAGTGCTCAGCTTCAGACGGATGCGTGTGAACTTGTTGGTCGACGGATCCTTCGAAAGTTCACAGATGCCAGCACATCTAGATTTAGAGTTAGCATACGTTTCGCACGTGAATCTGGATGCACGTGGGACGGCCCGGCTGTCAATCTGAGACCATGCTCCAGAAATGTTCCGGTGAGACAGTCACAGATGGCAACCCAGCGCAACACATGGAAGCAACGCTTACAGGGTCAGTCGTGGCGACCAGATCACCTCGACTCGTGGCAACAGAAGGTTCCCGAAATACAGCTTATCGTAGTACCCGAACAGCTCAAAGACATCGACGAACGGCTCTCCGTCGTTAGTGATGGCGTCAATAGCATGCAGTGCATCTTGTTGCTCCGTCGACAGTGGATCTAGGGTTGCAATTGCCTGCAGCGCGGCGTCCTCATCCGTGATGGGCATTGGAACACTGGGCGACAAAAGAGGCACGTTTCATGCGGGCGTATCGATATCGTTCCGGAACACGAGCCGGTAGGGCAGAGTGGACAGGCATTGGCTGTCAAGCATGTGGCCTCGTGGCTAGGGAATGGGGATCTGGCAGGTCGGTCCGCCTTCTTAGGGCCTTAGCTGCTGCGGAATGACTGCTTGATGTCCAAACCGTTCACGCTCAAGGCACCGCCCGTGATTTGTACCTGGAACCCCCTTGCAGTGCGCTTTATTGCAACCCATCCCTTTTGCCGTGATTTCCCTGATGTGCACTGTCCGCTGCCGTGAGGAATTTTGAACACGTCGAAGGCACGCAGAGAGAATAGCGATTGTCCACGACGCACACTGTTGTTATGACGCACGCAGCACGCCTGTCCCACATGCACGCAGCGCCGCCCACAAACAGCACGAGCACACAGCAAACACCCAGCCCTCACGCCCGCCCTAACACCACTGCGACGAAACCCTCACGTGCGCGCTTCATTCACCACACGCATGCGCGCGCTCGCAGCAGAGCCTGAACGAAATGGCGGCCGTCGACACTCCACGGTCCGTTGATCTCGTGCGCACCGCCTCGCAGACTTCGACGCACTCCAACCCCAGAAACCGCAGCATACAACGCGTACGGCCAAGCAAGCGAGCCTCAAATGCGTCTATGAGCCGCAGCCGTAGCAGGCACCCTTCTCCACCCGAGGACACCAAGAGTCTGACCTCATTCCCCTCGCTATCACCGAGTCCAGATGCATCCCCAGTACAGTCGCGCATCAACGGCTGGTTTCGCGCTTCCAGTGGTGTGGCAGACGAGATTGTCAAAAATGACGAGAGCAACATTGTAGCGTCGCCAGATACTGTAAAGGCTGTGCCGCCACTTGATGCTGCAAAGAGCCCTCTTCCAGCGGCAACGGTGAGGAAGGTTACCAAGTCGACACAGCAGATTGTGGGAAGCTTGATGGGCGCACCCTCAGCCAGAGACCGCTCCGCACTCTTCGACGACACACCGGCCGAACCCTCGAAAGTGCCTGGCAACTTGCACTTCTCCACCGACCAGAACATCCGAGATATCATCGACCAGGCCGGCGCCGTTGCCCTTGTCAGGCAGTTGGCCGGCGATCTAGCACAGCGAGATGCCCAAATCACTGCTTTACGACGAAGAGCCGAGGAGCGGGAGAGGATATTGAAGAAGATGCTCCAGGAATGCGAGGTCTCGAACATGGACATCGAAACCCGACTTCGCGATCTCGAGAAGACCAGAGAACAATCGAACGAAATTACAAAACAGCGAACAAGGGGTGACAGTGCGCTCTCTGGTCTGCATCCAGATGACCCTATGGAAGACAGACTAGCACGGGCTATGGAGGACGAAGTCGCACAACACCCTGACGCTCTAGGCATCGACACTGTAGGCTCAGCACCACGGGCTGACGTGGCCTCGATCTACTCAACTGCTTCAGACGCACCACGCGACACAGGGCGACCCGGCTGGAAGAGCTACATTTGGAATGGCACAAGCAGAAAGAGCAGCAGAGCTCCCTCGGTTGCAAGCATGGTCGATAGAGACGCGTCGAGTCTGTCAGGGCAAACAAGGTCACGGGCGAACAGTGGAGCCAGGGCACCTCGAAAGGCTCTCGTAAACGATCTTTTCGTACCTCCCGGTTCAGCTAAAGGAGGCAATGCGGTCCCCGCTCTGCGCCGCTTACAGAGTCACGACCAGTGCGGTGAAGGTTCGAGTCGTCGATCCTCCTCAGTATCTCTCGCAAGCTGGGCGTTGAAGATGGTTGCTGGGAATAACCAAGCGAGCAACACCAAGGCTAGCACAGTCAGAGGCCGCAAGCGCACAGATTCAGACGCTGCAGATCGTACACCTTCTGTGGTGTCGACACGAACCACTCAGTCTGCTAAATCGTCTCTGGCGAATGTCCAGAAGCGAAACCTTGGCCCCAACGGAACTATCAAAAGTATTGCTGGCGACACGCCAAAAATTGGTTCCAGCATTGCAAGCCCACAGCCTTCTCGCGGCATGAGCAACCTTGGACCAGTTGAAATGGACCGTATATTGCCTGAGGACTCAAGACCACCGACATTGGTCCAGCATCACAACCGATTCGTTGGAAGCAGCGAATACCTGACCGATCGATTTGGATTCATTTACGATCAGCGTCGAAAGAAGAGACAAAGCGAGGCCGCAGCTGCTTTGACCCAACACAAGCGAAACAATAAGGTAGAGTCTCTTGGAGGTGGCAGATCTGTTGTCAACCTCATGGGGCTTGACGAAGAAAACGAGGACCCTGCTTCAGCAGCGAGCGGCGACCCTTCACGACCCTCCAGTTCAGGCTCGGATGATCTGAGCAACAAACCCGTATCTAAGTCGTGGGTTGACTACCTCAAGCTTGCGACACAGCCAACTGAGCTCTTGTCCCACACGCCATCCGCAGCACCTATCACGACTGTAACCGTGGAGGCTGCCGAAGCTGAATTGTCCAACCCAAAGAGTCAGATCACAATGACTAAGCGCGGGTCTCTGCCATCGTCGAGCACGAACCCAGAGCCTGCACCAACTCGTGTCTTTTCGAACCATGCCGAGCTCTCTGTTGTCACACCTTCGACACCCACAACGCCGATCAGCCCCTACCCACCCTCTCAAACCGACCCTGTGAAGTCGCTGCTAGACCAGATGAGTGAGCTCCACGATAACATCCAGAAGGAGCGAACGCAAATCTGGAATGAGTTTCACAAGAAGGCCCGGGCACAACAAAAGCGTGAGGGCGATGCCGCTGCCGACAGCGGCTCGAAGGCTATGCCTGAGACCCTCCTCACTGACGGGGAGATCATTGGCATTGCCAGCTTAGGCAACAAAGGCAAGGTTGGCCGCGCCAAATGGCAAGAGTTTCGTCGCCTCGTTCTGGGTGGCATACCTGTCAGCTACCGAGCTAAGATCTGGGCTGAGTGCAGCGGTGCCTCCAGCTTGCGCATACCAGGCTACTATGAAGACTTGGTTAACAACGGCGAAACCGATCCCTCGATTGCAACACAGATCGAGATGGATATCACGCGTACGCTCACCGACAACATATTCTTCCGCACGGGACCTGGCGTGCAAAAGCTGAACGAAGTCCTGCTTGCATACTCACGTCGCAATCCAGAGGTTGGGTACTGCCAGGGCATGAACCTCATTACTGCTTGCCTCCTGCTCATCATGCCTACCGCTGAGGACGCATTCTGGGTTCTGGCCACAATGATCGAAAACATTCTGCCCCAGAACTACTACGATCAGAATTTGCTCACTTCTCGCGCCGATCAGACAGTTCTACGCTCATATGTTGTCGAGTTGCTGCCAAAGCTGTCTGCCCACCTCGACGAGCTAGAGATCGAGCTTGAAGCGTTGACCTTTCAATGGTTCCTGTCTGTCTTCACAGATTGTCTTTCGGCCGAGGCGTTGTTCCGCGTTTGGGACGTTGTTCTGTGCATGCACGATGGTTCGACTTTCCTCTTCCAGATCGCTCTTGCCCTGCTCAAGCTGAATGAGAAGGCGCTCCTGCAGTGCGACACCCCAGCAGGTGTCTACCACTACATCAACCACCAGATGACGAACCACGCTATCTCTATCGATGGCTTGATACAAGCTTCTGATGCCCTAGGTCGTTTCGTCAAGCGTAAGGATGTTGAAGAGAGGCGTGCACGGGCCGTGGCGCATGAACAAGAGCTCATGAGGCAGCGTGAGGAGGCACGACTCGAGCGTGCCAGGAAGAGGGCTAGCAAGGCCTCTGTCACTACCGAAGAGCCAGTGTCGCCTGTGACGCAAGAGGACACGAAGTCGATATCTGCCAGTCTCGATGCAGAGCTGTCGATGCAGACGAGTCCCATGCGTACACCTTTGTCTGGCCATAGTCAGCGCAGCGAAGAAGAAGAAGATGCAGAACGACTGAACCGCGAGCTCGAACTCGCTGAACGCACGCCGATGCCTATGGAGGAGGAGTTCTCGTGGCGAGCGTAGTAGAGTGTTGGGTACAGCATCATAACTTTTTGAGCATACACTTTCCTTTGTCAACCACATTGCATCGATTGGCGCTATATACTTTATTGTCTTGGGTCGCGTAGCATACATATACCCCTTTCCTTCCTTTCTATGCCGCATGCTGCATACCCTTTTGGGCCTTCGATACCCTCACTTTTCGTTTTGTGTCGATAGACTCTGACTCATCCTACAGTTAGGTAGCTTTGTTGCATAATACATATCAACGCAATTCGTTGGGTAGCTCACATTGACACTGTTGTTGGGTGTCTTCTACATCTTCAAGCCCTAACGCCATGGATACTGGAAAGCCTTCTGGAGACGCATCAGCTACAGCTGATCAGCATATACTGTACTAGGCCAAAAGTTTGTTCGCTTAGCGGACTTCCTTACCAAAAGTCACCTCTTTCACCTTAAGATATCTACCTTTCTAAATAACACAGAGCTATAAAGTTATACTTTTTGGAAAAAAAAATAGTAAAAGAATATATTCTAGAAGTCTTAAATCTTTATCTTATTTCTAAGACTTGAGAGAGTAGAGAAGATAGCAAAGATAGATTCTCTAAGAAAAAAGGAAGATTAAGCGGGGTTCATTACTAGTTTCTCTTTACCCCTCATCTAATTTTATACAAACTTAAGATTAATTGCTAAAACCTAAGAGTGTTAGAAACAGATATTCACTTCTATAATTCTTTATCTTATATTATTCAAATAAGCAGAGGCTGTTATATTTATTATAGAATATGGTCAATTTTGGTGGGGTGAAGCCGTCGCAAACAGACTTTTGGCACCCGACTGTAATACCATCCAGCCCCGTGCCCAAAATTTCAGGACTACGTTTACCAGCAGTCGCCGTGGCACAGTTCTGTACGCTTGCTACGCCTTCGCCCAGGAAATGAGTCTCAACCCATTCAATGCTCATTCATGTTTTCCACAATTAGTTTACCTGACTCCGAAGGTCGACCCAGCGATGTATTTAAGGCTCCGTTGTACGTCTGGGGTGATCAAAACTCTCACCAGCAGATTCGCTGCGAGGGACGCTGGCTTTGGGTGCCGACTACATTGTACTCGTTTCTACTACGTCTTCAATCGAATCGCCAATATCGGGTACTGTGGGCGGATGCAGTATCAATAAGCAGAATGTGCAGGAGAAAACGAAACAAGTCAGCATCATGGGTCATATCTTCTAACAAGCCACGTGCTCCCTCTTCTGCCTGAGACCGACGGAATCCGACTTTTCCCTTTGATACGCGCTTCAATTTCTTACAAGCGCTCAGAGCGACATCGAAAAATGCGAACGAATCCTTCGAGACGGGAGCGCTGACGGCATCAATTTCGTGGACCCGGTTCTGGAGATTGGAGAAGGACCGTTCCATTGTATCAAAGAATTGCTGAGCCTTGAATGGTTCCATGGACTGTGGATAGTCGCTGTCTAAGAAAGGACTGTTCATCTACGGCCGAGAAGAAATCCCTAAAGAGGTGCTTCTGAGATTCGTCACCATGTTCAGCGTCTTCGCACCCAACGTCTGCCGTCGATACAATGCGTTGAGCGAGGTTCAACAGGCATACAATATGATAACAGCTTACACGTTGTCCCATATCAATTTGATGGTCGATCCAGAAGTGGCTGTAGTACGAAATGTGCCGAAGGCCAGGCTGGACCTTTCCTTTATGCACATATTGAATAGGATACGAGACGGCGGTTGTAGAGCAACGCTTGCGATAGACTATATCTAAGCATTTCTCGGACATCCTAAAGCAGTGGTCAATTGCAACACTCTCGTCAGGATTGATTACACGGTTCCGGCCAGAAAGGCATTCCAAGCCTTCACCGAATACTGCCTGAACAACGACGGCCTGAAACTACTCTCTTGTTGTGTCTACCACGAAGACAAGGAACTCAACCCGGCATGGGAACCTTCCTGGGTTCCGAGATGGGACATACCGAAGCCGTACGTGGAGCTTGGTAGAGCCTTAGGTTCGGCCTCCTATCACGCAGGGACGCGAACTCACGACGAGCGCACCTTACAGAATCCGTATCGCAGTGCGCGAACTAAACATGTTCGTTACAAGATTTATCGTTGGGAGTGTCAAATCAAGTTTTCAGGCATGTCACAATAAGCTATGCGAAAGCGGTTCATTCCCCAGAACTTGGGACATCTTACAAGCGGCAGTCGCAGCAGAGATGAACACTGTGCCGGATTGCGAGTTCATGGTCAAGCTCTTGACAGGTGGACATATGGGTCAGTGGTCTTCCATGTCTACGCTAGCGCTCTTCCAAGTGTGCTCCTCATGTCCAGTGGTTCCACCGGAAATGGTACCTTCCACTCAAGATTCCGTCTTCATGATATGGTTGGACGAGCATGTACGCGAAAATGCTCAAAATTCTGCAGAAGCAGAAGCTTCTTTATCACCAGCGTTGGGTACTTCGGCTTGGGTCCACATATTATGCAAGATGGCGACATCTGCTGTGTGCTGTATGGGGTGCATGTCCCGATGAAATTGCGAGAAGCATCTCGAGGCGAGTTCCGGCTGATCGGCGAGGCTTACATCGAGAGTATCATATTTGAAGCGGAGCCGGATCGGAATGAAGAGCGTGAAGTTGTGCTGATTTGATGCTTCTCAAGGTCCTGTTGCTCGTATCAACAGTCGTGTTCTGGTTGACATGTCAAGCAAAAGTACACTCTGTATTAGTTGGTTTTTTCGACGACCTCAAGCAAGATCAAAGGGACACATTCAGGAGTTACCTTGATGCCAATTTTATTTCAGGTCATTATGCTCTTGTCGTACCAAACTGAATCGCGACTTACCAAACACTTCAAACTATCGTACATCTGCGGCGCTCGGTGATTGTGTTTGTCGTGGAAGGGTGCCGTATCCCTGATCTCAGTCGTTGCCGACAACTCAAATGGCGTTTCTTCATCGTCTGAACCAAATTGGAGTGACTGCCTCAGCCAATGAGCCGTAGTCTAGGACAGACCCTCACTATCCAATGTTTAACCATTGTTTCCCAGTCGATACGCTTGATCCCTCTGATAGTCGCCAAAGCTCGACTTGATGCGCGTTTGCACAAGCATGAAGAAGTCTTCCATTGTGATTCCTCCCTCGACAGTGTATGGGGTCCAGGCTTTGCATCGATAGGACGGATCGAAGGTAAAGTCGCATTCCATCGTGATGGTCTGCGCTGGTGGTTGCGAGATTAGCATCTTCCTCCATATTGCACCCGGCAAGCCTTGCGCAGTCCGGCAGAGCGCTGCAGGATCTCTGCGATTAACGTAGTCTGCCCGGGAGGTAGAGGAGGAACTCTGTCCACTGGCCTGAGTGTTCAGAGGGTGCGCCGAGCGAAACATGTTTTGAAGAATGGGGTTGAACACAACGTCATCGGCGGAGAATCTTGCTCGCTGGAGCTTGGATGGGTGGTTGTAGGGCTTGCCAATATCGATCCAGAAGACTGGCTGCTGTTGGGGCTGGTCCGCGCGAAGTCTTCGTGTGTCTATGACGAGCTTGAAGACAAGTGCTGGGCCATCGCTAGGATCCTCGACATTCGTGCTGAGGAACAGAGCCTGCTGCAACTGCGGAGACCGAGAGATGGCTGCGTTCCAGTGCTGTGAGACACGGAGGCATCGGGCTAGGGCCCAGAAGTCGAGGTGGCTTAGAATGGCTTCTAGTATTTCAGTGGGCAAGGGCCCCAAGGTGGCGCCTCCGACGTTGCTCTCATGGGAGGCAGGTGTACGACCAGCGCCCTCATGCTCCTCCAGCACCGAGTCTAGTACTGCATCGTGGTAACAGTGTCGAAGGTATTGGCAGATAGACTCGACGTAAGCGGCGTGGCGCATCTCAGGGACAGAAAAGAATCATAGACACACACACAGGCGTGTCTACAGAACACAGCACTGCAGAACAGTCACTCATTGATATCGCAATCGAAGTCAACCCCCCAAAAGCAATGCAAAATGGGTTAATACATGACTGCATGTGCCGCCGTTATACCTAGAGAGGCCATTGGTGGGTCTCGGGTCATTTTGCTCCTCGTACGCTGGTCCAAACGTGCGCGTGTTGTTTTCGATCCTCAGTGAGGTTTTGGAAGAGATGAAGATCGAGGAAAGATCGTCGGTGGGGAGGCGTGTATAACGCCAAGATCCCAGCTGACTTAGCAAAATTAGCGTTCCCTCTCCGGTGGTCGTTCTGGCCAATCACCCACGCGCTTGCCCAACTTCACTGCAGTGAGTGCCTGTTCGGGTAATACCCAACTCCACGGCAGCTTCAACACATACACTGTAGTCTTTACGATAAAATGCACCTTTACCAGCACATCGCCCTTGCCTGACACGGGCACACGGGTGGGTAATTACGTCACCTGCGCGGCTTACGCTTTCTGCCGTTTTCCACGACCTACATCATCAACCAAAAATGTCAACGCTCGATACGCTACCACTCGAGATCATTTTCCATATCTTCGATTTCATCTCAAGCCCTCATGATCCAAGCTCATCCGCATCTCATCCACTCAACAGCCTTGCCGCGACAAGCAAGCACTTTGATTCGGCGGTGGAAGAGTACACACGTGCTCTGCTCAAACAACATGCCAACTTCGCACCCCAAAAGAAGTCGAAGATCTACACAAGCCGGAAGAAGTGGTTAGCAGAAACCTGCCAACTCTGCTACAAGAAAAGTAAAAGGCGATCAACGCTTTGGTCCAGTTTGACATGCTGTCTGGCGTGTGATAAGAAATATTTTCCGAAAGTAGTATGTTCAAGAGTACACAGGCATTAAGCCCATTGATTGACGACATGTAGACCATGACCAATGCCATCAAGCAATATGGCCTTTCAAAGCTTGACATATTCACACCAAACCGCCTACATCCCACACTCCCACCTCTGGCACATGGGGAATATCCAGTCATGGGCGGTGTCGCCACCAGTATGCATCACCATCTCAGGTTCATCAGTGATTATTTTACTAACAATTCAGTGATATACGAGCCAGATCTCATCGCGCGACGAGACCACATTCACGGTCAGCTCAGCGCCATGGACAGAGCCGATGCGCATTTGCGCAAACGTGTCAGGCGACATGACACACTGATGGCGCACATGGAAGCTGCTTATTCGACCGCTCGCAAGATATGGTATCGAAGTCCACGATTTCAGAAGGAAGGGGAAGTGAAGTTGGGAAGAGCAAGCATGGAGACACGAGAGAGCCGGGATGAGTTCGTGCGGAAAGGTCTTGCACATGAGCGGGCTGCGATTCGCATGAAAGGTGCCTCAGAGGAGACCGCGATTGAGCTCGATTGACTGGCTTCTTTCACATTGACAGGCGGGCTTTTGCCGGCTCATCGAATGAAGTGTTGAAAGAGATCTCTGAATTAATGGGATTTCTGACTGCTGAACGCCGGTGGCGTGTCACGAGAGGTTCAGCAGCTTTTTGTCAATCTCAACGCTATCTCCAAACTTAGCAAAGACTAATCTCAGACAGCTGATGAACACTGGCCGTAGCCTGCTTAGGGTCGAGTTGCGGAACACAAGCCACTCCCACCAGCTCGTATAACCCGCCTTCGACCGACCTGATGACGGACCTCAACGCATCTTTCTATTGTCCAATAAGCACGTCGTCTAACATACGCGTCTCAGCGCAAAGGAGAGTACTTTCGTTGTTGGATCAGATTCGTTGGCTGCAGGCGTGTCTGAAAACGTCAGTGCGCCAAATTAAGGCCAACTATTGATCGTTTCCATGGCAGCGGTATCTGTGAAATCTCTGCCGGCTTATGGCTCAAGTTCTGGTAATTCAGTTATATTGTCCCGAATAAGGGAGGTAACTTCGTCAAACTTTGATGGAGCGTATCTTGAGTTCTCAGTGTCCGGGTCGTGTGGCATGGAGTAGTACCATGGCACGAATGAGCCCTTCAAGATAGCCCTGTAAACCGTTTGGAGTGCAACAGTGAGCTTTCATGCATACGTCAAGATTTGACAGGTACCTTAGCAGACATGTAATGATGGTTAGGCGATGCTCTTCTGCTAGTTTGAGTTCGAACGTTGGGACTTCGACCTTTATCGTTCCTAGCTTGCCATATAATTTGACTGATGTCGTCAGGATATGCTTGTTACACGTAAGACGAGTAAGTTTGAACGTTTCCCGGCGGGAGTCGTTAACAACAGGTGTGGGTGCTGCCATGAGCTCAGCCCGAGACCAATCCACCGCCCAGAATGCTAAGTTTGGGATCAGAGCACGCTCACGGTTGTAAGCTGCCAGTTAGAGCATGCGTGAACCGGTATACTTCATGAACAGCTGTGTCGCCTGTGCATACACATCCGCGCATGTCAAGGCCTAATCAGGTTGAATCGTGACAGGATCTACCCGACTCAAAAGAGATATTTCAATCAATGCATATATCCCGTCTCGTGGGTCGGATGCATCGATGCGCCGTGTACTTAGAGTCATGTCTTGAATCAGTTCCCATAGGCTTCCCAGTCCAAAGTACGGTTCCTCGATCTCATGATGCCTTGATCTCGCAAGTTATTAAAGATGGGTAGTGTACAAGACCAGCGCAGGAACATCGGCCATGTTGTGAAACCTTCGTGCCTCGTGGTCGATCTTGTTTACGCGAAACCAATCGGAGTCGTGATCAGTCCGCTTCGACAGCGTACGTTCGAAGTATACAGTGAGTGCTGCTTCGTACAGCCTCACGCTTGCGACGAACTCTCTTGCAGAGATGGTCTGATGCCACAGACGATGATCGGATTCAATGATAGCAAGAACTCTTGAGAACCCGGACTCCCGATCACCACGGTCTTTGTATAATCGACGCAAGCAATGCGGATAGCGATAGCTTTCCTGAATCCTGGACGTTGTGAATCACCTCATCGATGATCTTCTTGCCATGAGGGTCGATAAGGCCTAGAGTCTATCCTTCGTAGCCGGATTCGAAGGCGTCGTTTGGACTGGGCCCGCTGATAAGAACGAGTATACCGCATTGCAGCGCCTTACGTCCATAGGCAAAAAAGGATCGAAGGGCCTCGTCGGACTCCTTGGTCGAAAGTCCTAGGTATATTAACGTTTTTGTTGCTTTTAAGTAGATCTTGTCCATCATCTGGACTTGCCAACTCTTCTCTGTGTCATTGGCATGATCCATACACAGAGCATCAACCCATATCGGCGGTTACAACCTTCAATGGCAGCTTCAATGGATCGTTGTAGGCTCACTGATGTCGAATCAACCGCGGATATACGCAAAAACGCTTCAAGCAAGTTTGCTGCTATAGGTATGTATGACCAGTCGTTCAAAAAGATGGCTGACGTAGCAGAAGGATTGCCCCAGACATAGGACAGCGCCTTGTATTTGGGTGCATCCAATAGTGAGACGCACTCAGAATGGCCAGTCAATCCAAGAAAGGAGTCGTTTTCCGTCGGTATGATCTGATCGAGATGCAGTAAGCGTATCTCATTCCGCTCTTGATTTAGAGCAGTGAAGACGTGCATTGAAGGCATTTTATAGACTGTATGCCTGTTTGTTCTGACGCTTACCGAGCTGCATGGTGCCACAGTGCCTTCCTCCCACGCAGAATCTGCATCTCTGCTTCCAACACGTTTTCGATACGTTGATAGTATTTGAATCGACTGCTACTCATCCTGGAGAAGCTGATGTATCAAAAGCTTCTCGTTTGTTCGAACCACCGGTCTGTTTTCACTCTTAGTTTCCCGTGGGTCTCCGCCGGTGCGAACGCGATCTTCCCCACGGTCCCACCAACATTCACATCGCCAACAATAACCCTCATCTTTGCTAGGCGCTTCGATTTCTCTGACCCAGTCTCTGTACTATTACTCTGCCCAGGAGTTCCTGCAAAGTATGTTGAATCTCTAATGAGGCTGCTCGTATAGCCGAGAATTGGAGGTGCGTGACAGAGCCAGCACATAACGAGAGAGAAAACTGCAGCGAAGAACATTACTGCCACCGAGATGACGTAAATGGTTATCCAAGTAACACTGATTGCGTAGACCAATGGTAGGGGAACCTTTGTATGGGACGCGGCGTTCAAGAGTGTGGTCATCCATCGAACTTGCGACATATTTCCACCGAAATTGGATCTGTAAGCCCAGAAGGCTCTCCAAAGTATTGTACAGATGTTCGAAGCGCCTTGTGAAGCTCTCGGTGTCTAGGTTGCCTAGATCCGTCTGTCCTCCATCGAGGGTATCTTCCAGAAAAGCATTGAAGGGATCTTGGATGTACCATTCGACCATGCTGGATTGAGCGCTTCCGTGCTGGATCTCATCTAAGGAGTCTATGAAAGTTTCAAAGAACATTGCTCATATCTGGCCGCATAGCAGTATGTTGTGTTTGGACGGTAGATGCGGCTAGACTCTATGATACTTTGACCTGTCGGTTCGGTCGGGCCAGGTTGCATACGGATCTTATCAACACCACAATCAGGTCGACCGAGATTGCCTCTAGACGAGCATGATGCCTGTAGTTCCACCTATGTAGTATCCGTTGTACAGCTGGTCATGGACAAGAAGTACTTCTGACTTTTTGTACCAAACAGTAGGCGATGATGGTACGTATCAGATCGGTTGGCCATGAGAATGGCGCTGTTGTTTGTTGATGAGACAAAAAGCTTCACGCTTGAGTTCGGTTCGAAGTTTTCCAACTCTGTTTGTCGCTCTGGCTGACGGTGCACGACTTGACGCACGTGTTAAGAGCTCTATCGATGGGAGCCTAAAGTCCACATCATTTGTATTCTCTGCGTATAGTATAGGTAGGTTTGATCTGTCTATTGCGCGTGGCAGATCTCTGACGTTGACTGAGGCTTGGAAAGCTCATAGGAATGTCGAGTAAGAAGAAATAATCTGTGTAGTTATTGCTACTTTGCCGTCCTTACAAAGCACACTATATCTCCTGATCAAGCGCGGCAAGGCTGAAACCGCAAGCCACGACGTAGAGTAAACATGCATGCGCGCCGAATCAATGTGGCAGTAGCCAACTTTAGACAGTCTTCGGCAAGGGTCGCAGTCCGTGCAGCATGCATGGTTCACATAAATAGGTCGATGCAGCCCCCACATTCGTTAGCCTTGCTACACTTAGCTCGCACTTCAGTTAGCTAAACCTGCGAAATGGATATATGCGCATAGGAACGTTATAGGGTACACTTTGTGTTACTCACTCAATAAGCTTGCGCGTGGCATTTATTCTCTCATGCCATAGCTCTCGTATGGGAAGTCCTCCAGGCTCTTGAGCAGCCTCGACCACCCATCATCAGTCTCACCAGGCATGCCAACCTGTCTCTTGCCCTGTTTGACCTCAACTTCCGTCTTCTGCAACTGCTGCTCCTCATCTTCCTTGTGCTCGCCAGTCAACCCGGCCAACACCTCTTTCTCCCTGCCCTTGTACTCGTTCAGCAGCTCCAGGTGAGGTACCCAAACTGCCTGCATACCTGCTCTCCGCCCTGACTCGACACCCGGCACGCTGTCTTCGAACACCAAGCACTCCTCTGGTTGTATCGGTGGCTGGCCTTGAGCCTCGAGCGTCTTGTTGAGCGTGGAGAGAGCGAGGAGGTAGATGTCCGGTGCTGGCTTGCCGCGACCTGCAGGTATCCGTGGATCGTCACCAAGGACCTGGTGCTCGAGCTCGAAGTTCTGGAAGAGGTCGCCGAGGTGCTCGCTCTTGATCTTGAAGTTGTTCTTGTTGCTGCTCGTCGCTAATGCCATATGCACACCCCTCTTCTTGAGTCCCGCCAACAGGTCCATCACACCTGGTAAAGGCTTTGTGTTCGGGAACAGTTTAACTTGCAGTTCCCTTTGCTCCTTGAGGAATTGCTCTTGGCCAATGGGTAGCTGGGCCCATGAGTGGAAGATCTGGCCGGCTTGAGGGCCAGGACGACCTTGTAGTTGCGCCTTGATGGACCATGGTAGGTTTGGCTTGCCGTAACGTGTGAGAATCGTGTTCGTGACCTCTGTGTAGATGTCTTCCGAATCGATGAGCAGGCCGTCCATATCGAACAGCGCCGCGCGAATGCGGGGTGGTGGGGTAGTACTGTAGAAATCAGCATTGTTATACTATACCCACAAGCATAGTGGTGGAGTGTCCATACTTTGGGCTCATCTCGTTGGTTCTCTGCTGGCTATGGATTCGCCCGAGAAAGTTGTTGTACTTCAACACACATCTGCTCAAAGTCAAGTCGCGACCCCACGAACCGAGGCTAGCCGCTAGTGTTCTCAGGGTTCGATCGACGTCACTTCGAAAACAATCGACATCCCACACAGAAAACGCGTCCACACGATGAACCCATTCAAGGACTCCACACCACCTCCAACCTTCCGCTCCGCTATGCCACCAAATGAGGCCGAGCCCGTCACCAAGGCCAATACCGACGCCACCTACACGCCTGAGATCTTCCCACCAGAGGAAGAGAAACAGCTCCTCGATGAGTCCAACACAGAAAAGACTTCCGCAAACAAAACTTTCACATCAGGCGACTACACCACCGCAATTCAAGGCTACGAAAAAGCCCTCGCCGTCTGCCCTACATACCTCGAATATGACATCGCGGTTCTCCGCTCGAACGTCTCCGCATGCCACATCAAGCTAAAAGAATGGAAGGAAGCCGTTGAATCGGCGACAAAAGCGTTAGACGCACTGGACAGGATTGACCCACCACCTGCCAAAGAAGCCGGCGAGAACGGGCGAGGAGATGCAGTGGGCGGTGTCAGTGAAATCGACGACAGCACCGAGATACTCCTCGAAGCACTCACCCGCACCGGACACTCCATCAACGACGTCCACAAGCTGCGCACAAAAGCTCTCTTACGACGCGCAAAGGCACGGCACGAAGTCGGTGGTTGGGCGTCATTGCAAGGGTCGCTGGAAGACTACCAAGCGCTGTCTAAAACGCCGCATCAGTTGTCTGGCTTGGATCAGAAGGCTGTGCAGGCTGCGATGAGGACGTTACCTACTGAGCTGAAAACGACGAAGGACAAGGAGATGGCAGAAATGATGGGAAATCTAAAGAAGTTGGGCAACGGGATTTTGAAGCCGTTTGGGCTGAGTACGGATAACTTCCAGTTTCAGCAAGACCCGAAGAGTGGTGGGTATAGTATGAATTTCAACCAGAATCCTGGGAAGTGAGATGAAAGGAGTCAGGGAGCTGTGAGATTGTTCGTTTCGTAGATTTGTTGGGAAACAGAGCGGTCTGCTTGCGATACCCTAGATTCGAGATCTTCAAAAGAGCATAGCCTTTGCGCAACTCTCGAACGCCTGAGTGCCACGTACGAACAGCTTCCGTATCCCTGTCACACATGCATAATATCTCTCAGTAGGCCACTCAGCTTTTCAAAGCCTCCAGTCTGCCCCTCATCTGTGCCAGCATCTCTGCCTGATCGTCCTCCTCTTCCTCTTCTTCTGGCTGTGCGACAGATGGTAGCTCTTCCTCCTTTGCTTTACTTGCCGGTAGCCTGTCTTTCAAGATGTCTGACAAGACCTTGTCAACCTCCTCTTCCGCCTCTTCGTCCTCGTCCAGCCCCTCGGTGTCCATCAGGGTATCATCCACCATCTCCTCAATAATGCCAGCCTTCATGAGCTCCGACGAGAGCTCACGCATCGTGCCCGTCAGCTCCGGTAACCTGACCAGCGAGTTCACATCCTTCATAATCCCTGTGCTTGCCTTGATGCTGCCCTCGATCTTCCGTACGGAGAAAGCTTCGTTGACCTGCATCTGGACAGAGTTGAGTTGTGCCTTGCTCGTCTGCAGGCGACCGCTCTGTTTCCGTACACGAATCAACTCTCGAGCGAAGATTCGCACCTCCTGGTTCGCTTGCTTGGCCATGGAGGGGTTTCGTTGCGCGCGCTTAGACGACTGAAGGATGAGGTTCTTCGTCTTCTGCTCGGTCATCTTTAGGCCTTGGATGTCGCGGTCCAGTTTGCGCACGTTCTGCCGCACAAGAGCATTACATTTCCGTTTCTGTTGTGGTGTTAGATTGTCATACTGAGGGCCAGATCATGTTGTCCATACCTGCTCTTCTGGTGTGGGCTTCCACAGAAGACCACGAATGGTCTCCATGGCTTGATATCAAGCTATCACAATATTTGGAGTCGTTCGAGGTCAGGCAGCTGCCGGAGCCACGTTCTGCGCCGAGTGCGCGACTGAGGTGGTTGGTCACGACTGTAGATTTGGAGTACTGGGGCTGATCGAGGCGAGGTCGCCTATACTGTCTTTCACGATATGGTGGTAGAGGACGGTAGTTATGCCGCGGCTGCGAGTGCACGGTGGTTAGTGTGCATGTGTGAAGGTGACAATGGTGGTGCCTTGGTTCAGGACGACGGATGCCGGCGCTCGCTCGGGCCAGCTTCAGTGACCTCACGTTTCGCGGGGCAGGTACATCCCACTAGCCGCCAGAGTGACCACCACGCCTCACAACCACTACCTCACCGCCACGATAGTAGCCTGTGCCAATTCATTTGCAAGCGGGAAGCTCCATACTGTACTTGTGATCGTCAGGCTGCAGTTTGCTAGCAAACACTAGCCACAAAACTGGGGCTGAAGCTCGAAGTTCTATAGCTTCCATTGCTTTCTACGCTAGTCTCTCCACAACACCGCATTTCTTCTACCTTCTCGACCTTGACTTTGCAGCAACACGACTCCGTCATATAACACACAAAGCTACCTGCTCCACGCAACCTCTACACCCCATCTCACACCTATACACACACATCTGCAATCATGTCTACACCCACCGTCACACCTGAAGGTAAGTCGCAGCCTTATCGACCCTCGAGCTCTAGACCTGCCCCCCCCCCCCCCAACATCACTGCACCAGCTTGGCAGGCGCGAGCTCTGGAGATCCCGTGCCTCAGCAACACAAGCTAATTCAGCACAGTTACCTGGGCGCAGCGTTCGTCTGATAGCGACCCCGAGAGGAACTACGTCTTCCTCACCATCGTTGCCGCCGATGTCCCCGAGTCCGACCTGAAGCTCGATCTGCAACCCACAAAGCTCAGCTTCAAGGGTGCTTCGACATCGAAAAAGGTCACCTACGCTGTCGACCTCGAGTTCTTCGCCGAGATCGACCCCAAGGAGTCCAAGATCCAGCACAGCGGTCGCGATATCACACTTGTCCTGCGCAAGAAGGAGCTCAAAGAGGAGTTCTGGCCGCGTCTGCTCAAGGACAAGGTGAAGGTCCACTTCCTGAAGACCAACTTCGACAAGGTCAGTTAATCCTAGCAGCAGCGAATACCGAGATCGGCGTGTCTTCAAGAGAACGCGACGCTAACTACTTACAGTGGGTCGATGAGGACGAGCAGGACGAGGCTCCCGCAGACGATGAGATGATGAACCAGATGAACCCTATGGGCGGCGACGGTGGCTTCGGCGGCATCGACTTCTCCAAGCTCGGCGCAGCTCAGGGCATGGGCGGCCTCCCAGGAATGGGTGGCATGCCTGGTATGGAGGGCCTTGAGGGCGAGGACAGCGACGACGACGACGATGAGGATATGCCCGAGCTCGAGAACGACGAGGACAGCAAGGACAAGCCCGCTGCCGCGTCCGCATCAGGCGACAAGCCCAAGATCGAGGAGGTCGCGTAAATGGTTGATACCCTCGCTACGATTGAACGACATGAAAAAGTGGAGGCACGTAGTTTACGACTGTACGGCGCTGCGGCATATCTAGGCGATGTTTTGGTCAGGATATAGCTTAGCATGGAGGCGTTGTTGGGGAAGCGCTGCGTAGAGTCTTCGATGAAACTCGCATGCGTACACAATTGATGACTTCTACACGACAGATGAATCGAATGATACTCCCACTGTTCCTGAACATGATGGACTGTAGCTTGGTCTATGAGTGCTTGTGGTATCAATCGCTCCATAACAAAATACCGCCCAGATGCTTTTTGCTTTTCGTCCTCCGCCCTACATAAATATTAGGCTACCATTTGAGCCCTGGTTCCTAATCACCCCTAATAATCTTTCCCACAAACTTCAACTCCCACTCCGCCGGATCCTCGCCTACAAACTTTGCATTAGCCCTTTCTTCAAGCATCTGAGTCGTCACCGCAATGCCCTCATACCACTCCCTAATCATCACATCCACATCATCACCCCACATAACCAACATCCCATCAGTACTGCGCGGAATTGGCTTCGGCGGTACACCGCGCATCTTAAGCAGCATATTCAAGATATCGCTAAACCGTTCACCTTGCTGCGAGAAAGCAGCCGCAGGCTTATCAAGCGGCCACTTAGGGTGGCGCGGAGCTGGCTGCGCGTTCATGGCCGGCAGAGGCGGGGGCTGCAGAGCCGATGCTAGGTCCTCGTCCACCTTTGATACAGGCTCGGTGTGCGAAGGTTCAGACGGTACTTGCACTTCCCAGGTCCGGAAGAGCCAGCACATGCGCTCTACGCTGGCGAGAAGGATGACAGCAACGAGAAACGTTTCGAAGGGGTTGGCTTGTTGACGTTGGAGAAGGCGGCGCTCGAGTTCGTTCATTACGACGCGGGCTACGCATGCGGCGCGCTTTTCGGTCGCGCCCATGAGTTGCATTTTGATCAAGTTGTAAGAGGAGGGGTGGTCAAGTGTGGTGATGGGGAAGCGTGCGGCATCTTCCATGTCTGAGGAGGATAGTGTCGGTGCTGAAAGGGTGGGCGGGAGAGATGGGTTTGAGAAGAGATGCCAGTGTAGGTTGCGAGATGCGAGTATCCGTGTGTAGTGCCAGAGCTCCAGCACTTTTGGTAACAGACCATCCTGGTTTGGCAAGGCCAGCCTCGATACAGTCTGCTGTGTTGTCTTCATGAATGCTGAGTCCTCTGACTGAAGGAAGTGAGGGCCAATCTTCTTCATGTAGAGGTCCAGCTTCCCGCTGATGTCATCCTCTCCGTCTATGAGCTCGAGATCCGGGGTGCTGACCGCGGCGAAAATTGCTGGATCGATGTCGGCGTTTTGAGCTGCCTGAGCTTGATGACATTTGAGAGGAGTGAAAGTTGAAAAGATACCAGAGTCCGGATGATGGGAGGCTTCTATGCGACCAGGGGTCTGATCCAAGCGTATCTGTCCTTTGGCTGAGGTGGTAGCATGATATGCCAACACACCATGCAGACCAGCCGAGTAGAGGTTGAATTCTTCTGCAATACGTGTCCGTATGCAAGGTTGCTTCCACAATCGCGCACTTTCGACATTCTGGCAGGTGTTGCAGGGGTTGTCACCAGAACACGGTTTCTTCAACATTCGACACCGAATGCATGCGCCTCGTTTGCGAACTTCCTGCACCTCCCTGCGCCGGCTATCAGTGAAGCGCCCCCGGACTTTGGGCTTCATTGGCTTCTGATGGATACTGAAGTCGGTCGTGAAGTGCGTCTGGGGGTTCGGATTGATTGCAATCGGTCGTGCCTGGGAAAATTTTGATGAACCCTCATCTTTTGGCAGCAGTTGATCTTTGGTGTGATCTTGCAACAAAGGATCCAAAGAAGGGTGAGGTTGAAGGCTGGGCCATTGCGGGCGTTGGAAGCCCATGCCGTTGTGCGAAAGATTGAGATCTGAATCCATAGTCATACCGCTTGCCAGTGGCATGAGGTCGTTAGCCGCAGAGGCCGCCATGACAAGTGAGGGCACCATCTGCGCCATAGACCCAGAGCTCGCGAGTGGCATGTTGCCCATGTGAGGCGAGTTCGTCGGCGAATGGTGCAGAGGGCCATTGAACTGATACATCGACGGCAGAGCCGGCGCACTAGACATGTCCATGGCATGGGGCAGACCGCTCAGGTCGGTGCCATCAGTCCTATCGTCTTGAATCCACTCATCTAGCAATTCTCCGTGTCCTGCGTTGTGATGCACCTGCGAAGGCGGCCCTCGCTGCTGTTGTTGTTGATGATGTTGTTGTTGCTGCTGCTGCTGGTCAACTGGACGCTTGCCGGAGAGGTCCAGATGTTGCCGCGACACCTCTGCAAGAGTCTCGAGTGCCGACAATTGCTTCGAGGGCGTGAATGGAAGGTTCACTTTCTGTCCATTGTGCACTGGCCCAGGCGCATTCGCAACAGTCTGCGCCATGTTGTCAGGAAGGGGCAGCTCGTGAAATTGTAGCAGCGCCCGCTGGCGGTCGCGCAGAGGTAAGGCGGGGCATTTCTTGACCAGGTGGTTTGTGAGGCTATCTATGCGGCCTTTGGGGAACTGCGCGCGTGGTCAGTTGCTGGTCCATAACATTTTCCGTGGTGGGGGCGGTCGCACTTTCTCACCGCATGATTTGCACGTGTGCTGATAGCGATTGCTTGCGTCTTCGAGCTTCGGACCACGTTCAAAGTACTCGAGAATAAGCTGATTTGGCCTCCTGTGGTTTTTATCAGCATTTGCGCGTCCTGTGTGATGTTGTGAATGCGTACCTGCCCATGGCGGTGAGTCGAGCGGTGTCGTAAGCTGTGCAGAACCGCAAGTGCAGAGACCCTTGCCGCCAAAAGAAACTGCGGGCAGAAAGGCGGCTTCACTAGCGTGGAAATGCGCCGTCATCTTCAATGGTGGGAGTGGACGTGCTCCAGGGCTGTCAACCTACTCTTCAGTCGGAATATCGAACAGAGACTACCGCTGAAGAATCTGCTTCGCGCTGAAATACCTCAGATTACTTCGTCTTTGTGCTAGAAATGAAGCTTCCATCATGAAAAGATAGGCGCACTGAATCATGGTCAAATTTCTCCCCAGGGTACTGGAAACTCCACTCCTGGCTGCCACCAGAACCTCTTACAATGCTGCACTCATCACTGAACTTCATAGTCACTCTTTTGTAGTTGAAACTAGTCCACTCCCGTGCATGTTTGAGGCGCAACAAGTGTGTGGCAGCATTGATCTTTGGCCTTCTGCAAGATCTAAAGTTGCGCAGACCTTGTGTAAGCAAAGCTTGGTATACAATCTTCCTTGAGACTACCCCATGCATGCACAGAGGCCGTACAAGACTCGCGAGGACTCCCGGAAGATGACCGCCGGAGAAGCTTGGCAAATCACCAAATATATCCAGAGCCAGGAATTCCCATGGACAACCAAGAAGGCATTGTCGTTCGCCCTCTTCAAGTACATACACAACATGTGCAAAGATACCGTTCAAGCCTGATCTCTGGGCAGAACTTATGGAATACCAACGATCTCACAACTACTATGTGAGACGCAATAACTTGGCAAAGTAGAGTATGCTGGACGGTGCTTCGCCGATACAAGCATTCTGACTACAGAGTTCCTTGGACACAGCCCTACTTCAGAGCGCCCCAACTCGGCCATCGCTCGAATGAACTACTTGCATAGCAGATATCAGAAAGCGAACAAAATCAGCGACGACGATGCGCTATACACGCTGTCATTGTTTGTCCTGGGAGTTGAGAGATGGATCAGGCTCCATGAATGGAGAAAGTTCACATCGATGGAGATTTGCGCTTTGTAAGTAATGTTTCCTACGCCCGTCTTTGTACCATAGTCCACTTTAATCTCCAGCATCTATGGACTGAAACCAAAGTCCAAAGTACACTGAACCCAACACACCATCATGCTCAAACAGCTCGCCTCTGATCGACCATCGTGGTGCTGACCGCGCGCAATGCACACTTAAAGGCATAAAAACCACACTCTTCTTCGTCCTGTCGAATACACGATTCCACTTCAAGTCAATCGCAGTTCTCATACAACTGATTCTACAGGTGTACATCATGGTTCGATTTCAAGGCTGTATTCCTAGTCCAGAAGACATACGAGACCACGAAGCCTCTATCGATAAACTCAAAGGGCTCAGCAAAGGACTCTGTCTTCCAGCTTTCGACATATACAAGAACACATCGGCCTTCGCTGAGAAGTTGCCATTCACGCCGCACATATACAATCAAGGTGATATCAATTCGTGCGTTTGTAATGCATTCGCCAGGGCCAGAGCCACGACTCTTCCTTCAATCCATCACGACTTTTCATGTACATCTGGCGCAACTGGCTGAGACAAAAGAAAACAAGAACAGACACGGCAAGAGTGCCAGGTTCAGGGAGCATGAACCGCGACGTTCTCAAAGCCATCCTAGCCCTGGGATGTTGCGCTGAGGCCGCGTCTCTGTCTATCCTCAAACACGAGAGCAACGGCACGTGGCCATATATTGAGATTGGTTCCAAAGAGGACGAGTGGCCACACTGCATGAAAGTACGCAACACCCCGTCAGCGTACGCGAAGCCGGAGGACGCCAAGTCGGAGGGCCATCCTCCACTCTTCCAGGACGGCGCCCTCTGCCGCCTTCCACCGGATGTTAAGTGCTTCGCTGAAGCTACGCGTCACCGCACGTTACCCTACGCTCATCCGAAGCCAATTGATGATGTCAATTGCTGGAAGGCCCTTATCCAAGTCGGCTATCCTATCGTGTTCGCAATCGACCTCTATTCAAATTTTGATCACACCGCATCTAGTTCAGATTACGGGTTCATCGTAGCAGTACCGTATCTCAATATGAGTGAGCACGAGGGACATGTGATTATGGCCGTAGGCTGGGACGACAGCAAGGGCAACGGTGGGGCTTTTCGTGTACATAATAGCTGGGGTGATGATTTGGCTAGTAGGGGCTTCTACTAGATGGAGTACAGTTGGATGCGCAGTGATGGTTTCCAGAAGGATGCTTGGGTTTCGATTGACTCGGCGGACAACTGAATAAGCATCATCGGAAAGTAGCACATGCCGTTTGGGAGTTGTCAGCCGCTTCCAAGATCTCTTAGCCAAAATGGTAACGTGTGTGAAGCATAAATATGAAGTTGTAGTCCACGATATTGTTCAGTATGACGTCACCGTGACCATCCACACTTCATGACGACTACACACAACAGCACTCATATATCAACAAAAAACCATCCACAGTTCCTCTCGACCTTAAAGCACAACCCCCTCTTTCTCAGGACTTAACCAGAAATAACCACCAGAATGGCCAACACCAAATCACCCGCCACAAACCCCAACATCACACCCGACCCCAACGTCTCCGGTTCAACAATCCGCAAAGCCTTCCTCGCCGAAGCAATCGCAAACCTCTTCACCATCCCCCTCGTAACGCACACATCCTGGGTACTCTCCCTAATCCTCAACCACCCCTCTGACATCAACCCGTCCTCGATCCTCTTCGCGCGGCTATTCGGCGGCCTAGTAATCGGTGGTCTCACATCTGCTCTGCTCGCCGGCTACACGAATACGCGCAATGGCATTGAGAGCAGACGACCGACGTATTTGCTGCTGGGTGTGGGAGAAGCGTTGTTGATTCCGATTTTGGTGAATGAGATGTTGAAGGATGGAGGGAGGGATGCAGCGGTTAGTAAGAAGGTTGCAGGGATTAGTATTGGGATGTTGTTGCCGCCGCTGTTGTGGAGGGTTTATGTGATTGGTGTCAGGCCGGATCTTCTCGGACGTTATACCGAGAAGAGGGAGGGTGGTACGAGGGGTGACTGTAAGTCTGATTGAACGTGATTTGGAGTCCTGTTGCTAACGGTGGTGTAGATGGTCCTATAAGCTCGCGTGACGAGTAGACCAAATGTGGATAGACTCGGCATGACCATACTCCCTGGAGCATGAACGAATTAAGTTGTATCCTAGAGGTCCCGGAGACATGTACATAGCATTTCATTCAACTGATAGTCTTTCCCTCTCTTTAAACTTTTTTGAATCCTTGGTGTTGATATGCATCCGCCATAACGCCGCGCTGAAACAAATGCGAAGTCCTTGTATCCTGCTCTTTCTACTGACGTCCGTCGCACGTCTAGTCATCGAAACCACCCCACCCATCATCCTCTTCTTCTGATGCTGGCTCCGCCATGATCTCATCTTCTTGCCCTCTCCACTTGCGTAGTGTGTCCTCTGCCAGTACCTCCTTTGCAGCTTCCCTAACAACCTTCAGACTGCCATTCTTCACCAACTTCTCGATCGGCTGTACCAGCGTTTCGAGAATCTCCTGCCTCTTCTCGCCCTCCCAATCCGAATTGACCTTCTCAAGCTCGTCAACCCAGACATCCAACACATGGTATCGTAGGCCGTTCGGAATCTTCATATCGGTAGGATTCAGCGGTGTCTCCTCCATTATCTTATTAAACTCCTCCAAAACTGATGACTTCCACTTTTTCGCTGCGAGGTGTTGAAAAGATGCGTTCATGTATTGACGAATGAGGTAGAGATATTTGTCGAGGCGTAGTGCTTCGATGTTAGTCCACTCGCGCGCCATTGTGAGGAAGAATGCGCGGATGAAGGGAAGTGCGACGCCGGATCGGAGGGTAGAGACGAGAGAGGCAAAGTCGCGCGAGAGTCGCTGTTGCAGGGCTGGCTTGTCTTGCATCCATAGGCCTTAGGACTGATCAGAAAGGGTTCTCTTCCGTGGTTATAGTTGGAGGGCGCATGGCGGCGCATAGCAGATGCCACGACAGCCAAGGAATCAGGTGGGAAGTATTCGACGTACAGTAAAACAGTCCTTTCCAGAGCTTCAAAAGATCGAGCTCTGAGATCTTTGATCGTCCTCCGAGATATGTTCGTAGAGAATTGAGCGCATTGTCACGAATTTCCTTGTCTGTGGCGCATGTGTCAGCATTTGAACGTCTCGAATGGATTGGCGAGAACCTTACCGCTCGAAGCGAGGTTCTTGATAAAGGGGCTATCAGTGGCCATGGCGCAAAGTATAGAGTCTGTGAAGGGTATCCTGATTGCAAGGCGCTCACACGGCGGGACTTTTTTCTGGCAGGCGCAAGGGTATCGATAAGCTAGCGCCACGCTAGTGGAGAACCCTGGACCTGAGGCCGGCCTGATGTCTTGGACACGACCGCTCTTCACGACCTTGTTGACTTCACGTTAGAAATGCAGTCCTTCCTCCTTCAGTATGCGCTGATGAGTGCTCGCGATAGATGCTGCAGATGCTACTCTACTACTATACCGCATCACCAGCACTTGAGATGCATTAAGTAGGAGTTTTGTTTAAGGATTCTAGATCCAGCAGACAGAGCTTCTATATAAGGTCATCACATTTAAACTTGGTTAATGGACTCCTAACAAGGCAGACCAGATTGTCAATGGTTGGATTCTTTGGATGAATGATGTTCTAAATTGGAGGTGGTCTGAGCGCGCTTACTTCAGCAGCAAACATTGCGCTAGAACCTAAGCTTGGTGACCTTGAACTGCGCGCATGCTACACATCTAGCAGAGCTCTAAGTAACAACACCACCTATACGACAGTGAAAAGTTGCTAGACTCTCTAATCTAGGCCTCTGCTACACATGCAGTATTTTGTCTACATTAGACACTGCAATATCCCGAGCTCTGCGCAGCGCTGCTAAGGTATGTCAGCCCCTAGGTTCCTGCCCTACTTAACTTGTGCCTGCAACCTCTATCTCGTCTAGAGCACGTCTAGAAGCCAATTAGACATCTCTTTAGAGATCTGACTGAGCTAATTAACGTCATGCAGGGCGGTTATGCCCGCCATGGTCGTAATACCGAGCAGTATCCGACACACGCGTCGCGTTGCGGTGGATAAGGTGAGTGAAGCTCTAACATACTTCTCTACGTGTAAAGCAATTGTTAACATGCTCTAGGTTCACACAATCATCTGCAATCGCGTTAATGTCGGCGTTCGTACTTCACTCACTTATGTATGGCCCGTGCACACTCATGCTGACATCGCCTTTTTAGGACGAGCAGTATCTTGTACGATGGCATACCGAGAATAAGACATCTACTCCTCCGTTAAGCTGGCACCTCGTCAACGAACTTCAGCGCTGTCTTGAACATGTTCAAGATTACCTAGACGAGCGAGAGAGGTAGAGCCTTGAAGTTAGAACACTAGAGAGTCGCTAATACCAGCTAGGTCGAAGAAGATTGTATCACGGAACAAGGTACCGTCGAAAAAGCGAAAGAGCTCAGAAGAAGATCTAGAGACTAAACGTCGTCTGTCACCTTTTGATCGACGGCTACAGCACGACAGCCGAACGCCTTCCGCTTCTCGATCCTCGTCAGTATTCTCAAACGTACCACCGGCATCATCCACATCACCTGATGTTTACAATGGCGTATTGGATGTGGATGAGCATGGTTTTGTATTCTGCCGACCTGTAAGTGCACATGTTTTGAGCTTACTGGCTCTAATCGCAACAGGCATCTGGCCCAGACGTCGCTTCAGTCTCTATTACCAATATCCCTACCGCGGCCATGAAACAGATCGCATATCAGGCAGACGTACGAACCGCCAATACACTCATTCGTGCTGAATACGTACGAAGGTTGAGGCATGTTCCTGGTCCTCCGATCGAACTTTTCAACACTGTCGATGCATCAACGCCCTCGCTCCGCTTCCGCTACATTCCTCAGTATGTGTTGGCAGAAGGTGTGTATCAGTACGCTTTGGACACTGCGATAGGATGCCAGAAGTGTTCCCCGCGCATGGCTCGCGATGTCGGCTGCGAATATACGCAGAAATGCGACTGCCTAGAGTACGCTGCCGTCGATGAAGGTCGGCTGACCTCTGAAGAGAAGAAGCTCTATGAACGCTGCCTGGCTGAAGGACTCTCAACTATGGGTCTTCCAAAGAAGTTCCCTTACTACGCGAAAGACACCAAGATCCGACTCACCAGAGGTTTAGTACCATGGTATCTACAATCTCGGCGACCAATCTACGAGTGCAACGATCGTTGCCGCTGCGGTGCAGACTGCCGCAACAAGAATGTCCAGTTCGGTCGTAAAGTTGAGGTTGAAATCTTCAAAACCAAGAGCGGCAGAGGCTGGGGCTTGCGGTGTAAACAGAACCTGCGCCAAGGCCAGTTCATCGACACTTACCGCGGCGAGGTAATTACAGATGAGGAAGCCACCCGTCGAGAGAACACCTCATCTAAAGCAAAGGCATCATATTTGTACTCGCTTGACAAGTTCGAGGCTGATATGCAGCACGAAGCTTATGTGGTGGATGGAGAGTTCATGGGTGGCCCGACGAAGTTCATCAACCATTCTTGCGAACCCAATTGTCGTCAGTACACAGTCAGCTACAACAAAAATGACCCCCACATCTACGACATTGCCTTCTTCGCTTGCCGCAATATCCCAGCATACGAAGAGCTGACGTTCGACTACCTTGATAAGGAGGAGGATGAAGAAATGGAGGATCCGGGAGAAGACGCAATTCCGTGTCTCTGCGGAGCTGCCAAGTGCCGCAAGTGGTTGTGGACTTGAAAGCAGTCAGCAACAGAGTAGACCGACTGGTGCTACTATCTGAATTCTAGGAGACACATATCGATTCGAGCGGTTCGTCGTGATAGTTGTTGCACAATCTCACGCATTAGCGGTCAGGCAGGCGTTCGCATCAGCTTCTGTAGCATTTCAGCATTATCAGGCTTCGGCTACTGAATCTAAAGGTTCCAAAACTCAGCTCGACTCGCGTTTACATCAAGAACCTATTATGTCTTTTTTTGCGTGTCAAACCACTGTCGAATGCTTAACCTGTCCTAATGTCACTTGATACCTCATAACAGAGATGGAGATAGATTTCTGGCAATGAAAACTCAGACTACTTGTAGGTAAAAATTACTGTGAACCAAGCAACACTGGCATTCCATATACGATGGATGACGCGTCTTCCGTGTTGCATCTTTCATCTTCACTTCACCCGATGTCGCGAGCAAGGCGGGTGCATCTTCCGGGATTCAGGAACAGGACATGGCGTATATCACGCGCTCGTAATCCGTCTGAACATCTCCAGCACAGTACGGAAATTGCGTCTTAAGGCAGAAGTCTATTCCTGTTGCCACAGCTGCTATTTTCACCATCAAATCTCGGCTGGGACCTGAACTTGAGCCATCTTGGGTGATATGTGGTTCGGCTAAAGGTATTCGAATTGGAAGTAAGGTGTGCCAAACGGGATTTTGTGGATTGTACAACCGCAAACCGGCCAGAATATCATAGCTCTTTTGCAGAAGAGGGGGAACGAATCGGGGGAATGTGGGTTGGAGAGAAGGGTGCCCTGACGGTTCGGAAGTCGCCTGAGCTGGAAGGGTACTCACGGAAATCTGCTGTATACTTTCAGCGGCACAAACAGCAGAAGGTAGAGCGTTCTACAAGCTCCGGATCTATTGGCAGCCTCGGTTGTAAATCAAAGCCAGTAACAATCAACAGATGTTTGCTTCGGCTTACTGCCTAAGTAAATGACTTCCTTTGCTCGAAGCTTCCTTTACACGCGGCTCGAATCTACGTCTCTAATATCCATTCCTGCCAGGCACAATCTTGTAACATTGCCCCTTCTTGCCGAACATCTCCTGGAGGTCCCTGAAAATGGCATCTGGTCTTCCCAAGCAGCGAAATGTCCTCCTTTGTCGTTGGTGCTTTCGAGTACGACAGGACCTGCTGTCAGTTAGCATACGCACTACAAGTGGCTCGGCACCCTGATTGGACTTACCCATCGTTCGGCGCCAAATCTTCGGCATAACACTGAGTTCCTTCGGGAAGTGCGCCAGTCCCAATTTCACTCTGTCCCGCCACTGACTCGCGCGGTCACTGTTTAGAACCTTATCTGTTAGATTGTGCTGTGCCTCGTAGTAAATCCTGATATGTACATTCGGTCCACTCGTGCTGAACCAGTAGATACTGATCCACGTCAAGATCTCATCGTCGGTCCAAGGATAGTTGTCCGTCCAATCTACCAACTCTTCGTAGATCCAAGCCAACAGGGCGACGGGACTGTCTGCAAAGGTGTACGAGATAGTATGTGGCTTCGTGGCGTGTAAGGTTTGGTAAGCTTGGCGTTGGTCAATGAACCAGTCTAAGCGCTCGATGCCTTTCTGCTCTGCCTCAGTGTATGGTGTCAGAGCATGCTGAAGAGCAAGCGCGGGCTGAGAGGCGAAGCTCGGCAGTCGAGCCCTCACCATGTTGATATAATTTGCCAGAACGTAATCAGGATATAAGATGCTCAGGATACTGGTGATGTGGAATCCACAATCTCTACCCTGGGTCACATACTTCTCGTAACCCTGCTGCTGCATCAGGCGATGACATGTCTCTGCGTATTGCGACAGCGCAAATCCAGACTTCGTAACTCTCGAGCTGAACCCAAAGTTTCGCATGTATGGTGCAACGACATAAAAGGCAGGCCCACCATTCTTCTCGCCATCCCTCGAGCAGTGGGAGCATCTTAGTGACTTCGATGAAGGATCCAGGCCATCTGTGGACAAATAACAGCGGGATAGCATTGGGATTCGAGCTCTTCTTCCAGACGATATGCACATCGATGGGATCGAAGCTGTTGACCTTGACGCTTTGACGATAGTTGGGTAGCTCGTTCAACGTGGCTTCGACGTCACGCCACAAGAACTCGGTCTTCCAGTGCTTTGCAAGGCGCTTGACGTCTGCTAGAGGAGACTGTAGGGCCATTGCGTTGGAGTATCGAGTTCGTCTGGGTAGTCGGCATCAGACAGCTTGCGCTTTAGCTTGTCATCGCAGCACCTGGGACGGAGATGGTGTAAGGTCGAGGCGAGGCCATCGTGAGACTTGCTCTGTTGCTAAGATCGATGGTTGCAGTGCTCGAGTTTCGATGAAGTCCATGTAAAGGGCCTATGTGAATTTGTAAGATGGTCGCTCCTAGGGAAGTCGCTGCAGCCAGTCGTTGCTTGCTGGAGGATGCCCCTTCCCCGCATTGTAGACTTGACAATATCGGTGGTGTTTTGTTTCCTGTACGGACACAACTTCATCAAGGATCAACACCAATCTGGCACTGTGGAGTGTGAACGCGAGTCCGAGTTCGCAGTTAATCCCGAGGTCGCTGTGCCAGTATCACGACCTGCACTACGTGCCACTCAAGTTGGCACTGCAGTCACGCCAACACCAACCTCTTTGTCTTTGTTCGTGAGCTCGGTCAGTCAGACCGCTTCGTCCTCCAGCTCTCCTACGGGAACCTCTTCGCCATCCGCAAGCGCAACGCCCTCAAACGATGACAATGCCCTCTCGGCTGGCGCCAAAGCAGGCATCGCCATCGGTGCTGTCTTTGCTGTGATCGCAGTAGCTGCGACAGGGTATCTCTTCTACCGCAACCACCGCAAAATCAAAGAGCTAGAGGCGAGAGCATATCCCCAGGAGTTAAACGTAGAGCCGAAGACAGTGTCAACGGAGTATTGCAGACATGACTATCAGCCTGTTCCACCGTCATAGCTTGGGCAGCATCATACCTACGAGCTACTAGCGCAGCTATAAGAGTTGTCGGGCACGGAGCCCACCAGGATACGATGATAAGATGGTGGAGGAGAAACTACGATTGTTGGTACCCCTTTTAGCGATTCTGTCCGTTCAGCATATCTAGTCAGTGGAAACAAAATGATCTATGACATTACCGATTGTTGTCTGCACAAAAGGCAAGATGCGGAGGGTCGGGCTTCGGTCGCTGCTGCTGCCTGCCCGACTACATCAAACCGAGGCACAAGGCGCGAAGTCAGGATCACACCGCGGACTCAGAACGGAAGTCGCGTGCCGTTGCCAAACCACATCTCACCCAGCCTACAAACTCAAGACAATGAGCTTACATCGTACCCACAACGCGTTAGTGACACAGGGCGCCTGGCGTTTGTCCGCGGTGTATGACAGGCGCTCGCCTAAATAGGCCCTCGCAGTGAAATGACATCTCGCGTACAGCCTCGTTCAGGAACCCCAGATCATGAAAAAGGAGATCAGAAGGAAATAAACGGGTGCCCGCTCGAAATAGCAGCACCGCACGGACCGGATATGCGGAAACCAGTCCGGAATAGAATGAATGCCAAGAGCGGGCTTTCATTCCTCTCTATTCTCGTGACGTCTTCATAACAACTACACAGTCCATCTCCAAGCTCTTGAATTCACAAGAGTGCTCAGGAGAAACTCAAGAAAGCCTTGACGAACTTGAAGTAAGCCACAGGGTGATTGTCGCGTGGTTCAAGGCGCTCTTCGCTCTTCGTATCCAGCAACTCAAAAGATAAGCTTTCACGTTTCCGTCGCATCTTGGCAGGCCCAATAAAGTTAGTAAATCAGTATGCGGTTGGACCAGGCATCCAGGAACTTGCGCCTGGTGACCGGCACGCCGCATTCAAGCCACCGCGGCACAACTCCTTATAGTGTACATAAGATGGAGGGGACCGCGCGGGGTCGCCACCCTGTTCAGCGTGGACTTGCTGTCGCGTTGTCACTCCTTCGTCCTGTATGTTTACATTTTTGTACGTGTGGAGAACCTTGTTGCAGATCGGAACGAAGTCGGAACTCAAGATGAAGCTCCTTGCTGCGCTTGTTGTGCCTTTGGTTGGTGCGCGTGTCGTTCGATTGGAACAGACACCGCTTGTGCAAGAGCATACCCAGAGTCTTGCGCCTGGTATTGGCGTACACTTCACGACTTCATATGCAACTGCTGCTGCAAAGTACGAGAATGGCACAACGGTCGACTTGGTCAGGGTACGTTATGCAGAGTCATATTAGCGTATTTGCTACTAACGATTGTTCAGGTGGAAGCAGACGCAGACTACATCGAGTTAATGTCACGATGGGCAAGATCTTGGAAAGACTTCGACTGCGAAGGCCCGGTCAATCGACTCCGATGCGAACTTGAGCCAATACGACGCGAAGCGAGGAGGAAGCTAGGATTGCCTATCACACGAGATTCGGGGACACTTAGCAAGTTCGTGAAGAGAGTGCGAAGCGCTATCGAGGAAGAGCTGGGAACATCGGTGTCTACAATCACTCCTGTCGCGCCGCAACTCGTCGGCTGGCTCAACTCAGATTTCCAGGATGCATTGGATCTTGCTGGATTGGCTTCTTCAAGACTGGACTCAAACGACAAGCCCACCTACTGGGATACAAACGCGGCTTTCGCAGGCCTAGGACATGGTCTTTGCGAGTCTGAGTCAGATTTTTCAGACTGTCTGAATGAGGAGCGTCAGATGCCGTATGAGCACGTACTGTTCTTGGACTTCGACAACTCTTCCTTCAGTGCGACAGTGCAATACCTGCAGCACGCGGACCAGGAGTGGTCCTACTCCAACAGGATTGATATGGAGCTTGGATGGTGGAACCTGCCGGTTTTCGAAGTGTCAAGGGCAAGATTCTGGGCACAGATCCATGAGGTCATCCTCGAGGTAGCCGGAGCTTTACAGCGGGCGCCGAACAAGATAGTCTTGCTTGGAGATCATGGCGCGAATGCAGAGTTCCTGGACGTTGTCAAGGCTGCTATGTGGGATGTCCTAGAGGTTGATGTCTCGTTGATGCTGAGCGCTAATCAGGCCAAGGACGTGGGCAAGTTGGTGGCACGTGGTGCAGCGGGCTTCACAAGGAGAGCCGAGACCTGGAGAAACTGGAAGAGAACGCAAGAAGATGTTGAGAGCATCGAGCTTTGAAGACGACAGACGTCGATTTCCTATTTCATGATACCCAAACGTAGTCGTAATGTAGATATACAGCGATGATGTTACACTATAGTTCGATCCTCTCAGTATGCTTGTACTTTGACGCTAAGAATGCAAGACGTACAAGAAAGAGAAAGCCACCGTCGCGCTCAGATGTAGCGGAACATGTTGTTCTTGACACTCCGCTTCATTGAGACTGGTTTCCCGTCTTCGTACTCGACTCCGGATGCGCCGCCGTCTCCTGAGTGTTCTTGCATTCTCAGTTGAAATTCTTCATCGAGCTCTGCTTGTGTTTTCACCTTGGCTTTGGCCTCCTCGACATGGTCTACATCTTGGCGAGGGTTTGGGTTTCCTTTAGGTTTGATGGAGGATTGCTGCCACACATAAGCTACAAACCGTTGTTCTTGAATGATTAGAACTTACGGGTTCCTGCACCTTGTCGTGCTTTGAACCGCCATCACTGACTTCAGTCATGGACGACTTGCCGGAGTAGCGCACTCTGGATGTGCTGAAAGCACGAGTCGCAGGGACGCGGCGAGAGATAAGTCGTAAGTTCATCATTTGAATTGATTGTGTTTGTGATTTCAGAAGTATGAAGTATCAAACAGAGGGCAGCAGAAAGATCATAGGTGAAGTAAATACATCTACGTCACCGTGACTGCTGGTCTGCTGGTGATGGTCGCTGAGTAAGGTGGAGCCGCGCCAAGGCACGCTAGTCTCCGCGGTCTTACAACTTTCTAGCTTTGCGACATCTCGCGACTGAGCAGCGACCCAGCACGCGTCGACCGGCCACGCTCACTTCAATACCGGAGCACGATAGTCTTTCCAAATCGTCCCTGGAACTACCGTCAAGATGGTCGTCACCAAGGTCGGTCAGTGGAGCAACGTTGAGGATGAGGTGCTCAAGGCGGCCATCTCAAAGTATGGTCTGAACCAATGGGCGCGATGCGCCTCTCTTCTCGCAAAGAAAACGGCCAAGCAGTGCAAGGCGCGATGGAACGAGTGGCTCGACCCCTCGATTAAGAAGACGGAATGGTCGAGGGAGGATGACGAGAAGCTGTTGACTATGGCCAAGCTGCTCCCTACACAATGGCGCACAATCGCCCCAATCGTCGGCCGGACCGCGACACAGTGCTTAGAGCGATACCAGAAGCTGCTGGACGAGCAGGAGTCGAGAGAGAGTGGTGATTTGAGTTTGGCAGGCCCAGATGGTGGAGAGTCAGCTGCACCCACTGCCGATGAGGTTCGAAGATTGCGCCCTGGCGAAGTCGATGCGTACGCCGAAAGCCGACCAGCTCGCCCCGATGCGATTGATATGGACGAGGAGGACAAGGAGATGTTGTCTGAAGCACGTGCGCGTTTGGCCAACGTCAGTGGAAAGAAGGCAAAGCGAAAGGCGCGAGAGAGGCAGCTGGAGGAGTCTCGCAGGCTTGCCCTGCTCCAGAAACGACGAGAGCTCAAGGCGGCCGGTATCAACATCAAGATCACGCCAAAGAAGGGCAACCACATCGACTACAACGCCGACGTGCCGCTCGAGAAAGAGGTTCCCGCAGGTTTCTTCGACACCGTTGAGGAGCTCGACAACAACGAACGGCAAAGAGAAGCTTTTGACCCACGGAAACAGCAGCTCGCAAACAAGCGTAAGGCAGACCAGCAGGACGATGGAGGCGAGAGCAAAAAGAAGAAGAAGGACGAGAAGTCGGGAGGCCTGGCAGCCTCTTATGCTAAGGCTGCGCAGATGCAGAAGATTCGCGAGGCGGAGCAGAGCAGCAAAAGACGAGGACTGGTATTGCCAGCACCACAGGTTGGCGAGGCTGAGATGGAGGACATTGTCAAGATGGGCATGCTAGGAGAGCGGGCCATCACAGGAAGTGGGAGTGACAATGTCGCGACACAAGGCCTGGTCGGCAACTACTCGAGCATCGTCAGTAGCACACCTATTCGCACACCAATGGCGCCGAAGGAGGAGGACACAATCGCGAACGAAGCACGAAACGCTCGTCTGCGAACGGAGACACAATCTGCACTGTTAGGAGGTGACAACCCTGATTTCGAAGAGGATGAGGCTCCGGCATCATTGTCTGCGCCCTCTACACGACATCAGATAGTCACCCCAAATCCTATGGCAACACCGTACCGACAGGGTGGTGCGGGCGCTACACCTATACGTCACGGGTCAGAAGCGACACCAATGCGCACACCCCGAGATACACTACGCCTGAACGACGAGGACGGCGCAGTGCAACTCGTCGGGCAGACACCCCGCGACATTAGACTGCGAGAGCAGGCCAAGCGATCAGACCTGAAGAGCAGACTCGCTGCACTGCCCAAGCCCAAAGAAGAGAGCTGGGAATTCGAGCTCCCCGACGAAGCCGCAGAACCGCAACCCGTTGAACTTAGCGAAGAAGACGCCGCCGAGCGCGATCGCCGCGCCCGCGAAGCAAAAGAAGCAGCCGAACGCGCCGAATTCGCACGCCAAACACAAGTCGTCCAACGCTTCCTCCCCCGCCCATCAGTCGTTGACATCGATGCCCTCATTAAGCGCGCACTCGACCTCTCGGACCCGATCGAGCGCGAAGTCGAACTGGAAATGGCACACCTAATCGCGCACGACGTGCAGAAATTCGGCTCCGGTCGCGTCACAGGATCCGTAAAATCCTTACAAAAGTACTCTGACGAAGCGCTGCGCGCCGCGAAAATGGAACTCGCGCTCGAATACGCTTTGCAATCCTCCGCCGAAAAGACCAAATTCACATCCGACTTCGCCTCATCTTGGACAAACCTTCACGGATCCACCGTCCTCCCCGGCATCGCAGGCTACTCAGAAGACGAGATCGACGAGCACCAACTGCTCATCTCCGCCTTCGACAGCGCGCAAGAATCCATCATCTCGAGCGCCGAACAGGCGAACAAAATTGAGAAGAACCTGGCCAAGCACCATGGCGGGTATATCCAGCGCAGCAAGATGCTGAGAGAGAAGATTGGGCAGGCCTTTACGGCGCTGGAGAAGCAGAGGACAGATTTAGATAGTCAGAGGACGATGCAGTGGAGTGAGCAGATGGCTATTGGAAGGAGATTGGAAGGGTTGAGGGAGGAAGTCAGCTTTGTGACGAGAAGGGAGAGGGAGGCGCAGGAATTGTATCGGTCGCGGAAGGAGGAGTTGGATGGTTTGCAGGAGCCGGTCAACGGGGTGCACTGAGCGGATTGGAGAATGTGTAGGGGGTTCGATATCCATGTATTCACATTATACGTCAGGTTTGAGGTTCTGCATGGTATGGCGTTGGCATATTGTACGACAGGACGGTTGGAAACATCATATCATACTTGGATGGATAGGTGGGAACATTCAATGTGAAAAGGATTGATACTCAAGTCTATCCTCAAAACCTGGGGGGTATAAAAGCTGAAGCGACGGCACCATCAAAGCGACGGTGCTCTGTCGCAAGAGCGAGAAGAATTGTACAAGGAAAGTTGGTGACAAGACGTCGAGCCAGACCGAACCATAGCACCAGAACAAATAACAACGCCGTCCAGTCCAATCCCGAAACCAGAAGGCAAACCCAAACACCGTCTCGATAACTCGTCATCAGTCATTCGTCGAATCCAACCATAATCCATCACCTCATAACAGGATGCGGTCTAGCACTTGCCATCCAACACCTCAAAAATCCCCACCACACTCGCATGTTCGACGCCCATCGGCCTGGGCTCCAGGACATCCATCCCGCTCCCAAAAGTCTGCACCTCCATCTGCATCTCGAACTCGAGGTTGCTCGGGCGCCTCCTCACCGCCAGGATCTCAGCAAGGCTGTGGTTGGAGCGGCTGCTCTGGGGGCTGGAGTTGCGGCTGTAGGAGCCAGAGACGTTGCGAGATTGCGTTAAGGGTGATGTGGTCGAGGTGCTAGAGTAGCTGGTTGCGGAGGCGGAGCGCGAGGAGCGCGTTGGGCTGAAGGCGGTTTTGAGGGAGCGCATGTTGAGTGAGGTGTTGCGGAGCGGCTGGAAGGAGCCGGAGAAGCGGTTGCTGCGGGTGGACATGGTAGCGGTAGTCGAAGATGATTCTCGGGTATAGAAGTTGGTGATGCGGTGGGTGTATCGTGGCGATAGTTGTGTTCCAAGCAATTGCAAGATCGTTGATGCGTTTGCTCGTTTCGAGAATAGTAATAAGTGATCGAGTCCAGCGAAAGCAAGGCGTTCAGAGTAGATCCAGCTGTCGATACGTTGGAAATTGAGACCTGGAGTTCTTCAAGAACGTATTTTGATCCGCAAGGGAAGTCAATCGCAAATTGACTCGCAAGCAAAAGAATGTTATGACGTGTATGGTCTGCGCGTTGTTGAGTTGGTGACACAGGTGATACGCGTGTCAGACCAGTCTGGAAGAGCTCAACAAGTGTGGTCGGCAGCAACGTGTATCCACAAGCAAACAGTCGATGCAGTCCAGCAAAGTCTTCAAGAGCTTTGAGTTGGCGAGCTGAGGGACAGAAACAAAGCTGAAGAGCAGATATAAGCGTAGTAAACGAAGGTAGGGGGTGAAGAAGCTTGAAGTAGTATGCAGGATGCAGCCCACACTCGCGACGAACGACGGATGTTTAAGGATGTGTGTCGCAAGTCGTACACCCCTGCGTAATATGTCCCAGGTGCTCGATGTCCGGGTCGGGCCCTGAGCTTGTTATCCCTCACAGCTTCAGGGTTGGGATGCATCCTGGTTGTTTGATCTGCATCTAGAAACAAGCGAAGCTCTGCCGCGGAATGATTGAGCCAGCAAGCTGTTTGCCTGCTATGGGCCAGAGTTCGCAAACCGGACGGACTCGAAGGCGCGTGACAGCATAAGCAGAGACGCGGTAATTACAAACGTTGATCTGGAGATTTAGCTGTTCGCCTGTGGTGTCGGACTTTAATTTTGACGCAACGCGTCGGCCTTCGTCACGCGTGCGACGACCGTCAACCACTCATTCCTCATCCACCATTGCAAACACGCTCAGCACAATCGTCTTGCACCCACAATTCGGCCGAGCATCTGCAAGATGCGATGCAACTAACTCCCTTACCACGCTGCAGCAATGCTAGCGATCTCAAGATCCAGCAGCTGATATCCCGTCCACCGTCCCGTTCTGCACATGAACTACACTCGCAAAGGCAATCCCTACACATGAAGCCCACAACGTCGCCGTCCAGCGCCCTCGCTGTCTCAACAACGGTGCTTCCGCGCAGCTGAGGTGCGTCTGAAGAGGTGCTTGCGACAAGCGAGGGCTTCTGGAACGGGCAATGCCGTGCGCCGCGGCTGTCTGGAGATGCACCAGTGTTTCAGAATATGGCGGACATGGATGCTTGTTCATCGGACATTTGTTCCTCCATCGTTTGCGATGAGCACGTTCGTGTGAAGGACTGGAAGGTACCAAGGGTTGAGAGTGTTGGTGGGTGAGTGGTGGAGAGATGGTGTGGGTTTTGAGGTCCTCTGCTTGACAACTCAACACCGCCGGACTGTCCGAAGTCCATGAGGCAGGAGCGATGGGCTGTGGAGTAACAACACACACACGTCACACACCGCAACTGCAGTTTCTGCACGAAGATGCACTCTCAGAATCTGCTATGCGGCGAGTCAAGAGATGAAAGAATTGCTATACAACATGACGCCACCGCTATGCTATGATAATCCAAGTCGCCCATCCACCACTAACCCCATTATCGTCTCCATCATTATGCTCCTCCTCATCCCCATCATGCCAAATACATACATACAAAACTCTAGTCTATCCTTTAATGTGCGACACGTCAACGTGCCATAGCGTACTTCTTATGTGTTGGGTTGATGCCGGGGCATTACTCTTCTAGGCCATTCCAAACGTTCATGCAACGTCCTTCGTACCGGCTACCCCTGCCCCCAGCACCTATTCTAGGTATGGCTTCGAAGGGTTCTCTGTTCGTCTGTTATGCTGTTCCTGGATGCGTAAAGGTTGCATTTGAGATTTTGCGCGGGTTCAGGACGGTGTCGTACTCCGCTCCGATGCGCATTGTCATTGCGTGAAAAGAATCGATCGGACGCTGCCGAGCTTGCCAACCACGCTTCGTGTAGAGTGTGAAGAGGCTGTGTAGTCGTCGATCGCGATCGTTCCTGGTGCGCATTATTTATGCGCAAGGTTGTCGTACATGGCCTGTACACGTACGCGATTATTGTCCAGGTCGTCGTGTCGTGAAACTTCTGCGGATACTCTCACCCCAAGCAGAGCTGTCCAGGACTTCCAGAACATCGGCTGCACTGACTGCGCTGTTCGCTCTGCTGCGGGTATCTGTCGGTGCAAGTTGCTCCTCAAGCGGACTAGGCGGTCGACTGAGGGTAAGAGCCGATGCGAAATGCCAATCGGCATCCGGAGGTGGCGAAAATGGCGATGCTCGCGGTGACGATGGTGACAGTGGTCCGCCTCGAGTCGGCGAGCCTGTAGGTGTCATCTGGATCGAATTCGAGCGGCTGCGCACCGCGGTGTCCAAGCTGGGAATTGAGCGGACGCTGCCTCCCGAGAGTCGGTTCCCAAAGTGCGGATCCGTAGGTGAGAAGAGTGGACTTCCCGCTCGTGATTGCTGTCCGCGCTGTGCGTCCGTGATGTCTTCATCGTCAATGAAGATCTCGGGAACGTTGAATATTGGCATTGTTGCCATGCGGCCCTGCTTCTTTTGCTCCATCGCGCGTCTGAACCGACGGGCCCAGTACAGAGTGTCGAAAAAGCCAACGACGACATTGCGTCGGACAGCTTCTTCCACACGCTGCAAGCGAGCTCTACGTCGTAGGAATTCCTCGAGCCTGATTTCATGTCAGTATATATCCATCACGCTAAACCAGGATATGAACGTACCTCAAGCTCTTGTTATCGTTAATGACCTTGTGGTGAGCAAGAATCATAAGCAGCGAAGTAAACTGAATGCCTCTGTCTGGGTCACTTGACACAAGCACCTCCTCGTAAAAGGTATTCATGCGTTGCCTTCTGCGACGGATCTCAAGAACCGGGAGTTGTGCGAGACGGCGGTTGAGTTTGTCAAGATCAATCTCAGGCGAAGGTTCACGGCCTCCCAGGTTGAGATTCGATGCGCGACGCGATGTTGTTGCGCACTCCTCGATCAGTCGGCCAACGGTGAAATCACCGTCGTAAATGCGCATCTCGAAGATTCCAGATAGTTCCTGCACATGTCAGAATGGTATCGCTATCCAGTACCAAGGCAACTTACACCCAAAAGTCTTGGGAAAACATCCCTTGAGATGTAGCCCGTCCCATTAGGATCGAACTCAGCCCAAGCTTGCTTGAATCGTCTGACTTCCTCTCGGCTGATGACTGACAGCCCGCTGCTCCGCTGGTACACGTAACTGAAACTCTCGTAGATCAACGAGACGAACAAGTTAACGAAAATGTACATGCTGAGAATGTTCCAGCTGATGAACAGCGCTCGCGCCCATTCAGGGCTACCGCAGTCGCTTTCGAAGTACCTTTCTCCCTCCGTACAGTAGGGCTTGTCGACATTGGCAAAATCTTCCATGAACTCGTTCCAGCCCTCACCCATACTCATTGAGAACAGAAAGATGAGGGCTTTGGGTACTGTACGGAAGTTCTGGTTGGCTGTCTCGTTTGCGCCGAATCGAGTAAGACCAAAGGTCTGTGTGAGCGCGATGGAATATACGAGGAACAAGACGAACCAAGTAGCGAGCAGGTTGGCAATAGCTGCCAAACTCGCCGCTGCGGTCTTGAAGAGCTGATCGAGCTGATTGTTACGAGGAATGAGCATGAGGGCGATCGATACGAGGAAGAGCTTGTGCAGTTGAACGAACACTCTCTCGTCGCGTCTAGCAAGGATAAGAATGGAAGTGGCGAACGTGCCGGAGACGGAAAAGATCGAAAATACGTCCCAAGAACTCTTGCGGAATCGGTGCCAAGAGAGACCGAGGATACGAATAACAACATTCGCAATGAACACGCAGGTCAACGCGAGGAAGATGTAATCTGTTGAACCGTGAGTGTACGCCTGAGTTCAGAGTGCGATCACTTTACCTCTTGCAAGATCCCAATCTCCGTAGCCTGGGTACCATTCCAGGCAAAGTAGAATCAAATGTAGAATGAGTACCCCAGTGATGAAGCGTTGCCAATTACCTGTCTTGCGGACAGCTCGGCGATAGCACCACTCTTCCCAAGACTCGCGCTGCCTCGTAGATGAAGGTCGTTTTGACGGTGACACTTGTCGAAGTAGCTTGCGCAACTCGAGCCAAGAACGTTGATCGGTGGTAAGGAACGCGACTCCAGTCTGCTCCGTGTAGTTGCGCATGAAAACGGAGATGAAGAGCGTCAGGACGAAGACGGCACCGAGCAAGTTGAAGATGATAAAGAATACGCCGTTGCCCCTCCGGTAGAAGTCCTCGGGCTGGGTGTTGACCCCAGTAATGGCCATGCTTGCGAACAACACGTCCGTCCAGCCTTCCTGTGATACAATTTGGAAGAGAATGAACAGTGAATTCCCGAAGTTGTCGAAGTCGTAGTAAGGATTGGCAGCTTGGCGTGGTGCCAGGACATCCCAGTCAAACGGCGAGCTGTTGTATTCTCCAACACAATCTTTGAGATTGGTCGAGCCGAATTCACCGTCATTGCACGTTTGGAATTGTCCGACGAAGAGGTTCAGTCCGTATATGGCGAATGGAATCAACAAGCTGAGGGACACAAACGCAGCCTGTGGATGTGAGCAGTGCAATGTTGAAGTGCAAACGCAAACTTACCGAGAAGAGCTTCCACCATCCCCGAACTATAAGCGAGTGGAAATGGTCGCGAGTACTGTCGCTGACGTTGAGCAACCGGAGCGCCCTGAGAGCCTTAAAAGCACCAACAGTCCTTGTAATCTGCCCTTCGTTCAACAGCGACGTAACGACGTTGACCCACAAAGTCATCAACACGATACCGTCGATGAAGCCCCACGAGCCACGGAAGTAAGCGTTGGGCGTCCAGAAGAAACCATCGGCGATGACCTTGACGAGCGCTTCGAAGGTGAACAAGATGGCAAAGCCCATGTCAGTCCAGACGAACCAATTTCTGACACTAAACGTGTGCTTTGTGAAGTACTCTCGTTGATATAGGGGAGTAGTGACGCAGGCAAGCAGAACCATGGCGATGATGGCAGCGTAGACGAAGGCCGAAAATGCGTACCAGATCGGAACCGACGGTGCTAGCCCCTCTATGCGGTCACCGCCACGACCAGGGCCTACAACACGCTGACAGAGCCTTCGGATGGGATTGCTAGGTCCGAAGATGAACAGAGAGACGTTGTAGTTAGGGTGGTTGCGCAGATACTCCCGCTGCGCCTTTTTGCGTCTTTCTGTCGCGGACACTACCTCCTTAGCCATCTTTCTGGGATCAAGGTCCTCGTATGCGCGACCGTAGTCGAGGGGGGCGTAGAAAGGGTTTGGCTCCCTATGAACGGTCCTGCGCAAAATCCGTTGCCATATGGTAGACATGGCGCCGGAGCCAACGATTGTTTTTGCTGGGCGGATCCCAGGTCGAGGTTCTTCCTCACGGGGTGTCGTATCCTCATCACCTTCGTCGAGGAAGTCGCGAACAACAGCGTCCTTGAGCAACATCTCAGCTGCGGCAGAACCATAATCAAGTGGATCTCTGCGGTTGGCGTGGCCAAGCTTGAAGATGGATGAGAGCGACAAATTGCTATATACTGTTAGGTAGCACTCAAAGGATGTTGGCGGTCACTTACCCATAAGAAGAGTTGAGACCCTGCTCTTTCTGTTGGAGGAAGGCTTTGACCTGTTGCAAACGCTTTTCGTCCTCTGATACATCAAAGTTCTCTTGAATGACAGCAATAAACATGTTCAAAACAATGACTGATCTGCGTCAGCTGAGCTCGAAATAGAACTGGGTATACTTACGGTTGGCAAAGATAAACCAAAGGATGCAGAATGACGCTCCGATCCAAGCGGTACCGAAGGCCTTTTGGTAGCCAGTTACGGTGTACATGATCTCAGTCCAGTTTTCACTGGAGAAAATGATGTACATGCCAATGAACGAATTCCAAATGTCGTTGAATGATACACGAATCGTATCGCCGTCAGCTGACTCAGGTATCTCGCCACGAAAGAGCTGAGAAGCAAAGATGGACGCGAGGAATGTAAGGAGAAACACGAAAACGATCAGGTTGAGTAGACCACTGACATTGCCAAACACGATCATCTGGAAGCAAGTTAGCGATGAGCTAACGATAGGAATGGAAAGAACTTACAATGAGATCCCGGGTTACAGGGACAGCCAGGACAACACGGTAGACTCGCATGATCTGAAAGATACTCAGCCAAGCATAAGCTCTCCCGCCGTGGGCATGTTTGATCGCCGGTATTTGGATGACAGTGGTGATGATTGCAATCATCAGATCAGTGACGTTGCGCTTGCTTCTGAAGAAATGCCTGAAATCGACAATGAACCGGACCAATATCTCAGCAAGTAGTATGAGCGTAATAATGATCTCGGTTACGTCGATGAAGTTTTGCCGGAAGTTGCTCATGGAAGCGCTTTTCATCATCTGAGCAACAAGGCCAAAAACGATGACGACAACCCATACCCCAGAAGTCTTGTCGTACATACGTTTCAGGCTGCTGACGCGCTGGTTCGCTTGCTCTTTCTCAGCGTCCTCTTCAATAATCTGCTCGCCCGTGAAAGCGCTGGTCTTGCTCTCTTCGCGGATGATTTGGAATGTCGAGGTGATGACCGCAATCAGAAGTGATATGAGCCACAGACTGAGAATCAGGATTCCCACAATGAAAAAGAGAGCGCTGACAAGGTAGTCGGTATCTGACACAGTGTAGAGCAAATCGGACCAGGTGTTGGATGACATGATGACAAAGACCAGCTCCAGGGATTGTAGGATGTTGTCGAAGCTTTGGGTGCCATTGTAGGGGTTATTGTCCTCGATACATATGGAGTTTACGGGACACAAGAAGCCCTTGCCCTTGTCGGGACCAGCCAGCATTCCTTGCGCATTTAGGTAACCCTCGTGGACAAGTATGCCGGAGTCATTCTTCAACTGACCACCGCAAAATTGATCTGAATTGGTGAAGGTCTGGGATGGGTCATCCGGGTCGGTCCATACACAGTTTCTTCGTAGACTAGACTTGAAACTCTGCACGCCAACGATCGAGAACAGAAGCCAGAAGAAGCCGATCAGGAACGCCACATTCAAAAGTAGAGGAGCAGCTTTCTTCAAACTTCTCAAGATGACCTACAACCAAGTTAATCAGCGTACATGAAACATCCTACATGAGACTTACCGAGGTACCACTTGTAAGATTCAAAAGGCGAATGATACGTAAGCAGCTAAGCATTTGGAATACCAAGATGACCCGGGTGTTGTTGATGTTGAGGGCATCGAGAAGTATGGCAATCCAGAAAGAAACTATAGCAACAAAATCCGTCCGGTTGAAGGAGTGTCTCAGATATGCTCGATGCGCCAATCGAGCACGTTGTCGCTCACGCGGGTCGCTTGGTCCAATGTCAGGGTGCATCTGTGCAGTCGTGAAGGATCGAAGCACAGACGGTTGCTGAGGGCCGCCCAGATTTGATTCAGTGTTTGTACCACCTCTTCTCTGCGATGGCTGTCGCTGAGGTCCACCAAAAAGCTGGTTGGCTTTGGTAAGCACTGCCTCTCGCAGTCCGACCTGTCTGTTGATAGTGCTGTATTCGACTGGATTGATGATGAAGCCAGACACAATTATCCGAATGATGGCCTCGATCGTGTAAACGATGAACAGGCCAAGCAAGACCCAGTCGATAGCCGAAAACCTACCCAACTCTTTTACATGGCCGGGTTCGTACTGCGCTTTGTTCCTAGCGTCGACGGCCAGAAGCACTGTCTGCACCACAATGAGGACGAGCAGGGTTGGTTCAGTAATTGGGTTCACAAGAACGTCGCTCAACTTCATCCGCAGGGTGCTGTCGGTAGGGAAGATACCCAAGCTCTTGCTGCGGAATGGATTTGAGGGTTTTTGCCATTGAAAACTTGACTTGCGAGATTGTACGATAGGTGTCGGTGGTTTCTCGATCGGCGTTGTGGGCCCAGGTGACGAAGGGCCATCAGTCATGTATTCAGGCAACGCTGTCAAGGAGGGAGGTCTTTGCATGCGTGATTGATGCAGAGTGGACTTCCTCTGAATATGGCGCTCAGCTACCTCTGAGTCGTTGGTGACGTTGACAACACGCTGAGACATGTTCCGGACGATGGTTCCGGCGCGATGCAGCGGCGACCCTAAATGTCCAGGAGAGAGCGAACGATTCCTGCTTCGCGATGGACTGAGACCTGTCGCACTTTCCGCCTGCCCAACATCACCACTGAATCTTGCTCCTGGCGACGTGCCACCAGGACTCAGGAACTGCACACTCTGGAAACTGGAGCGATCCACAGCTCCGGGTGATATGTTGTCTGCAGCACCGCTGATGGGCTGCAGATGGCGTGCATCTGTCAGCCGTGCAGTATCATCATCCACATCCACAGAAGCAAAGTAGCCATGGTCCTCAGACGGTCCCCTGTGCGCATATAGGTCTTGGTTGTACGGGTGGTAGGACTGCTCGGACGACCCAGGTGTAGGTATTATAGGGGAGAGCGGGGGTGATGTGTCGCCCTGGAAGTTCATGTCCATGCCAAACCCAATAGCAGACTGGAAGGCGCCTGCGTCTATGGGCGAGTCTATGCCATCATCTTCCACCCTCCGTATCCCGCCATGCCCAACTGCCGTATTCGTATTCAGCTGAGGCCGCCGCGTGGGGCTTGGCGACACTTCGGCTATGGGCGCATACTGCGAGCTCCTGTACTGACCCGTTGCTATCGATCCAGTCTGCCTGAGCAGGTTGCGCCCTCGGTCGCTCAGGGTGCGGCGGTGCTGGTGCGGCGCGGACGCATCATCTTCGTCCGGCGGGCGGTTGAGGTCTTGCAGCGGTATGGACTGATGGGTCTGGCTTCGACGGTGATTGTGGTTGGGGTCGGGGTAGGACATTGAAGCTTCTGGTCCTGATGCGCAGCTCTAACTGTGCATCTGGCCGCTCTTCAGCTGGTACATAAACACTATCGCGTGCACATGTAGGATGTAAACGGCGGATTAGCGAGCGTGGCGGCGGTAGTAAATGCTAGGACGACGCCGATGGCGGTATGCGCAAACTCCCACGAGGTTTCTAGGTGGAGTGCATCAGGGTGGGAGGTTTGCAGAGCAGGAAGATGCAGAGCTGCGGGATGGCGGCTTATGCCAGTTTGGTGTGGATATGCGCGTCCCCAAAAACGCCGGGGTGCACCGCAGGGAGTGCTAAGATAGGATAGGGCTGACTTTGGCAGGAACGGGGTTGTATGCGTGTATTCTTAGCTCAACGCTCGCAGCTGTCGCTTGTGAAGATCACCGAGTACTGAAAGACTGTGATACAGTCCCAGGCCGTGGAACCGGCGTATGTGTGCACACAGCTACACCCTGGAGCTCATGCTGTTCGGTTTGTGTGATACAAACGCAGGTGCAGCTCAGCCACCCAACGTTTCTCGTTACAGCTGATGGCCTTCTCACGGATCCCCTTTTGGCAAATGCGAGCGTCCCCTGTCAGCTGCATGCGTTTCAGCCACACTTCCAGGACGCAGTGACAGCCTTGCCCAAGTCACGGCGAGATCCCCCATCACAAGCCTTACATCTCGTTCATCTTGACTGGTGTAGTCCGGCACTTCTTGCTCTCAACCAGCCTCTTCTGTTCCTGAAAAATCGGATACAACAACAGCCACTCCTCAACTCTCAGAATGCCGCTAGGAGGTCCTTCGCAAATCCTAGAGAGTAATTCTACACAAGCAAAGTACTCTGTAGTCCTTTGTCTATTTATCGTTCTGCAAGAGTCGCGCAAATCTGCTCTGAATGGCTCCCAAAATTTGGAGATTGCAAGTCCGGCTTTCTTCGCGACGTGAGAGTCAGCAAACCCAGAGTATTGTCTGGGAAGCTTTCAGATCAGACGACATGTTGCAAGCTTTCAGATCAGACATGCTGCAAGCTTTCAGACCAGACATGTTGCAAGCTTCTAATCACAGGCTCGTTGCTTTGCATCGGTAGGATTGCCCATGTAGCCAGAAACGTACCTCTGGAGGTATACAAAGTGCCGAAGAGCGACAACGACACGTCAGGAACTTGCCAATCTGTGCGAGGGACATGACACTGTAATGAAGATCTTCCGCCGGCTGTGACGTGAGGGAAAACGCGCTAACCATTTTGGGTCTATTTCCGAATTGGCCGCAATTCCAGGCGACGCGCCCTCGTCTTCACCACTCCACGCCTTTCACCCTCACCATATTGCCCTGCCCACCGCCCACGTGCCATTTTTTGAGCCCGCATATCTTCGGCGCCATCTGCGGTACCTTCAAAGTTGCTATCACCACCGTTTGCGACCAGTGCACGCCCTTCGAAACGCGTCGCCCACGGCACGCTCCACCACGATGCCTGCCCGCAAGCGCGCCGCGAGCGAGATGGAGGTGGAAGGGGGTGTCGAGACACCGAGCACATTACAGAGGCTGCGCAACATGTGGCAGTTCGCAAACCTCGCACAGTACATTGCTATTTTCGGCGACGCAGTCAAGATCGACAAAGACTTTGACATCGAGGTACGCCCACTTTGCGCCAGACACTTCTGTGGATGCGCCGAGCATGGTTCTGATGGAATAAGGACTGATTGAGATGCAGGAGCTGGAGTCTGAATGCTTGAAGCCTGGGCCGTCCGAGAAGCTTGCGCAGATCGGGCTGGCGCTTTTGAAGCATGTGTCTTCACACAAGGGTCTAACGCATGCTACTCACATACCTATGCCTAAACACGTCTAACAAAAGCCAGACCAGCCATCTTCGACGAATACACCCGCCGCCAATATGTCGCCAAAGCGCCCGAGCGAAATCCTTTCGGTGAGGAGGACGAGCCCAACAAGTTCGACGACTTCGACATCTTCACCAAAATCCGTGTGCTGCAACAACTCTCCATATGGACATTGAACAACCCCAACTCGATACGAGAGAGGCTGGCAGCCACGGACAGCGAACAGACATTATGGGTAAGCGTGGGACCTGTCACGGACAGGGCAATGGCTGATCGAGCTTCTTAGCGCATGGAGCCCACTGGCTGGGACTCAGATGATCGAGTTCTGTTCGTCCTAGACGACAACCGCATGTATCGCCGCACCGATCCACCTCCGCCCGCGCCTCCACAGAAGGCCAAAGCCAATCCCAAGCCAAAGGCAAAGAAGTCTAGAGGCACCCGCGCCAGCAAGCGCCAGAATCAGTCAACACCAGAACCTGAAGGAGAGATCGAGGAAGAAGAGGCTGCAGCCGTTCAAGAGCCAGAAGTGGTCGAGGACGATGGTCTTGGTGGCATGAAGTGGGAATGCCTCTGCATCACACTAGAAGACTACCACGATTATCTCAGCAGCATTCGCAGAAGTCGAGACCCCAATGAGAAGATATTATACAAGCGTCTCAAGGAGGAGGTCATACCTGTCATGGAGGGACTAGCTGAAGAGCAGGCACGGAAACAAGCTCGCAAAGCAAAGGAACTCGAGAATCTGCAGAAACTGGCCACCGCGAAACGCTCCTCTCGTATCTCAGCCAGGGTTGAGAAGCAAAAGGAGGTTGAAGAGACCGAAGCTGCCGAACGCAAGAGGCAAGAAGAGCTTGCTATGGCTAAGGCTGAGCAAGCAAAACAGAAGAAACTGGAAGAGGTGAGTAAATTCGATTACGTTGGGACCTCAGGCTGACATATTGTAGGCGCACGACTCCCGCCGCATGACACGGGAGCAGCGACTCCGTGAACGTGAAACCGCGAAGATCCTCAAGGAAGAAGAACTCCGCAAGTTGCAGGACAACGAGCAGAAGCTGGCCTCCAACAATGCTCGACTTTCCGAACGACATCTCAAGGCGATGATGAAGCAACATGAAGCAGACCTCAAGAGACTCAATGAGGAGGAAGATTGGTTTTTCGATTGTGAGAAGTGCGGTGTCTATGGGTCGAATCTTAACGACAATTCGCCACAAGTATCGTGCGAGAAGTGCAACGTCTGGCAGCACGTCAAGTGCCATGGTATCTCCGAAGAAGAGGTGGAAGACTCCAAGTTCGAGTTCGTCTGCACGTCCTGCAAGCGCAAAGAGGAGGAAGCCAACAAGCCTAAGCTGCCACCGCTAAAATTGCGATTAACTTCAGCATCACCAGCTTCGCAAGCGAACGGGGAAGGGTCTTCAGGCTTGTCACGCCGTTTGGAGTCTGTCTCGATACCCGCGCCACGACCAACCTCGTCGCAAAGCCATCAACCTCATTTCCAGCCTGCGCAGCCCTGGGTAGATGGACCTAGTCTGTCTCCTCGCGGCCAAGCACTTGGCCCTCCTGGCATTCAGAACTCAGAAGCTGCTTACGGATCGCCATCTCGTCTCCTAGACGCCAGCTCTTCGCCTATACGACAACGGCCAGCCTCTTCATCGCGACCAGCCGAGAGCTCCTTCAGGTCGAATGGCCTAGGCTCTTCACCGCCACCCTTCAACCTTCCGCGGGCGCCCAGAAGTCCGTTCAAGAGCATACGCATGCCTCTTCCCCAGCAAAACGGCAGCTCATTTGGCCTATCGAATCCATTCGGTCCAGCACAGCATACCCCCGTCGCCCAGAGCTTCAACCAGAGCTTCAGCCGGCCAAGCACAGCCGCCGGACCCCCTGGATCACCCGTAAAGCACTCACCCGCAAACTCCCCCCGCCCTGCGAACGGTCTCCCAGCAGTCTACAACTTCAACAGCCCGCACTCCTCCTTCCCACCCAGCTCCGCCCAGCGGCCCTCCTTCTCACCCATAAAACACAGCTCGCCAGCGCCCATGCCACATATGTCCTCGCCCGCGCCAGCACCAGTCCGCATTGCTCCTTCGCCGAGCCAAATGCCTGCGCAGATACTGCCCGATGCTATTCCCGCGCCGCTGAAGCATGATGGTGCGAGGCCGATGAGCAGTCATGAGATGAGCGAGACGCCGGTTTTCCCGCCAATTAAGAGTCTGAATCCGGATGCGAGTCCGCAGATTTTGAGTCCGCCGGTTAAGAAGAGTAGTCCGGCTCCGGATAGGCATCGGCTTGCGCCGATTGGGGAGAATGGGTTTGGGAATGGATCGCCTCATTGAGCAAGAAAGGGTTCGAGGTGTCTGACTTCTTGTTTCGATTGTCTTGGTTTTTATGGGATTGTTTTGCGCAGTCTGGATCACTGCTTGCATGCGCAATGCGGCGTTAATGAAGGGGTTGAACCAGATATCTGGGTTTTGCATGTATGGTATCTTAACTTGCGTCTAGAGGCGGGTCGTGGCTGCTTGGAGGTGCGGTGAGCTGCACCTTCCCTTCTTGTTAAGTGTATTACTACATTCAGAGTGGAGAAGAGGAAGCAACAAACCACGAACATTATCAACGATCTACAAGTGGCAATTCACTGCTGTCAAGACATCTCAATCACCATCTCGTACATCAGTTCCACAATCAGCGTCGGTACCATCGAGCCTCGACTTGTCCTTCACTCGTTTTATGTGCGCTATTAGCAGAGGACTATGCAGTACATCGACATGCAACCGCGACATTTCAGATCTACACTAAGACGTTGGGTTGAATAAACTCGATGGCAAATTTTGCGTAGCAGTGGTAAGGGACAGGAGGCCTTGCACGTGGGTTTGTTTGAGAGTGCATCTATTACAGTAATGCTTTAGCGGGGAGACTGTCGCTCGAAGTCACGATTCTTTCTTGCCATCTGTGTAACTACACCTATGATGATGAGAGTGTAGCCATGTCAAACCCCTCCTGCCACTCCGTCATTCCTGTTTGAACACCTTCGATACCATCTTCTAGACCTGGGTCTTCTGGGCCTATTGCTGGCTCTTCGAAGTCAACCACTAGTTCAGGGCGGTTGGTAAACCATCCATGGCCCATACGTGATAGCGACACCTGTTGATCGGAGACGCCCAGGTCGGAGACCGCCCATATAAGCTGCTGACCCTAGTCCCAATCAGTACGGTAAATAACCCAAATACTCCTGCCCCATATCACCAGAGAGCCACTTCCATCCAACACTCCCCTGAAGGAGGCTCAGTGGTCACACCATCATCATCATCAAGTCCTTCATACTCACCGGGGCAGGGAGCGGCAGCGCCTTAGTGCAGATGTCTGCTGTGTTCTGGGCTGAAGGTACATGCTCAATTCCAAAATCACCACTCAGAAACCTCTCACGGACAAAGTGGTAATGGGACTCCATGAGACAGTGGATTTGTTGGTCTGGAGTATGTAGCTACTCACTGACCTTGCATCTTCAGGCTCAGAGTCCCAGGAAGCATCAGAGTACATGTCTACCAAGGTTAGTGATGATACGGGTTTGGAACGGTAGAAGAGGAGTCTGGAATCAAGAGTTCCTCTCAAGTGTTGGAGTGCTTGGTAGGCTCCCTTGAGATGGTCTGGTGAAGGATTGGAGTTGAACTTGGCCAGGGTTGACACAGCGTAAGCCAGATCAGGTCTAGTCCCAATCACCAAGTAGTTCAAACTCCCAACAAGCTATTGGTATTCTCTTTGCATCCTTCCTCTGGAACGGTGGGCTCAGGTCCATTGGTGTCTCGCAACTGCTGCAGAAGCGCAATCCAGCTGACAATTCCAACGAATACTGTATGCAAACTTGAGTGCATTTCTCTTTGCAACAACCGTACATGCCATCTGTGCTCGCATCTCTAATATTGCATTTGCATTCTGGTGCGTTCGTGAACAAGCCATTGTAAACGACCGCAGTGCCCCTGCACACAGCCCTACCTCAGCTTAAGCAAGACCACGCGCCCAGATGGACACCCAAGACAGACCATATCTTTGCACGCTGCTGCTTTGTATGCTCGATACTCGAACGGCAGCCACAGAAAGCGCTGTGTGTTGCGCAGCACCCACTGGTCCTCTACTGTAAACTGCAAAGATAGCTCGTCCTGCTGGACAGATGGGAGTAGGATTAGATCTGGAAGCAGCGGAATGTCTTCTTTGTTAGTATGCAAAACCTGGCCATCTGGCGAGAAACTGAGATGGTCAATGTACGAAGATTGCCCTTCCCGCACAGTACGACACGTGCCTGTCGCTGTATCCCACACTCGCGCTGTCCTGTCGTAGGATGCTGAGACGACCAACTGTCCGTCTGGCGAGAACACCACTGCATTAACAGCGTCTGAGTGGCCCTCCAGCACGCTGCGACACGTGTCTGTCGCCGTCTCCCACACTCGCACTGTCTTGTCGCGGGATGCTGAGGCGACCAGCTGCCCGTCTGGCGAGAACACCACCGCATTGACCAAGCTTGTATGGCCCTCCAGCACGCTGCGACACGTGCCCGTTGCCGTATCCCACACTCGTACTGTCCTGTCGTAGGATGCTGAGGCGACCAGCTGCCCGTCTGGCGAGAACACCACCGCATTGACCGAGCTTGAATGGCCCTTCAGCTCGTGGCGACACGTTCCTGTCGCCGTCTCCCACACTCGCACTGTGCTGTCGCGAGATGCTGAGGCGAGCAGCTGGCCGTCTGCCGAGAACACTACAGCGTTGACATCGTTTGAATGATCTTCCAGTACGCTGCGACACGCATCCCATTCTGTGTCTCTGTCTGACAGTATGTCTACTGCTTGTGGAACCCGATCGACAAAGGTTTTGCGTACAACGCTCGCCTGTGGTGCAAAGACAAGCGCTGACGAGTAGACTTGCAGAGGTGCCTCCGCTAGGACTGATAGAAACCGCAGCACAAATCGACTCGCATCGCAGAAGAAGCCTGCACATGTGTATGCAGATGGCTGCGGTGCAAATTAGTTTAGGGCAAACGCTTGTATTGTGCAAAACTCCTTACCGCCACCAGCGCCTGCAGCCTTGCCAGCAAGCGCACGCACTGGCCTGTCTCCCGCATCAGACTCATCGCTTCGAGCCAGTGCAGAAGGTGCGTCTGCAGGAAGACGTGCACGGCGTCTCCGTTTGTGATGCTCTGCTGGCTGTGCTCGAGATGCTCGACCCAGTAGCGACACGCATACTGCAGTTCTGGGGGAAGACTGCTACTAATCGTCCCTTCATCGATCTCTCTCCTCAAAACTCCCGGACCTGAGAGATTGCATATGTCTTGTCGTAGGCTGTTAGGCGCCGACATGAGCTCGAGGCAGCAAGACGCCAGCTTCTCGTGGGTGCTGCTCTCGTCTACCCAGAAGCTGTCGTCGCTGCATCTCTTTCTGTTGAGGAGGAAATCACGGAAAGAAGGGTGATGCAAACGCACCAGCCGGCTCGAATCTTGTGGAACGTCTAGGATAGAGTGCAGCTCATACAGCGTTCGATGCACATCCTCTGCAGGAACGCGGAGTAGTCGGGCCAGTGAAGATGCAGAAAGCGGCGACCGCAAAAGCACGATCGCACCTAATGTCTCTCTTATTAGCCTGTACCGTTTCTTCCTTTCCTGCTTTCTGTATCTGCGAAGAGGGCTCTTGAGCACGGCAAGGTATATGATGTCCAATCGCGCTTCTGGCAGGACCTCGAGTCTCTCGTCGGTGCAAGAATCATTGCTAGATGAACTGTCCGTTGTTGAGTTGTCTGCAGAGGAGCTGTCCTTGAGTACAGCGCGTAGTCGATCGGCAACAAACTGTCCGCCTTCTTGGATGAAACGGCAGGCAGTTGCGGCCCAGATAAACAGACCGCATGCACTCTGTACTAAGCGCTTGATTACTTCTGTGCCCGGCCAGTCATCAGCGTGATAGCATTCCTTGGCGATGATGCTAAGGTGATGCTTGAGAAAAGTGGCTATATCGCGTTCGACAATTGACGGCGAGATGTCGTGCAGCACGACGCCCTTGTGCTCCACGTCCGCCATCTGCCCGAACCCGTGCCGGATCGGCACTTCTGGCCTACTTGTCAGGAACACCCGCAGCCGGACGCCTGTCAACGACCGCGCCTCGGCCAGCAGCTGCACGATGATGCGGATGTTGCTGTCGTTGTCGCACTCGTCGAGCGCATCGACGACCACGACGTATGGCGCTAGCTCTGGTTCGTGCAGCTTCGACAGCGGGCGGCAGACCAGGTGCTGCCACTGGTCGCGCAGCGACTGGCTGACGATGTCGCTGTGCTCGGCAACAGCGTCGCTGATGTGCTTTCGCGACGCTGGCACGCTGTGCGCAAGCTGCACCGCGATGCTTGTCACAAACTTGCCGGCGTGGCCAACGTCGCCGCCGCCGCGCGAGAAGAAGAAGCTCGCTGCGAGACGCTGCTTGTCGTGGTACCTACGCGCGACGGTCCGGGCGATGGTCGACTTGCCCGTGCCCGCCAGCCCGCTCAACCAGAAGATGCATTGCTTATCTGGCCCGTCCGCCCAGCTGTGTATCTCGCGCAGGAGGTCGACGCGCGTGTCGGGGAGGCAGACAGGCTCGTGCTGCTTGGCGTACGAGTTGAAGGCTGCGTCTTTGGCGCGCAGTAGATGACCGAGGCTGCTCTCGAGCTCTAGTGTTGAGGTATCTGCTTAGCGTTTCGTGCCTAAGTTACTGAGAACCCCGAGAGCCACGGGTGGGGTGGCCCCGCAACGTACCAGGCTGGAGATGGAACTCGACAGAGCCGTTGATGGTGTGAGCTTGGAGGCTGGAGCGCGCGTCGCCGAAGGCTATCGTGGATACTGCAGGGGCCATGGCATCGCTGCAGCAGAGCATGCATCAGCGATGGGGTGTCTACGGTGGTGTATCTACGGTGCACCTGTTGGGCCTCAGCCTGGCGGCCTTCAGCCTGCAGCCCGGCGACCTCGAGCAGTCGTGAGGCCCATGCAGCATGCATGCGCTCGTCGACCCGCTCGCCCCGCCAGCCTCGTCTATATCCCGCGCATGAGTAGAGTCGTAGCGTATCTGATAGACAGCGTATACACGGCTCTATTCAGAAGTACCGTGCGTCATGACGGACAATGACAAAGTCATCCGGCTAGGCACGTATCCTGCGTGGCGAACGCAAGACAAGAGTACTAACTCGAACAACCAGACATCACTTCATCGCAAACATGCCAATCTCAGGAAACAACATGGGATGAAGTTTTACGGGTAAGGGAAGCACTGGATGTGCAGGTACAGGACTGACCGGGCTGCAGGACTTCCACGCTGCCCGGGTTCAAGTCATGTGAGTCGCCGATGGGGTATCTTTGTTTGTAGTCTCACACTAAATAGATTTACGTCTGCAAACTCATTCCTGAGTACTTCAGAAGAATCTCAGGAGCAAGCTTAAGATTCCCTCGTTCCTTTTTGACGGGATGTATCTCCAATCGAACGGCTATTGTGGATATGACGTCTGGCTTGACGATAATGAACAAGTGGAGTTCTATAGTATGTAGAATTGGCAGAGTTCATGTACCAAGGGTAGGTTATCTAACCGTGTAAGCAGTCCGTGTGGCCCGTAAGGCTGTCTTCGGCTAGCCAGTATTAGCAGCCGTATGAATCGGAAGTACCAAATTGCACGTTGAGATTGTGAAAATCCTTGTGCGACAGCGGCCACAACGCTTGTAGCGACTTCTGCGTGATCTTACAACGTCAGTAGGTGCTGGTAGAACCTGCATATAAGTTACAAGAGCAGCAAGACTGTCGTGGTGCTGCTGTAGGGAGGAGTATGTTTTGCAGCAAAGCAAGGCACTTTACGGACCAGGCGCGGAAGCATCAACGCGGCGATATTTTTTGGCTACCAAGGTGTGCGCAAGTATAGGCTTACCTGAAGTAAACTACCGCCATTGGTACATGGCAATTATTGCGGTATGATGGAAGAAGAAGCATTCAAGGTCGAAGTATCGGTGGTTCTGTTCGGCGCGAGGGCTGTTCGAACCACAGGATGGACCTTAGATAGCTATGATGATGGTGCCGATGATCACGCATGGGTCAAATGAGGCTTGTGAGTACCCTGCTCTGAACAAGCATTCCTTGAGGGTCCCAAACCATTCACTGCCAGCTTGTTTGAGGCCGTAGAGTGACTTCTGGAGTCTGGAAGCCTTTCCCGGTTGCCCATACCCTGGGGGGCATCGTAGGAAGAGCAGAGTGTCATCAGACAGGGCTGCGTTGAGGTATGCAGTGTCAAAGTCGATTTGGTGGATGTCCAGATCGCTTTGGACAGCCCATTAAAGCAGGAGACGGAGTGTGTCATACCGGACTACAGGTGAAAGGCAAGATTGGTCGCGCAAGGCTGTTTACCAAGTTCACGGTCTTGACTACCTCGAGACATACTCAGCTGTGGTCCGGCATGACACACTCCGTCTCCTGCTTTAATGGGCTGTCCAAAGCGATCTGGACATTCACCAGATTGACTTTGATACAACATATCTCAATAGCACCAGGGAACACGCTCGATATTGCTGTCAAAGACCCGGCCCTTGGTTGATCTGGGCACCATGAGTAGGTTCCCGACATCTTGTGTGTGTGAAGTCAGAGGAGGTTCTGCCATGAATTGCTGGATGTAAGACTGAAGGATGAGGTTGAGACGCACACTGAGCCTCTGCTTCCGCGTCTCCATGTCAAGGCCTTCGAAGAACGGCATCACGCCGCGACAACAAGAACGCAGCATGAGAAGGCCAATGATAGTGCACATGGAAGATATTAAACTGCCCGATTACTGTGAGCCCAGGAAACAACAACTCTTAGTATGGTTATTATTGCTGCTGTGAAAGTGGTGGCAAGGTCAATGCACGTGGGTCAGCTTCCGCTGGCGGCCTGACACCAGGCGCTCCTTCCCTCTTGACACCCCAAGGCCAGCTCGAAGCTCAAAATCAGCAACGATCGAATCAACGCAAATCCCGTACAGAGGAAAGTTTGATGTGTGGACACCCTCTCAATATCTCTGTTACATTGATGACATGAAGTATGGCGCAAACGCAAACCACAGAGAAACTACACGCTGCCTGTGATGAATGCCGTAAGCCTACAGACCCTGGTTCAGTGTGACTTGACCGTGGCTTACACAAAGACGTAGGAACTCGAAAGTTGAAATGCTCAGGGGAAAAGCCAATATGTGGACGATGCCAAAGAGAGAAGATAGAATGCATTTACTCGCCGCAAAAGGCTATGGGTCGACCAAAGAAGAGGAGGAGAGAGGGCGAAGCAGATGCACCTTCCGAACAACCAGCCAGTACCCAGGATGGACACGACAGTAGCTTGAACGGCTCCACGACACAGCCGAGTTTCAGTAGCTTTGTCCTAGTGTCTCCACCAGAGTTTGCGGATTTGCCGAGTGGGAACGAAGTATACGCCCAAGCACAGCTTGACCCAAGTCTGGTGGGCATATATGGACCATCACCTCCAATACCCAATTTTGAGTAAGCCGCCTCTATAGGAAAACTCTCCTTGATACTCATCGTCATAGCTTCGGCCCAACACCCCCAATCCACCCGTCCCTCTGGGACGCCCAAGTCACCACACCAGACACCCCAATTGGCTACCAGACCGCAACTCAAGACACACCACCCAACCAAACCGCAATGGGCCCCTGCACCTGCCTCGCCCTGACCTTCCTAACCCTAACCGACCTCCAAACGGTCCCCACCTTCTCATTCCCACAAGTCATCATCCCCCTCCGCAAAGCCATGACCACCGTCTCCTCGCTAATCCACTGCCCCATCTGCCCGCTCGACGCCTTCTCCGCAATTCAAAACGTCTCCTCGATCGTCTCCCTCTTCAAAGCAATCGTCGAGCGCTTCAGCAAAGTGCTTCACGAAGTCGACCTCGAAGCTTCCCGGCTCAGCACCATCGGGTCCAAAAAGCCCTACCGGATCGGCGACAACAACCCCGCCTTGTCGCACCTGCACACAGGTACGCTGGACTGCCCGATGGGGTTTAATATCGAGCTGGAGCCGGATGTGTGGAAGAAGCTGGTTAAGACGGCGCTGAGGACGGAGATGTATGGGGGCGGCAGTAATCCCGCGCCGTTGAAGCAGTTGCTCAAGGAGGTCGAGGAGAGGCAGCAGAGGTGGTATAGGGCTGAGGAGTTTTTGGGGGAGGAGAGGAGGAGGATTTGGGGGAGGGAGCATTATGAGGGGGACAAGGGGGTGTGTGAGAGTCTGGGAGGAGAGCAGTTGAGGAGGGCGATTGGGATATTGGATTGGGAGTGAGGTGTGATTGATGAGATGGAGGGGCTGAGGCTGGAGGTATTCAGTGTTGGATATCTTGCTATGCATAAAGGTTTCCGATGGCTTAGCCCAACAATCTGGCGGCCATGTCTTCCAAATCTTCGAGCGTTTCTGGCTGCTCGACAACATGCCTTGCGTTCTTGCTCTTCTTCCGCTTCTTCTTGCTGCTCCCCTCGTCGTCTTCTGAGTCGGATTGGAACCACTTCTTCGGCTTCTTCTCCACCAACTGCGGTGCCTCTTCCTCATTGTCGTCCTCATCACTGTACTCCGCATCGGCCCTAAAGTTAGCCAGGAGGTCTTCCCCAGCGTCTGGAAGCTCGACACCTCCCTCGTCATCGTCTGACGCCTCAACCTGCTCACCCCGCTCCTTCTCCCTCCGCTTCCTAAGCTTCTCCCTCCTCTTCTCCCTCGCCGCAGCCTTGTCGTCCACATCCGCCTCCTCCACAATCTGCCTAGCCTGCTCAATGAACTTTTGCCTCTGCTCCTCTGGCAGACCGCGGGCCTTGAAATCGTCTTCGTTCTCGAGCTCGTAGACTTCGTGCGGGTTGCCTTCGTCGTCGTAGACGAGTTTCTTGCCTTTGTCCATGAACTGCAGCAGCTTCTTCTTGGATTTGAGGAGTTTTTCGCGACGGTTCGAGTCGATGACAAGGGGCTGCGATGCGCCGGCGAGGTTGACGACTTTGCCGCCTGGTATGGCGGGATCGGTTGTTTCGTCGATACCAAAGTCTTCGTCGTCGTCGCTGTCGGCGGGGATGCGGCGCTTGACGGCCATAAAGTCGTCGTCTGCGTTTGTGGCACCAGCACCTGTGAAGTCGTCTGCTGCTGCTTCGTCGTCGCCGTCTCGGACGAGGTTCTTGTAGTGGTCTGCAAGGACGTCCTGGTTTTGACGCTCGAACATACGGTCGTACTTCGTTCGTATAGGCTTCGCTGCCTTCGCTACCTCGTCCTCTTCTGACTCCTCTGATGCTTCGATCTTCTCTCTGCTTGCCTGCTTCTTCTGTCTGCTGTCGTCGTTCTGCAGGAACTTAATCCTTGGCGTTCCTGGCAGACCCAAACTTGCCGCATACGCTTCCAAATTGTACTCTTTCAGCTTAAAGACCTCCTTGTCCTTCTGCAGGTAGAGCGACTTGACGTGTGTCATGAACGCCTTTTGGCCCAGATACTTGATTGCCGGATCTTTGAAGTTCATGTTCTGCAGCTGCTCCTTGATCGATGTCTTCTTCTTCTGTCGAACGTTGATGAGCTCGATTGGAACCTTCTTCTGCTCCAACCGCTTCAGCATGCCCTCCTCCTCGCTCGGTGCTATGAACAAAACACCACGTCCTTCGCGATTGTAACGAGCTGTACGGCCAACGCGGTGGATGTAGGTATCGACATCATCTGGGCAATCGACCTGGATGACGAAATCGACAGCCGGAAAATCAAGACCTCGAGCTGCGACATCTGTGGCGAACAGGCATGAGTTCTTTGCGGCAGAGAACTTTGCTGTCACGTCCAAACGAGCTCCTTGCTTCTGGCGGCCATGAATATGTAGCAGTGGAATACCGGGCTGCATGTGTCTGAACGACTCGTAGACGAAGCGCACTGTCTTCGCCGAAGAGAAGAAGCACAGGATCTTCGACTTCTTGCTCGCCTGTATGAAGCTCCATAGTGTGTCCATCTTCTCCTCGATGGGGCAGATGATGTAGTTCTGTGTGAGACCCTTGGGTGTCGCACTCTTGTCTTCGGCGTGTACGGATACGTATTCGGGGTCCTGAAGGCTCAGGCGTGCGAGATCGGAAACCTTGCGTGACTGCGTTGCGGAGAAGAGCATTGTCTGACGCTCCTTTGGGAGGTATTCAATGATTGCGTCCACATCCTTCTGGAAGCCCATGTCAAGAATTCGATCCGCTTCATCCAAGACGAGCATCTTCAGGTCGTCCACGTTGAACGCTGCAGTCTGTGACAGATGCTGCAGCATTCGCCCAGGTGTTGCGACCAGGATGTTCATTCTCGTCAGAGCCTCCCTCTCAGACTCTAAGCTCTTTCCACCGATCAGCAGCCCTGCGGCGAACATGTGCCCATGCTTTCCAATCTTGCGCAGGACATCGAAAATCTGGATTGCGAGTTCTCGAGTCGGCGAAAGGATTAGGGCACCGAGGCCGGCGTCTGCACCGATGTGCTGAAGTCGATAGAGGTTTTCGAGCACGGGGATGATGAACGACAGAGTTTTGCCGCTGCCAGTCTTCGCCGCACCAAGTATGTCGTGACCTTGAAGTGCAAGAGGAATTGCCTTGGACTGGATATCGGTCATGACAGCAAAGTGACATGACTTGAGTCCCTGCTTGGTAGGGTCGGAGAGGGGGAGGTCTGTGAAGTCCTTGTATACGCCTGTCTTGGGTTCCTGTGCACTATCAGCATTTCTCCTCATGTTGTAGCCACGTGAGTGTCCTACCAGTGCTGCAACAGCCGCTTCCAGCTTCTCGACGTCGACATCATCTCGCTTCCTCTTTGCGGCAGAGGCCTGCTTCTTGACCTTGGTAGGTCGCGTGCGACCTGTGATCCCTGCGCCACCCATGGTTTCAGTACATCGTCTACCTCCAGGCTCTGGTGTTGGAGTCTCAAGGCGCCTGCGATCGAAATTTTGGTGGAGCAGCGGCCCGTGCACGTTCGCCGCGGGGGTCTCGAAAGCAGCCCGCCCGATCGCCGTTTCGCGCATACAGCGCCTTGAACACCTCCAGCCTCAACTTTGGAACTACACGCGGGAGATATGGCGGACGATATCGAGGCAGAACTCAACGCAGCGGGCAAAGAGCTGGATAAAGTACGTCATACACACAGACACCGCATACTGTACTAACGAGCCACCAGGACGCGGAAATCGAGCGTACGTTCACGTGCATAGAGGATCCAAGGTGTTCACAGTATACTGACGACCTCCAGGCATCCGCAATATCTTCAGCCTCAACGCCTACGCCGTCCTCGACCTGCAGCCGGGTGTGCCCGAGTCAGACATCAAGAAAGTCTACCGCACCAAGTCACTACTCATCCATCCTGACAAGACATCCAATCCCAACGCCCCAGATGCCTTCGACAGGCTCAAGAAGGCGCAGACGGTACTCCTCGACGAGAAGCTGCGCGCCGAGCTAGACGAAAACATCGCCGACGCACGTATGCTGCTGATGCGGGAGAAGAAGCTGACCGCCGACGACGAAGAAACACGCGGCCCAGAGTTCCTCAAGGAGTGGCGCGAAAAGACCGCTTGGGTGATTCGCGACAACGAGCTGAGAAAACAACGACAGATGAAGGCGCAGATGCGCGAGGAGGGACGACAGCAGAAGAAGGAAGACGAGGAGATGGTTGAACGCAAGCGCAAGCGCGACCACGAGCAGGCCTGGGAGAAGTCACGTGACACACGCATCAACAGCTGGCGAGACTACCAGCAGGGCAAGAAGCCAGAGGCCGAGGGCGGCAAGAAGAAAAAGAAGAAGGTAAAGGCTCTTGGTTGAGCGCTGCGCTGCATTGCATTGCATTGCGCATGCTCTTGAGCAACGCGCAGCATATGTCCACATGCATGCTTTCACAACATCGCATACCCCACTCGCCTGCGCCCTCCGATTCGCAGCCAGTAACAGACCATTCCTCTATACGCCGTCGGCTTGGGAACAATATATTTCCTCGCATTTTCACGATGCATTTGGCAGGCGACATCATACCCATCGAAGTTCTCGCAGCATTAGAGTTTAACAAAGGCGCCAAGGACAGGCCGGACGTCTCATTTTTGAAGCTTGAGCCACCCGCATTTTGAGACGGGGAATCTCGGACATTGTATCCAGCATTCCGGTTGCTTGCTAGGTAATCTCAACGGTGTCTCAGGTAGAGTGAACACGCGTTCACGGCATACAAGTCGTGAATCTGGAACACAATCTTACAACATCATCTCAAATGCTCAGAAAGTGATATAAACCCGTCCCATCATCACAACACTCTCAAATTCGCACTGCCATGCTCTGCTTCGAGAGTCCAGCCTCGCATAGACAAACTTCCGGGATCTACTCCGCCAACACTCAAGAATAGCAACCTCTCAACGGCTCTCCTTGCAATCTCCCCCTCTCACCAGCAGTCTCCGACATGCACAAAAGCGGTTCAGCATTGCACCTAGGCTCCATGACCAACCTCATAAGGCTACAGCATGCGTACTGAAGACACAACCAGCCCATGAACAAAACGCCCGCGAAGAGTCTGGTTCTGGCCCGCTTGAGCGAGCGTGAACGAGCTGCATGCTCTTCGGATCCTAGCCCGCCCACATTCCACGGTCCCAGGTTGTTACTTGTCACACACCTGCATAGCCCCCTTTAGGACCTGCATATCCCCCTCTAGGACCTGCATATAGCTCCGATCTAAAATCCCCGATTGGCCACTCGCCCCTCTTCGTGCTTGAACCATGTGAAGATCCACTAATCGCAACTCCACCATGCGCGACCGTCACCAAGCCACGGCACATTGCTCAAACGGAATCTCTGTAGCTGCGCTCTGCCGCTTGTTCTCGATCCTCTCGCTATTCGCGTTCGGGAATAGTCGACACGTTGAAGCTATACTAGAACATGAAACACTACCGCAGGCAACGGATCTAGCACTGGTGCTTATGCACAGCAACGCACACAAGCTGCTTTGATAGCCTGGCTATGGATAGTGTACATAAACTTTGAATAAACCACAAGCGGTCTGTGGAATGTATGATACATATAAAGGGCAGAGTGGGCCCTTGCCGCCATGCTAAAAACGAACTCCCATGCCTGAATGCTGAGCATCTCGAGGCCCATGCACGCAATACGCAGGAAAACAGCAAAAGCTATGGAATGTTGCTAAGCAACAAACGTGGATCTATCCAAAATGACGGCATCCGTGGTATCTTAAAGTCGGGGACAGGAAAGGTATGATGTTCAGAAAGAGATGGGTACATGTTGTTGAACGGTATGCACCGTCCCGTGTCAAGTGTTTCAAGTCGACCAGGATGCGGCAGTCGGTAACGGGATACCATGTCTGAAACCGACCACCGCGAAACAAGTTGTACGACGTTGAACGGCTTTCTCAACCGTCATCTCGACATTTCGTCTCTTCTGCTCTACTCCAACACTTCGCTGATATTGAGGCGACGACGCTTACCAGCCTCCCCAGGTGTATCTGGACGTTTATCGGCACTTGAACTCGACTCTCTTCGTCGCACGCGCTCTCGATTGCTATCTGTCGTGCTATGGCTCGTCGCAAGGTGGAGTGGTGAGCCTAGAGGAGCTGGACCAGTGCGGATCGGAGGAAGCTGCAGACCCTCGAGTCGAGCTGGATGATTAAGTTCGCGCAAAGGTTCAGATATTACTGACCCAGTTCGAGGTGCAGATGCGTAAGGAGGAGCATGTGCTACCGACTGCGGGGGTTGGTAGGTCGGGAAATAGCCCGCTTCTGGGCCAGCAGTGGGAGAGTAGCCGTAGGTCGTGCTACTTGCGTAAGAGCTGGGACTGAAGTTTGGCAGCGATGTTCGAGCCGATGAAAAGTTGAAAGAGAAGGGTGAATTAGGCGCGGAGCTTGCCGATGATGGCGGTCGAACTTGTTGAGGAGTATAGTGCCCAGTCCTCGTTAGGAGAGGTGTAGGTGCCGACATAGACTGCGACGCGTTGACGGGCGTAGGAGGCGCCAGTTGCTGCGTCAAAAGAGGAGGACGAAGAGGCGTAGGCGGTAGTGTACGCACGACCAGCGTGACGAAGTACAGCGAGGTTTTCGCAAGTCGGATTTGGGTCTGGAGAGACTGGTACTGTCCATTGGGAAGACGATAGCTCAGGAAGACGGGCCTATCTGTAAACCCATGACTGACATGTTCGACATCTCGGTCTGCGACAGACTCCATCACTGAGCGCATTGGATCGTGCCCGATCGGAGTGATGGGCGCCATGTAGGCCGGCTCGCGTTCGTCTCGCTCGTCGCGGAGGTCATTGCGCAACCGTTGCAAGCTTTCGTTCTGTCTCGGTTCGAGTAGCTCTCCCAGGTGTTTTCCTCCCACGCTTCCCAGGAAGGAAACCAAATCTTGAAATGCTTGGTTCGACTTCTGGATCACTAGGTCCAAGTTCAGGAACGCAACGGGCAAAGATTGGTACGCCAAATCCGGTCCCACACCGTAAGGGGATGCGGGCACCCCACCACCATAGCTGCCGACGCTCAGGGTACGACCTCCGATGGAAGATGCGACTACGTTTGGAATGCTATTCCCTCTTTGTGCAACCGCTGTACGGGGTAGATCAGCGACTCGATGCGAATTCGAAGCTGGGTAAAATGTTTGGTGCGCAAAAGCTTCTGTTGACGGTGGAAGATTCGAACCTAGAGTCTGATCAGGCTGTTGTCTTCCCTCCTCCCGTCTAGTAAAGTCCCTATCGTCTCTTAGTCGTGGCCTTCCTCGTTTCTTGTGTAGCACGTCCTTGCATGTGTCCTGTTCGTTTCAGAGTCAGTTCCGATATATCTCCAAGCTCGTAACTTTCCTAGCGCATACGGATACGAGATCAACTTACCTGTTTTCCAGACGCGACGCATCGTCCGCACGGGCGCTGAACATCGCAGCTGAGATGCGCTTTCTTGCAGTTGACACAAGCTGAGGCCACATGGGCTTTTGTTCGTCTTGCTGGTTTAGTAGGCCTGGCAGGTGGTGGTGCTATCATTGCCGCGGGCTGTGTCTGGGGTCCTGCGTGTTGCGCTCCAGGGCCGTAAGAAGATGCGCCGGCAGGTGGATAGCCGTACGCATAGCTCTGTGGAGCTGATGGTGCTCCATAGGATGCATATTCAGTTGCATGTCCAGGCTGGTAGTGATGCGCCTGCTGTTGCGGGTGATGTCCACCAGGATACAGAGGCCTCTGCTGTGGATTGCTTTGGCTCGGCAATGGCTGCCGAGGATCGAACAACGCTGATGGCGGCGGCGGTAAAGGCGGACCGGCTTCGACCCTGTGGGGTGCACTTACTGGCGCAGGGTACTGGTGACGCTCAGATTCAACAGTACGTGCTGGGCGTTGGGAAGGAGAATGAGGCTCTGACATGGGAGGGGATGGGTAGCCTTGCTGTTCAGACCTGCTGGGACTGAACTTGGAGAAAAGCTTTGCCAGACCGACTTCTGGCTCTGTAGGTCGCCCAAACGGCGTTGAGGGATGTGAGTTCGGACGCGGTAATGACAGACTCTGCATCGCTTGACCTCCGCAACGCTCAACCGCCGCACCAGCAGCGAAAGCACGATTAGCCGAGCAAACAGCTGAAGATCCAGACAAATGCGCTGCCAGATGGACTGCGCTCTTGCCTTGGTCGTGATGCGAGTCAGTGCGTGATGGACTGACGCTGATAGATGGAGTCTGCATGATGACACAGGTAAGCCTACAAACAAGCAAAGAAAGAGCTAGGCAACGTCGAAGGAGGAAGCAGCTCAGCCACCCTCTGTTAACAAAAGCAATAACCCGAAGTCCGCTCGAAATTCTACCTCCACATTCAACCCCATCTGGACTTTCGCAAGCATGCATGCCTGTTCTAAGTCCGAATGCAGGGGGCAGGAGGGTGGGGAGGGACAGGATTCGTCAAATACCTCTTTGATATTGCCCTCCAGCTACCGCACCATATACTGCTCGACACTTCCAATGGACCTTCAAAGAGGAGTGCGAGAGACTCAAGCAGCGGCGAAGGTATCAAGACCGATCAGATCCAAGGTGATGGGGCGACTCCAGGTGGGACGTGAGGCGTTGGTGTTGAGAATGGGGGAGCCAATGAGCAGCAGACGACGCAAAAAGGCAGAGCAGGTTCTGCCCAGTCGGCGGAGAATCTCTAGTAATAACCACAATCGGTTATGGTGATTCTGCTGGCAGCTGTTTGTGGAATCCCTGCTAACACTTGCAGATGACGGACGACGGCCGTGAGACGGGGGCCACGATGTGTTCCGGGCAACGGGAACAGGGAAGGGTGCCTGTCGGGGACAACGACATGCTGGCCTCGTTCGGCTGATGGTTCTTCGACAAAAAGGTCTGCCGCTCTCCAGGACGGTCGATGCAGCCGCGGAAGTATGCACGGCAGCCGTGGCGTGGAGTGTGCATTGACACGGCGGGCTTGCGCTGGACTGGGGGCCCCGTCACTTGTGCTGGCCCCCTGCTATCCGAACCGTCTTCGACCAGGGCTAGCTAACGAAGCCCTAGCGCCTGCTCTATTGCAACAATTTTTCTTTTGCAGCCGCCCAAGTAAACCTTGGGAACGAGGCAAAGCATAAGTTGGCTTCCTTGATGCGCGTCGCGGCTGGCGCTTGAATGCGGCGCGCAAGTGCATGCTGCTGAGGAGGAAGGCAAGGCGACCAGCCGGGTAAGCCACACCGCGAGGCTCTGAAGGAAGAAGTTCCATCAATGGGCGACGAACTTGGCCTTACAGCAGACGCAGCAACCGCAAAGAGCTGATGATGGCGAAATGTGGCTCTCATGGACAGTCCCGCGGCGCTGGTTCACGCTTGCATCTGTCACTTGGGCCTTCGGGCCTCACAGGCCAACCACCGTCACCAGCACCTCGCAGCGCGCTCTGCATGGACCGTCTGCCGCACGCTGAACCTGCCTGCTGGCCCTCACTCGCAGCTACCGAAACCCTGTTGACAGGCACTACAGCGCCTTGCTGCCGCGCAACAGCGACACCAAGCTTCCCCAATAGCGAGCTCGTCTGATGTGAACTCTAAGCCCTATGACGAGGCCTGGGAACGGACCCGCAGCTGTGATCGACGCGGCCTTGCGGTTATGGCTTGACGACCTGCAACGCCATTTGAACATGATCGACTGCAGAGAGTTTGCATATATGCGCTCGCTATTGCATTCGGCGGCATAGACGCGGGGCGTCTGTAGAGTTGCAAAGCAGTAGCCAGACGCGTAGGTGCCGAAAGCATATGCAGCCTGCGGTCAGACAGCGTGTATTGCTTTGTTGGAAATGACCTGCGACGCCTGACGCCAAGCTGAGCCACATACGACTGGTGCTGAGTTGCCTCTAGAGCACATGCGAGTGATGGATCTGGCAGATGCTGGTCCCGCATGGCTGGTGGACATAGACGCCGCTAGCTTTGTCCGCTTGGTTTTGTCGCCGACTCATTCGCGAACCTACCTTCTACACGACCTTGGGCGTCGGACACAAGACAAGGCAGCGCCGGTGACATACATCTGAGTTGCAGCACTCGATACGAAACGACTTCGCTCTTGCCGAGCGGTACTTGCAGGTACGTCAAACAACGGACTGGCTGCAGTAGAGGCGATCCTGCAGCGACCTGCAAAAAGTGACGCCCATGGGCAGCGCTGTCTTCCAATCGCCAACATGATGCGCTAGCGGTGGCGTCCAGTCTTGAATAAGATGCGTAGTCAGGCTGTTGTTGCGAAACCGCCAGAGGTATATTAGCCGGCTGCTATAGGACTGGGATGCGCTGCTTTAGGATGGCCAAACAAAAAACTCCGGTGGGTGATATCGATCTGAAATCGCCGTCCGTCGAAGATCGCCGCAAAGTGCCCGAGAGAGCCCTGCGAGGCATCACCGTTGCTCTTGCGGAGCCGGAACTGAGTTTGCAGAGGTGGCACGCATAGCGCCTGGGTACAACGCAGGAGATAATGTGCTGTCTAATTGAACTTAATCGCCGTAGTGCCGCGCGTGACCTTGGAATGCAGAGGTTCCATAAGGTCGTCAATAATGCAGAAGCTTTAGCTGCCCAATAGCCAGTGCAGCTGCCCGCCAAGGGCGCTCCTGTTTACTTCTACTTCAGGCGATTGGCAGGCATGACGAGAATTGTCAGACAGGCGCATTGTCGACACTAGCAGGAGCATCATTGAAGGCCTGAAGGCGATTCTCACCGTTCATGCTGATGGATTACTCGAGTGGCAGTACTCGGTAAGCTCAACACGGCGTAGCGGGCCGTGGACGATCTATGCCCAAGCTGTGACGGGACCACGGCGGGCAGTTCATGACGCAGGACAAGACGAATCTCGACCATGGTTCATTGTCGTGGAACCGGTGAGACATAATTGTCGATTACCATTCCAAACTCATTCCTACCTACCGGCCCTGCATCCTTCTCCTACTGAAGAGGTACAATTTACATATCGCATGTGGCTCGTTCAGCACTCTCTGCGGCAAGAAGCGAGATTCGAGATGCACGGAACAGGGTGCACCTGCATGACCGTTCCTCCTTCAACATAACCAGCCGACCAGCGGAGATTCAATGACCCAATCCGCTCCGGCCATGTCACCCTGCTCAGCCCAGCACGGCGGAAAATATAAGATCCTTCGGTTTTCCTGCAAGGCCCAGAAATACTGTCGGGGATCTTGTCGTTAACAGAAGGTCTTTATATGACCGTCATCTCTCAGTACGATGCTCCGAGGCTACGGCCGACGAAATCTGCTCAACGGCCTGCGGGGAACTGGAAGCTGCTGCCCTTCCCGCCGTGACGGGCGCTGCCGTTATATCACTAAGGGCTTTGCTCCGAGCTCTCAAGATGCATGAAGCCCGCCAGCACCTTTACGGACGATCGTACATCAGCGTCCCTGCAGCATCACCAGCAGTTCAACTTGGTGTTGTCGAGACCAGGATGCGTGCTGCGACAAGGGCAGACACGGATTGGACCGCGGGATCTACGAACCGGTGCATGGGCTTCTGGACACGTTGTTCGTGCCAAAAGTAGTGCGGGTCAGGGATGTCGCTATCGAAAGAAAAAAATCCTTGTACCATCCTCGATTTGCGACTGGGTACGGCCCGAGTAGGCCTTGTAGGATCTCTCTAATACATGCCGACTTCCGTATATGTGAATGCCTCCCCCCCCCCTACCGGCTTAATGCATAAACCACATGCAGCTCTTCTCGTAAAGCTTCACAAGTTGATCCCTTGCGTGCCTTTATGCCCATCATCATCAATTTGATAACAATCGGGCCCACTGCGGAACGAGAAATTTCCGTCTGTAAGACGTCGATATCCCGCCGTGAGGTACTCTTCTCGCGTGCGAGCCGCTGTGCATAGCCTTTAGCGACACCACCACGCCGCAAGGGGGAAGGGGTCCGTGGCCGCATCGCGTTCCTTGCTTGTTCGGAAGGCGACGATTTTCATCGAAAGTTGCAACAGGGTTTGGCGAAGAGATTGCCGTCCTACTTCGGCTGTATGATGTTATCAGAAAGCCGTTGAAGGACACTGAGAGATTGCATTTGTGGCACAGAAGTATTGCGAGAACTCATCGGCGGCTGGAATACCGAACTTTGTCATATTTGTACGACCAGCTGGTTGTGGTCCCTGACCTCGTGCGCGTGTCACACAGAAGCGTGTTGTTATTGCACCGAAGATATTGTGGCGGCTTCTAGAAGGTCGGGTAGGCCGTGCCTGCGTCTACACCTGGATTTATTGAGGTCTTACGGGCTTGGGCGCTAAAGATACCTTGAGCCCTCAAGGCTGCCAGGTGGAGTCTCAATTCGGGTAGCGCGGACATTTTGTCCGGCTCGAAAAAACCTCCTGGATGGATGACGTGCGTGCTGGCCATGTGCGCTTAGAAAGACCCTTGATGCCTGAGTCGGGCATCGTGGACGCGCTGGCAGCTGTCTCTCAATACGCGGTCGCCTGTCAAGTGTCAACTCTATCGCGTGTCGATAAAGCCGTGAACTTTACCTTGCGCCTTACACTGCGTGCTGCCACGGCTAGGACACTCGCTTGCAGCTTGTAAATATCAATAAGCAGTCCGGTCGACAGCCCCTTGAGCCCAAAAGCTTGGGCAATACTTCAAAAGACATGTTCTGTCCAGAAATTCGGTATCCTCAATTGGCTTGAAGGGCAGCGATGTGCAAAGCCACTATTGGCCTAATTTGCATCGCTCGTGCAAGGCCTAGTCATGTGGATTATATCCCCATAAACGCAGACTCGGGGCACAGTGAATTTACCACTCCATGGCGACTACGCCTGCTGTGTATGGCATGTTCCGCGAAAATTCCGCCGACCAAGTGGATTTGCAACGTCTGAACAGTGGGCGCAGAAGCTGTTGAAGGCCGCCAGCCCATTCCAGCCCAGTTGTAGGATCTAACAAACCGCGAGTATACATCCGAGGCACATACAGATGCAGAGATGCATGTGGCACGGGAAAAGCAACATCAAGATCCCGTAGGATCATAGGTTGCTCCGGGCGTCTAACCGATGAGGTGTGGGCCTTAAAAAGGTGGTCTGACATTGCAACACATGGTAGCCAAAAAGGCAATTGCAAACAATGTGCTTGCCCTGTTGGTCCTGACATACTCGCCTTGGGTGTGATGGTGCAAAGGTCAAGTCACGATCGTCTATATCGGCACGAGAGTCATCCCGAAGAAATCCACGGGACTCGCGCCGCACTGGGCGCCACAACATTCGCTAGCGTTCGAGTCAAGTGTGTATGGTACGGGAAGTAACACTCCGTCGACCAGATAAAGTCTGTATTGATGCATTTTGCACTAGATTGCAAGCCGGGTATTGAACAATGAACTCAAAACTTCCGCTTCTTCGACGGTCTGGCGTTTTTCTTTTGACGCTGCTCTTGGATCTTGCGCTGCTTTTGTACAGCGTTGACATCCTTGAGTTCGCTCTTGCCGGTGCCGTCTTTGAACTTGCCGATGCGCTTCTCCTTGGCTTCTTGGACCCTCTTCTTCTGCACCTCGTAATCGTCGCGGTACCTATCTGCCTCCTTGGGTGCTTTTTCTGCCTTATGCTTGTAGTGTTGAGTCTTACCAGGTGCGCGACCTGGAGCTTCTTGTTCACCAACACGCGGCATGCGACCCATCTTGTTGGCTTTGCGCCAATCGTCGAAACGTCCACTGCGGAAACTGGCAGCGATCTTCTGACCACTTTCACCGCGAATCATCTTGGCACCTTTTGATCCGTCTTCGTCGTTGGCGCGAGCAACGTACTTCTTGGACTTCTTGTCCCATCTCATCTTTGCTTTGCTTGCATCTGCGAAACCTTGAATCTCATCGTTGACAAGCGACATTTCTGCTGCTCTTGCAGCTGAAACGAAGTTATTGCCAGCATCTCCACCGCTCACACCATATGCCTTCTCTTCTGCGTAGTTCTCCTTTGGCAAATAAGACATGAAGAATTCTCCTTCTCGGAAGTCATCGTTGTCGGGTTTCTTCGAAGAAGGCATTGACACAGATACTTCTAGCTCGTCAGAGTCAGAGTCGTATGCGCCAGTGTCAGCCGGCTCATCACCGTCTTCTGAGTCGACTTCCACCTTTTCAGACTCGTCAGGAGCTGCGAGGCTTGCGACAGGTGCATTGTTAGCTCGCGCATTAGCCCTTTGCTTCTCCTGTTGCCTCTCAACCTGAACTCGTCTCCTGCGCATGATTTCAGCGGTTTCGCTTTGCGTTCCGCGTCTTCCAATTTCGAAGACGGTTTCCGCTGGCCTGAAACCTTGAATCCTTTGTAGCATCTTCTCCTTCTCTTGCAGCGCATCGTGAACCTCGTCCTTGAAGAGAACATGCGTATCCGCAAAATGAGGATTTGCAAGTAGTTCCTTAGTTCGGTGAACGCTCGGTGCGCTAGCTTGGTTGCGTGTTCTTTGGTACTGTCGCTCACCCTTATCGGCTACACTCTGCAACAACGCCAAGTCTTCATCATCGGCAAGCTGCTTGTTCACAACTTCGACTGAGGCCTCCAGCTGATACGGTGCCAGACTACCTACGACGAAGTCTTCGGCGAAGTTCGCTTCCTCAGTGGATCTGCCGACCAGCAGCCGTTGGCCGAGAAATAGCTGTAGATCCAATAAATACGGGAGATCGACATGTCGACAAAGACTGTACGCCCAGCCCTTCCGCCCAGCACGAGCAGTTCGCCCAACTCTGTGCACGCAGATCTTCGGTTGCGATGGGAAATCATAGTTGATGACGTGATTGATATGAGGCATATCAACACCACGAGCCGCGACATCGGTAACGACAAGAATACGAGTAAGACCAGAACGGAACTCCTCGACGTGAGCTTTACGTGCTGTTTGGTCCAGGTTGCCGTACACTGGATGGACAGATTAGCTGGAACTCTTTCCTACCAATAGCATAGTTTGACTTACAGTAAGAGACAGGATAGCCGAGGGACTTCAGAAGTTCGGATAGGTATTCGACTCGATGTTTGGTAGCGGCGAAGATGATCGTTGACTCGGCCACTGCGACGTCCTTTGCAGTGAACTGTTTACGTTTGCGCTTTGCGCCGACGCTCAAGCTGCCTTCCTCCTTCCGCGCCTTCGCCGCCTCGGTCTCGCCCGCTGGTACTTTGATAACCTGCTCTAGAAGGTACAGCAGCGCTCCGTCTCGATCCCCAGATTTTATGGTAAAGTAAGCACTTTTGAGATCCGGGGAAATCTTGCTTTCGGCATCGAGTCGAATGAGCTTAGGGTCTTGTAGGCCTGCTCGTGCAAACTCCACAAGTGATTTAGGCAAAGTAGCACTGAACAGTAGTGTCTGTCTTGAAGTTGGCAGGGCATGAAGAATCTCAGCCAACTGTGCGGCAAAACCCATCTCGAACAAGCGGTCGGCTTCGTCGAAGCAAATGTATTTGACGGAGGACAGGTCAAGGCCCATCTCGACCTTCAGATGTAGGAAACGACCGGGGGTGGCAATGATGATATCTGGGTTCGTAGTCATGGAACTGAACTCTGTAATGCTGTTAGTAACATTCCTTGCACATATGCTCCATGTAACATACGCTCTTCCAGACTATCACCACCAACTAGTAGGATTGTCCTGAGGTCTGTGCCACGACCAAACTCCTTAACGACCTTCAAGGTCTGTAGCGCAAGCTCACGAGAAGGCGACATGATGATTCCACGTGCACCGACCTTCGCAGAGTGGGTCTTGAGCTTCTCAATCATGGGAATGACGAAGGCAGCCGTCTTTCCGGAACCTGTTCTTGCCATCCCCACCACATCTTCACCTGCCAAGAGAAGCGGTATCGCCTTGCGCTGGATCGGAGTCGCCATCTTAAACCCCTTCTGCGCAATAGCCTTCAAGAGCAGTGCGTTTAAGCCCATGGCCTGAAAACCACCGCCTTTCTTGCCTGTACCCTTCACATTTGCGGCTTTTCGGTTCGAAGCAGCCTGCTTTGCCGCGATGAACGCCTCATCGTCTGAACCTCCATCACTGCCAACATCTAGATCAATACCAAGATCTGCGCCCAAGCTGTTTCCCTGCTCTTCAGTGTCTGAACCGGCGAGGTTGTCGAAGATGTCGAACTCGTTCTCAGAGAGCGCCGGTGAGGCTGCACGAGGAGCCATGGTCGGTCCGTCGTAGGGATATTCGAGCGCGGCGTGCGATGTTTGACTGCAGCGAGAACGCCTGCGTTCACAGGACATCAATCAAGAAAAGAATAAAGTGGAGCCAGAACTCTTGGCGGGCGCTAATCGATAGTCATGTGGGGTCGCGGTGCAAAGTAGGCAGGCGCGGTAGCGCGTTTTCGACGCGTCGCTCTTGCTCTTCCCTCTCCATCTGCCTACACGTCAGATCCGCCACCAGGCGAACATGAGTATGCGCTCCCTTTTGTACATCCATAGAAAGCCAAACACTAACCATGTCAGGTTACAACAACTACGAGACGTCGTATACGTCGTACGGCGCCGGCGGTGGTGCTGGCGCCGGCGGCTTCATCCCTGGTGATGGCAGCCAGCAGAGTCCCGGCGGGCGAGACAAGCAACAACAAGACTCACTCCGTCCTGTTACGATCAAGCAGATTCTAGATGCTCAGCCAGATGCTGGGAACGATACCTTCAAAATCGATGGACACACTGTTTCTCAGGTATAGATTGCCCATTTAAGCGTTTACAACAGTAGTTGATGTCTGTCCCAGCTTACCTTCGTTGGCCAAATCCGCAACATATCGACACAAACCACAAACACTACGTACAGACTCGACGATGGCACCGGTAGTATCGAGGTCAAGCAATGGGTCGACTCGGACACTGTTGATCAGAACAACCCTGTTAAAGCCAAGCTCGTTGAAGGCGCATACTGTAGAGCGTGGGGAAAGCTGAAGAGCTTCAACGATAGGAGATCGGTCGGTGCGCAGATCATTCGCCCCGTGGAAGATATGAACGAGGTGTCGTACCATTTACTCGAAGCCACGTCTATCCATCTGTACTTCACGCGAGGGCCACCTGGAGGAGGCAACGCTGGCGCTGGCGCCGCCAATACCAATGGCGGAGCAGGACAACAAGGCGGTGGTGCTTACGGGGGTCACGACCTGGCTGGCTACAACTCTCACGCGAAGAAGGTGTTCGCATATCTACGAGAAACACCTCAAGGGAATGAGGGTCTGCACCAACAAGATATTGCAGCAGCCCTTGGTCTCGAATCCGCCGATGTGTTGAGGGCTGGAGACGATCTTCTGGCAGGCGGTCTTATCTACACGACTGTTGACGACCATACATGGGCAGTGCTCGAAGCTGATTGAGAGGCCTCAAGGAGCATGTGTGTCTTGAAGTGACAAGCAGGACTTGTTGACAGCGTCGAGCTCGCATAGCGACGAAGCAAACGGCGATGATATTAGTTGTGCAGCATGAGCAGAAGCTCTGGGTGTCTATGAAGTCTACGAATGTGAAGGGGGCCTTTACCGATTTTGCGCTTTCGTAGATAATAACAGCACGCAAGTGGCTACAATTGCTGCTGCGACTACGGTGAATACTGTCTGTGTCTTCCAGCCTGTTTGCACAAGGGCCTGACGGTGACTGTAGCCTGAAACTGTAGCGATGTAGTTGGCCACTCCAGACAACAGGCATGCCAATGAGAGCAACCAGAACACAATGCCCAGCGGGAGTGACCACTTCCTTTCTGTATCTCGTAAGCAATAGTTAAGATTCATGCATGCCTGTACAGACTTACCAAGCGTGGATTGGTCTGGCTTCAAGTGGAAGTTCAGAACGATCGCAACAGCCACAATGGACATGTACACACTGAGTTTCAGCCAGGATAGAAACGCTATGTTGGTCAGACTCTACACCCCCCATCTGAATGGTATACACGTACTTCTTTCATTGGCAGCAATATCTCGTGCTTCCGAGGCAATATTGTCAAACAACAACACTCCAAGCAGAGGTCGCTCTCTAAAGGCTGCTCGGTTATAGTCGTTATCTCTGTCACTACATCAGCGCTATCTACTCAAAAGTAGTGGTACATCCTACTGCTTGACGAGCACCGGCTTCGATGCAAAGATGTTGTAGAATGGGCGGTATGGCTCTTCTAAGATGGCCTCGTCCGAGTCACACATACAATCCAGACTTCTGAAATCCATAGCGATAGTGATTTATATCAAGAAAGAATGCGGACTTGATGCGTGGGAACGTTCAAGTGCGGATGGTTCCTCAATCACAGCACGCGATTCAGTCACGCTTGTGATTACTGCACGGGCCGCTCATGAACGGCAGATGAAGTCATCGCCCAATGACCTTTAAGGTGAACTTGGAATCACAACATCACGACCTGCATCAATAACCGTCATGGGTAAATCACAGACGATCTTTGGAGGCGAGCAGTAAGCAGCAGGATGACCCTGTTGCCATTGGTTATGCTGACATTGGTTGCAGGGGCTGGGATGCGAAAGACTGGACATCTAGCGACGATAGAGTGCGAGGCGGAAAGTCACAGGTAAAACATTGGTGCTATTTCGGGTAGCAGAGCACGCTCTAACTTCACACTTCAGTCCTACCTAGATATAAAAGGATCGACAGCCTGCTTCCACGGCAACCTCGACATCAAGACCCTGGGCGGCGCCGGCTTTGCCAGCCAACGCACAACTGGTGATGACCGCTCTTGGGACCTGTCTGCCTATGATGGAATCCACTTGGACGTCAGCAAGGAGGATAGCAAACGTTACACATTCGTTCTAAAAGACGAGATTCTACCTCCCATGGACGACGGCCGTGAGCAGTCAACCATCAGCTACGAGTACGACTTCAGCGCAGCTGGCAACTACTCAGTCTTTGTCTCCTGGAGCGAGTTAAAGCCAACGTACCGCGGCAAGGAGAAGGAAGACGCGCCACCACTGAACACGACGAGTGTCAAAAGATGGAGTTTCATGATGAGAAGCTTCTTTGGCAACCAAGACGGCGATTTTTCAGTGGAGATCAAGTCGGTAAAAGCTGTGTCGCGGCCAGACGACCTCGAGGCAGGTTTCACAAGTGAGAAAAGCGACTACAATGCAGTCGAGGTGAGTCTAGAAAGTCTCAATGAGGAGATTGCATAGCTAATATTGAGCAGAAGAAGGAGCCCTGGTCGTGGAAGAACTCCAGGATCGTCGGACTTGCACTCATCTTCTCCACGACTTGGGCCATCTGTACGGGTGTTTGCTGGTACAAGGGCCTTGATATAAGTACATGATCTGATGCATGAGACTGAATATACACTGACTGATCCTAGGTATGATGACGCCTAGGAACTGGTGGAGGATGGCGAAGTACGACCGTCTACCTTGAGATGCGGACTCCTCGGCAGAACAACAAACTCTGTCGCTAATCTTGCAAGTGTTACAATAAGACCTTCCTCTCTCGATACTATGTCCGACCTTTCTTCGAGCATCCTTCAAAACGCTTACTTAACCCTGCGTCCATCTTGCAGATCGTATGTGCCTTGGTGTTTCTCTTCCCTGTCTGCATGTCACCAATCCCTACATCGGGGACGCATCCGCTCGTGTTCACGGCACACATTGCTTTTCGGTCCTGTGCGAATCCGAGACTTTCTCCAAAATGTGCAAAGATCATTGCAGAATGTTCTGCAACCCAGGATTTTGGACCTGTCACTGCAACGAGCCCATCGTATATCACGCAATGCTACTATGTTCGCATCGTCAGTATGCACGGTGAGCCGCCTCTTGATACGAAAGCGCGCATCTAACAAAGGACGTGCTGCATCGTTGTAGACCGCCTCAACGTCAGTGCCAAAGGCGCAGTGCACTCTGGTATCTTGGAAACACGCAGCGTCGTAGCAAGCCAGGGTGGTCACCGCGCGGCCGCAATCGTATGATTAGCGGCCTGCTAGCGAGCTGATATTCAGACCTCAGACGACTTCTCAGCTGTCAACAGCTGTTGCTGTCTGGGATGAAGTCGTCGGTTCGGTCGTGGTCGCTGCTTATTTAATGTAGGCTGTCGGGAACTCATCCTGCGGGATCGCTGATCGACAATGCGGGGCGCCTCTTCTCTTCCGAAGCCATCCACGGTCATCCAACGCACAACGACACCTCGAGCGACTAACTTCCGCGTCTCATTGTCAACCTTTGTTGTAAAAGCGACATGCGTCTTCTTGATTTTTGATATTTGGCTCCTATGTGGTATGACGCACTCGAAATGCATGTGGAAAGTTAATACAGTACGGATCTGCTCAAAAGGACGCGCTCCAAGGAAGCATAAATCGGAGATTGCTTCTTCCAATGCAGTGCCGTGGTTTTGAGATCGTGGCTAGGCAAGCCAGGGTAACTGCCTGGCGAGTATTGGCCTCCGCTCACATGCCCTTGACTCTTGAATTCATGGTTGAGCTTGAGCATCGCCCCTTCTTGCATTCGGGCTAGCGCACAAGCTAATGGATCTGCCATTCATGAATGAAAGCTCGCCCTTGACAGTTCTTTTTACCCCAGATCTTCCCCGGACTTGTCTGCTTGTACAAACACAACCTGCTCCTTCGACGTTCCTCACCGCCGTACTGCCGCTTTGTGCTACATTTGGAGATTCCGGGTCTTCTCTTGTCCCACTTCAGCAGCCTCACGGTCCTCGTCAAAGTTGCTCTAGACACGACCTAACAGGCCCGGATCTGCCTCCTATCACTTCCACTCGTCCAGCATCACAACATCAAACCCCAACCAACGCTCCAGTGTTTCGAAACTACCGAGCCGTGGAACCGTCTTATCGGTGCAGTGCCGATTTGTGGCAATGCGACAGTTCTGGCGTAGGCCTTGGTGCTGATTTAATCCATCGTTTCAATTGCTTCTGACCCGTCGTCCGATGAACATGCTCCCTGCGAGCTAGCATCGCAGCCCCGTTTGTGCATCGTATCTGGCAGCTTTTGAACATACCTCCGTTGTTTCTCGCAAACACGAACACTCTGTTCACGACGACTCCAGAGCTCTTGCCACATCTTGTACGGGCCCTACTTTCGGTGTGCCGCGATCGACCAAGATGACATCCAATCGAGAGCCCTCGGGTTTCTCCACCTTGTCATTCAGCAACAACACAGGTCAGACACGAGCTGGTCAAAGGAAGGACAACAAAGGTCGCAAGTTTTTTCAGCAGATGCAGCCCACCTTTTCGATAGATGTACCGACAACGACATTCACAAAGCTTGAGTTCCTGGATAACTTTGACCCCGCGAAAGATACAGTGGTCCGAAAGAAGGCCCGAGAATGGGTGAACAAGAACCGAGGGATCTCCAATCTCGGTGGACAAGCAACATCGAAGTCAAAATCGAAAAACGCTGCCTTAAAAGCGGAAGAAGAAGACCAGAAGAAGCACTTGGCTAGGTGCAAAAGCACAATTCCTACAGTCATACTCAGTCCTAGAGCAGTCGGTGCAAGCTCGGTGGACCCTTTTGGTATCCTCCCTAACATTGGGAGGGACTTCGACCACGTCATCAAGTATTGTAGGTTTATCTAGGGAACCTAAACATCTTTGACAAGTCTAACATGTGCAGTCCTTTCTGCAAACTGTCCCGAGGAGATCCCATGCTCAGATGGTACGTTGTACATGTCCACAATCGTATATCGTTCAACTAATCACACCGTGATATGCAGACAAGTATGCAGATAAGTCGAAGCATGCTCACATCCCCTTCCAACATGAGAACACAGTCCTGGGTAACATGGCGAAGAGCGAGCTTACCTTTGTCCTGTGGCTTTATGCTACTGTCATCATCCGTGATGGAATGTCGGGGAACTTCAACACGGAGGAGGTGTATTGGTTCTACAACAAATCTCTCAAAGTAATGCAGGAGACATTACAACGAGAGACAGCAGCTGGGAATTACTCCGATTACCTCATCAACGCTGTTTCGTGCATCACAGCTGCTGCGGTAAGTCATTGGCCATAGCAACAATATTTCGAACGTAGCAATACTCGATATTAACTGATGGCGATAGGTGTTTTCCGGTATGTTCAATACGGCTGTTTTGCACCGGGACGCATTGGTTCGCCTTCTGACTCTTCGGGGAGATGGTGATATATCAGTGGGTTGGCAGTCGACAGGCTATTTCACCCGCAAAGCTTCACAGTGGTATGTTTACCCACTCCAAGGACTGGAAGAAGCTGTTGACTAATCATTCGTTAGGTGCGAGATAATGGTTGCTGCGCAGCTTGCGGAGATCCCGAAACTTCCTCATCGACCCCAAAGCTTCTCGCCGCTTCCTAAAGCCGTCATTCTTACGACCGATGCACTCACTGCTACAACGCTTAATAGCCTACCCCAGCTCTCAGAGCCTTTCGTTGAGGTTATCCGCTATCTGCATCAAGTCGCCGTTTCGTATGCGTCGCCGCCACCAGACGTCAAGATTGACGATTACATCATCCAACCTATGTACGATGTTCAGCATGCACTTCTGAAGATACTAGCGGCGCAGAAAGAGGCCAAGCACGGGTTTACAGACGTTGAAGTACTGCTCGCTGAAGCTTTCCAGCTATACTTCTGGACCGGAACCAGAGGTTTACCACCGCAGACCAGGCTGTGCGAGCTCCTCATATCTCGTGTCATGAAGGCACTACTTCCGCTTTTACTCGAAGCAAGCACAGAGCTATCCTTTGAGACAGGACCAAGGATGGCTACCTCAACTGAAGACAAGAACAACAGTATCCAAATGAAGCTAGAGGCCAAAGACCATTTCTACCGGTTCCTTCGCCATACACGGGAGGTCAACAATGCTATCACTTGGGCGCTTGCTCTCGGCACTTTGGTTACCGCGCCGCTGTTGGCGCCTGAGCATTGCTGGTTTAAGGGTCACTTCCAACTGCAGCTGAGAGCTATGGCGCTGCAAAGGGATCAGGACCAGTGGTTCGCCTTTCTCAGTCTTTTCCCTACCACTGATGGCTATCCAAATCCCTGGATAGATTTGAAGAGCGTGTGGCGCGAACACGGTGTATGAAGAGCTTATGATATTGCAACATCCCTTCTTCACAATATACCCGATCCTGCGCTGGATGGGCCCACTTGATCGAATGTGCGGCTCATGTTCCTACTGCGGTACAGAGGGGCACATTCGTCTGGTCGAGCCATTGACTGCTACAATGGTCGAACCATATTACAACTCCGCGGCTTAGTCCGACCCCGCATCATCTAGGGATCAACGATTTCGATCGAACAACTATCGCAGTTCGAACACGACTTTTCTGCTCGAGCTTTAATATCTACACCAAGTCTGCAAGCATGTCAAAGGACAACGTGGCCGAATCAGCCCCTCCACAACCACAGCTATATATCAGAGAAACCTACTTTCAGACTCCGAAAGCCGTAGTTCCACCCAATGCAACACCGAAGAAAGCCATCACGCCAACAGTACGCTCCGTTCCCGCGACCTCTCCACCGCGAAGAGATTCAAAGAAGGAACCAACTGCCGAGCACCCAATGGGCTACGAAACCGCAGCTGAGCCAACCGTCATCACACTAGAGGAACACGAGACACTGAAAGAGCGTTTGGATGCGCTATTCCGCTCGACATTGCGAGCTGTCCGGAAATGCCTCTGTTCAACATCGAGCGAGCTTGACGACACCGAGTCGAATACCGCACATATGCTAGACTCTTACCGTCATCACCCAATATACGGCTACGGCTCGATCTCTGCGGGAGCCAAGCCGACATCTAAGTCTGACAATGTGTGGCCAAGAGCACAACGGCAGAGACTTTCTCAGGAAGGGCTGGTAGCTCAGCCAACACCAAAGGGCAACTTTATCATATGAGCGCCGTTCACGACGTTCAGGTCAAAAATGAACCACTACGCAGTCGAGGATTGATGAATTGAGCGGCATGGAGATAAGCCGTGTTACGAGACAACGGTCGAGGTTGTACCAGGCTGGCTCCGCAGGCCATCACCACCCGGAGGATACCATATCTTACCCCCTCGCTTTCTATTTACTCTGCAAGGAACATGTCGCAAACCACCTCATACACGTCAGTACATAATTATAATACGAGAGAGAATCAACCTGCCAGTTTTCCAGCCACCATCTTGGGTATCTCAAAGAGACTCGTGCAAGTGTCCGCTGCTGGACTTTGGATTACAGAGCCACCGGTCGGATATAAAAACTAATACAAGCGAGTGATCACTACAATCCACGGCCGGTATGCATGCTTGAAGACTGAATGAGAATCCTGGGTCTGGTGCTACCAGACGATAGTGACCCTTCAGCTGGCATATGAGAAGTCAAGACTGGATAACACTGAACGGTAATTAGGATTATACCCACGTTCGAAGAACACCCTGCCGGGAGTGAGGCTTGGTGGCAGTGAACGCTAGCCTCAACGTGCCAGCGTGCATCGGCAGCGCAACTTCGACGGACCCGCATGAGGTGGGTGCTCCGCAACGTTGCACGATGGGGCTGAGTTTCCAGATCGATACTTCTTGAGGAGTCATACTACGATCCGACATGATGGGTGTAGGAACGCAGCGTTTGGTTTCATCTGAAGTAACGTCAACCTCTCACCGGTATTTCGGTACAAGCCAAGATCTGGGGTCCTTCGAGAGCCCAAAAGCCACGACTCAGCCCCTCCCAACGCGCAACATCACCAGAAAGCATGACCTTCCCGACCAGCTTTTGAAGACGCGTCGCGCAATTAATGAGAAGGGCGGTGATGTTGCTGCGCCCTCTTTCCCACCGGAAAACGAGGCATCTCTGCCGAGTTAGGCTAGGATGCGTAATCAGCTCCACCGGTTTATTGCTGGGTTGGCCCTTGTTTCGTGTGCTGCACGCCCTACAGGCCACAAAGCTGATGCCTGAATTTGGCTTGTGGCATCGATTTCCAACCCAGCGCACAGCAGCCGGTGCTGCCGGTGTGCTGCTTCGTTCGGTGTTGCTTCTGCGCATTCTTCGAGGTTAATGAAGGACATGTTGCGCCTGTACAAACGCAGAGAATCGTCTCGAGCAACCTGCGATCACTGCGAAACACCGTGCAGTACTCTGCGAGAGGCCGCCGAACGTGATGGCCCTCTAACCATGGTAGTGCTAGCGCTGATGACCGGGTAACGCCGACGGTGCCGCCTATTGGTTGCATAAGACCGGCCGCGCTGCGACTTCGGTGAGTCAGAGTGAAGGTGGTTTGGCACTCTCGCTTCTCGCACGTCCGGGCTGCCGTTTAAATTCCCCCGCCTTCCCTCGCTGCCTGATTTTGCTTCCATCCACCGCACTTACACACATATACACCAAGACAGTCACATCAAAATGGCTGCCTTCTAAGCGTCTCGCGCCCGCCACCCTGGACTCAACAATAAACAACCCAACCATTCAACTCCCCCCCTCAGAGACTTCCTTTTTGGAAACTCTGAACTATAGCCTAGCTTCGCGCAGCTCCAGTTCGCCTTCCACAATCGACTTCACGTCGGTCACCACGGCTTCCCACCAGTCACCATGGCTCTCTTCACCAGCTCCCCACGCCTATCGGCATCAACTGAATACGACATCACACGACCTCGCGCATCCGCAGACGGACTTCGTGCTCTACGATCAACCAGCTCAACCTCGTCGAGCACCGAGCGCTCCTCAGCCTGCTCCTACGTTTAACAACGGCCAGCACTTTTACGCGAACTCTGCCCCATCATCTACTACAGAATTCCAGCAGCCCTTGTCCCGACAACGTCCCCCGGTTCCATTGTTCCACAGCTCTAGCAACACCACTATTCCACAAGCACAACAACAACTGCCAAACGTCGCAAATATGGCAGGTAAGGACGGTTCCTACCGCCAGTACTCTCACATGCTCACACATGTCGCAGACCTGCACAGCAACAACTCGTTTGACTCAGGCGCAAGCCTGATGCCTGCATTCCAGGCCGGCGGCTTCTCTTTGGAGCAGGTGTCAGCGTTCACCGCGATCAACGACCCTTCGGTCGCATCCGGTTCCATGCGCACCGTGTCTCCAAAGGACATTTTTGCCGATGCTTTTGGCTCTGCACCCCCATCTGCAGCGTTCACCAATCTGACCTCGCCTGACATTGACGCCTCGCCCTTCATCAACGACAGCTTCGAGACCTCACCCATGTTCCAGGGTGAGCCTTTGCTGACTAACTCCAACGACTGGTTCTCCCTCTTCCCTGAGGAGGAGAATAAGCTTCATGAAGTTGCCAAGTACGCTCCTGCCGTGCCGCTGCCCATGGAGCGCACTATCAGTAGCCAGTCTATGGAGCGATCCGGCTCCTCAAGCATGGGATCCCCAATCGTCTTGGACACCAGCTCGTTCCGAAGGAAGTCGTCTGTCACCAACTCGCCTGCCACCAACGGCATCAGCAAGTCTCGTCGTCGCAAGGGCGCTCTCCCTGCTATCACTGTCGATCCCAACGACAAGATCGCTTTGAAGCGAGCGCGCAACACTCTTGCTGCTCGTGAGTCTCGGCAAAGGAAGTTCGACCACGTGGCCGAGCTTGAGGCTCGCAACGCCGAACTTGAGGCTGAGATTGAGAAGTGGAAGACACTTGCTTTAGCTCATGGTTACAACGGAGCATGAATCTCCGTCCCCCTCGTACCCAGTTACCGGTGGCCCTAAAGGAGCTGGTGAAGACCAGCTAGCTTTTTGGTAAAAGTTTTCCTTTCATGTTGTTTGGACTTACTGCTATTCACACACCTCACCTCAACCCGTTGATGGTCTTGTGTTGCTTTTCCTTCGTCGATTAATGTTTACCGCCGGAGTGCAGTCTCCCTTCGTGGTTGATTTGACTCCTCCGTGCACAAATGAGAGCGGATTGTTGATGCTTTTATTTCTGGTTTGCAATTATCACCTGTCCTTATAGATACTGGTAGCGGGGTGACCCTTGTGAGGCCTCCCATCTCTTTAAATATACCTCTTTATCACAACTATGACTCTTCTTGCAGTGACTCCCTCGCTTCGTGATGACAAAGATGCATGATGGCTCACTGTATCTCGTTACCTGACGCACCCGACCGGCTCGTACCTTTCGTGAACGTGCATAGTCACTGCTTGAGTCCGAATAGGTGGTCTTCGTTCCGACTGCGGTGTAGCGCAAAGTTGTTCTCACTGTCAGCGATCACGAGTCTGATGCTCATCATCTCGACTCTTAAAACGTGATGTCAAGAACCATGAGAAGTCTAGAATGAAGTGAGAGGTTTCGACCAAGCGCCAGAGTGAGGGCAACACATCAAGCGCCGAAAGCGCCGTAGGCGCCCGCCAATGTTGATGGGGAAGAATGTTGAGAACAAGACAAGATGCAGCGGCTTAGACGATCTCGGCCATTTTCATTGCGGTCGGCGAAGATACAGAGGTGCCATCACTCCGAGTTGAAGTCTTCCAGCAACTTGTCCTTCTCGCACTGTGTGAGATCTGTGCGGAGTTGAGTGGCGTTGATGCCACAGAGCTTACAATGACAATGGAGGATGCTCTGGACTTCGTCGAGTTTGGTGTCCTTGCTGACAGGAATCTACTCGTCTTTGGGTACCTTTAGGCGCTCTTGTCCTTCTGAGCATCGAAGAATGCACAGCGCATTCATGTCCCTACGCTTGGAACCAAGCTTCGAAGCTTTGTAATCCAATACGTACTGGAACCCCAGCCACGAGGCCAGCAGACACCACTTCCGGTAAGCAGTAATGCTCCATTCGACCGCCTTCTCATCCTTGCTCTTCTTGGACAGGCTGGTCGCTTCATCCTGCATCATGTAGTCATAATGAGCACGCTCCACGTCCGTGAAGTCGCATACAAAGACCATCCTCTGGACGCTAGGAAGCGACATTCCAATCGGAATGCCGTTAGGTAGTGACGTTTGGGTACGACGAATCATGATCTTCTGCAAAACATGGGACAGCCGACGACCCTGTTCTTCCATGCCTCAGCGCAGTACTTCAATGGCGCTTTTGGATTGGTGTCATCGAAGAGACATGGATCGCCCTAATAAACGGCAGATCCAGAAACGTGATGTCGTCTGGCTTCTCATGAGTTCCGCTGGTAAGCTCCTTCTCCGTAAAACCCATATCTAGCAGGTATTGCTTCTCGCTGACCCGCGGATTCTGCAGGAGCCGCATGATGCCAACAAACTCCTCAATGCTGTCGAAGGTGGGCGTGCCGGAAAGGATGTGCTACGATGCTCGGATAGCTGGAGGTATCGGGGCTGAATGATGATTATGTCTCTGAGGGACCCGATGAAGACACAGCTCGTGCCGACTGCTTGGACTGCAACGGAGGCAGGCTACCCGTGGCTACTGCATTGGGTGCTGCCGCTTTCTACTTCTTTATCTTTGGCGTGACCTTGGGCGGAACTTCGTCATCTTTGCCCCAGAAGCTCCGCAACGGCCCTCGCAGTGGCTACGGTGCATAACGAAAGTATCTACGAACAAGGAGAAGCTGACGGAGGTCAGATACCAATGTGCATAAGGAATGAAATCACACATGGGGTGAGTTGATCTGAATATACCACATTTGCAATGTTTATGTTCTGGAAAGGTAGGACACGAGGAAGACATATACATAGACTGCGGAATGCCATTGAAAGATAAATCCTATACCCACCATGTTACCACCCTCGAATTTTCTGATATCGTGCTCAAATGGAAAGACTAACTTCGAGTACCATGAAAATACAAGTGGACTATGAGGTTTGAGGTGAGGTGGAAGAGCGAAAGTGTGCAATGCTGCTTTAGAGTCTGATGTCCTACGGCTTACTAAGCACCTTCAGAACATCCGCTCTCATGCCACCCGTGAAATCGCACAACACCCCAGAGCTCACGTTTGACAACTGGAGGAACCCAGTGCCAATCATCCATTTTCGCACTTAAGTTCGAAGACGTTGAGAGCATGATCCTTCAATTTACGGTGCGCAGTTTGTCCGTGCATATCTTGGGAGATGTGAGGGGTTGGGTTAGTACACCGGAGCCTAACCACTGGCTCACTAGTGCTCGATCAGACGCAATCAACGCAACGTAAGATCTTCTGCAGCGCTGCCCGTACAGATGCCAGATGATCGGTGCACTCAGTTGAGATCCTTGAATAAAAGTTTTTAATGACTATATAAATTTCAAAATTATCAAATCTGACATCACCAATAGCATCAGGGCAGATGGGTAAGTTGCATCCCTCATCATCACATCCAATAGTATCTAACAATCAATTCAGCCGAGTGGTCTAAGGCGCTGCGTTTAGGTCCGTTCTAAACATCCTCCGCAGTCAGTAATGGCGTGGGTTCGAATCCCACTCTGCTCAGCTTTCTTTTTGCGTTTTGTTCGGTGATCTGGGTCGATGTGGTTGATTTTTGGTCGTGGGAGAGGCTAACCGAGCACGCGGAAGCTGGCTGGAACACCATCTTTTTGGACCAAGAATATGTTGAATGCACAAGAAATGAATCGCCAATCGGCAGACGGGCGATGGACACAAAAGCACGCATGATGCCCTCAACTCTTCAAATGCTTCGAAAGATGTTTGACATGATCAGACACTGTTCTTTTCCGTAGGACTACTACAGCCTCAGCTGCGCGGTATCTTGATCAAAGAGAGATCAATTCGATGGCTACGATTCTGGCGAGTCCTCGCCAGGACTGGAGCTTCCATACACGGGAGATCGAAGCTGCCGTGTCAGGAGGCAGAGGCTTAAGGGCATGTACAAAGCGTGCACATCAAGCACCACACCTTGCCCATCGCAGCTACCTATGGTATAGACGAACTTCACCGCAATCTGCCGAACTCCGTTTACACTCAGCAGAGGTTGTTAGGTTGCTGACGGCTACGACGTCAATTGGGACGGTTCTTGAGTATCGAAACATCAGTCTGATGACTACAATCTTGTAGAAGGCAACTACCATGACAGAACGATCGAAAAAACTGGAGCCACTCGCCCTTATCCAAACGCCCGGAACGCCAGCGCTTGCCATTTTCAACCTCATGAATCCTACGATCGAACTGCGACGATACTGCCTGAGAGCCTGCTCTCTAACATTCAAGCTTCCTCGCCTGGCTCATGACCGGTCATGACCTTGACCATGACACCTAGAACGTCCCTCCAGCCGGCCAATGTAAGGTTGTCGCCAGTGAACCCCTCCTCTTAGATCTTCTCTTGCCACCTTTTCACCTTCTTCCCATTGCCTTTCCTTCGGCCACGCCCCTGCTTGCTCTCCCACTTTCTGTACAAACCATACTTGAAGCGGTTCTGCCTTGTTATCTCTGCCCACTCCTTGGCTTCTGGAGGATCTTGCGAGATGGTCGATGCTTGCTCCCTTTGCTGACCTTGATAGCAGCTCGCAGCATTTGATACAGTCCTCTGTCGAAGACACCTCTGCTTCGGTATATCTCGATGATCTTCTCAGCCTCCGTCTCTGTCGTGGTGATCCTGTAGTCTATAGCGGCTATCGTTGGTATATTCGGTCGTAGCGATTGTGGAGTAATCGGTGACGAGAAGGGAAAGAGGTGTTGGAGGGGAGACTTCGAATGGCGGTTGTACAATGTGTGCGCCCTAGAGCGAGCGACCATGAAGGAGAACGCGACTGAGCTGAGCCCAGGTGCGATGTGTCTTGAATAACGAAACGTCAGTTCGTTTGCTACAATCCTGCACGAGGCAGGATTGGAGCTCTCAGACGCTCTCTTGTTTTGACCAGGCTGTAGTGTCAGCACGCTCTTTGTGTCTTTGCATCCTCGAATAAAAGTCTTATTCCTCCCGATCCTGTTTGTGCTATCGTTAAGCAGCACTATTCAAATACGGATGTGCGAGCGGGCCAGTCCGCCGCTATGTCTCTGTCCAATAGTACATCGAAAGTCCACTCTTGTGAACGCTCTGGGCACGTGATGGGCCTCCATGAGGTGCAGGCTGACCTTGACGGCAGATTCACACCACTAACAAAATATACCGAATGGGAAACACCCCCAGATCTGATGTTGTGGTGGCGGCCATGCGGTGAGCCCGAGCCAACGGACATGTGAGCCCTGTTCTCGCATCCATCCAAGCGACATGGACGTGTAGATCTGTAAGCGAAGCGATCCCGTCGCTGCGTCGTCGGGCCCTCAAATCTGCTTGCTGACTCTCATCCTAGATGGTGATGGCACTCCTTGTAACCAACCATCACAATGAACACGGGTCGGCAGAACCGTCCGGACAAGTCCAAGCATCACTGCCTTCCGTGATACGAAGCCGTGAAGGGGGTGGTGTTCCATCAGGCCGAAGGCTGTCGTGATGAAAGCGAAAGCGACACTGGGGTTGAAGGAAGCTTTAGGGGAGTGCAAGGGGTGAGGCGACCTTGTCTTCCGTACACAGACACCCACGTACGCTTCTCGCGTCCCCGCCTCGACTCATTGCTGCTGCTCGTTGGGCGATGACAACGACAAGTTCTCAAGCGCGAGTTTAGCTACATATTCGTCGATCATGTACTTGATATTAAGGTACTGAGTGCTGTTAGGCCCAAAGGTCGACAGGGCGTTGCGGAGAGATGACTGCAGCTGTATGAAACTTAGCCTCACTTGCTTTGGAATTGGCAGATGCGAAGGCAAGCAGAGAAGCCCATGAGGCTATAGCCACCGCTTTCGTATCACTCACCGAGAGCAGAACGTCGTCGGGCTGAGTTGGCATGATGAAGCGAGCCTGATTGTGAGGCTGCCGATTTCGTGGTGTTAGGTGGCGGTTGTTGGCAACCGAGAGAAAGTCACCACGACCCACCTCACTAGCGCACTTTCACCCTGCGACCTCCAAAACATTGCCTGTGAGCAGGTATGATGGCTTGAAGATGCAACAATATAACCGTTGAATTGCTTTGCCACGCTTTCACTACGATATCACTCTAGGTATACTATACAACGAATAGAACCGTACCCAACCTCGCCCAGACCAGTAATCCGCCCCATGCAAAGCAATACGCCGTCTGCATGCCCAATGAACAATTTCGATACTTTGTCTTGCGCGAACACCAAACGCCATGCTAAGCAAGAAAGCATAACGCGCCGTATAACTTACCAAACTCCGCGTGGTATCTTGAAGTAACACAATTACTCTCCCTCTCCCGCGAAGTCACAACTGTGTGCGAATTCGCTAGAAACTAACGTATCCCGTATCCTCACCACCGGGCTCATCCATCCAGCCACCCCCAGCTTCGCCGAGTCCGGAGCCGTGGTGGTGGTTTCCGCGAGCCATACCTTCGCCTTCGCCACGCTCTACCCATTCTTCGTTGATGTCGCGATAGATGCGCTGGAAGTACAGTCGCAACGATCGCAGTCCGCGCAGGTAGCCTCTGTCCACCTCGTCGGGGTCTTTGGGCGGGCATGACGCGCCTTCAAGCGTGTCCTCAGCGGTAACGCAATTGGCAAAGTCGACGATCCTGAGCTTGATCTCCGATTTATCCTTTGGTGGCGCTGGGCTCGAAGTGGACACTAGACCGGGGGAATTCGGTCCTGATGGTGCAGCTGAGGGTGCGGCGGATAGATCATCACCGCTCGGCGTGGTAAACCCGTTCTGGTTGGAGTTATTCTCTTTCTCTTTCTGTTCCCCATCGCCTCGATCGTACAGCATCAGCAGACTGCTGGCATAGAACCTGTAACCTGGCAGTTTCCTGATCTTACGCTCGAGTTGGCTGATCTTTTCCAGAATAATGGGAATGTGTCGATTAGCAGCCTTGTAACCAGTGCCGTCCCAGAAGAACTTCTTGAGGGCGTCCTGGAACTCCTTGCCGGCTTTCAGATCGCGGCCATAGTACTTGTCCTCAAAAACGTAGCTCTGCGTCTTCACGTTCCATATCTGCATGCCACAAACGCGGACACCAAGCTCGCGACTCGTGGTCATCTGACATTTGCGACGCTGCGATCGTACTTTCTTCTCATCAGCTTCCACACCATACTGACGGGTACCCATCTTCAGGTCTAGTACGCAAGGTCGAGACATGCCTGCAGTAAGATCCTCAAGCAGGATAAAATGCTGCACGCGCTCATCGGGTTGTTGCTGAGCTTCCTCAGGATTCGCAGGTTCTTCGATCGCCGGGTTTTCTGCCTTCTTCTTAGGTGTGACTGGAGCCGGGAGCATCAGGCCTTCCGAATCAGGTGCGGTGGTGGATAGATTATCGGAAAGCGATGGCTGATCCTTCTGAGTGCTCTTGGTCGGGGAGAGTGGTTTGCGGTCTTCGTCCATGGCGAAAACTTCTTCTTCACCGTCCCTGCCGTAGCCATCCTCTTCGTAGAACTCAAGGTTGTGCCTCCTGTTAGAATCCAGTCCTAGGGGCCTACGCACAAGTCCACTGCCGGAGTGTCTTCGCCGAGGAGCGTTGCTTGACGGCGGCTGTGGTGAGTCTGCATTTCTCGATCTCAGCTCCTCCGTTGACCCGAAGCTGACGGCGAGTTCGCTTGCGTCCGAAGCTTGTCGACGTGCTTCCGCGTTAGCCTTCAGTATCTGCTTACGGGGAGACTCTTCCCGAAGCCCGGGTTGCAGGGCAGAGACATCCGTGCTGTTTCGTCTCATCGACGGCGCAGAGCCGGCCATGGATTGTGCATTATCGCTACCCAGTCTACGAGTGCCAATGCCGTGATGCTGGTGACGTTGGCGATGGTGAATGGTAGGAGGTGCAAACACCTGACGGAGCACCTCTTCTTGCAGCTTCCGATTGATCGTCGTGACGCCCCAGCTGCTGTGGTGCCTCATTGGAGGCCTGTCCGAACCGTTCGAACTGTAGTCTTGCACACTTTGGTTTCTTCGATGGTACTGAGAAGAGAACGAGCCGTTGCCAGTCCATGGATCTGGCGTCGCTGAACGCGGCGGAACACCGAACAGGTTGTCTGGGATGATGTGGCGATTGTTCGCAAAGATGACTTGTGGTGCAGGCATCAGTTGCTGCGAGTGACTGACAACCCTGGGCTGATATTCTGCTTTCGCATCCCGAGGGACTGCTGGTGTTTCGTCCTTGGGTGCAGTATCCGGTTGTGCAGCTGAGGCTGCAAATTCTGTGTCTGTTTTCGTCTTGTCCTTCTTCTTTTTCTTCGGCGCTTTGCGATAAGTGACATTCAGAACACCGATATACCTAAAAATTGACAGCATTACGTTAGCAACCTATACCAAAAAAATGTACGGAGGGGGGTAACATCTTTGCTGACGTTTCAGCTTCAAAACGAAAATGTTTCGATAGTGATGGTCGTACCTTGGTAGAAAATCTAGCAGCTCAGGGTGATGCCTTTCGACCGTTTCGTAGAACTCGTTCTCACGGTTGTTGAGTTGCTTGCAAACGGCTCTCCTCGAGAAACGGTACACAGTGGAATGACCACCGACCTGATGGTTGTACGGTTTCAACTCCACAGCACCAAGCGGAGCCGGTGGCTGCGGAGCCGGGGCGGGCGCTGTCACAGCCTTGTGTTCTGGTTTGGTCATCGTCGCAGTGGGCGTCGTGCCTAGGTCGTCAGTTGCGCTCGATTCATAGCCAAGAAGTGACTGCGTAGATTCTGCTAGCGATTCAACTTCAGATTCAGATTCAGCTGAAATTGCATCAGATGACGCAGGTGTCAACGCTTTGTCGTTTTCTTTCTGCACTGATGCTGTCGCAGCGATGTCACCATGTAGGCATTGATTGGTATCTTGGGACTGTAGAGAAATTTCTACTTCTTCAGGAGTTTGAACAGCCTCTCCTGTATCCCAACCTCTGGGTACTTTGCCCGCATGAACCGAGTTTCTCTTACGGCTATCGTCCACCTCTGGTCGTCGTGTCTCTTCAACTGGGGTGCCCGGTTCGGCTACTTTGTGTTGACGATGGGGGAAATACAAAGCAGACGAAATCTGTTCGCGCTCTGAGTCTTCATCTTCTTCGGATGCCAGCGATGGATTCGTGCTCTCCTTCTTCTCCTTGGCTTGGAAGTAATCCATCGGCTCGTCTTGAGACTGCGAACCCGTGATTCTGGACGCGTGTGCATGGAGCTTATCCAGGACTGAAGCCGGCAAGCTCCTCGACACGGACGATCCCGGAGCGGCACCAGATATTAGGTTGGCGAAGTTTCTGATCTCTTCCAGGAGAGGCCATGGCAACTGGCGCTTGTTCGATTTTGCTTCCTTCTGTGAGCCAGCCGTCGATGCAGGAGCTGCTGAGTCGTCATGCTGGGACACTGAGCCCGGTATCTCGAAATAGGAATCGATGTCATCATCGTGAGGCGTTTGAACGGCTGATGCCGGACGGGATGCCTGTTGTAGCGAGTGCGTGAGAGCATTGGCGTCAACCTCTTCAGAGAGCGAGACGAGTGGCTTGTCGGTAGGTCGGCGGTCCTTCGATCGTGCGTCCCGCTTCTGCAGCTCTTCAGGGCCTTCTGCATCCTTGAAGACGCGGAGGAAGTGACTTGCTTTCCGGCTGCGTCCGGACGATGTTTGCTCCGCCTTGGGCAGCGTAGCTTCTATCTTCTTTACAGCCTGATCGTTCAGTGTTGGGTCTTCGTTTGCAGCGCTGCCTTTGAAAGGCACAGGCTTCCCTTCCCGCCATTCTCTGTTCCTGCGCCTCTCCTCGGTGTCAGTCAATGCCTTGTTCAAGGCCGGATGGGCGTCTGCCCTGTGCGGTGTGGACGATCGGCGGACGGGAGAGTCGACGGGACTCATGTAGGGCGGGGGGCTTTGGCGGCCCGCTTCGAGCCCCATGACGGATTCAATTGGGATGTGTTGGGCGAATTGGGTAGCGAGAATGGATTGGGGGTCTTGCAGGGCGACGGGAGGGTACGTTGATTCCTTCCTGCGGAAGAAGGGCGGGTCAATCAGTCTCCTCTGCAGCGGCGCTGGTGCAGCCATCTCTGATAAGCTGTGCTCGGGGGCATCGTCGTTTGAGCCTGTCGTGTGTGCTGCTGCGCTGGTCCGCGGCGAGGAGATGGGGCTGTCAGACGCTAGATATGTTGTCGAAAAGATGCTGTCGCGCTCGTCCAGCTGGGGCCGGTCGAATGACGACTGCCAGAGGCTCTTCTCCGGTGCAATCGGAGCTGTCTTGGAGCGGCCGGTGTGCGAGAGTCTTCTTGGTGTCACCGCGGACGCTGCAGGCTCTCGAGAAGGCGTGGAGGACGTCGGGGTGCCATGGCTGGAGCCGGGGCTTTGCGGCGCATTTGACCTCACCGATGCGGGGGGTGAGGTATTTCCTTGGGCGTCCAAATGCGGTGACATGGGGGTGACATTGGTCAGGCTCGCTGTGAGGCACTCGTCGGTAGGCGTGGCGGACCGTGTGGCAGATATTGCCGGACGGGCCTGGAGGTAGTCGCGGCGGGCCAGGACAGCCGTCGTTGGGTGCGGCAAGGGCACAATTCGGCCGGCTTAGCGTGCAAAGGGGGCGGTGGGCGCGAGGCCTGGCGGGCGCGCTGGCGGGCGGCGCTGGCGGGAAGGGTTGGACGGCGGAGGAGGAGGTCTTCGCGGTGTGCTGCGCGTTGGGAGCAGCGAGTGAGGTTTGCGGCAGACCCACGTTCCGATCCTGAGAGGACTTGTGTGGACGGCCGTCACGCTCCAAGAAGCGGCGCACAGATAATTGGCGAAAGCTCAAGCCAATGACGTCGCGTATGCTGCACCACCGCTGACGACCTCGGCGCTTGTGCTGTGTGCGCTCAGTACTTAGAGCGAGCGCTGCGTCTGGTGCGATTGCGGTGTTGTTTGCAGGATACAGCTCACTCCGTTCTGGCCGCTCTTGCGCAATTGTCTGTTCGCTGGCACTTTCTGGAATCATGGGTACCCCCCATGGGCTTGAGCAGGAGCAAGTGGGTCTCACCAAACAAACACGGCATCGTTATCGCGTCCACCCAGGCATGCATTAGAGTCAACATTGGTATGCACACTCGCTCTAACTCGCTCTAACTCGCTCTATACTGCACACGGTCAAAGTGTCGTCGTCAAGTCGTAACGAGCTGTCGTGGTTTGCCCCGTTGGTTCGAGCTAGACGTTTCCTCCCGCCCTCCGCGCCTTCCCGTCCGTCGTACCCAAACTTTGCACCAGCCTTCGAGCGTGGCCTTTCCCAGGTTCCATCGCCAGCTCGGTCGCGGAGACACAAGCTTCCTCCCTGCTGGGCCACTTGTGCAGCAGTATGCACGGTGCGGTCCTGCGACTCGTCTTCGCCCAATCACTCAGGAACGTGGCCTCTCACCGCAACTGCAACCGGGCTGCTGCTGCACCCTGCCTATTTCACCCACGCCTGCAGATCCTGGTCGCTGATACCGGCGAGTGGTGGATGGAACGTACCACTGAGAGCGAGTGTGAGGTGGTGGGTGTGAACAAGGCATTCCTGCCGGCATGGCTTATCCACAACCCTGGCCGGTATTGTGGTGCAACAATTGATCTCTTGGGCTCCTCAACATTGCTTCATGGTTCATTGTTCAGGCCTCTCAGAAAGCAATCAGTAAAGTCAGCGTTCGGGCCGAAATCGAGTGACGTGTGGAGGTCAAGCTGGGGTAACTCAACGTCATTTGTGGTGCGCTTGGGTGACTGTGACGCGAGCTTTGACGAAGACAGCGACGACTTCTCGTTGGTGAAGCTCCACATCGTCGATGTGTTCTTCTCTTTGAGCGGTACTCGCTCTGCCGACGGTGTGGGGCTCTTTGCAGTCATGCTCTCGCTGGACTTCGAGGTCAAAGCAAACCGCAGGCTGGTCCGCCGTGGTCGTTGGCTCTTCTTCTTCACTGTACTGAAGGCGAAGGGAGATGCTGCGTTGAATAAGTCTTGCGTGCTGACCGGTGGACCACAAAGTACACTGTCTCCGGCCAGGTAACCGAAGGAGCCCTCCATACGAGGATTGAACACCGAAAGAGGCGTGATTGCGGGACTGGGTTGCAGCAGAGGCGGCGGCGGTGTGTTCTGCCCCGGCTGCGACCATGGTCGCGGGGTTACTGACGAGGTTGACGACTGTGATGAGTCGTCCTGAAACTCCAGCTGTGCCAACAGCATTGCAGCCTGCGTAGAGTACTGAGATTGCCTGGACTTGTGCGACTCTTGATGTTCGTGCATGTTCTGTTCTTCCTCAGGTCCTTCGGCAGTCCCATCGTTGTTCTCTTCGATGACACTTCTGTCAACTGCCTCAGCGGAAACATGAGGTACTACCTGCTCAGACACCTCAGTCTCCACAATAGCAGCCGGTACCTCTGTATCCACACCAGGTGGACCGTTGTCCTTCTTCTTAAGAGTTGGCGAGGGGCTGAAATTGATGGCTCTTGGCTTTGCTTTCGGTCCGCTGCTACCCTCGCCTTTTGACTGACCGACTCTTCTGTACATGAATCCAGTAGGAGAAGCAGGTGCTGGAGAGGCGACTAGGTTGTGGCGCGACTTCTTCGGTAGACCAACCTCCTTCGCGGCTTTACGACTCGTCGATGATGGCCGTCGTTTCGTCGCTGATCTAGGCATCCGATTGGCAAGTCGTGCAGCAGATCTCTGTATGTTCTCTCGTGAAGGTCGTGCCTGACTTCCCCCTCCTACAGCTCCACGTGTCGGGCTCGATTGAGGCACCTGAACTGTACTCGAGATCTTGTACGTAGTCGCTGGGACGAGGGTGTCGAAAGACTGTGCATATGGTGGTCTTGGTAGTTGTTCATCCAGGGAAGCGATGGTTGCGTCCTCCAACAGACTTGTGGGTGTTTCAACAGCCGCTGCAGTCTGCGCATACTGAGCGGCTTGGCTACTGCGGGCTTCCTCCTCTTGCGCCGAGTCTGCTCGCAGCCGTGAAGAATCTGGTCTGTCTACCGACGATGTTGTGTGCGACGGGTCCTGCTCTGGAAATTGGCACTTCAACGCCGAAGCAGGTTTGGCGGGTGACGAGATATCCATTGACGCTGAGGCGCTCGATCGCCACGCGTCTGGTGGTGTGGCACGGATGGGCAGCGGACGACCGCCCAGAGGTTCTTTAGGAAGCGCGAGCTGCAGGCTTTTCCGAGAATCAAATCTATGGTCTTTCCTGCGCGGTCTGATTGGGGACTTATCAGTCTGGCAGTTTGGCGGGAAACCAGAAGACCTAGCAGGACGGCGCAGCCAGAAGGGGTTTGCGGGGCTGTTGTACGCAATGAACTGTTCGGTGTCCACGCTGAAGAACTCAGTGGCGCCAGAGAGGTCGTCCTCGTCTGGTAAAGGGGCCGTGGCAGGCAGTGGTTCGGGTTGGCTGTAGAGTTGCTCTTCAGTGTAGCCCACAGCCCTAGAGGCCTCTGGAGAAGCCATCTGCGATGCCTTTGGCACTCTCTCCCCCTGTCCCTCTGCTTGTTCGTTTGCGCCCGTGCTCTGTCCGTCTGGCGTTGCCTTGACATCTTTCGCCCATGGGTTCTTCCATTCCTTTGTGAAGGGGCCCTTGAGGCGTGCTGTGAGTATGACCGGTGGCCTTCCCCGCAGATACTGCAACGCTATCGCCTCCACTCTCCTCCGTTTCGCCGACTGGTGTTGTGCGTCATGATGTTCGCCGGGGGGGTCTTCCACCAGGTCGCTGGGGTCGATAGGTGAGGCGTCGAAGTCTAGTCCCCGCTTGAGGTAAGGATGTAGGGTAGGGGACATGGCCTGCGTGCGACACGTGCAACCCGTGCTCGGCCTCTTTCTCCGCCCCTAAGCCTGCCTGCAGTGTATCCTGGGGGTCTGCTGCTGGCGGTGCCGTGACGGTGGTGTGTCAAGAACAGGTGGTGTAAGGCTATCGTGCATGTTCTGTACCCACACCAAGACCGTGTCTGCCAGCAGAAACAAGCCAGAACGCTAGAGGGCAGAGTGGGGCGTGTAATCAGCCGCGATCAGAGTGCATAGGACAGCATGCGGTTTGGCGGCTCCAGGATTCCGCACGTCGTCTTGCTGTGTATGGGATGGTTTGCGGGCGGCATGACGGAGCGCGCGAGCTGGTTGCTAGGCAACGGGCCAGCGCAATCGATTAGGGTGTCGATCAGCCAGCTCACCGCATCCGTGTTGAGGTTAGGGACACAAGCCCACCCCGTCCATTTGTATTCATTCACCGACTCTTGTTACGCGCCCACGTCCTTTCCAGCCGCAGTTGGGGCCGTCGCTGTCGCATGCCGCCCGCGCAAAACCTGCGTTTGCCATAACGCGCGCCCGCTGCCAGCTCTGCGACCACAACAAACCTCGCGTCGCCCTCGGCACCCGCTGCGACAACCCGCGAACGGACGCAGCGATGGCCGGCAACATGTCGCAGCCGTGGCTCGATGATCTGAGTGAGGAGTGGATACCGCAGCAGTCCACACCGCCAGCAGAGTGCCCCATGCCGGCACCACCCACGCCCACCGCCCAGAGTGCACCGCCCAAGCCGCGGAGTCGACTCCCCCGCCTCAGGCACTCGTCTGGCTCTTTCTCAGAGATCCAGGTGCGGAGCGACCTGCGACCGACCAAGCAGAGGAACGCGCTGGCAGAGCGCAGCCACCGCGACGCCAGCACCTCCCCCGTCGCGTCGCGCGAAGTCTCCCAGGCTGTCGACCCCGCCCGCGACGTGTCCCAGTGTTTCACAACAGACTCTCAACGGTCGATCCTATACGGCACCGTCGCCCACAACACAGTCGCGATATCGTCAGCAAAGGCGAACGGCTACTACGAGACACCAGAATGGAAGCGGCGGCTGGTGAAGGGCGAGGGGAGCGAACAGAAGGACCTCTTTGGCCCCACCGGCCTCGAGAACATTTTCGCAAAGCCCACGAGTACCCCCCCAAAGGACGAGCCACATTCGAAACGGAAGCTGGGCATGCTGAGGGGCCTTGCCGCCATACCGTCGAGCCCACCGCCATGGCCAGCTGCAGCCACCGACTCGGAGCTGGATCGGTCCCTCTCACAGGCAGAGAGCCAGGTGCACCACCGACAAGACTCGCAACAAGAAGAATCAGTTGCAGACCCCGACGAGTCGCTCTCCGCAGCCCAGCAGGAAGCTGCTCGAACTGTCAGCGGCCAGATCGAGTTCGAGAACGAGCAGTTCAGCCCAGTCTTCATCAACACCGAACTCGAGATTGGGCAGACTCCCAACCCCGCGCTGAACTTGAGAGGCTCCGAACTTGCAAACAGACTGCGACAGATTGGCTCGCCGCCGCCCGGCCAGCACGACTCGCTGCGCGAAGAAAGCTCGCTGAACTACAGTCGAGAAGACTCGTCCTTCGCGAGGATACAGGACGACTCGCTACCCGAAGGCCTGCCAGCTGGCACGCCAGACATCGCCGACGTTGGCCGATTCGTCGAGCTTCGAAGAGGCGGCTACTCTCGAGAAGGGTCCTTTAGAAGACGGCCACTCAGCCCATCGCCTGAGAGAGCAAACAGGACGTCAAACCAATCAATCAAGCTTGAGAGAGCACCCACAGCGCAAGGCACGGGCCGCAGCAGTCTCTCGGTTCAGACTGCTGTAAAGGACGGCCAACCCACAGCCAGCGATTCAGCCATAGTAGACGACGAAGATGATCCAAAGACACCTCGTCGACGAGCGAACCAGTTGCTGAGCCCGGATCGGGCAAGGAGCTCAGCAAGTCCGCTGAAGCTGTTTGGCGCACACGACACTTTCACGAGCAACCGGTTAATAAGACGCCTGAGCCAGTTAGAGTACAAGCCAGACTCGGCCACTTCAAGCAGTGTGCAGGACAGCAAGGCTGAAGCTGCGAGGCCGGTGCAGAACAAGTCAAGGTTGACTTCAGTGGAAGAAGTCAGCGTCGTACACAGCGGGATATCGCAGGCAACGGATGCTCGGCAGCCGTCGCCACGTCGGGTGAGTGCCTTTGGACAAGGTCAGCTTAACAAGTACCAGTTCGACGCCGACTACTCCGTACTGTCTTCGGAACAATCAGATGCTCAGGATGATAGTGCGCCTGAGGATTCCCCCACGAGTGATATCGCCCCTCCCGGCAGTCGTCCACCCTTCAAGTTCCAGCTCGATGAATCGCCCACCCGCAGATCGTCACGAACCACAAGACAGCCGTCGCGGCATATCTCAAATCCTTTCAGATCAGCGAGTCGATCGGGTCCGCAGTTCAAACGCCATGTGCCTCCACAAAAAGCGGAGGAACAGCTAGATGAACATCAGGACTACGCCGATGGCAAGCGCGGCCCAACTTCACCTTTCAAGAACCCGACTCCCAAGCGTCGAAGAACCATCAACGAGACTTTTGAGGAGAGCGAAATCAACGACTCCCGCACTGATGCAGGGTTGCCCCCAACGCAGGACTCGCATGCAGCAATACAGGCAGTCCTCGGACAAAACCAACAAGTTATCGATCGTGAGATCCCCGCCAACGCAGCAGATCCGGACATCCTGGCTCGACGGCATATTCTGAGACCTCGCAATCCCACTCCCAGCCAGCGAAGGCGCGAGGAGATCGAGGCTGAGATCTTGGAAGCTACAGAGGCCTTCATCCAGGCTTCACCAAAGCTGAACACGATACGTGAGCAGCTGGAGCCATCTATGGTCTCGGATGAAAGCGAAGAGCAGGATCGAGCGGCTGCAGTCGCAAATGAGGTTGCCATGTTCACTATGAAGCGGCAAGCTATGCGAAACCAGAACCGCAAGCGATCTGTGACAACGCAGGACTTCTTGGATGAAGCACTGAAGATCATGAACTTCATTCGTACGAAAGGCAGACCAACCAGTGGGCTTGGAGACCTCGAAGAGGCATCCGAATTCGAAATGCCCGAAGATGTGAGCGAACAACCTTCGACATCACTCACATTTGAACGGCCTCCTAGCCGAGAAGGCCATCGTTCTGCCTGGCGAAATCCCAACAAGCGCGACTCAGACCCCAGTATTATCACACATCTACGAAAATACGAGGAGAAGGAGACGGACACCTTCCTAAACTCGTCACTGAATTCAGTGAAGATCTCGAGAAGCGCAGTGCCGGAAGAAATTGGCGTGATCGTTGAGAAAAACGACATCCGGATTGCTGATCATCGCACTCGACCTTTCGGCCCAGATGACAGCGAGTACGACCCCAACGATGCCCGACCCCAGACCGGTCAATCCGCCGGCTCATCTCTGGGACACACTATCGCTACAAACATATCACGCCGCTCTGATCAAGTTGCCACCCTCGCACCGGAAGCAGTCGCACATCTCATACCACACCAGATTGCAGGCATGAGCTTCAATTGCGAAAAGAAGATCTGGGTCCGCCAGAAAAGTCCTTCGAAAGAACACCAGCTACCCGAAGAGGACCACAGTAGCATGAACCAGAGCGAAGAGGATCCGTTCAACAACATCCCAGATCTGTCAGTGAGCGAGACGAAAGACAGCACGACGCAGACAGCGACGCCAGCACACCCTCAACCCACTGCAGAAACACTCCTGGAAGACGACGAAGCCGATGATGCCCGCCCAATGACATGCGCAAGCTCCGTTCCCTCTAAAGCTTCCAACAACTTTGCGTGGAGCTTGACAAAGACAGAAACACGAGCTACATCGTGTAGTACACAAGTACCGCCGCGCAAACGGAGTGCTCAAAAGGCCCCTCCGCCTCAGACAACTTACGCAATCCCGGAATCCGACGAGGATGATATCGAACACGAGATTCAATATTTTGAGGGCCGCAATGCTGCTACGCCCAATGCACCACATGCCCGCGTTCGCGACATCACAATTTCTTTCGCGGAACGCGAGGTAGGAGACCCCGAACGACGACATACAGAACCTCCACATCACTTTGGGCAACCCCCAAGGGGCTTCTCAGGCATCCCGCAGACAATAAAACCAACATGGTCTCATGCAAATGGCACAAGCACGCTACCCAGGACACGGCCAAACCAGAGACCAAGATTCAACGAGGACGGTGACTTGTCAATTCTGGAAGAACTGCCTTCGAAGAATTACCGAATGGAGCTGTCCATGAACGTCTCTGCACCGGTTCTTGGGCAAGGCAAGCAAGACGGACTACTCGTAGCACCAGCGTCGCCAGTGAAGGGAGACGTCACGTTCATGCTCAGTGATCTGCCTGACTTCACTCTCAACCAGATCGACGAGTTTGATCATCCAGATCGCGTGATTGTTAGGCACGACGGAACTCGATACTCCGAGATACTCGAGGATCGTTACGCTCAGGGCACCGCTGAGCTTGTGAAAGCACTTCAGGATATCGAGCCAGATGAGCCTTACTGGGAAGATCTTCGCGAGGTCACGTTGCGCGGCAAGAACCTTGCTAGCCTGCACCGCCTCGAGGAGCTCTGCTACCGCCTCGAGGAGCTTGATGTCTCCAACAACAAGATCAGTCAGGTTGAGGGCATCCCATATGCTATGCGACGATTACAAGCACAGAACAATTCTCTTACCGGTCTTACTTCTTGGGCGACATTGGGCAACCTGCAGCACCTGGACATTTCGAACAACGACATCGACAGTCTGGATGGACTCGCCGAGCTGGTTCATCTACGGGTACTGAAAGTCGACAACAATAAGCTGAAATCGCTTGATAGTATCCTGCATCTTGATGGTCTGATCGAGTTGCGTGCTGGAGGCAACGACATTGACCTGGTGGACTTTGCACGTTCAAATCTGTAAGTCGCGATCGACGTAATCACTCTGCACGACTTGCTAACATGATTGTAGGAAATCCTTGACCGGCCTAGACCTGCGGAAGAATCGCCTGCTGGAGGTACGGAACGTGCATCGCCTGCCCCAGCTCCAGCACCTGAACCTTGGTATGTGATAATCGACTCCTTGCATGACCCAACTAACTGGTGTAGATGACAACGAACTGGATGAATTCCCGTTGTCCGACATGCCTTCCGAACCATGCAAGCATCTACGATCCATCCGGATCTGCCGGAACGGTATGACATTGCTCGACGTCGACGGGCATTTCCCGAGGCTCGAGTCCCTCTATGTTGACGGCAACGCTTTGACGCACGTCACCGGTCTTGAGCATCTACGACGTCTCCGCACTTTCTCGGCAAGGGAACAGATGCTAGGCACCGACTCAGATGCGGAAAGTTGCGTGGGAAACCTGGTCAGGAACACCGACGTTCACAACCTTTACATTTCCCTCAACCCAGCATATACTCTGAGTATAACACAGCACCTCATGAACCTTCAGCGGCTCGAGCTCGCATCTATGGGCCTGAAAGAGCTGCCCGATAACTTCGGACAGCTCACACCGAATATTCGATCGATAAACCTCAACTTCAACTCTTTACAAGACCTCCGACCACTACTCAACATCAAGAGGCTAAGCGAGCTGCTTCTGGCCGGCAATAAACTCGAGCGTCTGCGCCAAAACGCCATGGTTTTGGGCAAGTTCCCATCTCTTTCGAAGCTCGACTGGCGTGACAACCCTGTCACACTCCGCTTTTACGCTTCAGCCTCGGAGAACAGGATCATGTCACTCAGACAGAATCCAGATGACGAGCAGCTCACCGACCGCTTCGTGCTTCCTCGTGGCGATGCTGAAGCAGATGAGCAGCACCAGTCACGACTTGATTACGAGACACGTATCAGGCGCCGAGTTACCGAGATGATGCTGGCTAATCTCTGCCGGGATTTGCGTGAGCTTGATGGCCTACCATTCGACAAGGCCCGCGTCCTCGTCAAGGACGATGTTTGGGAACGATTGACCGCGCTTGGTGTTATTAGGCGCAAACAGCCAGGAAAGACGAATGACGACAGTTACTAGTAGAACTGAAAAACGAAGCGTAGGACGTTGTATGATTGATGAGCAGTTGCTGGCAGGCACGAGCAGTCTGTTGTTGTTGTTGTTGTTGTTGTTGTTGTCAAGAAAGGAGTAGGCTTCGGCGCACAGGACATGTAGTTGGGACAATGCTCAGCGGGTTGGATATATTGCTTGGTTTTGCGGCGTTAAAATGGATTCTATGGGAGAGCATCATATACACGAGCGAGCGTTTCCTAGGCGCAGCGTCAAATCGCGCACTTGACGCGGAATTTCGGTTCTAGCAGCTGTATTTGTACAAATTTGAATTCTGTCAACCCTTTCATCAGAGTGACTTCCGCGTAGACCCTGACCGCCTTCTGCTGCTACTGGTCAACGTCAGGCTCACCGCAGACGTGTCTGGCTCCTCCCCGCAGTCGATCTGAAACGGCAAGTGACCGATGGGGGTCTGTGCGCCCGCGCATACCAATCATAACAGCCCTTGCTCGACCGACAGCGATCGCATGAGCCCACATTTCTCCAACTCAACTTGAACCTCACATTAAACATCGTTTCTCTTCCTTTCTATCATTACAGCATGTCTTCCATCTCTGAGGAGGAAAGGGCGTTGCAACTCGCGCAGGCCGCGAGTGAGAGCCTCGCATCTGGTGATTTAGCGGCAGCGGCAATGAAGCTACGTGAAGCTACGAGCATCGCACCAGAAAACGCCCAAATCAAAGAAGTCTGGGAAAAGTTGAGGCAAGAGGAGGACAGGAGCGAGTTTCTGGCGATCTGCAAAGCCTGGGTGCAAAGCAAGGATGAAGCTGATGGCGAACGCGCGCTAAAGTCAATGAAAGAGCGACCCTTAAAACAAAAAGAGGCGGAACAAGCAATGCAAATTCTCAACGACTTCAAAGACGAAGACGACGTTCTGGATCAAGTTACCGGCGAGCTCCTAAAGAACGTCGGTGCGCAGACGTGGCTCGCACAGGCTGTGCGAGAGCGGCCTACACGGAGCTACTACGAACTGTTTCCACGTGGAGATGATTCTATCGACGGACTGCTCAAAGTTCTGCTCAACCGCAGCCTCTGGCCTGACGATGACGCCTTCAAGAACAGCCACAGAGACGTGTTCCAGCTCAGTCTTGCCATGCTTATGGAGGAGGCACTTGACCATCCGGAACGCGCTATGAGAGGTGTCGCGCAGCTACTAGCTCATCATGCAAACCATCTCGAGAATATCATCGATGCCGACAGCTTTAACGTCATCCTCTCTTCTCTTGACATTCGACTACCGAAAACTCTTCGCGACCAAGCTACACTCGCCAGCATCAAATTGTTTGAACTCAGCCCGGACACCGCGAAAAAGTTGATATCGAAGTTTGTTACTGAGCGTGCGGAAAAAGGCGATGCGGACAATTTGATCATTGCGTTCTCAGCAGCCGCGGCCATCTTTCCTATCGCAGTCGAGGCAGCGGCCGCCCTCTTTCTCACGGATGGCTTCGTTAGCACGCTGGTCCCTGTGGTGGAAAAGAAGAAATCCCATAAGCTGGTACAGGTGACATTAGAGCTGATCAGTGCGGCTTGTGTAGACAAGAAGTGTCGAGAAGCCATCAACCGGCACTGCAGGGACTGGTTAGATATGGTCGCGGACAGCCCTGACAAAGGACGTGCTAATCTCGCCGCGCTTATTCTTGTCAAGCTGGGTGATGAAGAGCCTCCTTCCTCGGAGAATCCTCAGGTTGCTACCCCTGCGAAGTTCGACCAAAGTGACTTGATTGCTAAGTTCAAATCGATGGTCATCAGTTCCGATGCTGGCAACACACAAGACTCCATTGAAGGCCTGGCCTATGCGTCCCTCCAGGCGAAGTTCCGCGAAGGCCTCTCAGAAGATTCCCAGTTTCTCAAACGACTTATGCTGATAATGGGCGATCCAGATACACCAGGAAATATCATCTTTGGCGGGCTCACCATCTTCGCCAATATCACAGCATTCCTCCCCATCCAATCCGATGAAGAGAAGAGAATGGCGCAACTCAAAGCCTACGCCAACGTCCAGAAGCCTTCAGCTCCCGATGATCTCCTCGACGATAATCACGCTACCGCGAGGTGTAAGCGACTCGTCGAGGCTGGTGTCGTGCCATTGTTAGCACAACTCTGCAAGAAGCGCACAGCAAATGTACTATCACAAAGCAGTCAGATCCTCTTGAACCTCAGCAGAGACAAGACGAGCCGAGTGTTGATAGTACAACAAGGAGCCATCAGGCTGCTCATCGTCATGTGGGAACACATGGCCTCGGCCATCGCTTCATCGAAAACAGGCACAACGCCCTTCTCGCCTACCGCCCCACCAGCAGCCGCACAAGCGCTTTCCCGCCTCCTCATCAGTGTTGATCCCAGACTTACCTTCAGCGCCGCGCTACCACCCACAACCGCCGTTCGCCCTCTCCAAAGCCAGCTTTCACGCACCGAGTCGTCCGCATGGCAGCTCTATGCTTTTGAAGCCCTCCTTGCCCTCACCAATCTTGCAACTCTGGACGAAACAACGCAAACCCACATCATCCGCGCCGCCTTCGACAGAATAGTCGACGACCTACTGCTGAGCAACAATACCATGTTGCAACGCGCGGCCACGCAACTAGTCTGCAACCTCATGGGCTCGCCATACTGCGTGGAGAAGTTCGCCGACGGCTCACCCCGGGCAAAGCACCGCTTACACCTTCTCCTCGCCATGACCGACGTCGAAGACACAGCGACCCGAAGTGCAGCTGGCGGTGCATTGGCTACGCTCTTGTCTTGCGGTGAGATCACTGTCATGCCGTTCTTACAGCAGGAGAAAGGTGTAGACTTCTTAATCGGCTTGTGCCAGGACGACGAAGACGAACTTCAGCACAGAGGAGTCGTGTGCTTGCAGAGTGTGGGCGAGGTCCCGGCGGGGCTGGAGGTCGTGAAGAGGAAAGGGGGAGTAGGGGCCGTGATGGATGTACAGAATGCGACGAACAACCGGGTTGTTATAGATGCTTGTAAGGACGCACTTGCCGTGTTGAAGCCTCAGTAGGTTGAGGAGCTCTCTGAGATGTGCGAGAAGGCAAAGCGTAGACAGGCGACGTTTTGAAGCTAGCTTCTACGTATCTCCGTACACGGTTCGTGGTCTAACTCTAGAGAGTCTAGGTAGCTGCAAAAATATCACGCGGCCTCTTGGTGGTTATCCACAGATCGTGACACACATTGGGTATAGATACTCCATCCAGTACTCTTCCCATCGAACCCAACATGTCATTTTGATGTATTCTTACACTTTTTATGCATCCTTCGCTTTGTGTATATCGTTAAGAGTTGGAAAAACTAGCACGGTATCATCGTTCACTTGCGGATGACAGCTCGAATCATGTTAAGATGGGCTCATGACTGTTTTCGTGCAGATGTTTTTCCGCCCAAAGGTCCCAGACACGCCTAAGCATCCGGCACGAGCGAGTTTGCACTGCTTTGTAGATCCAGATGGAGCATGGTTCGCAAAACCGCAAAGCCTCAGTCTCTCTCGGATCAGGTGCGGCTGCAATGTGGCTGCAGTCAAAGCTACCGGTGAAGGTGCTTAGCCCCAGAGCCAGACCACTCACTCATCACTCACCAGCCATAGATGGGCCATGCCCTCTACTTAGTTCATGGCAAGATGATGATTCCTCTACACGGCAGCCGCACTCAACCCAAACATGCCTCGTACACCCTTCACATTGACCGACACACCATAACACAAAGGATGCCATCCACCTAGGGACTCTGATACCAGACAAGGCGCACCCGAATCGCGATGCAGTCCTCGATGAACAAGTCAGCGATGCTGATTGCTCTGTCGCTACCGACCACAATTTTGATGATTACATCAGATCACAATATTGATGATTACATCAACACGAGTTCTTCGACGATCTTTAGTGCCGCACTGGGCAAGATGTTTCATTTTAGCTGTCAGCAAAGAAGGAGCAGAAGCTGAGGCTCAAGCCCGGAGTTGCTCGTCTGTATGCGCCTCGTCAGCCACAGAAGGTCTTTGCAGCAGTATCTGCAACACCGGAGGCACAGGTGCAGGCATCGATGCCGTGGCAGGCGGGCCGCTTGATGTGAGCGCCGCGGTCGACCACCAGAGAACCGAAGACAGATCCGGGCAATTTGTACGCAAGGGCGAGAGAACCTACGCGGTGTGCTGTCGCAAAAGTGCATATCAAGATTGGAGAACATCTCTCCAGAAGCCGGCTTGGGTAAAAAAAAAAAAAAAATGTGTAGGCGGGTTACTGCATTAGAGGCGGCACAGACTTCACGTATTTCAATGCAAGACTCATGAGCCGTGCGGGGAATGGATGCTGAGGAGGAAGTCTACAAATACCTCCACTGCGAAGGAGAGCTGGAGGAAGAGAATCTAACTGAGAAATCAGTGTTTGGAGAAGGTGGAGAAGTCCTCGAAGCTCATCAGGAGAAGGGCACCGATGACGACAGCAGTTTTGGTGAGGATGATGAGGATTGGGAATGACGATGAGGATGAGTATCTGAGTTCCAGTTCCATAGAATGGTATTCGACTGAAGACGCTCAAACACACTCATTCCACATCACACTATGGTTTTCCAATTCTACAGCTGAAGCAGCAAATCATCGCCTCACCCGCTTACTCCCCACTTTATCAGCCATCAGCCGCACCATCATGTCGTACAACCACACCTCACCCGCCGAGCCCGACTTGCAGATCTTCGTAAGCCTTGCCTCGCTTACTTGTTACACGGCGTATGTAGGCTAGTGCATGCGTAATGCAGTGTAATGTAAGAAATGCTAATTCGGGGTGCTGTTCGCAGGTGAGCCGCAGCGTTTGATAAATTATTCTCATGCTATAGTTGACTCCTGAGCCGGGTGTCAAGTTCCTGCATAGTGTCTAGGCAACAGTGTGACTCAGTCGGTAGATTGACTGTAGTCGTTGACATCGGAGACCGATAGGCGTGCTTGATTTGCTTGGTTGAGGAGGTGCCCCGAGCGCTTATGTGCGAGCGTTGAATGGATCGCCGTGAAGGGGCGCGGCACGTGGGGTGTGGATTGATCTTACGACGCTAGGTAGGGTGAGGAAAGGTCTTGCCGTGCGGTCGCAGGTTCAGCCTGATGGTTGTAGATGTGGTGAAGGTAAAGTAGTGGTTTGTTCTTGGAGTTTGAGGATGTAATTGACTACTTTGGCGCTGGCGCTCTATGCGCTATACTTCAGTAAAGCATCGTTTCCGACTTGCAAGAGAATAACAGTAAATATTACCGCTTGAACTAAATGTGCCAACGTCCAGGTTGTCGCACTGCTTGGACTCTTGATTAATGCTCTGGGGCATTTTCCCGTTTCTGTCAGATCCTGGTATCGATCCGGCGTGATAGCTGCTCCCGGCTCAAGTCGAGCGCTTACATCCCGCTCTTCCAGCCTCTCGACGTCAAAATAAGCAAGCACACTCCGTGCTGCATCCCGGCCCTCGCAAAGGACGTCCAGCTGACCTCTTTTGCGACCCAGCAGGCGCGATCCAGAGCAACCAATGCCTACGGCATCACATCATGTCTTTCGCGGGCCGCACGTACGTGGCATGTCTCTGATCTCGTGTATCAAAGATTCGGCGGGATCCGAAGAACGCTGCTGTGCTCCGTTGGCTGTCTCGAAGCAGCCATACCATCTACGCGAAGGTCTCATGGAAGGACGACCGTGTGACCACACAGCAACCTCCAGCCATCTCAATTGCCAGATCTGACGTACAGTCCGTTTCGCGTTGTCGTTCAACCTCTGGGGCTGTTTGCCCAACTTTGCGGGGTAATCATGACGAGCTGCAGGCAAGTGGGTCAACGTTGGCGTTCGTCATGCCACGGGATGCCGAACCTCTGGCGCACAGATGGCTCGTTGGCTACGGCACGGGGCGTTTCCAACCATTCTGCGTTCAAGCTGCCGATCCGTTTCGATACAAACCTTGTTCTGTTGGTCCTGCATCATCGCCGAAGCGAACGCAGGAGTGCATGAACGACTCGCGAACTGCAACGCCCAGCAGGATTCTCGCTGCGTGCACAAAGAAGGACGACCGAGCCGAGCCTTTGGCTGATCGGTGGCTGTGATCGTGGCAGATGGGTGTGAGTGCGACGTTGTTGCTGTTTGGGCCGATGTTCATTCCAATGTCACTCTGAATGAGCAAGCGTCGCTGCACAGAAGGTACGGAAGGGCTCCAGCATAGCGCAACCATCCGGAGTAAGTGCTAGATAGGGAAGTGCATATGATCGTGACTTGCCTATGTCCTGCGATGCAGTGATACATCGATTTCGGGACGTGACAAGTCCTTTCGAAGATAATGATGGTGAGAGGTCGGTGATGAAAGTTCAGCCGTACATCGAACGAGATGGCCAAAGCCAACCAACACCAGAGATTCAGAAGCATGCTCAGCTTGTGCGACACATCACCATTCCAGGCACAAAAGTCTGTGGTTAACAGCGCATCCCGGCTAGTAGTTTTGGAACCGTGCGACTGCATTTCGTGTAACGTCGTGCCGTCCAACCGTCATATGAGAAGTACATTGATACATGTCGAATTGCGACAGCGAGCCTTCGCTTTCTCGATCTTGAAGTGTGCTGCTGCCTGCTAGTGGGTAAGGGGTGACCTTGTTCAGATTTGCTGATAGGACGATCTGAAAAAGGGCTGTCCTGGCTTGATAACAACGCCTCTTAATTTGGATGCTTGTCGGTCCCACGATACCACTGTTTGGTTCGGCAAGGGAAGCCGCTGCGCAGAACTGACAGCGGGCACTTGCGAGAGCCGCATCATTAGTCAGGGCGGTGTGGAGGATGATGCAAGGGAGCGCAAATGGTTGCGCAAAGGGATGTGTGTATTGTCAGCGTCCTGAGGCACTGGTATTGTCGTTGTTTGTTAAAGCTGTGGCGCGAGTGCCCGTTCTGGACAGAAAGGAGCATTGCTGCCCAGCGCTGGCCGCTACCTTCATCCAAGCGAACATGCTACTCGCCTACGGGCGAATGAAGAGACAACAGCAGGCAACCCAGATCGTTCAGTGCAGTCTTCCACACATCAGTGACGGTTTACAGGCTACAGCGCGTAAGGCTGGTCATAGGTGGTGATTTAGTGCATATTGACCAATCGCGAAGTAGACGGTGACATGCAGACATACGGTTGGTTTACTAAGACACCCATGTGATGATGTGCATTGCTCGTCACAGCGTGCGGCGGCTCCACCCCGAGGAGGGTGTAGTGGGGGTTCAGATCAATTGTTGGCTGCATTATTGCGGGCAGAAGGAATTTGTACACCAAGATCAGACAGTCTTGGGGCGCCATCGCTGGTCATGTTTCAGTGCCATGTGGTGAAGTGCAGGGGTGGAGCATTGGCAGAACGAGCGCACAATGGGAGATAACTACTGATATTGATAAATAATATGCTGATAAAAAGGGTATACTACTTCTGACCGCGAGGCCCAATCCAATGAGATGGTGTAGGTTCCATGTCAGATCTAGTTGCTGACCCAAAGACAGAAGGAGAATCTGGACCCTGCCAGCCTGAACACCATGCTGTGCGAGGATGTAAAACCAATAGAGTAAGAAAGGGGGTATTGTCGCAATGAAAGTGACTTTTCCTGTGACCCGCTCAGATGCTGTGACCCTTCCGTATGTCGACCCGAAACTAGTGTTACAGTATGAGAATCGTCCAGAGCAGAAGATGCAGCAGAATTAACAATTAGACAGCAAGAAAGGGTATCTCGCGTAAAGAGCAAGTAGGGCGCAAAACAAAGAATAGCAGTGCAGTGCAACAGGCCAGACCAACACCAGTGCCATTGCGTCCGGGCAATGGCAACATGAAACATGCTAAGCAGAAGGGTGGCGAAGGATCTCTTCGCAGTTGGCATCGAAACGCATGCTCCAGAGACGCATGCCAGTCATGAGCTTCTCAGTCTTCTCAAGCTCGCGGTCGCGACCGAAGATGGACTCAACAAATTCGCGACCACTGTTCTTGCCCATAGAAACGGGCTTCTTCTCGCCGCTCTCCTTCTTCGCGGCCTTCCACATAAAATCTTCACATGTCTTGAGGAGCTTGGCGAAGCGGATCCAAAGACGCTCGCCGCTCATGAGGAAGTCTTCAACCATCTCGGCGTTTTCCTTTCTGCGGATCTTGCTCATGTTCTCCTCTGCTCTCTTGACTTTGCCGGCGAGTTGAATAAGTAGGAGCCAGAGTTCACCGGCCATCTCGGCGAGAGGGGTGGCAGGACCGTTGTAGAAAACGGTCCAGTCGTAGATCCACTTGCCGAGTGAGTTGGCATCGAAGACGCTGCCGACGAGCATGATGGGTTCCTCGCTGGGGTCCCAGTTCTTGTAAGAGTAGCCAGCAGGGATACCAGCGCGGCGCGCATCCTCTTCGGTAGCCTTGGATGCGGTCTTGGTACCCGTGGGGCGCTTGGGTGTCTTCTCTTGCGGCGGTGGCGCGCGTGTGGAGTGGGAAGCACGTCGAGTACGAGGCTTTGGCTCTTCATATATTGGGACCTGATCATAACAAAAGCGATCAGCATCCCCATACGTGTCGTATCGTTCGTACTGTTTGTACGGTGGTGGCGGTTGACGGTAGACATCGTCTTCGACCTCGTATTCAACCCCGTAACCATCGTCGTAGAAGACTCTGTGGACGTAGTGCGCCGACTGTGACGGGCGACGCTTCTTCTCGCAAGTGGGGTGCTTGAGAGGAGAGGCGTCTGTGTCGCGACGGGCCCTTCGAGGGCGAACGTAGACGTAATCGTAATCGAAACCACTTACATATTCGGGCGTTGCTCGCGGGGTAGGGTATGCGCCTGCCATAGGGTGCATAGGTCCCTGCGCTGGAGCATGCGAATAATGCTGCTGTGGTACGGCGGTCGATGCGCGGCGCGCGTGGCCCTTGACACCTGGGCTGGCGCGAGGAGTTGAGGGCATGCCATAGCGAGGCGAGTAGTAGTTTGCGCTCGCGCCTGGGGAAATTGGCGGGGTGGTGCGGTGGTGGTAGTCGCGGGGCATGTAGCCTGGGGGCTGCGTGGGATACTGTGGGCCGTACATGTTCGTGACGTCGACTTAGAGTGGGGTAGTAGTGTGGAGGGGATAGAGCCCAGGCCGGTGCCTGCTCACCGTGGAATACGCAAACTAAGGGCGGTTCTCCGTGTGCGGTCGCAGAAGAGGGTGGGTGTGAAGGTTCGAGCAGCAGCGCAAGAGGAGGAAAAGAAAACCCGAGTCTGACTGCTGCACATTTGGTGTTTTGTTCGGACAGATACTAGAGTATGCCAGAAGGATCCAGATGTACGGATCCTATATCGTGTTGGGAGACGTGACGTCCAAAGTTGCTTGGTAAGATGGTAAAATGGATTCAAAGACACTCGCAGGCTGCGGCCTGTGCCTGCCTTTTGACCCAAGCCGCTCTTCGTGCGCGGACGGACCAGTGGCCAGGGTTCGTAGACTAAGGAAAGACGCTAGCTAAGCCACCTGAGGAATCCCTGCTAATGCCAATTCACCGCTAATAGAGCCCAAAGCACCACCCCTGACCCCCGAGTGGCATTCCTCACCTCCGGGTCAGGATTGACATTTTGGTGCCTGTGCTGCCGCTGAGACCATCGCTGCAACCGGCTCTGAGGACCGATAGCGTGCGGCCCGTAAGAGTTGCCTCTGACTCTGTGAACATGGCGAGTGTTTTGATGGTGCTTCTATTGGAGGCACGTGTGATGGAGGCTCGTTGATGCCTGACGGATGCGAGCATTGCATTATTAGAGAGGGAGCGTGCAGGAACGGAGCAGGTTGCCCGCATGCCACCAGCTGTTCTGTTTGGGTGGGTAATATTTGGAACACCATGCCTCTGTTCTACAATATACCCGTAACCCTGGCCAGCCTCGCCGCATGGCATTGGCAACTGGTTCCCGTTCGCTGAATGACGGCAGCTGCGGTAAGCTGTACCAAAGATGCATCGTTGTGCCTTTCGCCAACACCGCTGTGCCACAGTCGATGTCTCTTTCTTGCACCAACGCTCCTGTCGCTGTTTTCAGCGCGTTTCGTTGGTTGCTGTCACAACACTCCACCGGCGGTTTTCTGACACCCAGTGATCCACTCTCTTCCGCTCCGCCCTCTAGAAGTAGCTTCCTTCGGCTGGCCGCCTTGGGCACTGACGGTTCGTTGATGCAGCGCGGACGCGAGTGTTCAGTGCGCAGACGAGAGAGCGCGGCCCACTTCCCAGAAGCCCCAGCGGCGCGCCGCAACTTGGCCTCTGCGTGAGTACATGCTCCCACATGCATGTCGTACGCAAGTCAAATCTGCTGAAGACCATCTCGGCTACCGAACGAGAGGAAGTCATGCTACACAGAATCATTTGGCTCACAGCAGAACTCACGACGTCTCATTCAGCTCGGGACGACTTCCTCGACTTTGGTCCGGCGCGCTTCCCCCTTGGCTAGCACAGAGACTACACACGAGCCGTCGCCGCGGCACACGGCTACCTTCTGGAATGAGTCCTTCCGAAACGGCGGGAGTCCTCCACTCAACGTCGTCGCGGGTCGGCTGCCTCTGACTGCTGGGGAAGCCCTGTTATCACATCAGAGCCGCACACACCACGCCGAGCTGCTCAGACCTCCTGAGGGAACTCTCCTTCACGCACAGTACGAAGCTTAATTTCCCTGCCGCCAGAAAAATTTTCAAATGCCTTACCGACTGTGCCAGTCACCGCTTGGAGCATGTTGTGGTTTACCGCTACTTCTACCCCTCCTCGTTCAGAGCATTTGGTATCGTTAATATCGGCCCACTACTGCTGCATACCGCTCTTACGGCACCACTCTGATTCGACGGGGAACCACGAACAACAAAGCAGATGGTCGCGCAGCATGGATATGATCTCCCCGCTCACGAGGACCATACCAGAAGAAGAGTATCTGCGCTGCGCGCTGCCTCTGGCTGGCTTAGCATGGAACGCCTCTACCCGTGCTTTGCATGGAGCGTAGAGCTCAGGGCGTACGATGCTCCTTATGCTTCCGTCAATGCGTCCCCTGCAATTTCTCGTCACACAGTTCATTTCGAATTTTGACCATCATATCTGCCTCTTATTGGGCTGTAATTGCATTTACCCTGGTTTCTAGAGACGGAGGCGTTCCTAGCGAGCCCACACAGTGCATTTCGGAAATCGACATTTCCTAAGCACCCACACTGTTATCAGACAACTCATCTTGCGTTTCCCAGGCGCCATGCGTTTCTATGACTCTTCAGCTTTGTTTGCTCCGCGTGCGAAAGCAAAGTCTCACCGTCAACTGGGTATCAAAACTTGATCTGGATGGTGAACAAACACTCTGGACCGTCGTGCGGAAGGGCCGAAGTACAAGAACACTTCGTCCGCGTCCAAGCTTCAGAGGGGTGTTGTCTTGCGAAATGAGACCAAAGCGGGTATACAAACGAGTTGCCGGGGTGCAGCTTCCTCAGGTTCACGCAGCATCGCCAGCCCTATGGCGCGTAAGAAACTGTGCTGCAGTCCTGTAAGTCTGCGCCACTGCCACGTTGGCCGACCAGACTGCAGGCTGAGTATCGGTAGCGCACTTCATGCGAGCTGGCCAGCTTGCATCATGGTACTCCGAAAATACGCTGCAGCCCAACGAAGCGCTCGTATTGTCCGGCGCGTTGTTGACGTTGGACCGAATACGCAAACGTACTATTACCAATATCTGTGGTGATGCAGCCTTGGGTTGGTCGATCTCAAGGTATCACGGTCACATGCTCCTGTCATGACAACCACAGACCCAAAGCAAAACATCGCGAAACATTGTCTCTGTCTGTGGCGAGCACAGCCCCATGCAGCGCACGAACCACCTCAAGTACCGCGCAACACTCAGCTCAGCAAGTCGGCTTGCTCGGGTTCGCCGCCACTATTTCTTGACTTCACATCTGATGGCAATGTCTTTCGACGATTCCACACCTATCATTGCTGCGTGCGACGCTACAGCTGCTCTTCGATCTTCATCTCGACTTGCAAGCCTCAAAGTGGCGATCCAACAGCAACTGCTCAATCACCTACCTCAACATTCACACCGCCCTGACTCACGTACAGTCTTCAGCTGACCTAGAACTATCATTTCGCCAACCTCCTTTCCTCCCTCTAAAGACCTCATATCTTCGCCTCCACATTTCATTCGCAACCTCGGTGTGCTATATCGCGTTTCAAACGATTCGGTGAGTCAGAAGCCAGGGTTGCCTGTCCAACCATCTCGCCAATTTTCCAACATGGCAGTTCCAGCAACATCAAGGCATTGACAATATGCTCGCATGTTTAGTAGGAAGTGGGGGTAGGTGGAACCATTTGCGTCACTGCGCATACGCATGTCGTTCGCGTTGTCGCGTGGAAAACATCAGGGATGTGGGTTGGCGGGTAGATGGATACACCGACTAGGGTCTGGTGTTGTGAGTGTGGGTGGGAGCTTAGGCAACAGGTGGTGGTCTAATCGCTCATCATGACTGGGCATTGAGTATCCGTTCGCTGCTCGCAGCTCTTGCCGTGTGCTGAAAGATTGGGAGATGACCCGTCCTACTCTCCTACTCGCCCCGACGAAGTGACTTCATGTCATCCTTGAACACCTGACGGTGTCTTCGTTGCCTATAGCCTTGAGCTCGATCGATCGACTATGTTCATGATTTCCACAGACATTTTAGAAAGCATGGGACACTCGGATTTGATTAGAAGTGACCAACTGCGAGATCATTCATCATCCTGGTTCTGTATCATCTGCCTCTCATACATTTACGGAGATAAGCTGTGAATTTTCCCCTTCCATCGTCCTACTGCAATCTCTCGATGTCCTCGATGAGCCTAGAGCGTGTCTGATCTTCTATTACCCGCCTTGAATAGCAGTCAGGCACTTATCGCTCCTCCGGCTATGGTCTCCTTCGCTTTCATCGCGCCAGTATTTTTGAGAAGGGGATCACTGTTGTTCATTACGCGCCTTCAGAGTTTGGGCTGCGGCTTGAGCCTCGCTCAAGTAGGCTTTTGATCGCAACCCCTCTTTCGGCCAGGTGTCATATCACACGCTGGACCCAACATGGTTGGCACCGGCGGGACTGCAGGAGCTGGGATGAACGACGGCGCTGTAGGGTATGAAATGGGGCCTTTCCATGAGAGCTTGGACATGGTATTGTTTGCAGGTGCCCATAGGTGGAAACGGCATATTAGAAAAGTGATCCAGTGACAGTTCCAGGGGTTCGAAGTTTTGTTCGGACTCATCCGAGACCTTGTCGTTGCTGCCGCTATGGTCGTCATCCTTGCGTGCGTTTGATATCGGAGAGACTGTGTTTGGTGGGGCATCGATCTGCACAACTCCGGGCGTAGAAGTCGTTGAATGAGGGACAGACACAGTGCTGGCAGTGTCGGCCTCGTGTTCGTTGGTCGTGTGTTCGATGCTGTTCTGTGCATCGTTGGTGCGACTCCTCTCGGATCGCTTGATCACTTGTCCCATATCTCTTACAGCCCTTGAATCCTTTTCGTTCCACCCAAGCCACTTTACAGTCTTCTCTACTACCTCTGCATTATTCACATTGTCACAGGCGCCGTTGATGCCTCTCATATCAAAACTCTCGCCAGCGTGCAGTTCGATCAGGTTTCCAAGGTGGTTGATGACTTGATGACAATGCTTCTCTGACTCTTGCATCTGCTCCTCCAATCCCTTGATCGTACGATTCAAATCTGCAATCGTCAAGTTGGACATCTCAGTAGACGCCTGCATTTCGCGAGCTGAGCTTGCAAGCATGTGATCCTTTTTTTTTAATTTTTTTTTTCTCTCTTTCAGACCCATTGATGCCAGTTTTGTGCAGGTGATTGCTTTGTCTGCTTGCATTTGCACATTCAACCACCGCTTTTTACCTTGCAGATCTGCAACTTCGCTTTTGAGTTGTCTGTTCTCGCGGTCCAGTCTCGCACTTACGTCTCTGATATTTGCAAAAAGCTTGTTCGGACCCGTGAATGTGCGTATCTTGGGCCGTACTCCCACGAGCTGGCTGAAAGTTCGGTGTAGGTACGCTCATGTCCGTTGCTATAGTTGTTGGTGCTTCGTATAGCAAGACTGCTCTTGAGAGTGGGTGGGAAAGTGTTATGAAGGAGAAGCGTTAGGCAAGGTGATGGAGCGAGGATTGAAGCGGCGATCGAGCAATCTAGTCTAAGTGCAGCTGTGCAAGTGAGAGATAGAAGCCGACCATTCTGCGTTACGTATTCATAGTTGCAGGTAAAGGTAGTAGATTTCGTTTGTCATTGTTCATGGTCCCAAGTAACATTTTGAAGGCTTCCAGCAGTGCCTCCACCATTTCAGTCGGGCTCCAAATGCATAATTTCTCCATCACAAACTGCAGCTCTCGTTCGACCCACTCTAACCACTTCTTCTCATCTTCATATCTATTTCCTCGAGCAAGAGCGAATTGGTCGTTAACGAAGAAATCGGGAACGTGAGACTTGTCCCCATGGTGCTTGCTCGTGAGCTCCGCAATGCTCTTTGTAAGAAGGCGATGAACGAAAATGATGCCCTCGAGCCGGTTGACTTTGCCTTTAAACCTTCTCGTCTCCTGAAGCTGGCTTTTCAACTGCTGGTTCTCAGTGATCAGCTTTGTGAGCTCATCTTGAACTTGATCGAGAGCTTGCTGAGACTTGTGGACTTGTGAGTCTTGAGACATGGTGCGGGCTGGTGGCCATGAGATCTCAGAGAAGCTCTGCGTCGATGGTTCAGTTACTAGGGTTGAAGAGGTTCGGAGGACGTTGTACGAGTTGGAAGTTGCAAAGGAAGGGCGGAGTAAAGGACAGGCTCGAGTACATGAAAAGCCCTTTCAGAACAGGCAAACCAGTCAAGTGAGAGAAGTACGAAACGAATATCCACTAAAATGACGGTAAACGTGATTACTTGTGTTTGCCGACCATCAACAGTAGAATATACCTCGCTTACATCGAATGCCGTGCAATTGAGTCGTCGAGAGTAGACTGATGTGTACCAATGTCTCTTGTTGATCTACTTCTGAATGCCTCCATGTATGCCTCGCCCGCGTATGCGATGTTTTTCGTTCTTACAAATATCTGCTTCTCGGTCTCTGAGAATACACTTTAGCTTTCTTGACAGTGCTACTTTTTAGTGCACGAGCATCGAACGTATAGCAGATGCCACTGAAACCCAGCCAGCTATTCTTCATTCGCCGACATCTCTTCTTCCGCAGCACTTTGGGCCTTGTTCTCAGTCTGCGGCTCAGATATGACAATTCTCGCCCGCAGCTTTTCTTCCGCGGCTACTCTAGCTTCCTTCTCGATTTGCAGCTCGGAGATCAACGCTTCGATATTCTGTTCCAGCGTACTGATCACCGTCTTGAACTGTGCGATCTGTTCGGTCTCGGAGAGCATGAACGTCTCGTCCGGCGTTTTGGGAAATTTGGGATCGCAGGTTGAGCGCTTCAGACACCCAGTCGCAGCATCGAGGTGCACTCTGGAAAGAAGTTGCTGCTGCTCGATGAGTTGGCGTTGTTCTCTATAGAGCCAGTCCTCTTGTTCAGTGAGATGACGCGCCCAGCCGCGGAGCTTGTTGGTGAGCAACAGCAGATTTCCGCAGGCCCGGGCCTGAGTTTTCTGTGCTACCAACATAGCGTTCACCAGACGTTCGCGGACCTTGATGTCGTCTTCGACCTTGCCTTGAGGATCATGGCATTGCAGAATTGTCCCATCTCTCTCGCTCGCGTGTTCACCCACCGCGTGCCCGCCCTCCTTACCGGCGTCTGCCATTGCGCTTTGCTTGGTAGACGCGTAGATTGGAGTGAGCTGAAGACGTTGAGGGCCTGCACCAGCATGCCCACTCGTATATTCGTTCTCCTCGCCGGAGTCGCTCATCCTCTTTCGTTTAGGACTTATCTGGGGGTCTCGATGCAGCTCATCGGCATCCATGGCTTGATGTTCGGTGCGGTGGCTGACTCCTTGATGATGCTGGCAAGCGTAAAGTATAGGAAAGCAGTAACAGGAAACCGGAACGTACAAGTTTCGGTGTGGGTGATGTGCTGAGGGCTAACGGGAAGTGAGGAAGCGAGGTGTGCAGTTGAAGTGGCGGCCGCTAGAGAGGTGCTCGGTCGAGACTGGCACATCCTAGGTAACAGGGAAGGAGCAGCAGACCCACGTTCTCACCACGCTATCGCAACTTCTTCGTGACTGGGGCACGTACGCGTGATGGTGTATACTGTTGAATTGGCTACATGAACATCGATGTGACTGCCTGAACTTTGTACCCTGCATTGCGTGATTCGCGGATACAGGGCTTCATTTTCATAAGCCTGCGATCTTTCCTATCCACACTCATCTGCTGGTTTGTCATTTGCCGAGTCCAAAAACTTCTCTAACATATCGTCTTATCATCATACGTCATAGTTGATTCAGTACTTATGCAGCACTGTCACGTAACCTCTGCTGCTCTTCCTCGTTCAACTGGCCGAACTCTTCCGCAAAACCTGGTGTTGTCGCAGCACGAGTGAAGAACTCTACAAGGAACGCTTGTGTCTCATCGTCGCGCTGGCGACCACTACTGGGCCCGTCATCCGCAGCATATGCCATCAGCTGCTCCTTCGTGAAGCCGCTGCCGAGGTCCACGAATGGGTTCGGCTCATCTTCCCAGGAGCCGTCGTCCGAACCCTCTTCTGCAAGCTCGGCGGCGACGTTAGCATCGAGCGGCGCACCTGTGGCTGACTGCAATTCGACAATCAACACCTTGAGGATCTTGAGGGTGGCGGGAATGATCGTCCATCGATCAGGATCTGTCAAGCAGGTTAGTTGTGTTGATTCAGCAAAGGGCTTGAAGGACATACTGGTCCTTGCGCGACTCCTTGTCATGATGCGGCCATCAGTATTAGGAATCAACTCGCCTTTGACCTGGATCTCAGCCAACCGGGGGTCCTTCAGATCATACAGCTTCGATAGTGCAATAACACTACCAGTAATTAGCATCTTTGCGAAAACTTTGCAAATCGGACCTGATGCACGATAGAAGGCTGAACTAAGGCCGGAACATGCATGTGTGATACGTACTTTTGGCGGATCTCGTCGTAGCCAGCAAAGTTGATCGAGTTCTCAAGCCACTTCGCCATTACAACCTGTAAACCGTTCTGATGGTTGATGTTTTGTCGCGCTAGAAACTCGACCACCTCCGAAGCATGGTTCAAGCTGAGTCGTGCGAAGACTAAGGTCAGGCTCTGAATGAACTGCGCCTGTTCAGCGGTGGCAAGGCGTGAAGCAACACTTCGCAGGAGTTCCTCGAGGTAAGGCCCAAGCCTCTCATGACCAGCCTTTTCTACCACCTCGGCAGCGAGAGCACCGACTTCTCCAGCGGCGTGGTCGGAGGCCGAGGAGAGGAGACGTGAGATGATAAGAAGGACCACTTCGAGTCCAGCTTTTCCAGTGTCGTCGCGCCACTCGAACAACTGTTGGTGGTCGTGCGAGATGATGTTCTTTACTGCAATCGTGGCAGCCTTTAGCAGCTCCTCATCCGTGGCGCCGAGAAGCAGTCGAGTAAGCTTGGGCATCGTAGCTGCGACGAAGCCAGGAGGTAGGGGTTCAGGGCCATATTCAGCAAGAACACCAAGCAGCTCGGCGGCCAGGTTGGTCAGAGCATTCTCTTCTGTGAGGTTACCAACGTCAAATGCGGCAGTAAGCGAAGGAAGAACCTTCGCACACAGATTGACGTACGCATCACCACCCATGCGAGCGATGGACTGTGTCACTTCTTCGAAAGTCTCGTTGACCAACATTGTGAGCTGGAAGTTGTTCGCTCCGTGACTAGCCACCGAGAACAATAGGTCGAGACCGTTTGCGGTGATGCAGATGCGAGTGTCGATAAGAATAGCATCTCTGAGAGTCTCAACCAGCGTAACCATCAGGTCGTCACTATCGGCCAGTTCCTGCATATCCTGTGTGTTGAGATATTCCTGGATAGCGTGGATGATGTTGGGCTGTAGGGGTTGCGTGACGCTGGCAGGCAGAGCCTGCAAGTAGTACTGCAAGGCGCGAATGCAGGATACTCGAACAACATCGTTCTCGTCGTTGGAGATAGCTTGCAATGACGCTTCGAGGAAGGAAGTAGCGAACTGTTGTAGAGCATCGCCAGATGTCCGGGTCAAGCTTCCGGCGATGAGATAACCACGCGCCCTGAGGAAAGCATCTGGTTGCTGCATGGCATATCGGGTGAAGTCGACAAAGCCACTCGCGGCCTCGGAGCTGATCTGCTTATCGACATCTTGAAAGTCGCCGAGCATCTGGCTGAGGACGTAAAGCGCAGCTTCCTTCGCCTTCCAGCTCTCAGTGCCAGAGTACAAAGCTCTTGTGTAGGCCAGCAGACCGTTGATTGTTGGCTCAGACAGCCATTCGCCAAGCTTGATTACCAGATCACCGCACGCGGTTCGAGGAGTGTAGTTGGCGGTCACGCTTGTCTCTTCGCTAAGGAAGATGTTGACATCGATGTCCCAAAGGCCCTCCTCCTCAGTCGTGATTTGCGCATAGCCAACAGCCAGCTTCATGACTTCAGTGACCCACGAGTTATCGGCGGACTGGTGCTGGAGCTCCTGCTCGAGCTGGGCACGCACTGGAGGTGCTCGAATGCATGCCTGCATGAAGTCGAGCTCTTCGAGAACGAGGAAATCGAGAGTGTAGGGAAGACCGTCTGCATCCTCCAGTCTGCTCTGTCGCTCTTCCTGGATGTACATGAGGTGGTATGCCGGTTGGAGGGTCGACAGCTCTTCCCAAGTCGCTTGGAACAAGACAAGGCTGTGAGGCGAGAGCATAGAGGGGAAGACGGATCGTACGCGCATCAGAACCTAGGGTGGTCAGTCTGTGTTCAACGTTCGAAGCTTGTGTTGGCGCCTACCTTAACAACCTGGAGCTTGAGGGACAGGAGCCCCTTGTATGTTTCGGCATTTGGTGCTTCATCCATCTCTTCCTGCTCCGATGGTGGGCTTGACAGCTTCGTCTTCAGGACTCCAATGAAGAAAGGAAGCCACTCCTTTAGTATCTCGTCCGCGAAACCCTTGACTGAGGCCTTGTGGTCCTCGAGGATCATCTCCAGAATGTCGAAGCATCCACGGAAGACACTGCAGGCCAGTGCTCGGTGCTGTGGCCGCCTTTGCTCGTTTGCAGCCACAGCGTATATGACCTTCACGAGCTGGGGCGCTACGCCGAAGAAGGTGTGCTCGTTGAAGCAGTCGTCGACCAGCTCACTCAGCACCTTCAGTGCGCCGTGCAATTGCCCATCGGTGGCATGTGGGATGAGTTGGAGGAGGCTATCGAGAAGGTCGGGCCATTGGTCTGGGTAGTCGGCGGCAGCAACCTTGCTGACAACCAGACTGGCGGCGGCCTTGAGCTTGCGGTCGAGGTGGTCTGTCGTTGCCAGCTGGAGCAGCCGTGGGCGGAGCTGCGCCTTTGTCTCGTCGGTGACTAGTATCTGGCCCTTGAACTCGTCGAAGTTGGTACTCCACCCCGCCAACACCAGCTGCTTGAGCGACAGCAGGGCCGCCTGGCGGATGTGGAGGGGCACGCTGTCATGGCAGGCGATGCCCACGAGGCCGAGGGGCAGCTCCTGGTGGCCGTAGAGGGACTTGAGCTGCTGCTCGGCGTGTTTGCGCGGTGTCTCCTGGGCCGACTGGGTTGCGGCGAGCAGAGCGACTAGCTGGTCCTCCATTGCTGCTGACGAGGGGCGTGCGCGCAGAGAGCTAGTGGGCGCGTCTAGCGTTCCCCGCGTTGGAATGCTTTGGGTGGGATGCGGCGGGCGACGCGTCTGTTGTGGTGCAAGCTGGGCGGTCAACAGTCTGGAGAATTGTTACGCGACCCGGAGAGGAGGGGCACGCCGATGGTGAAGCCTGACAGCCTTGTTGTGCCCGACAGACTGACGCAAGTGGGGCCAAGGAGGTCGAACGGCGGCGAAAGACGAGGCAATGCTATGCAGTGCAGATATAACGAGGCGCTGCAAGTAATCAAGCTGGGGAATGAAGAGGCAAGCAGTGCATGTCTTGGTAGAACTGTTGGTGAGAACCCTGGCCAATCACGATAACTGCTCCGATAATCTTTTGCAGAGGAAGATGTTTCGACCCTCACGTCACGATGCTATTGATCGACGGCCGTGACCATGCGCCTGCCCAGCTCTGGCAAGGAAATCCAGCACTTTGTTTCGAGGGCATCCCCGCTATTGCTCCTGTCAGAACTGAGTTGGATTTTGGCAGGTCACATGCTCACGCGATGACGCGCTGGACCCTGGACAACCATGTAGCTCTCCAATGTAGCCCTGAATTGTAGCCCTGAATTGTAGCCCTCCAATGTAGCCCTCCAATGTAGCCCTGCATCAAGCCTCATTTCTCCACAACAGCATAACAGCTCACGGAGCTGAGGCGTCAACCTCAACTTGTCCTGGATTGACAGTGTTGCTGTACCGTCAACCGACGTCTAGGTCCCTCTTCAGCAAATAAGTAGCACCTGGAAAGCAGCGCTTGAAATCAACGACTCTCTTGGATCCACACTTCAGCAGGGTGTCGACACGCTGACTGCAAGCCATCATGGCGGGCGCAACATACACCGACACCCTCAACGCCTTCACCAATTTCCTAACCGCCTACATCCACACGCTGCTCTACCTGCGCACGCTCTACCCACGCACTTCCTTCGTGCACTCGCGCTTCCACAACGCCTCCGCCTACCAGTCGCGACACCCGCTCGTCTGCGACTGGATCCGCGATGCCATCGACGCCGTGCGCAATGAACTGTTCGAAGGCACCGTGTCCCGCATCGGCATTGTCATATTTAGCCATGGGAATGGCAGTATGAATGGAAGTGGTGTAGCAGGGAGTGGAACGGGCAACGTGCAGATCATGGAGCGTTTTATGATTGATGTGTCTGCGTTTCCGGTTGTGGATAAGGATGATCGAAATGCGGTGATGGAATGGGGGTCGAGGCTGTCGTCGCAGGCGTCGTCGCGCTCTGCCTCGCCTGCCCCCGAGGACGAGGAGGAGGACCAAGAAGGAGAAGACGAGGAGGAAGACGAACGTGAATACGGAGATGTTGAAGAACACCAAGGAGGCGAAGACGACCCAGATCGCAGCCGCAGCGAGAGCAACGAACCCTCAGCCTTCGACATCGGCGTCGACACGAACCTCGCCGAGCAGATGCGCGCAGCGCTCATATCGCTGACAACGCGATGCGCCCAGCTCTCCCCTTTACCAGAGAAGTGCTCGTTCAATATTAGTATGGAGTTGAAAGACGAAGCGGATGTTGATCCGCCAGTGGCGCATCCGCAGGCATGGATCCCTGTGCAGCCTAGTCTGCAGAAGACAGGGCGGTGGAACGATAAGCGTGCTAAGGTGGAGGACGAGGGCGAAGATGGGTCGATGCCGGAGACCAAGACACCAGAAGACAAGAGGAGGAAGGGTGAGGATCTTGGAGGTGTGAGAGTCACGCCGATCAGGACGGTGGAGACAGGGACGTTTAGGTTTGAAACGTGGGTTGAGGAGGGGAGAGCGAAGTTTGGGGGGTTTGGTGGGAAGGTGAAGGGCAAGCCGAAAGCCAGTTTCTCGAGCTCAGGAGATAGTATAACGAAGTAATGATGTTACGTTTAGATCAGAGTCGTGAGACATTCCAGTATGCGGTTTAGATATGCTCAGAGGATCCACCCGTGACGCCGACTCCAAATTCATGCCATGCTGATGCTGTTGTATCCCCACCAAAGAAACTCACTACCTCGGCACGTTCCTCAGCTGCTCCTCAAACCAGTTATTCAATCCCCTCCTTCGAACCGCACGATTCGCATCCAGCCCACCAAACGCCAGACCATCACCCACGCCAGCGCCCACCCCAGCATCCCGTGCATTGACTGGCGGTCCATCCAGTCCAAACGCAGGCAGCTCAGGTTGAGGCAGGTTCAGAAGAGGTCTCCTAAGCCGTTGAAGCTCGCCGAGCCGCTGCTGTACATCCTGCATACGTTGGCGCCTAGCCTCCCGGTCTGCATTCATTTGGTCCATCTGAGCTTGAAAATTTTGTCCGTCGAGGGCTCTATTCGCGTTGTGGGCTCGTTGATTTGCGTCTCGAAGTTGTTGCTGGAATCGATTCTGCGCTGCTCGAGCATCAGGGTTTATAGGTGCCAGGGGATTGATGGCGTCTTGAAAGTACTGGTGCGCACGGGCTTGAGGCTGAGCTTGTTGAATAGCATGAGCTTGTCGAAGAGCATGAGCTTGTCGAAGAGCATGAGCCTGAGCCTGAGCCTGAGCTATTACTTGCAGTCCTTGTGCATGCTGTGCCGCAAAGGGATCAGGATCAAGGGGGCCAGGGCCTGGCAGGCCCACGGCAGCGACAAGGCCGTTGTATGCTGCTCCGAGTGCGTCGCCGATCCTACCGAGGGGCCTAGTTGAAGAAGTCAGGGTTCTGATGACGATGATTTTGATAATCAGGGTAATCTCTTGGTGGGTGGATTCGAAATAGATGTCCCAACCACGGATTCTCAACAACGCCTGTGCGAGGATCGTACAAGTACCCAATCCTGGGATTAAAACCAAACCCGTTCAAAGAATGATGAAACATTTGATAGCGATGGTCGAAAACAAAAACCGGAACGGGTGGGAAACGAAAAGGAGGAGGGGGAGGATGCCAGCGGGGATGGTGTTGAGGTCCTTCGAAGTCAGGCTCTGCATGGCCTTGATCTGGATTACGAACAATTCCCAGCTCTTCCTCTTCTGCTCCATCTTCAAAAGCGGGCGGAACTGGGCGTTCATACTCTTCGACGTCAGGAAAAGGGAATACGTACCGTGGTGGTGGCCGAACGACTGCTCGTGGCGGCAACGGTGCTCCTCCTGGAAACCCAGGTCGATGCGCAAGCTGATCTCCAACCATTTCAAAAGGAAACTCGTTCAATCGGTCGGCAGCCCGCCCTCTACGCGCAAGTTCCGCTTGCTTGACACGATCTGAGACTTGAATCATCAGATCCGCATCAGATAAGTGAGGGTTCTCAGCCTTGACCTTAGTCATGGCTTCATCGGCTGCCTTCTTCACCGCTTGCTCGTGGACATCCTCAACATTATCGTGGAGCGCACATCGGCCTTTGTTGATATCGCCAAAGTGTTCGTAGTTGTTTACGTTCTTCGAGCATATGTAGCTGCAATCAAGGTTAGCCAAATGATGCATACAGTACAAGGTCGACTTACCATTGCTTGTTTCCGCAATGTGAGCAGCTCATCTTATTGCAGCCGTAGTCCTTGACAAAAGGATGCTGGCAATTGTTGCACTTTCGGATGAGAGCCGCCGACATTGCCTCCTCGACAACGTGCCGTAACGTAAGCTGTCCGTCCTTCTTGGCTTCCCCGCAGCTAAGTGGAATGTGAGTTTCCTTGTCACAAAGTCGACAGCTTGTCTTGCCGCACTTCGTGCTCTGGCAACGGAACTCTTTGTCTACCCCCACTGGTGGACATTCCGCCTTGAAGTCGCAAAACGGGCATTCGGACAAGAAATCAAGACCAGCGAGCGCGAGCTCCTGTTGCTGTTGCAAGTGCTCTAGTCTTTCGAACGTCTTTTCGCTGAGAACCTGCTGCAACTGCTGGCGAGAGAATGTGCCATTGCAATCTGTGCTCGCAAAGCATACAGGTCGACATTTCGACTGACCCACTTCAGTCTCGATGTATCGCTTAGGACAGTCCATGCAGAAAAGGTGCATGTCTTTCCCACTACAGCTGATCATGCGGTTGAGCGGATATTCTGTAAAGCAGCACTGGCATTCGCCCATTTGGTTGTCCATCTTTGCTCGCCGGAGATTGGCCTCTTCAGCTTGCTTCGTCTCTTCCACTTTACGTCGTTTAACTGGCTTGGTTAGTATGTATATCGACACAAGCAGCGGGGGAAGTCTCCAGCAAGACACTTACCAGCCTCGTTTTCAATCTTCTTCTTCGCGGCGCGTAGCTCCTTTGGAAGTCGGCTCCCTCGCTCGATCAGTACAAGTTCAGCGCTGCGTTTATTGCGAGGCCTCGGAGGTTTCACAAAAACACGTGCGGTTTGCTGGTACGTGCGAACTTCCCTCTCAAGGGTTATGTAGGCTTTATAAAGCGTCTTCCGCTGTTTGAGCGTGTTTATGATGTGCCTAGCCGGGATGTTAAGAAACTCGTCCTTGAGTAAATTTGTACTGTAAGAGAGACGTTAGCAAAAAATGACCCAAAATTCGTTGCGTAGTCCGCAACAGTACGTGCGGATGCTAAAGAACGAATAGCATTGAAGTTTTGTCAGTGACGACTGTCGTTCCACGGAACGCGTCAGGCAACGTTGGCGATTCGTTGGCGCACAATTGAACACCCACTCAAAACCCAAACCCCCTTCATCTGGCGCGCAGCTTCCTTATTGAAGCGGGCGTGACATGCAACAACGAAAAATGGTCATCTGACAGTTGACTCTGCCAAATGCAGGGCAGCCATCGCAGACCGCCGTCCCTGAACAGTTATGCCCGAAAGGCCTACACCAGCTGCTATCGTGTGCGTTGTGATGATGCAGAGGACTGGATGTACACTTACGCGTCTGTCTCATAACTGAGTATCCCTGGATCACGCTCGTCCTTCTCGTAGTCGCTAACCTCCTCCATGTCCTCTCTCCTCCTCTTCTTGCTTGCCGCATCTGCCTCTTTGGGGTAGGTGCCTTCTAGGAGCTCATTGACAATTCGTTCACTGTGCTCCTTGACCCGTGTTTGGTCTGTGGTTCTGTCCTTGATCATTGTAAGAACATGATCGACCGAGATGTCCGGAAATACATCTAAGACCAACTGCAGGCATACTGCTTCGGTGATGAGCTCCGCCTCAACCCTCACCTCAGTAGTTTCAGCATCCTCAACTACGTGTGGGCTGAAATCAGACGGTGAAACATTGACGTCGGGAATAGCAGTCAAGTCGATGATTTCTCGACGGTCGAGTTCAGGATGTCCGTACGCATGGAGGTCATCAAGACCAAGGTCTTCTTCATCGTCAGTCGGCTCTCCGACGAAACGTGCGTTGTAAAATGCGACTTCATCGTCTGTGGACTCATCGTTCTCATCGTCAGATGTCAGATCGACAACTTGGTAGTTATGCCTGACCGCCGGGTGAACCATGCCGCTGAATACGGACTGTACACTTGGACATTAGTCGGTGCTGTCGGGAGCTCGGTCGGGCAGAATTATCCTGGCGCGTGGTGTTGATAGCGGAATGGGGTGGTGAAGTGCTCGGTCGTGGTTGAGGTTTATCGGTGGAGTAACAGCGAGGAGTCGCGGGCAGGAGCAAACACATCCAATTATCGCGCGGATGTGGAGTCTGAATTACCCTTGTGTGCGGCGGAAAAGACTGTTCTTGGTACTACTGGTACTAAGTGAAAACGGGTGGACAGCTGCAAGGCAGATGGTGAGTGAAAAGGCAATTGCGCGAAAGGGTTCAGCTCAATGCACAGCAGCCTTGTTGATGCCCCTCCTCCCAGCGCCGCCCTTGCAATGTGTAGATCCTATGTAACAAAATTGCAAAGAACGATGGTATTGGGGATGGGGGAAAGAAGAGAAAAGCAGTGAGAAAAGTGTGTATGCGGTTGCGAAGCTCCTGGGTTACTGGCTGAATGAGGTTGATGAGAGCTATCGCTTTTTCTGAGACTGAGCGACAGAAAGGGTAAGTGCAGAAGAAGGCAGCAAGGCCTAGGGTAGAACACGGCAGCTACGTGCCACAAGATCTCACATCGTCAACAACCATCATCGTGCCAGCAAACAGCGATCGGACAGAGTTGCGTTGAAGGGTTCTGAGCTCTGCGCCATGCGGCGGAGGTGCGCGTCTCGCCCGGTCCAACGCGCTGCGCTGATGCAGTTAGACCGGCAACGTACAGTGTCTTTCATTGGCGCTGCACAACATGCGTAAGGCTGAGAGACATGCGGCTGTGAATAATTTCAATGACTTTTCCAATCGCAGAGGCAGGTGAAGCGTGCTCCTGTAGTCACAGTCTTCCTTGCGGCAAAATTGTCATAGGAGCCACGACAACGCATGCACACACTCTCGATCACTGTTATTCTATCTTGGTTTCTAGAATACGACCATGAAGGATAAGGAGATGTTGTTCGGCTTCTGATGATGACTTGGATGCTTTGAGAGCGAAAGGTGGAGCTCAGGTACGACCCGCAGCGCTCCGCTACACTAAAACGTGGGGTAAACTCAGAGCGCAGCATTTCACACCATCATGTTCATTCGTACTTCTATTGTTTCGTCACGGACCAGTAACACTCATTGATTGTATCCAATCGAGACCTTTGGCTGTTTTCTCATTGCCGCCACGACACCTCGTGAAACCCTGCCCAATTCTGCGCTTGCACGCTGATTAGACCAGCCATAGCTAAAAGGCATCGTCAAGAATCAAATTCAGCATCAAACAACTCTTCTCTCATTGCACAGGTATGAGTTCGACCCTGGACCTCCCAAAGGACGACTCGCCCACTCTCGCCCTCGTCCATCCCACCAAAGAAGAGCAATTGATCCAATCCAAACTCAACGGCGCCGAATGGCGAGGCGCCCTCTCACCATCTGCCTATCTCCGCCGCGAAGCCACTCTCTCACAGCAAGCCCTGACGAAAGAAGGAGGCATCACATACTGGATTCTGGTCGACACGGCGCTCAAGAACAACCCTCTGGATCCAGATTCAAGAACACGACTTCCGCTCGCCAGCTGCGAGACGTACCGCAAGAAGGCGCTTGTATCGCGAGATGGCAAGCTGCAAGAGGTCGTATCTCATGGCATCGGGAGTGTGTTCTGCGGGCAGCATCTGCGGAAGAGAGGGTATGCGCAGAGGATGATGACGGAGCTTGGGAAGACGTTGCGGACGCATCAGACAGATGAGAAGGAGTGTCTGTTCACCATTTTGTACTCTGACATCGGCAAGGTGAGTTGGCATTGCACATGGATTGAGCATATCGCTGATACAGACAGAAATTCTACGCTTACTTTGGCTGGGAGCCATTTCCCTCGTCTCACATCGCACTTCCAGCAAGCTCTTCTACACCAACAGCTAACCTACCCACTGCCCGATCATTGTATGCGGAGGACCTCCCTGAGTTGTGTAAACTCGACGAGGCTCTTATTAGGAAGGGCTTGGAGTCGCGGCCGAAGGGTAGTAAGACTGCGGTAGCACTCATTCCTGACATCGAGACCGTGCAATGGCATCACGCACGAGAGGAGTTCGTCGGCCAGGAGGTTCACGGCAAGGTGCCAAAGATTAAGGGTGCCATAGTGGGCGAAGAGTTAGGCAAGCGCGTCTGGTGCTACTGGACGCGCGTGTGGTACAATGAGGATGTCTCGATTGTGAAGGGCAACACGATGCACATCCTACGCCTCGTAGTCGAAGACGACGTGTTGGGGAGCAAGAGTTTGACCGAGGGTGATGGATATAGCGCGGCCATCACAGCCTTGTTAGCATTCGCGCAGCGTGAGGCAGAGGAGTGGAAGACGGAACATGTAGAGCTTTGGAGCCCTTCAGCATCAGCGCTGGCCGGGGCTCAGATATTGGACAAGAGCGCGAAGGTGATCGATAGGGACGCAGAGAGCATTGCGAGTCTACTGTGGTACCCAGAGCACAAAGGACCAGCCGCAGACCATGTTGACTGGATCAGCAACGAGAAGTACGCGTGGTGCTGAGAAACCTCTAGGTAGCGAGTGACACAAAGGTTCTCAAGCAATCGCCTAGCATAGGCACAATATTCGTAGTCTTTTGCCAATTTAATCTTTGCCGGACGTTGCAGAGACCCACCTTGACTGCCTCCCAAAGATCTAGAAATCAGAAACTCAGCGTCGGTGAACGCGACCTGAGAGGATGTCTCAACGTGTCGTCGGTGTTGGAGTGCAGAGAAGAATCTTCCTCGAGCGACCAGCAAGCCAGAAGCATCAATGAAAAAGTGAAGGCCTGTCAGATTGCCATCTGCGTCCTGCCGTCCAGCGCGACCGAAGTACGCAACCAGTTGGCTGAAGATCATCGCCACACTCGCCGAAGCAAATGCAATGAGGCCTCACTCCGGGACAAAGAGGCTGAAAGTCATCAACCAGGTTGGAGAATCTGTGGCTTCTGTAGGAAGCTCAGAAGAGGACGATTTCTATAGAAATGATTCTATGAAGTATCTGTTGCTGTGTTAGTGCCTGTAAAACAATATGGATCATAGTCAAGTCTCACAATCGTACTAACAAAAGGAAAAGTCTCTGGGCGGCGATGCGAGCGGTTTTGTGCTGAGCGCACCGGAGCCCGCACAAAATTTCCACCGAACCGAAGAACACCCGGTGCGTGGTCAAAGCGGCCGAAGCCGCAACTGCAGGAACATCATCTAGGTGGGGCACGAAGGCTGCGGGGCTTCTCACCGCAGAGGTGAACCGGGAGGTCTTCACCTCACTTTGCAAGCTTAGGTGTATGTACGGTTTGAAGCCAATGATCAAAAGTACATGAGACGAAATGAGGCTCTGAGCGCTTCCTTAGCTCCCTATCAAGACCAATAGCGCCGAAGTCGTCATTCGAGTAATGGCGGGATGGGCGCAAGAGACCGTGAGGTACTCTTGCAGCAGCCAGTGCAAAGAAAGCTTCTGAGGAATTTGAGGAGGAATTTGACCCGTCGAAAATATCCTATCAATAGACTTTCGTCTTCAGATTGGCCCAATGCATGAGTATATGTGGCTGCGTGCTTCTATTTGCCGTTTTTAGAGGTCAAGACGAAGTTCTTGAGTCAGTGCGACTCCGGAGCTCATCAACAACTTTTTCCCCCACGGGGACTATCCCTTTACATCCTCTGCTATTGGTGTTCTAACAGCGTCACCACCCTCTGATCCTCTTTGTATTGTTGCGTCACACTGTTGTATACACCAATTGTCAACATGTCCACACACACCGCGTCCCAGCGCTATCTGAGTACTCGGGGAGGGTCCTACCATGTGAGCGCAACGACGCATTGAGCTATGATTGCCTAGTCATACTGACAATAACAGTTCTCATTTGAGGAGGTCGTTCTCAAGGGTCTTGCCTCTGATGGCGGTCTCTTCATCCCCGAGGAGATCCCTACCCTCCCCGATGACTGGGCGTCCAAATGGCAGAACCTGTCCTTCGAGGACCTCGCATATGAGATCTTCTCCAGCTACATCTCCTCCTCTGAGATCCCACCTGCCGACTTGAAAGACATCATCCACCGCAGCTACTCCACATTCCGCGCGAAGGATGTTACACCGACTATCACACTTGACAAGGAGAAGAACATCCACCTGCTCGAGCTGTTCCATGGTCCTACATTCGCCTTCAAGGATGTCGCACTCCAGTTCTTGGGCAACCTATTCGAATACTTCCTCGTACGCAGGAACCAGAACAAGTCGGGCCGTGACAGGGAACATTTGACAGTCATTGGCGCAACAAGTGGTGACACTGGGTCAGCTGCCATCTATGGTCTGCGCGGAAAGAAGGATGTGTCTGTCTTCATTATGCACCCAGAGGGCAAAGTTAGCCCTGTCCAGGAAGCACAGATGACCACTGTTCTCGACGCCAACGTTCACAACTTGGCTGTCGATGGCACATTCGACGACTGCCAGGTACGTCAACATCATAACACTTGAAACAAACCACCTGACATTTGCGCAGGACTTCGTCAAGGCTCTCTTCGCCGACCCTGAGATCAACAAGACTCACCGCCTCGCCGCCGTGAACTCCATCAACTGGGCGCGTATCCTCGCCCAGATCACATACTTCTTCTACTCCTATTTCCAACTCATCAAGTCCGAGTCCTTCCTCCCCGCCTCGGTGGTCCGTTTCGTCGTGCCCACGGGCAACTTCGGTGACATCCTCGCCGGGTACTTCGCAAAGCGCATGGGCCTACCTGCTGAGAAGCTTGTCATTGCGACAAACGAGAACGACATCCTCCACCGCTTCTGGGAATCTGGGAAGTATGAGAAGAAGAAGGTGCACGGCAGGCAAGCCGAGGGTGGTCTGGTCGAGGATGGTGTTAAGGCGCACGAGGATGGCGTGAAGGAGACTCTTAGCCCGGCTATGGACATCCTCGTTTCGTCCAACTTCGAGCGTCTGCTGTGGTTCCTCGCGTACGACGTTTACAGCACATCGTCAGACGCAGTCTCGCAGCGACGCAGCCAGGCAGGCGACCACGTCCGTCAGTGGCTGAACGACCTGAAGACCAACGGCGGCTTCGCTGTTGACTCACAGATCCTCAAGAAGGCCCAGTCTGACTTCGCCTCATACCGTGTCAGCGACGAGGAGACCATCGATACCATCAAGTATATTTTTAACGCCGGCCCGTCGAAGAGCTACGTCCTCGACCCCCACTCTGCCATCGGTATCGCCGCGGCACTCCGATCCGCTGAGGTCGCAAAGCCTCCTTCCACACACCACATCTCGCTTGCGACAGCGCATCCTGCCAAGTTCGCCAACGCAGTTGAGCTGGCACTGCCAGAGCAGAAGGAGTACTTCCAGAAGAAGGTCTTGCCTGTTGAGTTCAAGGGTCTCGAGGACAAGCCCAGGAGAGTCAGCCACGCTAAGAAGTCGGAAGGCTGGCAAGGTGTGCGCAAGATCGTTATTGCAGAGGTAGAAGCTGAGTTACAGGCTGCTGAGCAGGACCAGTAGAGATGTTGATATGACGACGACCTGCATGTGATAGACGCGCTTTTGCATATTGGATAGGCGGACTGTTACACCAGGAAAATATAGACTTGATCTACGTCCAGTATTATCCGTGCATGAAGCGAAGGTTTACTTTCTTGTGAGATCATTTACAGGAAGGCATGGGGAACTTCTTCTCCAGAAGGTCGAGCGACCATAAGGCTGAGAGCTCCACGCCCCACAACACCCAAGCTCCAAGCTTCACCCCACCATCCCACGCTCCCAACTCTCCCATCCAACCATTCTCAAACTCCACAACCACAGCCAGCATGGCAACAACAACCGAGCCTCCAACGGCCTTCCAATTCCCACCCCACTACTCCTTTCCACCCTTCTTCACCCTCCAACCCGTCGCCACAACGCGCTCCTCCCAACTCCAATCTTGGTCAACATTCATCCAATCCTACTGCCGCCACCACCACATCTTCTCCCTCTCGCTCATCGATGCGCTCTCCACGCCCTTATTCCACAACACAACCCTCTCCCGCCAGTTATCCCTGCGCGATGCAAAAGCAATACTCACATGGATGGCGTCCCCCGAAGGCGGGTCGCGCGCAGAGTTCATCTCATCCACAGGGAATAAGAAGAAGGCAGTAGACGAGGGCGAAGGCGGGCGGGTGTGGATATACTGGCGACGGCCGGAGGAGTGGGCGGCGCAGTTGGAGGAGTGGGTGGACAGGACGGGCCAAAAGGGCGTGGTGCTTACGCTGTATGAGATTGTGGAGGGGGAGGCGAGTGTGAGAGAGGAGTTTGCGGGGATGGATATGGAATTGTTGAGGATGAGTTTGGGGGTTTGTGTTAAGAGGGGGAGGGCGCAGATTTTTTCGAGTGGGGGTGAGGGGGAGGGTATTAAGTTCTTCTAGGAGTGGGAGTGTGGGTGCTGGATTTGGGAGAGGGAGTGCAAGAGGTCACACATTTGCTATGCATCATGGCGTTATGGTTTGATTTGGAAATACCCTAGGTGGAAGATTGATGGATTGCATTTGCATCGCAAGGCCGTCATCAACAAGCAGCCTCTATCAATACGAACATATTAATGTCCTTCTAAGATCCTCAAACATCGCGGGCTTTCCTTCGACCCAAAAAATCGCTTGTACGCTGTCCTGAACCCAATGCCCGTATCTGAACGCCTGTTGCTCTACCCGTTATGAACAAGGGCTAAATAACGCTATCATGACTTCGCTGCTTTGACTACCTCCTCGGTGAGCTCCCACTCAGGCTTCCAATGCACGTATTGCGCCATCGCGTTGATCAGCAACCACTCGGTCTTTACGATCCGAGGTACCATATCGTGTTTCTTGGCCAGTTCGCGGAACTTAGCCCAGTTAGTGAACTCCTTGCTGTTAGCGTCGGAGATGAGATACAGAACGTCGCCTTCGTCTTCTTTCTGGTTCTGACTTTCTTCGCCAGCAGAGGCGTTTACGAGGCGTTTTGTCGCTGTGATGTTGGTAGTGCGACCCTTCCACAGCGAGCACTTGCCGCCGTTTGCTTCAATGATGTCTTTGTAGGTTTCGAAGCCGCCAGGCACCTTTTCCGTACAGAAGATCGTCCAGTCGCGGAAGAGGCGGTGCTTGTTCTGTATGGCGCGTTCGACAGCATCGACCATCTTGAAGCCGTGCTCTTTTTCGAAATCGCGGACGTCCATGGCGTACTTCTCTGGCGGTGGGAGCTTGTGGTTCTTCAGGACGAAATCGAGATATGATGATCCTACCAGAGCTGGTCCACAGGCCATGGCTGCGACAAACTTCTTGGTTCGTACAGCGTGCGGTGCGCAGAGGATGTCGACCTTCTTGAAGTCTTCAGTGATGAAGAGACCAAGCTCGCGCAGACGCGCTTTATCCTTGGATTCCTTGTCCATGTTGCCAGCCCACCGCTCGTCTTTGGACACCAACATGCGGAACTTGATGGGCTCAAGCTTGTCCTTCTTGGCTTTTTTATTCCTCGTCGGTGCTTCTGTCTCCTCATCTTCGGTCTGGTCATCCCGATCGAGCTCGTCCGCCGAGCGTTTGCTTGAGACGGAGTCTCGTCCTCCCTTTGCCTTCTTCGTCCTGTCTTCTACCTCATCTTCTGCTCTCCGCTTCCCGCCATGTATGACGCCGCCCTTTCGCTTCATCTCTTTCTCGAAGGCTGCTATGTCATCTGCAGCGTTGTGAAGTTTCGATAGTGCTCGGTCCTTCGCGCCTCGGCTCCCTGGTGTCTGATTCTCCTTCCCGTCGAGATGCCTCGCAGCAAGTGGTGTCTGAGCGGTATCGGTCGTCTTCGTGCGTTTGACCTTCTCCGCTGCTGGTGAGCTACGGGTCACTGAGTCACTAGCTGCTCTGCTAATCGGTAGCCTCTGTGCTACCAAGTCAGCTGGGGGTGCTGCCGGTACCTTGACTGGCTTCGCAAGTTTGCGTGTTGCGGAAAAGAACATCTTCTCTGTCGCATCTCGGTCGATCTCGGTGTGGCCCAGTACCTCTCCAAGATTGGTTCGTGAAGGAAAGTAGGTGTAGCGGTTGTCCGATATGGGCATGAGCTTGCACTTTGCGTAACTATCCTCTAGCCAGAGATGGTTGGCAACGTTCACAGCCCATTCTTGAGCAGCGTCACATTTCTCGCTGTTCTTGTGCGCGGCAACGAGATGTGTGTTGTCTTGCTTGAATGTCTTTGTGAATTCGGCCCCGGTGGCTCGGACAAGGTTCTCGAGATACACACGAGCCTCGCCAGTGTAACTTGATATACTGATCTTGAAACCCTCGAATCCTGGTATGCCATTGCGAGGCCTTGGATAATGCATCAACCGCCTCATTGGGTTGGTCCAAATGTTGTGTGTTATGAGATAGTACAGCCAGCTGAGGTTGCCCACATCCTTCCCGTCTTGTGATGCCTTGACATAGTCATCCCCATCTCGGTAGCTGCACACGTATATGTCCGCATCTTTGATCTTGGTAGTCACGTCTCCACCGCCGTTTGTGATCATGCCGGATATGATACCCTTGAGTCTGCTGTTGAGATTGAGATCCTCACCCAGCTTGACCTTCTTCCCGGAAAATGCTTGTACTGCTCGCGGCGCTTCAGAGCGTGCTAATGGCATCTGAGGAATGGGTTCGTTAGTCGGGTCTGGAGTGGTCGCATCGCGTATCTGCTGGCTCGTTCGTGCTGTGGGGACGGCGCTGAGCTCCACGTTTAGGATCTCGGGGTCGGGTAAGGTGTACGGTCGTTCTGAGATTCTGCGTCCAACCTTCAGGCAATCATCGAACCAATGTGGCAGTACAATTGTGAGGTTCAGGCGCTTGCTGATGGCCAGCTGACATCGATGATCGTCAAGATCCAGCGAGATCAGATGTGTAACTGTTTTCGAAAGCTGCTCCGTGAACTGTCCTCCCATTGCCAGCACTCCGCCTTGTATGGCCTCCTTGTCTCCACTCGGCAGATTCCCGCAGCATATGATGACATCGCTCATGAACAGCGCAGGGTCTGGGCTGTATGTGCGAGGGTTCTTCGTCTTGTTCCCTTTCAGAGATTGGTCTACCCATGTCGGCTTTACAACGTGTGTCATAAGGTCCAGCGCACCGTAGTAGTCGGGAAAGTCGGATGTTGTAGATACAATGTAGTTGATCTCTTCGAGTCGTTCGATGCGCCCTTTGGAAGCGTCAAAGGGTATTATGGTACCATTTGCGGCGACAATATCGTTTTGCAGCTATGCAACGCGTTAGAATACTGACCTCATCATATATACGCGTTATACTGACCTGGCTGAGGCGGTCTTCTGACAAGCCATTGGGTATGATGGTAAAGCTAAAATCTCTAAACAGGCCTTTCGAATCGTCTAGCACCGTTGTGTCTTCCATGACGGGCAAGTATGGGACGTGACTTTGGCGGGCGCAAAGCGCGTGGGTGTTGTCAATGTTCGGTTCACCACAGGTGGCGCGTCCGAGGAAAGCGCGACGCGACGCGCTTCACGTGATGTTGTCCCACTTTGCCTCTTCACTATTAATTATGGTGCCTTCAATCCTCACAGTCCAACATTTCACGATGCACAATCGACGCCAACGAATCACTTTCTACAATATCGCGCCGGTGCGAATGTGGGCACAGAAGTTTCTTGAAGTCGCCTAGGCAAGATCTTCACATCCCCACAGCGCTCCTAATGGCCTGACTTCTCGCGCGCGCTCCTGTGACGATGCAACTTTGGCCGCTGACTCGACGTTTCGTCGAAGCACAGAAACTGTTCAAGTCTTTTGAAGTTAGCACTTCGTATTTCCCTCCGCGGAAACAAAAGATTCTCCATCGGAAGTCCCATTGCAAGCTGACAAGCCTTCGTAGAGTGGATGTCAATGATCTGCAGTACGAAAACAATGCGCAGAATTCGGAGATCTTTCTAGACAAGATTCCATTGATGGAGCGTGAATGAGTCCACCGCCTTGGCAATGTCGCGCCTATAGTGATTAATTACCCATGACAGGGGTGAGCAAGTCATGGAACATGACGAAAGTGTGAACCACTTCGAACAAGACCATGTCATTTCCTACTTTGTTTCTATCCAGCGACCAGGTTCTCTACTTTCCTACTATCCTTTGTTCATCCGTTCGACATCATGTCTAAGACTTTTGTTGTGGCACTTGCGGCCTTGACTGGTACTTCCTTGGCCAAGGACATCTACGTCTCGCCTACTGGTACTGGTACCGGTTCTGCTACAGCACCCTATGGCTCTATTCAATCTGCTGTAAATGCCGCTGTTGCTGGAGACAACATCCTCTTGCGGGCTGGTACCTACAAGGTATGTCTTGTTCATCTGACTCCAAGTATCTAACACTGACACTTCAAAGCCCACCACCAACATTCAAATCACCAAGAGCGGTACCAGGATCTCGCCGATCACCTTCCGTTCTTTCGAGAAGGAAAAGGTCATCATTGACGGAGAGGGCCTGCCGGGCACTCCATACGGACTCGACGAGTCTCTGCCCAACAAGGAGCGCGGTATCTTGCACATCGAGAAGGGCAATTACTGGAAGTTCTATAACCTTGAGCTTATCAACGGTCCCTACGGCGTGTATGCTCGCAACGCATCGCACAACTACTACGAGTTGATCACCACCCACGATAACTACGAGACAGGCTTCCAGCTTGAAGGCGCATCTTCAAACAATACAGTCCTGTACCTCGACTCATACCGCAACCGCGATCCCCGCAAGAACGGCGAGAGTGCAGATGGCTTTGCCTGCAAGTCTGGCGAGGGCGAGGGTAACGTTCTGCGCAACGCCAGACTGTGGGACAACGTCGATGATGGCCTCGACCTCTTCATGTTTGGATCCCCGGTGACACTGGAGGAAGTCTACGCTTGGGGTAACGGGTTCGATCGATGGGGTTTCTCCGACTTCAACGGCGACGGTAACGGCTTCAAGCTTGGCATCACCGACAACCCACCTGCAAACCACATTGTCCGCAACTCGATAGCATTCGCCAACGCAAAGAAGGGCTTTATCGATAATGGCAACCCGGGCGTGCTGACCATGGAGCGCAACACTGCATGGAACAATGGCGATGTCGGCTTCAACTTCCGCAGCTCTTCTTCGACGCTCAAGAACAACATCGCGGCTGTCAACATGGGGACTGCTCAGGTCACTCTCGTCTCGACCGTCAAGGTGTCCGGCAATTCGTGGCAGTCGGGAACCTGGTCCAACACCACCTTCAAGAGCGTTGACCCGGCCAAGCTGAAGGGTGCAAGAGGTTCTGATGGCAGAGCCCCAGCGAGTGACTTTTTGATTCCAACATCTGGCGCAGCAATTGGTGCTACTACCCAGACTGATGTCTAGAGTCAACGTTATTCCGCATCCCAAAGTGCTTTTCTTCTCCTGTATATATTCGATCAGCTCTGTGGCTTGATCTTCCGCTGTACATATCTATTTTAGTATATAATTAGCCAAAGAGAGGTCTTACTTTCTTTCCCTTGTTCGTTCCAATAGCTTCGAGGGTGATTGTTGAGAATGTGAGGGAGACTGATTAACGGCTCCTGCAGCCTTGTCGTCGCTAGCGTCATGCCACCGTGGACCTCGGCATTTGCTCTACCCCAGATTCACGGCAATTCGTCACGACACCTCAGCTACGACGACTGAAGAATGTGTGTATCATCAATCTCAGTCCTCGCAATCTTCTGATCTGCACGCTTTCTCCTTTGAGCACACTCAAGCCATCCTTCTCCCCGTTTCGACGTTTACCTATCGGACGATCCTTCTTCATCGCAAGGTTGATAAGGCTGAGATCCAAGAGCTAGAGCCGGTATCACAATGTCGTCCCAATACTTCCGGTTAGATGACCACAAGATAGAAGCGTCGCATATCCGCAGCTTCCCTAGGGCACTCTCGACACACGAAAACGATGTATTCCACCTTGCTATCAAGCAGTACACACCGCTCAACAACCCCGCCCCGCAAGACGGAGACATCACAATTATTGCGGCACATGCCAATGCGTTTCCGAAGGTATGCTAATTTCAACATCAAATTTCAGTGGTCGACGTGAAAAAGGATGAAGGAGTGTCCGAGGTGTCCTAATCAATTGCGTTGATTGAATAAGCTGCACGAACAGTTATACTAACTGCATCAGGAACTGTACGAACCACTCTGGGATGAACTTCTTCAAAGAAGTCAAGGCTTTGGCTTCAAAATCCGCAGCATCTGGATCGCAGACGTCGTACATCAAGGTCACAGCAGCGTTCTAAACGAAGACAAGCTAGGGAACGACCGTGACTACCCCATTCCCACCTTCAAGAGCCATGTACTCACACATTTCAGCATCATGGCTCGACCACAGCCGCGACCTCCTACACATGGTCAATACCTTCGCACGCCAAATGCCCCGCCCCATCATCGGTGTCGGCCACTCCATGGGCGGCGCGCAACTCGCCAACCTCGCCCTGCTCCACCCGCGTCTTTTCGAATCTTTGATTCTCATCGACCCTGTCATCCAAGGCAAAATGACTGTTCTCGGCAACGTTTCTCCTGCATTTGCGTCAGCAAAACGGCGAGATCTTTGGCCCTCGCGCGCCGAAGCAGCGAAAGGATTCAAGAAGAGCAAATTCTACCAGACCTGGGACCCGCGGGTCTTGGATCGGTGGATCGAGCACGGCTTACGCAATGTTCCGACGAAGCTGTACCCAGATGCAAAAGAGGGACAGGTAACACTTTCGACGACGAAGCATCAGGAAGTCATGACGTTCCTGCGCCCCAACTTCAGAAACAGAGGGGGCGAGACAGAACCGGATTCTGTAGACTTCACGCTGACGAATCCGAAGCTGAATCGTAGAACGCATGCGGATCTAACGCCGTATGAGCAGCCGCAGGAGCCGTTCTACAGGGGTGAGAGTACGATCGTGTTCAATCAACTGCCTACTTTGAGGCCGTCCGTGCTGTATGTGTTCGGAAGTCTATCGTTCTTGACGGACGATGCTATTATTGAGGAGAAACTGGCCAAAACAGGGTCTGGCGTGGGAGGAAGTGGTGGCAGGGCGGAGGGCAGGGTAGATAGCGTTATGGTGCAGGACGCGGGGCATTTGATCCCTATGGAGAAGGTGGAGGAAAGTGCTGATCACATTGGGAAATGGATTGGAAAGGAGATGGTGAGGTATCGGGATTGGGAGAAGAAGACGCAAGAGGAGTGGGGAAACAAGAAGGGGATTGAAAGAAGTGTGTTGAGCGACAGGTTCGTGGAGGAACTTAACGGCTTGATGGTGAGGTCGAAGCCGAATCTGTAGCTCAGCTTGAGATCGCTGTCTTATATATTTACAAATTCGATATTCTGATATCGTTACAGGAATGCCTCAACGTGCCATCCGTCTCACAGTGCCATGTACGTCCCACCCTCTCCCCCATTTCACTCTCTGTGATACCCATTAATGACGTCCATCTCACGGCAGCACGACTTCAGCTCCGTTTCCATGCTCGCAAGAGCCTGTCTAACCACTTTTAACACGTCCCGCACAGTAACTTCGGCAGATTCGTTTCACCGTGTGAAGTTGCGTCGTACCGTTGCGGTCAAAAGTCTCCGCGTCGTCAGTGATACACAAGTCCACTTCCGCGTCCATCTTCTGTACTGTGGGAACGCAAGCCACCATCTTTCCGCACGACTCACTTTTGCTTTTGGGTTCGTTTGTCAGTACCTTCAGATTTTTGAAGTTGTAAATCCGGAACAAGGAGTACGAAAGTCCAAGGTTGAGGCTTAGGTGAATGAGATGGGAGAATGTTTCCGGCGCCTTAACGACAGGATAGTACGCCCAGACTCTGTCATTCTCATACGAACCAGAATTTGCGATGTGAAGGCTGAATCTCGTTGGAGGCAATTCGGTATGACTGAGTTCGAGGTGCTGATTGACTTCTGTAGCGGCGTGGGCCACTGTAGTACACTGATAGCTACGGTAAACGATAACTTACGACTATCGGGTCGATGGAACACTGCGCTGAGTTGCTATCTAGCTAGGAGAAGACGATATATACTGGCCCTAGAACGTGCTAGTCCATAACAGTCTAAGCAAGGGTAATCGGGTCTCGAACGGACCGATTGATACCGCAACAAAAACTACTCGACCCATTGACAACCGGCGATCTGAATATTGCAACGGGCCATATGGACATTTCTAGTTTGATAATTCGGATCTGATCCACTGGCATTCAGACTGTCGTCTCAGCTTCTCACTTTGTGCGGTTTAGCTCAGACGAAACGCCCTCATCAATGCCCTAATTGAACGCACCGAAGCCGTTGCTAGGATCAAGACTTTAGGCATCAAGAATTATACAGCTAGTATCAGATACAAAGACGACTGTCCTAGTGTATAGTAGCTGCAGGTCAGTCTCCATCCGTTCGACAAGTACGATTTCAGACTCGACCAATTCGAACTCGAGATCGATTACGTCCATATGACTTGGTCTACACCGTCAGTCGTCCAATAGAAAGACTTTCAGCCTGTCTTGGAAGAAGAGGTCAAGCGAGTCGGCAGGAGGTTTGTCGGGGAAGCTGGAGTAATGAGGGTAAAAACGGAGGAGGCATACTCGTCTAAGTCGTCAGATGGCTGGAAGAAGGCACTCTTCACGTTCTCCAAGGCCTAAGAGTATGGGGTAAAATCGAAATGATCATGGTTCAGGGAAGTCCTTCGTCAGAAGATTCAGGCAGTACGGAAAGATAGGAGTAGAGATCCCCAACGTGCTCAATCATAATACCAGTGAAATTGAACAGGGCGTTTGGAATGTAATGTTGCTGGGCATCAGGTACGCTTTCACTCCAACCATATGCAAACATACACCGAACATCCCAAGGTCCCCATCTTCCACCCAACAGCGCCCTTTCCTCAACGTCAATCCTAGTCAACTAGCCCGTCTCAGCATCTCAACCGGTAACAATGATGTCCTCCGCCACCAGTGAGTTCGCAATATGCCACTTCATGAAGCTATCCCGAGAGCTTTGAAACATGGTTTACGACGAGCTTTGGAAGTCCACGCCAACCATAGAGGTCAAGGTCAACGAAATTTATCGCACTGTTGGGTGCGGACTGTTCAGAGGTGTAGAACAGTAGTATTAAGCGTTCTGAAAGGGTGTGTCTTGTGTGTGTGTGTTCCCTAGTACCCCAGCCCAGCATATCTACAGGAACCTTACAGCACACTTACTAATACGGGTCACGTTCACAACAGTGCTAGCCTAAAACAACATCTATATACATCTTTGCTACTACAACGTGGAAGCCGCCGAGACATACGGTTTACCCTTGTGGCTTCAGACCTGCAAGACATTTCTCCATGTAATCCGAGTTATTGGGGTTCTTACGATTACAGTATCAACCGAAGCAACACACCGCTGCTCAGTCTAGCATCACTATCTCGATTGGCTAGCTGGCCCAATTCCACACAACGAACCCGGTTGAATATAGCACCGAGGAGAAGCACCAATATGAGATCTGCTCGATACTTGAGTGCGAGGAGATATCCACAACGCTCACACATTGCGTGTGAAGTGCTTTTTCCCAACTTCTACGACTTCTTTGAGTCGCCTCAACCCGATGCTCGATCTAGAGTGGTTCAAATATGTCCCAGCGCGTATTCGCAAGTTCTAGTTGGAGGTCGACATCATCTACGATGATTTTGACGCACCCGAAGGGTATTGGGCAATGTGGAAAGACGCCTTTGGTGAAAAAGTCAGACCGAAGACTTTTCTGTTCTCTTTTTCGAAAGCGAACGATTAAGGTTGACTGTAGAGGGTCCTTTCATCTAACCGAGGAAGTCGGTACCAATTAAGCGCAACGCAGTTACATTATTAACATGACGGTCTGACTGCCTCAAGACTCTGCCCAACAGACCTAAAGAGCTGGGGATTTATAGTCTGTCTTGGGACTGGAAGGGAAGGATATCACAAAATTGAGGATTTTGTTGAAGACTCAGCGAGAACGCGCGGACTTTTACCGTGTCCGTGCGCGTACCGTGTCCGTGCGCGTAATGCGCGGATTCGCGTAATGCGCCGAACCACCAAAATAGGTCCACCAAAAATGAGGCTGTAGAGCCACACACAATGGTTATTATCATGAGATTTTCTGGTGGAGTAGTCTATAGACCTATATGAACAAGTTCCTCACTCAAACTTTTGTGGCGCTCTGATTGGGCGGCCGCGGCTGTTGTATTTTGCTGGAGGGGATGGGGAGCGAGGCGC